GACAATGAAAAATATGAAGTATAGAGATAGTTGCCGAGGACTTTTCAAGAGTGAGGGTTTGATGACGGTGCATGGGGTTTATGAAGCTCTGATTTTCTTTTTTTAAAATAGGGATTCATTTGATTTACAGATATCTCATGGGTATAACACCAGAACCCTAAATGTAAATTACCCGGTACACAGATTGACTCTGACTGAGAGGAATCCATATTATATGTGTCTTAGGTTATTCAATAAACTACCAAATAATATAAAAGAAATATCAAATTTTAGAAGATTCAAACAAATACCTTAAGGTACTTATCATTGGTATGGAACCATACTCGGTCAGAGACTTTCTGGAGGGGACATAGGCATGTGTGTGGGTATGATAAAATACTTTATTTATAGAAAAGAAAAATACGTTTTAAAGACCTTCGTTTTCTGTGACACCATTTCCTTTGTGATATATTTTCAGATTCTCTTTCATGAGCTTTTCTGTGACTGAAAAGCCCGATACGTGATGTTATCTGTCTACCGCACTCCAGACATTCAAAAATCTCATCGCTTTTTTGCCTCTTTACTTTTTGGTTGTCGCTCTTAACTGACTTTACAATTTTTCTCTATTCCGTTCTATTGTGAGCTGCCTCTTCCCACCCATTCTGCTTGTTAATTCCCTTTAAGTTTTCGTGGAAAATATCCTTGAACCTTTTGAGTAGTCCACCCGGCATCCTCTTACCGTCTACAAGCTCACCGTAAAGCAGAGATTTTGGTATGCGGTTTTCTTGCATTCTGCATACGTGACCAGCCCATCTTAAGCGGGACTTTGTTTGTACATAAATGAAACTTCTACATCCTGTCTCAGAAATTAAGCATTTTATGACATAATACAAACTTTTTTACGTATTTTTATCTGCCGAATATGTTGCCGAAGTTTCCCGAATATAACTCGGACCGCCCTGTATAAATTGTTTTCCTTCCATTAAATTTACATATTATCCAATGAAATTGTCATTTGAAAAAAAAATACGGGCAAGCTGAGTTTGTCAGCAACTGTCGTCTTAGTATAAAATAAACAAAATCGGAAATTTTCCCCTTGCGGTTTTTGAGCAATAGGGGTGTTTTTTTTAAACTGTACTACAACAAAATAATTAGACGCAAATTGTACATAAGAACATTCTCTGTAAGTTCGCCTACTAAATTTTTTTTATAAGTTTATAATTTCCTTAGCGGCCGTTTCATGAACCCTTTAGGGTGGTTTTCAAAAAGTTTGTTTTACAGCAAATTGACCCGTATGAAAGTTGTTCATAATAAATGGACAAGCAGCTTTTCCTCATGATTTTTTTGTAACTTCATTATTTCTGGAGATAGCGTCCAGTCAAAGCCATCTATATTGTCTAACGACAAGCCGTGAAGTACGCAATCCAGCAACATGTTGTTTAGTCCGCTGGTTACGAATTCTGTGGTTAGATTCTTATCGATTTTCCCCAAATTACGAGGCGTAAACAAGTAAAAACCACGTAAAAACTCGAGGTGAGTTGGTTGAATAATTTAAACATTTGGTATTCTGTAATCTTGCTTCATAAAAAGTGTTCGTTATTCATATTTGATAAAAATATGATTAATTTTAGATGCATAGACATTGCTGTGTTCCTGGCTGTACCTCAAATTATGCCAGTGCTTTGAAACATGAAAGAATGAAAACCACATTTTCTTTCCGGTCAATCCATGGGGACAATTTTAAATTCTCCAATAGTACTGTAGTTTGCGAGAAACATTTTGAGAAATCCGAGATAATAAGAGTTGAACGAAACCAAACCAAACGAAACCTATAAAAATAAAGAAGGGGTTTTGGGCGAATTCCCACTCAAAAGGCCAAGATTATGTGAAGGTGCAGTGCCGCACATTTTTCCTAATCAACCCAAATACTTGTCAAAACCTCTAACAACTTCTTGAGCTGACCCTGAAACAAGAAGGAAGAGAATTTTAGGAAAATATCAACAGGAAACAGAAAATTTCTTGAAAAGTGACAAAATAAATACCTTTGCTGAATTTCTTGAAACTTTTGAGTCAAAAGTGTGTTTGGGACTGTGGAATTTTAAAGTTAAAGATGGGAAAGTTGATTTTTTTCTGCTGAATGTGTGTATTGCTGACTTAGACAGTGAAGATAGTGTTAATGTTGTGTCGAGTATCGTTATTGACAGTACATTTACTGTACAAGTGTTTATAGGAAACTGTGAACTAACAGTATGTGAGCTGAGATGGATTCTACCTGAGGACAAGAAACTGAGCCGATGGTCACAATTGGACAATCTACTTGCTAGATACAGGTTTTCAAGGCAGGTACCGAAAGAATGTGAGTACTATGTAGACAAAGAATACGTAAATGTTCAAAAAGCTATAAATTTGTATCAGGATTGTGAAAATTTAAGTATTCTACAGTTGATTTCACTTTTAAAATATTGTACCTACTTATAGTAAATTATCGTTTTTTATAAAATCAATAATTACCGATTTACAACAGTCATTAACACCACTAAATATACTATTTATTTTTGCCTAGGTATTAAATACAAAATTCCAAGATGATTCACCCCTCGTAGGTTAGGTACTTACGTACCTAAATTGTTGTAATGTACTAGGTAGATAATAGTCATTTTAAGTATTTTGTATCCAGTAATAATTTATTATTAGAATATGTATATAATAAAAATAAAATATGTTTTTTTGTAATTCTTGTGTGGTCTCTTTTTTATTCATTTCTCCTATAACAATCTATTTAAAAACTATTTTTATCAAAGCTATCTGTGGAATTGTATGTATATATATGTAGCTATCTGTGGAAATGTATTTTTTTTTCTTTCAAAGCCAAACCGCTTTCCGCTTTGTTTAGTTAACTTATTTTCTCATATTTTGTCGATCGCCACCATGAAACATGAAAACAAAAGTTAGGTTAAGTTATGCCGGACCACTTAAATTGAAATATGCGACGTTGCCTTTTTAACTTCACGGCTTGTCTTTAGACAATATAGATGGCTTTGGTCCAGTTCATGAACAAATTATGGTAGTTTCATAATTTTTGTTTAGTTCTACAAATTTACCAACTTAAAGGTGTTCATATTAAAATTACATCCAAACTTCCCTATGATATGTATTTATTTCGTCAAAACGAAACATGGAATTCATCAAGTGAATGAAAAATAGTCCATTTTCCAATAGCACTTGTGAATTTCCTAAAAAAAGATATTTAAAGCTACCATCACTTGTTCATGATCTGGGCGCTATCTCCAAAAATAGTCAAGTTACAAAAAAAGTTCATAAGGCAAAGGTATATGTACTCTTATTTTGAAGGAGTTTCCTAGGGTGAATTTGCTAAAAAAAGAGTAACATTGAAAACTACCCTAATTTGTTCATGAACTGGACGCTATCTCCAAAAATAATCAAGCTACAAAAAAAATTCATGAGGAAAAGTTGCTTGTCCATTTATTATGAACAACTTTCATACGGGTCAGTTTGCTGTAAAACAAACTTTTTGAAAACCACCCCGAAGGGTTCATGAAACGGCCGAAAAGTCCGGAAATAATAAACTTATAAAAAAATATTTTAGGCGAACTTATAGAGAATGTTTTTATGTACAATTTGCGTCTAATTATTTTGTTGTAGTACAGTTTAAAAAAAAACACCCCTATTGGTCAAAAACCGCAAGGGGAAAATTTCCGATTTTGTTAATTTTACACTCAGAAGACAGTCGCAGACAAACTCTGAAAAAATCAGCTTGCCCGTATTTTTTTTTACTCTCTATACGGCGATACAATTTTACTGGACAAATATGAAATTGAGAAACGAGAGATCTGGGGGCACGGCATGCGGCAGTGCCCACGCCAAGTCGAGCTCAGCTGTACCATCCTTTTCTCGAAGGTATTAGCGACACTTTTGGCCACCCTGTAACTTCGTTGTGGATAAAGCAACAATATTAATTTTTAATTAACATGAGGAAATGCTGGCTAGATACTTCATAGTTTATCTTTTGTCAAATTTCTTTAATTTCCACATTGATTCACTCAATCATCACAAGTCATCTAAATTCTAAGGTTGACATGTTGTTCTAGATGTTCACAAACTTCAAATTTTGAATTTTAGGTAGCTTTAAGCTTATAACGGAGGAAAAAAATGGAAAATCTCTAAATATCTCTATGGATTAAAAGTTAGCTGTCTAACCACTACCGGTAACTGACTTTCCAGTCGAAAAAAAGGTAGAAAATTAGAATTAATCGAATTGATCCCGTCTGATTTTATTTGTATATGAATGTAACAACAATAATTCAAGGATTATGAAATAGTTCTACTCAAACTACTTTAACTTCGACAGTGACTCATTCACCGTCATCAAAATTCTAACGTACTTCTAGAAGTGTTACAAACTTGAAATTTTGATTGGTAAAAACATTCCATATAAAAGCCGACAGCGATGGCCACTCTTATTCAATAATAATAGAGGACACCCTTTACAATAAGTAAAAGGAAATAAATTATTACCTACCTGTATATTCTGGTAATTAGTAATAAATCTATCTACGCCCCTGATGTATTTTTAAAATGTATGTCATTGTATAAAATTCTTGAAAGATGTTTTAGTTATTAAAATTGATTATCATAAAATTGTTTTGATTTGAATGAATTATATTCCGAACAGGTCATATTTACACGATTTTTCTAACAATACAATTGCATTAATTGGTATTTTCCTAAAAAAATTGCCGTAACCTTTAATTACAACTTTTTAATAAAAGAAAGACATAATGTAAGCGTTTCATTACAGGTTAAAAAGCAGATAATTCTAAAAAATGTGCTCGGCATTTAGCTCGACCTCTATTATTATTTTATTTGAACTTAAGCGATTTGTTCTTTTTACATGTTTATACAGTATCAACTTAAAGGTATTGTATTTAAATTACCGTTTAGAAATTATATATTAAGTGGAAATTTATTTTCCATACCATTCCTATTGAAAATCTGTAAATTTTAGTGAATGTTTGATCGTTTCGTTAAGCCTATACGGAAAGTTATTGATAGTTTTAATATTTCCCGATATTGGGTGTATAGTGATTAATAGAACATTATCTATTATCTGAATATGGCTCCTCAAACTGAGGATATATTAAATGAAAACAATTCTTGTTTTGAGGAAAGTATTCGCTTAAAATCGGGGAAAAATTTAGCTGCACCTGAGCAAGGAGAGGAAATCGTTATATCAGGTAAGGTTTTTGAAGCCTTCAATTTGAATAAAGTTCACAGTGAAAATAATTTAAGCATTTTTGGCGTCGGGGCGTATGGGATCCCCATGTTTAGTTTAGTTTCTTTTACGATTTTTAATAAAATCTTTAAAATCTTTAAGAGCTGCAAAGAGAAATAAATTTAATTAACCATCAAGTCAGCAATGAAATATGGTTGATGTGGGATTCTTCTTCTTTACAAAATCTTCACGATTCTCGGCTTTCCTTATAAGTTCTTCAAAAGTTAGGTGAGTCCAGTTTATGATGTTTCTCAACCAAGATAGTTTCTTCCTGCCGAGACCTCTCTTTCCTTCAATCTTACCCTTAACTATCAATTGTAAGACGTGGTATTTTTCATTTCTCAATATATGCCCTAAGTATGATCTTTTTCTTATTTTTATTATATTGAGCAATTCTCTCTCTCTCTCTCTGCCTATTCTGTTGTAGATTTCGGTATTTGTGATATGGGCTGTCCATGGAATTTTAAGCATTCTTCGATATGTCCATGTTTCGAACGATTCGAGGCGATTCATCTCTTGAACTTTCAGTGTCCATGTTTCTGCTCCGTATAATAGGATTGACCAAACATAACACTTAACGAGCCTAGTTCTCAACTCTAGGTCCAATCTGGGGTTCTGGAAGACGTTCTTCATTTTTAAAAATGCATTTCTCGCTTGTTCTATTCTGGTTTTTATTTCCACGTCGTTGTTCAAGGTGTTAACTATCCAGGACCCCAAATATTTGAACTTGTAGACCTGTTCTAAGGTATTGCCCTCTATTTTAATAGGAATTGGTACATTTTGGTTCTTTCCAAATATCATGACTTTAGTTTTAAGAGAATTGATCTTCATCCCGTATTTTTACAGGAGACCAGTATCGTTCCACTAAACTCTGGAAACCAGTATCAGAATCGGCAATAAGAACTGTGTCATCGGCAAATCTAATGTTGTTAATAACTTCGCCGTTGACTTTAATACCGCAATCTGTTGAAGAGAAAGCTTCCTGAAAAATCGCCTCAGAATAAACATTAAATAACGAAGGAGACAGCACACATCCCTGTCTTACTCCTCTCTGTATATTGGCTGGATTGGAATTGTCATTTTCAATTTTAATGTGCGGTGTTTGTTGCCAATATATATTTTTCAGAAGTGTTACATCTTTGCTGTCAACTCCCAACTCATACAACATTTCGATAAGTCTCGTATGTTTGACTCTATCGAATGCTTTTTCGAAATCTACGAAACACACATACATTGATTTTTGTTGGTCTGTACACTTTCTGCGCCATCAATTGTAAACAGAATAAGGCCTCTCGTGTTTCCAATCCACTCTTAAACCCAAACTGTTCATAGCCGTTTTCTTGCTCACCCTTCTTATAAATTCCGTTATGTATTATTTTAAGTAACACTTTCAGTGCGTGACTCATTAAACTAATAAGTCTGTAGTCACTGAGATGTCGAGCTGATGGTTTTTTCGGAAGCGGTACAAAAGTTGAGTGGAGCCGGTCATCAGGTACTTTTCCTCTATCATAGATCTTGTTAAAAAGCCTAGTCAGTATATCTACGTTCTCTTCTGATATTAATTTAAGTATTTCTGGATATATATTGTCAGGGCTGGACTTTTTGTTGTTTTTAAGTTGTTTAATTGCCTGCAATACTTCACTATTGAGAATTTCTGGTCCCTGATCAACCGTTGGTCTTACTGTTGGTTCTTCTCTATAGTCATTATAAAGTTCTTTCATGTGTTGTTCCCATACTTGTATTTTTTCTTGTACGGTTGAACACAGTGTACCATCTGAGTTAATAATTGTTAGAGGACAAAAACGTTGCGCTGGTCCAGTTAATTCTGTGGATGTGGGATTATGTATGAGTATCTACATGATTGAAAAAATGTTAATGAGGGTAGCTTGTTAAATTACCAAGAGCGCCAGTTCTTTAATGTCCCTTATTTGAAGCCAATAGTCCCATCGGCCTGTGAGGATTCTATGTTGTCGAAATCAATTGAAACAGCTTGGGATGAGTAGATATGAGACAGTGGATTTTTGGCGAGTGTTGAAGCAAATTAGTTTTATCTACAATCATCTATCAAACAGAAATAGCCCAGTCAAATTAGAGAAATAGGTGGAAAAAATCCCACAGTTTTGAAAATGGTTTTCAATGATTTCTCTAGACTTGAGCTGATATGTGTCAAAAGTCCCCGAAGATAGACGATGAGCTCGAGAACAGAGGAGGGGTTAAATGTCACTTTTATGACTTTTTAGCTTATATCTCGGAATATATAACACCTACAAAAAATACCTTATACAGAAAATTAAAGCTTAGAAAAACAGCTCTCTACAAAATTGGTTGAATGCATAAGTCTAACCTCTTAAGAATTACAGGGATAACAAGAGTAACACTATTTCTTATATTGGATTTTCGAATTTAAAATCCAATTATGGTCTAAATTTAACTTTTCATATTAATAATGGTAATATTAAGGGATCCTTATGTTATATTTTAAATCTTCATTGCATCGTGACTTTTTGCCTTCCATTGAAGAGCACTAGTGCACACAGCATTGAACAATGATAACTGCAAATTAAAGGTTAATGCATGCCTGCTTTACGGTAAAAAAGTATACGACAGCATTTACCGCAGCTGTAAATATTGTAGAAAGTATACGAAAACTAAGAATAATGGTTTATGGTCCATGATTGCTCAGAGTTGAAGATTTCTATCCCCGCCTGCAGTAGATTTTTCTAATGTTAAAGTAGTACGAAGCATTTGAGGCATTAGCATTTGAGGTCTGGTTCCCTGAGGTTGTATATTGTGATGATATTCTACATGATTTCTTCCTGTAGGTACAGTTAGCGTAAGCGCTATTTACGTATCTGCACTACCCAATCTATTTCGCCAATATAGTTTCAGCCCATATAAAAGAGTAATTTCTGAATCTTCTTAATCTACAATAATTGAATATAATAATGATATCCACATACATAACATGAGTAATACTTTAAAATTATCTATACTATATCCGTTTTAGACAAGTAATTTGTATTCCATAAAAAAATTATTTTAATTTACTCTTTACGATAGCATGGCTGAAGTCAGGACTAAATATAATTCCGGAGTAAGTCCTCCGATCGGATCTCCGGGGAGGACAGTTGTGACTGATATGAGTAATGCAACCGATACGAAAAATACCCTACTACGAAAACCAATAAAGATAGGAACATGGAATGTCCAGAGCATGTTCACTCGAGGGAAAACACACAATGTAATTCTGGAAATGAATCGATTGAACATCAAAATAATGGGAATCAGTGAAGCTCGCTGGATAAACTGCGGGCAGAGTAGACTTCAAGACAAAATTATTTATTACTCAGGAGGCAGTGAGTAGAGTGCATTCTTGATGAGAGTCTTTAGAGATCGGTGAGGAATTTCGTATCTTTTTCTCCTCGCGTTTTGCTTTTACAACTTGAGTCATACTGTGGTACACTCTGATTCAGGTCTAAGCTCCAACAGCGGATAGTGACGACGAGGAGGTGGAATCGTTCTACAAAGAGATTGATAACGTCATGAAATTAACTAAAAACAAAGACGTCACTTTGCTCCTGGGCAACATGAATGCAAAGATTGGACAAGGTTCCTGTGAAAAATGGATTGGGCGGTATGGACTGGGCGAACGTAATGAGCGAGGAGATCGCCTTCTACAATATTGCCAAGAAAACTCCATGATAATAACTAATACGATCTTCAAACTACCAAAACGTCGCCTATACACATGGAAATCGCCACGAGACAGTCAGAACCGCATAGTCCGAAACCAAATTGATTATATTATCCTCAATCAGAGATACAGGAATGCAGTGAAAAGGGTCAAAACTTACCCAGGAGCAGATGTAGGCTCGGACCATAACCTTCTGATGACTGAGATTATGGTGAAGCTCAAGAAGCTGAAAGTTTTGTCGAACCAAAGATCTATTGATACCAGCCTACTAAGAAGTAATAACGCGAAAGTGAAGGTGTACCAAGGTATAAATGAAAACCTAAGTAAATTGATAAATTGTTGTTCGGCAACACAGAGCCAACCTGAAGACATGTAGCAAAGTTTAAAATCGGCTATTATAGAACCCTGCAAGAAATATCTGAAACCTGAGAAAAGAACAATGCGAAATGATTGGATGACTGATGAAATTTTGATGCTTATGGGAGAAAGAAGGAACCTGAAAATTACAGATAGACAGGAACATAAAAGAATACAGAAAGTCATCAAATATAAATGTCGTCAAGCTAGGGAGGAGTGGATAAAAGAGGAATGCACTGAAATAGAAAATCTGCAAAGACTTCACGACTCACACAGTATGCATAAAAAAATAAAAGAGTTTACTGGAACTGTTCGGAAGCAAAAATCGTACATTCTTACTAATGATGATGGAGACATTGTGTTGGATATTAAAGATCAATTGACTCTATGGGAACAATACATCGAAACCCTTTTCAACGACCAAAGAGAAGAAACCACTACCAGCATTAACAATGAAATGGGGCCATCTATTTTAAAGGAAGAAGTGCAAACGGCAATAAAAGTAGCCAAAGATGGGAAAGCGCCTGGCCCTGACAATCTACCTGCAGATGCGGTCAAGTTGATTGAAGAACAACACTTAGGTGCTATCAATTCTCTATTTAATAAGATCTACGAAACAGGGATGATACCAAAGGAATGGCTCCAGTCGACGTTTGTCACAATTCCAAAGAAGCATAATGCCAAAAAATGTGAAGAAAACCGCACGATCAGCCTTATGAGTCACACACTTAAGATCTTTCTCAAAGTCATCCACCGCAGGATTTACAGTAAATTAGAAGAAGATATAGCAGATACTCAGTTTGGTTTTAGAAATGATTTCGGTACTAGCGAGACTTTATTTGCCTACAATGTCTTAATGCAGCGATGGTTTGATGTTAATCAAAACGTATATGCCTGCTTTATTGACTATAATAAAGCATTCGATAAAGTAAGACACAAGCAACTAATAGAAGCGTTAGAACGAAAAAGTCTCGATACAAGAGATATACAAATAATAGTAAAACTGTACCTTAATCAAAGTGCGTCTGTTCGCGTCCAATCTGAACTGACGAGAGCAGTGGATATCAAACGAGGAGTTAGACAGGGATGTGTTCTTTCGCCACTCCTTTTCAACGTCTACTCAGAGGAAATCTTTACCAAAGCCCTCGAAAATGATGCTGGTGGAATACTAGTTAACGTGTGGAAAAGAGTGTCATACTAATCAGACTAATGACGAATATAATGAAGGAACATTTAGAGGAGGGGAAAGTATAGATATAGACAATTGCGGACACTTTGTGAGGTTGAAGTAATGCTTAGGGCAGTTCGAACCACACTTTAGAGAGACAACAGGGGAAAGGGTTTTAGTCGGTCGCTACAAGCAAACCCAACACAACCTCCGCCGCTAGGCTAACAGGTGCGGAGAGTCTGACAGCAGATTTCCTATACCTCTTAAAAAAAACCGAACCGTCTCTTTTAAAATACCAGATCTACCTATCTCTAGTATCAGCGACATGGAGAATATCTCTATTCGCCTATTATTTTCATTTAATTTAATAGTAAATTGTTTTACCTGCTAAAACTTATTAACATTTTATTCAGGATTATCTGGAAGATATCCAGATTCAAGAAATGTACACCACTTCCGTGATAATCTTTTTAACAAGGTTGATATGGTCTCTGACGACAATCGAAGATGGAACCCAGGGCATCCGGAAATACCACAGCGTACTGGAAAACTATTCGACATCGAAAAACACGACCCAAGTTTCTTTGGTATGTAACAGACTTTATGATTGAAAAGTGTTACTTATATTGTCATAATTTATTATTTAATATAATTACACTCTGATAAATATTATTATTCATATTTATCCCAACTACTTCCCGAAATATTAATAAAATATATTTACAGTGTTGCAATTTCTATGTCACACATTATACTTTAAAATTATAAATGCTTATTATTGTACGTTTATTAAAATAGTAGTAAATAAACTAAAACTAGGTTTGCTCCTTAGGTCTGCACTATCGTCAAGCAAATGAAATGGACCCGCTTTGTAGATTATTCTTAGAAGTGGCCATAGAAGCTATATTCGATGCTGGAATCAATCCTGTTGATTTACAAGGAACAAACACAGGAGTGTTTGTAGGAACATGCTTCAGCGAGAGTGAAAAAACTTGGTTTTACGATAGGTTGAATCCTCGTAGCTTTGCTCTAACTGGGTAAATATTGAATATTATTTACTATACAGATAGTTACTAGTAAGTTTGAAATAAAATTGGAAATTTACATACAAATCGCAAAAATATACTGCATATGATATTGTATCCATTTAAAGGTTGATTCTCACTATACCTTTCGTTTCCATTCCATATCCATTCCATATCCGTTCCGTATTTTTTTATTGTATTGACGCTATAGGTAAGCTTCCGTTCCGTATCAGTTCCATACTTTTCATTGTATAATTTATACCATTATGAAAGTTTTGTTTTAAAAATTTGTATCTTTTGAAGAAGGTAATAGATTTAATTAAGAGGTGAAATAATAAATAAATATCAGCAAAATTTTGACAGAGCTTGTACAAATGTAAGAACTTGACAACGTTCCGATACGCTTCAGTCCGTTCGCCAAAAAAATATATGTAAGGAAAGGATATGGAACGAAAAGGAAACGGAACGAATAGTGTGCATTGTCCTGTATTCATTTACATGATATAATATTTTATGTAAACGGAAGGGAAACGGAAGGGCGCTGATATGGAAGGTACAGTGAGAATCAACCTTAACTATTATACAGGGTGGCCCATCGAAAACGTTCCGCAAGGCAAAAACACGTCAATTTTATTTGTGAGGGGGACAACTTTTGCCCCAAAAATGATTGCAAAATCTTCAAACTTCTAAGCGGGGGTGTCATCCCCCAACTAAAAAAAAAGATCTTAATATTAATATTAACAGGTGTCTCATCGTGATTTTCTATTTCCCATGGGGGATTTTTTTGAAAATATACTAAGTGACATTGAAAATAGAACACCTACTAAATATTATTTAATTTTAATGAATGTTTGTAAGCATGTTTATTGTTGTATGGATAAGAAATGATTATAATTTGAACGCCGTCAGTACACTAGTTTTTGTGCTATACACGTTTTTGTTAAAATTCCAGTCATCCAATATAGACCCAGCTTTCGCACAGTTTGTTACTTATTCTGCTACAGAGCAGTTTCAGGTAATTTTCTGAGTTTATTATAATGCCTAGAAATCGTAGACGTGCCAATTTTAGACAACTCAATGATTTTGGTAGGGGTCGGATTATAGGTTTGCGGGAGGCAGGATTATCATTTCGAGAGATTGCTAGAAGTGTTTGCACTGTTGCCAATTGTTGTAGAGCTAACTTTCAACAACACCGTGAACATCGTGCCAGAGGTACAGGGCGTCTAAGATTAACCACTGAGGGTCAAGATCGCCGTTTAAGGCAAATAGCTGTCAGAGACGGTTCGGCCACTTCCCGAGCAATTGCTAACCAATGGTTTACGGAACACGGAAGACTCATCACGATGCGAACTGTTTACCGACAAATACGGTCTTTTGGGCTGTTTTCTTTTCACCCTCATTGGGTTTTACCATTGACCCCTGAACATCGACGACAACGTCTAGAGTGGTGCAGAGCCCGACAAGAATGGGGCGCGGATTGGAATGCTATAGTTTTTAGTGATGAGTCGTGATTCTGTTTGGGAATGCAGGACGGTCGGGCGCGAGTGAGAAGATACCGTGGAGAATGGCGGAATCCACAGTTTTTCATGGAGAGGCACGTAAACCAAGTTGTAGGAGTTATGGTTTGGGGAGCAATCGCATATGGTAGCAGGTCACCTCTAGTATTTGTTCGAGGTAATATGAGAGCCCAATGCTATATTGAGGAAATTGTGGAAGCTCATCTCTTACCATACTTACGAACGCTCCACGATCCTACATTTCAACAAGATAATGCCCGTCCCCATGTTGCTAGATTAACTGCAAACCACTTACATAATGCCCAAGTTAATCTCCTACCCTGGTCACCAAGATCTCCAGATCTCCCACCAATTGAACATGTATGGGATATCATGGGTAGGAGACTGACAAACTTACCGCATCCTCCTCAGACACTAGAAGCTCTTCGGCATGATATACAGTTAGCATGGGATGAAATACCGCAAGAAGACATAAATCATCTGATTAGTTCCATGCCCAGACGGCTCAACGAATGTATAGAACATCGAGGTGGTCCAACACTTTTATTAACAAGGACAAGGTAACGATCCAATATTCTCACTCCAAATTTTGATCATTTACGCCTTTTGTCAACCTACATTCATGTACAAAAGATTATTAAAATTAAACAATTTCTAGTGGGTGTTCTATTTTCAATGTCACTTAATATAAATTGCGTTCTAACAAATCAGCGCTGATTGCCGGAAAGCAATAAAATAAATCACGTTTTATTTAAATAGAAAATAGAAAATCACTATGACCTCTTAATACTAATATTAAAAGCTCAAACTTTACCATTTTTTTTTTGCATCATCGTGAATGATATTTTCACGGTTACTAAAATAAAAAAAATATTTTTTTTGGTGCACCCTAGTACACATCAAATATTTTTATACATTTTTACTTATGGCTAGTACACATCAAATATTTTTATACATTTTTACTTAGTAGTAATAGGCTTCATAAATTTTAATTTTAGGTGTGATCGATCTATGATTCCAAATCGTGTCAGTTATTACCTGAAATTGAATGGACCATCTATGACCTGCGACACAGCATGCAGTAGTTCGTTATATGCTTTAGACCATGCTTATAGAGCTATAAGAACGGGAGAGTGCGACAACGCTATTGTAGGAGGAACAAATCTGTGCTTGAGTCCATCTGTTTCTTTACAGTTTGCCAGGTACAAAAATAAATTATAGAGTTAACCGTTCAGTACTAACATGAACGCAACACCTGGCTGCCAATAGACATTCCATTCACTACTGCGCATCGGAAGAAAATCCTATATTTTTTTATTTAGTCTCTTAAATTTTAGTATTGAATATATATAAATCCTGCAAATTTCCATAGGGCGTCGCGAATAGGTTCCGCCTATGATGCTAGGAGTCTGAGTTCGAGACCGGCTTGGTGTATGACTTTTTATTTTATTTTCTTTTATATTCTGATGATTAAATATTTTTTTTTGAACCACCAGAAGGATGGCGTTTGTAGATATATGCGCCGTACTGTATAATACTTTCATTTGATTTGAAAGATTATTGTGGTAATTAATTATTAGATAGGTTTAGGATGGTCTGGTTCCGGTAGGCTACGTTCAGTACTGCGCATCACATGTATACAGGGTGTCCCGTTTTTGTTTGTTTTATGGCATTTCTCTCGTTTGTGTTTTTTTTTATACGAAAAAATCGGTCGTCGGTGGTGTTTTGTTTCTCTTTGGAATATATTTCTACTAAAATTTATGCAAGGGTGGGGGTAGTTTTCACCTTTCCGTTTGTTCTTTTTCTTAATTTTTGTGAAAGTCCAATTTTAATGATCTTAGCAAAACATAGACACCAGCAACAATCTCATTCAAATCGAAATAACAGTTTTGAAAATATCTTAAAAAATGTGTTTTTTTTTTAAAGTTAGATGCTCTCTCTCTAACGGAGAAACGAAGCATTTTTGTATAGAGATAAATTGTGTCCAATGAACTTATTATGATTCCAAAAATACTTAGTAGTTCTATGTCCCCGGAACATTGGGACATCTTGCCTATACTGTTCTAGATTAATATATTATAATGGCAGATGTAATATAAATAAAATACATAAAATATAAGGATACTAATATATAACTATAATAAAAATTTAAACATGTAAGACTATATTTTTTTTACTTCATCGATAATTATAAGAATTTCAATTTTAGATTAGGTGTTCTTGGTTTGGATGGAGCCTGCAAGGCTTTCGATAATTCTGGAAACGGATATGCCAGGTCCGAAACTATTAGCGCCATCTTTCTTCAAAAGTCCAAAGGAGCCAAACGAATCTACGCTACAATACTCCACGTCAAGACAAACTGCGATGGTTTTAAGGATTCTGGAATCACTTTTCCATCCAGGAGTATGCAAGTGAGACTACTAAAAGAATTTTATGAAGAATGCCAATCAGTAAAACCTTACGAACTAAGTTTCCTGGAAGCACATGGAACAGGAACAAAAGTGGGTGATCCAGAAGAATTACAAGCCATCGAGGAAGTGTTTTTGCCTGGAAGAAAAACACCTCTTCTTATTGGATCTGTTAAGTCTAATATTGGTCATACAGAACCATCTTCGGGACTATGCTCTGTTACAAAGGTACAATTTATATTTATTTTTATATACAGGGTGAGACTTAAATAAGTCCAAATATTTTTAGTAGTAGTATATTTCACTCACAGAAACACGGCTATGAGGTTTTTCTGGCGATTTTTTTTTAATTTCGCAAACTTTTTTAAAAAGTTTTATTTTCTTAATATTAGATAAAAACATAATTTCTTGAGAATATGGCTACAGGGATAGTGGATTAATTTACAGGAGAGAAAACCAAGAAAAGAACCAGTGGTTTTCAAAATTTAAGCAAAAAATAATTCCATTAAAAATCATCAAGTAGAATAACTCGGTTATTTTTGACTTATTTGAAAAACTTCTTTTATCGAGATCTACCAGTCCTAAAAATATTTGCAGTTATTTAAGACTCATTCCGAGGAGTTGATGGAAAATGCATACGTATAATTAAGAACCTGTACTGGCGACAGAAGGCAGTCGTTCGGGTCAGTGGAAGAATTACATATAAACGTCAAATCGCTTTCGATTTGACAAGGATGTGTCCTGTCTCCGCTGTTGTTCAACGTATATTTCGAGAAATTCGTTAAAGAGGCTTTATATGAAAAATAATTCGTGGTCAAAATCAACTGTGAACTCATTAACACCATTCGCTATGCTGACGATACAGCTATTTTGTGCGATGATCTCCTGGTCTCCAAAATCTCAAATATTCTGTTAATGCAATGGGACAGGAAATGAGACTGAATATAAATGTTTCTAAGACAAAATTCATGGTCTTCGGCCGCCAGCCATACCTCAAAACGTCACTAAAGATAATTGGACAAAGCGTTGAGAGAGTATCCAATTTTAAACACCTTGGAACTACATCACCGAGCAACTTGATCCGGATAAGGAAATTAGATGCAGGATTGAATCAGCCTGTACAATATTCCAGAATATGAGATCACAGTTTTGTAACAATGGTCTGAACTTAAAGCTGAGACAAAGAATGATTAAATGTTACATCTGGGCTCTGCAGATTATTCAGAACTCAAAGCTGCCACAATTAACTGTCTGGAAGCATTTGAAATGTGGTTACATATACGAATGCTAAGAATACCATGGGTGGTAATGCAAAGAAATAAAGCAGTCTTAAATAGGACAAATACATTTCGTAAACTTTTGACAAAAGTTAAATGCCGAAAGCTGTCATACCTCGGCTATGTTCTTAGAGAATGTCGTTACCGGAGCATACAACTTATAATAAAGGGCAAAATACAGGGCCGCAGGGGCGTAGGAAGAAAATAAATCTCCTGGATGAGGAACATCCGGGAATAGACAAGCATACATAGCGCCGAACATGCTCGCCATCATGATTGCCAATGTTAAGGGGACCTGAGAAGGCACAGTAAAAAGGAGACTCATCCTGTATTTTATATCTTATACAATATTTGTACCTCTCTGTAGAATTTGGATGAATATTTTGAAAATTATTTATTAATTAAAACTTAATACAATTTCTAAAGTTCATTTTATCTCCCAATACAAAAGTTGCAGGTTATTATTAAGTTATAATTAAGTAAATATTGTAATAAATACAAGTTAGTTAGTTTAGAAGTTACTAAACTACATTACTTAAAATAAAAACTTTGCTAGTTCATAACCTATATTTTTTTCTCGTATAGGTTCTTATAGGATTTGAAACAGGCTATATACCGCCAAATTTGCATTACAATACTCCAAGGGAAGGTATAAAATCATTAGTGGATGGTATGATTAAAGTAGTGGCAGACAAAACAGAATTTAAGGATGACAGAGGATTAATAGGTACGTCAAAGCTCCTACATATAAGCTTTTGTTATCTGAGTACAATAATATACAGGGTTATTCACCACTTACGGAGTATTGTAGCTAAACGACTAGATTTTTAGAAATTGTAAGTTTTAGGTTCGTTGAATTAGAGCTACAATTTAAAAATATTTATATAAGATACAGACTGTCCCAAATAAATAAAAAATATCTAAATTTAAATATATTTAAATGGAACACTCTGTATATTATTACATTTTTAGTTTCTACGATTAAAATAATAGTGCTAGCGGTACAACCAAATTTTCAAGAAAAAGCTGCACTTAATGATACAACCAAGCCACTTTGCAGAGGTGTTCTAGGGACTTAATAGAATGATTTAGTTAGTTCCTAAATTTTTGTCCCTTAGGATTCGAGTTTCAGGGGTGGAGGGTGAATTTTGGGGGTAAAATACTGAAATGTGTAAATAGAGCTTAAAAGGAGCATTTAAAAGTAATATACTATCTCATGAACTTAATGCTTAGGTTAAAATACACAAATATGCCCCGGAAGTCAAGCTAAACCGCCATTTTTCAAAATGGCGACAGAAAAAATAACATTTTTGATAACTGGAAACATGATTAGTGTTGGATATCATTTTATAAGTTTTTGGGGTCGCTGAATACGTTCGTAATTATAAAAATACGATTAAATACGACCTTTAGCCATTAGTAGCAATTTTGGAAAATATTGTAAAAGTTATAAATGTGGTTAGGTTGTAAACAACCAAAAAAATAGGACAGCTGCAAAACCGTTTGTCATGAAATTCGCAGTATACGATTTCCGATACATTAGTGTCCATTCCATTGCCGAAAGTTTAGGAGAAGCAAAGTCAGTTGCCCTGAGAGGTTTCCACGCTTATGCCGGTTCCACATTCTCGTCCGAATACGCTCGCTGTGTCGTGCTCGGGTACGACCATACACATTCTCGCTAAATTAGCGAATGTTTCAGTTGCAGTTGTGAAATCCCGGGAAATCCATCTTCCGTGCGAGAACGCGAGAAGATGGCCGACGCAGAACTTGCTGCTGCTTTAATTTAATTCTTTTTCATTATTCCACTCCATTTTGTTTATATCACAACACTACACAACATCTGAACCCACCGAAATCTCGCGGTAATATGCGTATTAATGCGAGAACCCGAGAACGTACCCTATTGTGCTCGCTCATCCTCGGTATTCTCCCGAGCACCTTTGACTCGGGCCCAAAAAACCGACTTTCGACGGAGCACCTGCGATGCCGGGAAAGACAAAGCGAGGTAAAGCGAGCGGTCCCATCTACACACTCGTTCTCGGGCTTTCTCGCCGAGCAACAGCGAGAATGTGGAACCGGCATTACACTGGCTGCGACACGGTTTCTTACTTTGCAACCAAAAGCAAGCGTTCAGCATGGGCTGCTTGGCAAAAAGATTCGGCCACAAATGTGTTTAAAAGGCTTGACTTGCCATTGGAGGAAGAACTACTTAAAGACCTTGTGGTCGCGTTGGAAGAATACACAGTTGCCTTGTCTGGTGTACGGGATGAAAACAACTGCAGAAGTGTTAATCAAGCAAGGAAATATTTATGCGCAACTGAAAGCAAACACATAAACGCAATTCCTCCAACAAGCGGTGCACTGCTTCAACACATTAATCTGCGTACCAGGCAGGTCTATTATCTGGGGCAGATTTATTTAGGACAGGCCGGATAGTTCTCCTTCTTCAACAATGTGGGGTTGGGTCAGAGAAAACGACCGGTTAAAATCATTTTGGACTCTTCTTCCACAGGTTTGGAGTGAATGTAGGGCTCTAGACAACTGTGGCTGCACCAAAGGCTGTGAAAGCCAACGATGTTCTTGCCGTCGGTATCAACTATCCTGCACCTTGGCATGCAAGAAGTGCAAAGGACAATGCTCTAATCAGAGATGTGTGAACATTATCAATATTCTTAAAAATATATATGTTATCTGTTTTTTTTTTATTTCTAGGTACAGCGCCCCAGAGTCTGAATTAGGTAATGACCGAGATTTAGACGAAGTTTAGATTTACCTTTTTTTAAATAGTGCATATACCGTATGATCGAGAAAAAACGGCGTCAGCGATGGCTATGGAACGAAGATCGCTGTCATTTTATATGTAAATTTATATGGGAAATGTCATCGATGTTCATTTCCCAGCCAACTGGACGCCATTTTTTTCGATCATACGGTATATGTACCTACAATAAAATTCCATTGCCTTCTAACTTATACTCACCGATTTTTTCTTACCCATATTTCACATACTAACGGCTAGATAACTGGGGATGTATTTAATCGTATTTTTATGGTTACGAATGTATTCAGCGACCTCAAAATCTATGAAGTGATACCCAGCACATCAATGTTTGAAATTATCAAAAATGTTACTTTGTCAGTCGCCATTTTGAAAAATGGCGGCTTGGATCGTCTTCCAAGGGATGTTTGTGTATTCTAACATTAGCATTTCGTTCATGAGAAAGTATTATTACGTCTAAACGCTCCTTTTTAGCATTATTTGCGCGTATCAGCATTTTACCCTCTTACTTTTACCCCTCAACCCTCCAACCGGAATCCTAAGGGATGAAAATTTAGGAACTACGGGCCAAATCGTTTTATTAAGTCCATAGACCATCTCTGCAAATTGGCTTGCTTGTATCATTAAGTACAGTTTTTTTTGTGTACCGCTAGCACTATAAAGGTAAATTTGATAAAGGTTTATCGTATTTTAATACTACCGTTTTTGAAATATTTTCGTTTTTGTCAAAATACAGTAACAATTTTAATGCTAAATTTTCCTAGGCGTATTTAAGTTTTTAAAACCAACTATTGTACTGAAGTTTTTCCATTTACTAAATTTTGTGTTGCAATATTAAAAATAATACAACCTTATATAGAGTGTCTAAAAATTATTTTAAATAATTACCAGTTTTAAACGGCAATAACTTCTTTAATTTAAATTAAACAAAAAACCAAACCAAACCAAACACGCTGTATATTTTACGAGAATCAGATGCAAAATTTAATTGTCTATCAAATTATATTATGCCATGTTTTACCTATCTCTTTTTTCTTACCATTTTCTTATAATTTAGAACTCATTTAACAATATACCCATAGAATATTTTAGATTATTTTTAAAGATGGAACAAATTTTCAAAGAGTACCAGATACTAATATAATCGATATAATGCGCTTATTTCATTAAAAAAACCTGTTTAAATATTTGTTAAAGAGTATTCAAACTACATTAATTGATTGTTTGCGTCGATTGATAATAATTGCTCCAAATTCTAAAAAAACTGAACTTTGTATGTATATTAGACAATGTGGTAAAAAGTGTAACACATTATAAGTTTTATTTCATTTTTGACGAATGCTTATTTATAATAACAGAGACGTTCATTTTCATAACTTATTATTATATTGATTTCTGATTCAAATCCGCATTTATTTAGAATAATTTATTAATTAAAACAATTAAGTATGTAGTTAACAAATTTTTGGGTGGAAATAATGGTGGTATATTTATTTGGTATACTCTTTTACAAAGATTTAAGTAGTTCTTTATTTGTAAACAAATGGGCTTGCAATATTATCGTTTTTAGCAGCTGTAGATTTTGTATATATGTTGCTTTAAAAAAATATATAATGTCAATATTCCATAGGTATATTAATAAATTACATTTTCTACAAAAACTTGAAGAGATATGTAAACAATGTTATAACACAATTTGATAGACAATTAAATTGTGCATCTGATTCTCATAAAATATACAGGCTGTTCCGTTTAAATTAAACAAGTTATTGCCGTTTAAAGCTAGTAATTACTTAATATAAATGTTTAAACACTCTGTATAAGGTAGTATTATTTTTATTATTGCAACACAATATCTGATCAATAAATAAACTTCAGTAAATATTTAGCATTAAAAACTTTCATACACTTGGAGAAAAGAAACTTTAAAATTTTTACTACAATTTCACAAAATTAAATATATTTCAACAATGGTAAGGTTTAAGTATGATAAACCTTAATCAAATTTACTTTTATTTCAATCGTATAATATAAAAATAAAATATCATACAAGGTGTGCCATTTAAACAAATTCAACTATAATATTTTTTCATTTATTTTGGACACTTTGTATCTCGTAAAAATATTTTTAAATTGTAGCTCTAATAGTCCTTCAACAAACCCAAATCTTACAATTTTCAAAATCTAATCGTTTAGCTACAATACTCAGTGTCGTAAGTGGTGAATAACCCTGTATAACTTTGATGTACAAAATTGGAAGTAATAAATATGAAATTGAATAGAAACAGCTCTAAAACAAGTTTAAATTATAATATCAGCTCCTCTATCGATAAGCTCTGTAATAAGCGATCACCGAGATCATCATCAAAATCCGAAATAAATTTATTTAGGTATCAACAGCTTTGGTTTCGGAGGTAGTAACTGCCACGTGCTTTTGAGACATAATCCTAAGAAAAAAGTAAACCAAGGCAAACCGCTGGACAATATTCCTAGACTGATTTGTGTCAGTGGCAGGACACCCGATGCAGTCAGCATGCTCCTAGATAGCGTCATAGAAAATAAACTTGATGTGGAGCATATTAGGTTGCTACAAGACGTTTTTAGGTAATTCTTTATTCATTCGTTTCACTTATAGTTTGCTTATTCTTATTGATAAATGACAAGAAATTAATAAACCAATATTTAGAAGTATTAAAACTAAAAGAATTTCGGACTTCCATTGTCTTTATTTATTTTGCTTATACGTTTCAGTCAGTAGTATCACTGACCGTTATCAAGTGTGAACTGATTCATGAATGAAACTTGAATTTTCTACATGTTTATTTTAATTTTAATATATTATTTCTCTGGCATTTACAGCAAAAATGTAAAAGCTCACTACTACCGAGGATACGCTTTAGCATCTAAATCTGGACAAATAGCAAGATCTCAAACCTACTTAGATTTTAAGCAAGTTCCCTTGCTAATATGCTTTGGAATTATTGACGAAGCAACTAAAAAACGGGCAAAAGAGTTCTTGGAAGTACCTGATTTTGCTGGAGTTCTAGAAAAGTAAGTAGAGATGTGTAAGTAGAGAAAAAATTGGGGTGGGGGGTATATACTTCTTTCTAGTTTTTTAAAGACACGTTTTCCAGTATACTTGTTACAAGTTAACAGTATTCTAGTGCGACCGCAGACGGCACATGTATCATACACAAAATCCACAGTTGCCAATTTAACAGTCTGCCTCCTAGATCTAGCATTTTTTTATACATGGTTAGTTTTCTACGATGTTCTCTACGGGTATCTCAGAAACTACTGGAGATAGAGAGTCGGTTAAATGGGGAAAGAATTGCAGTTTTGTGAGGCCATTAATATGCGCCTTTCAGATTTTAGAAAAAGTTCATGGCTTACTAGATATTTCGAAAAAAACAAAATTTGCTTATTTCAAAAATTGTCCCTAATTCCATTATAATCTATTTTAAACAAAAGTTTTCAGATAAAAGTTGTAGATAATCACATCCTTAATGAGATTGCGTCCTTCGTTTTTTTTCTGAAGTCTGTAATTTTTGACATATGACACAAACATATGTTTTCTTTAATGGAAACCATAGTTGGCCATGACATCATAAAAAAGCGCCATTTTTAAGCTTTTTCGCGATATAAGCTATGTTTCTTTTCGAAAAATTAGTTATAGCCAATTTTTATCATTTTAAAACAATTTCACTTAGTTAGCCATGGATACAAGTTCAATCGTCGTTGCCTTCAGAAATGCAAAACTGTCACATCCAAACTGTAAATTAAAATGAACAAAAATTGTAAATATAATTTTTTTAAATCAAGAAAACCGTGTAGGATTATTGGTTCAACTTTTCTTGGCCATACATTTTCGAGGATACGTTGACTAGTGAACATTACTTACGTCTTTTAGAGAACGGTTTTCAAAACATGTTAGAACAATTAAATTTAGATAGTCGCGCATCAATAGAGTGATTCCAACATGACTTTCATTATGACACCTCTGATAATGAAAGAAATGTTAAAAATTATTTATAATATCATAATTATGCAAACTCAGAGATCGGAAGAGGTGGACCAATTGCATGGCCCTTTTCGATGAATTAAGAGAGACACTCGAAGAGAGAGATACGGGAGAACATTTTATAAAATAAATTAAAGTGTACCTAGTGCTCTCAGAGTAATATAATCTAAGGTAGTGATATTATTTTTTTTAAGTTTTAGTTTGCGTAATGTAAATTGTAAATAACCGTTTAATAATATATTCTGTCGTTATATAAGTTATAAATCATAACAGAATAAGAATACCATACCAACTAAGTGAAATTAGTCAAAAAATATAAGAATTGGCTATAACTCAGTAATTTTTCGAAATAAACATATTATACTTTATATCGCTGAAAACTTAAAAAATTGCAATTTTTATGAAGTCATGGCTGACTATGGTTTCAATTAAAAAAATATATGTTTGTGTCATATGTCAAAAATGACAGGCTTTACAAAAACCTGAGAAAACACAAACTCATTAGATACCTTTGAATAAGAAGACTAAGGAAGGAGCATATCAAAAATCTTAGGTACACCGCGATGGGCCTCAAATATGGCCGACTTAAATTCCGGTTTATCAGTGTCGTTCTAATTTTATTTAAAAAATGTAAAACTATGATGTAGGGTAGACGTGGGCTAGACTCAATATTTGTTAGTTTTATTTTATTGTGAATAAATGTTGGTAGTTATTAAAATTGTTATAAAATATATAATTCAATAAAATAGATAAGTTATAATAAGTATTTATTAACAGAAACATCCACGTCTACTGAAGCAGGTAAGTCAAATTAACGTATCTAAATTTTGACATCTAATCTTGGACAAGTAATAAATAAAAGCTAAATGCAAGAAAAATATATAATTTAGATAATTTATGAATTTCATAAATGATCGGTTTACTACACGTATGTATATTATTATATAGTCACTACTTTAAAAAAGTTGTTCCATTATTTCACTCCACTTGCCGAGATCTACCGCACGCTACACAACCAACTATTTTAGAGTCTTTTTCGATAAATCGCGATAGTGTCACTGTTAATTTAAGTTCTGCTACAATTTCCATCTAGATTTACTACCTTTATACAACTATCAGTAGTAGAATAAATAATAAATAACATAAAATAAGCTCCGTAAAGACTGACAAATCCACAAAATTTCAAATCAAATTCAAATGTGTCAAATGAATCGTCAGACAGAACTGTCAAGGATCCCCACCCTAGAGAGCTTTTATGGTGGCTTTTCCGTCCACCATGCATGAATACATGGATAGCATTATGCTCCTTCCTTAGTCTTCTTATTCAAAGTTAGATACCTATGTGATTATCTACAACTTTTATCTGAAAACTTTTTGTCTAAAATAGATTATACAGGAATTAGGGACAAGTTTTAAAATAGCCAAAATTTGTTTTTTTTAAATATCTAGTAAGCCATAAACTTTTTCAAAAATCCGAAAAGCGCATATTTATAATCAAACAAAACTGCAATTCTTTCCCATTTAATCAACTCTCTATCTTCAGTAGTTTCCGAGATACACATAGAGAACATCGTAGGAAACTTACCCTGTATAAAAATATAAAAAATAATAAATAATAAAAATTCAAAACAATAATATTTAATAAAAAAAAATCAATAATTTAATAAATATTATTATTACTAAATATATAAATATTAAAAATAATAAATATAAAAGTAATATGGGTCAAAAAGATGTTATTTATATTCTGCATAATGATCTTTTGCTTCAATAATTCGTAATTATCCCCATTTTGTAACTGTTAAAGTAACTTCACGGTTAAAGTAACCTAGACCTCGAATCTTCAAAGTCATCTTACGATCCGTATGTCACGTGATTAGAACCTTACCAATAATTGTCGACTTTTTTTGAATCTTGAATTTTATATACAGGGTCGCTGATATGTATGGGAACAGTCGATTATTAGGTAAAATCTACGAGGTACCGCAAATTGTTAAATATAAAAGTTATAGGGTTTTTAAATTTCTATTAGCGAGTAATAAATTTAAGTATACAGGTCCGGTCATAAAGTCGTGGTACATCAAAGTTTAATCTTTTTAAATGGAACCCCCTGTATATTTTACTGCATATTTAAATTCTTCCTTCAATTTTAAATACACATCGAGATACACACATTGTACCTCAAGCCAACCGTTTCCGTGTTTTGACTTTTGAAAATGTCACTGAAACAATTCGATTTAATTAATTTCGATGTGTTCGATTTCATTTGACGATGCCATTCTGCGGAAACTGTTATAATAATATTTGACATTAGTTTTCAAATTAGAAATTATAGATGTATAAAATGAGATCATATCAAGGCTAGAAATTACACAATTTTTATTCAACATTTTATAATCAAAACTTCATAATTCGGAAATCGTTGAATTTGGTTTGGTTTGGTAGGGTACATTATCTGTATTACGATTATTGCTTAAAATTGAAGGAAGAATTGAAATATGCAATAATATACAGGGAGTTGCGTTTAAAAAAATAAATTTTGATGTGCCACAACTTTATGACCGACCCTGTATATTTAAATATACTACTAGATACTAAACATTTAAAAACCATATAACTTTTGTATTTAACTTTTTGCGATACCTTGTATATTTTACCTAATAATCGACCGTTCCCATACATATCAGCGACCCTGTATAAAGTCAAATGAACAACTGTACAGGGTAGCGCTTCTCATACGCCGCGGAGGCTCCAAGGAGAACGACAGTTTGTATTAAAATGAAATTTTGTAAGCATATGTAGGTTAATTCAGAGCACTTTTCAAAAATATAGAGAGTTTTACAGGGTGTCCCCCAAAAAAGTTACATATCAAAGTTGTGCTTTTTGTAATGGAACACCCTATATATTAATTGATTTTCGGATTCTGGAAGAAAAATAAAGGTGAGTTTTATAAGAGATGTATATGACTAAAATGTAAGGTTTTTGACATATTTAACATTTTCTAGAAATAAAGAACAATTTTTAAATTTCAATAAAAGCTACCTAAATTGGAATTTACATGGTATAGCCTAATATGTAGGTTAATTAACTATTGTACTTTAAATCAAATTAAATCTTGATCCAAAAAGTTATACAGGGTGAGACAAAATTAATATTGAACATTGGTCATCTTTAAAAGCATGTTACTCTTTGATTTTAAATGGAACACGCAGTATATTATTCCGATATTCAATGGAGAATTCATGCCTCTTTAAAGTACTACTAAGGTTGCCTACCTCAAACAAAGTTCCTAGATATTTTCATTTACATGATTTGATCTGAGTATAGTAAACGCCACGAATGTTTGGGAGTGATTCATCGCTTGATGAAGTTAGAATCGACACGCGCGCTATCATTTTTACATTAAAAACGTAAATTTTTACCGCAGACGTAGGTTTTTAAAGGCCCGGTCTAATCATCTGCCTGCGCTCCTCCTACTTATTCTAAAATGTTAGCGTGATTGACAAAGACGATACTATATCGCGTTTCTTTGATTGATTCGTTTTTGTGCAGTCAGTCCATTGGTGTGCTTGCAGTGCGACCAATGGGGCATTCCAGTTTATATTTATAGCCAAATATATGTTTTGACAAGACTTCGACAGTTAAAACAACAAATTACAACAGATTATATATTGATTATTATATGACTTGAAACACCACGGCACTGGAATTAAGTTTTATGTGACCTTGAACAGATTAGTTCACATGGTAGCGACCGATAAATCACTCCCAAACATTCATGGCGTTTACTATAGATCTTTATTATTTGATAAAATCTAGTTGGCTGTGATATGTCTGACGTTACTTCAAAATAGCTGTCTAATTAGTCCAATTTTAACAACTAGTTATCAATTTGTGTCAGTGAAAACAAAAAAATTCTCAGAAATTTGCCGAAAATGCAAGCTTATCCTACATCAGAGAGAATTGATATGATTCTATTAGATGGTGAATGCAGTGTGCATTCACCAATTAATAAAATACTTAAATGCTCCAAAATAGTCTGGGTTTTTTTTGTGGGGATATGTTATGTGTTTACAAAACTCGACCAACTATTGCCGACAACATGAGAGAAATTATTGTAGCCGCTTTTCGAGATAGAACTCCACATAGGCCTTTTAAAAGGAAAAGATCCTTTTGAAAAGACAATCATTTTATGCAGTTAGCAGGAAAGGAAGCATTTTGAGCATTTGATTTCATCTAGCTAATTTTTGTCACATAATTATAAGTTTATATCTAGTTTTAATTCTGTAATAATTAAGATATGTTTTAAACGTGTATCTTTTTATTACCGTTGAGTATTTTGCTATACAATCTTTAACTTTTATTAAATTAACAAAAGGTATATCGCACAGCGACCTAGATTTTTTCAAATAATAAAGATCTACTGGCGCAAAATCATAAAAATTACAATATCTAGGAAAATCTTTGTCTGAGGGGTAGGCAACCTTACTAATATTTTGAAGATATATAAATTCCCCATTGAACACCTGGAAAATATACTGGGTGTTCCATTTAAAATAAAGGAGTAACTTGCCTTTAAAAGTAACTAATGTTCCATATTAATTTTGTCTCACCCTGTATAACTTCTCGGGTCCTATTTCAGTTTGGTATAACATACAATGGTTACTGTAAGTAAATATCAGGCTATACAAGGTCAACTAAAATTTAGGTAGTTGTTATCAAAATTTAAAATTTACTCTTCATTTTCACAAAATGTGAAATATGTCACAATCCTTACATTTTAGGTATATGCTTCTCTAATAAAACACACCTTTATTTTCTTCCTAGAATCTGAAAATTAATTAATATATTGGGTGTTCCATTAGAAAAAACAAAACTTTGATGTGTAACTTTTTTTGGGGACACCCTGTAAAATTCTATATACTTTTAAAAAATGCTTTCAGTTAACCTGCATATGCTGCCAAAATTTCATTTCGATATAAATTACAGTTCTCCTTGGAGCTTCTACGGCGTATGAGAGGCGCCACCCTGTATTTGACAAAAGTTTGATGATGGCTGGAATTGCCGAAACCGGTCACTAATAAAGAATCTTTTTGACAGTGGTTTGGACTTTGTCTTTATATAACTTTCTTTAAATTTGCAAAAGTCCTGATACTTGTACAAAAATATTTTCGCACACGTTCCGGTATACCTGAAACGTGTGTGGCTGGCTTTAAGTTAATATCTGAAAGAAATTTGTATTTTTTAGGGTACACCAAGTACTTAAACCGAAGAATGTTAGCATCATGAATATTATACTGAAGGATAATACCAAGTCGATTTTCGAAACTGTCCTGGCTAATGTGACGCTTCAGTTGGCGATATGCAATCTTATAAAAACCTTGCAAATCAAACCAACAAAAATATTTGGCATTAACAAAGATTTGTCTTTGGGTAGTTTAATATGTGGATACTTTGATGAAGCTATAAGCTTGGAAGAAGTGGTAGAATTGGCTTATGTCATTGGTTCCATTACCAACGCCGCACATAAAAGTAGTACTGCAGAATTGTATGATTTAATTCAAAAAGACAAGAAAGTTGGTAAGTAATATTATTCGACAAAACTAAAAAGATCCTATAAAGGGAAATCAACAGAAGTCAGCATGTACGCCATCATGTAGTTTGTTTAATAATGTTGACATAGACACACAATAAATTCCAAGTAAAAGTCTAAGTTCAACAATTTTAGTGACGTCCAGGCCAAGTTTATTGATTTTCCTTTTGAATATAACAAAAAGACTAGTAGACACGTCACAAGTGTTAAATTGATTAATTAATCAAAGATCTAATTCACTGATTTATTAATTATCAAAAAAAATATGAAAAAAGTTCCTATAAACATGGGTATGCAATGGAATGGTTTTAAGGTTACAGGAGGATGTTAAAACTTTTTAAAATTTGGCATTTTGTAATTATCTTAAATACCATTATTATTTTATTTGAATTTCCTATAGGTTGGATTAATAGTAATAATAACTAATAGTACTAATATTTAATAATAAGTTAGTTAAAATAAATAATTATTTAATTAATATCGAAAAACCAAGATACAACCCTTAATTGGCCTCAAACGGCCTATACCATTTTGCTATCAAAAGAAAAAAAATCAGTGGCGCACATGTTTTTTTTTCGAAAATATTCCAGTGATAACCCATGTGTACGTCCGTGATGAATCTCTCGACACTTTTTTAACATTAAAATATGTAGCACTTATAGTAATTTTTACCCTCAAAATTTAATTTGAATCACTAAAAGTACTTAAGAAAAAATAATGAATCGAAAAAAATTAAGATTATCCCTTTGTAGCTACGAAACAAAGCAGAATAAGTTGATACGTGAGGAATCTCCCTAAGAGAGATAACACATGTTTTTTGCACAGTTTGCTTAATCCGCAAGCACATATTCTCTATTCCGGAAAGGCCTTCTCACAACTCACACATAGGAATGCGGAGCACGATATTTATCTTCCAACCCCGAGCTCAAAACTAGTTAAGGGCTCAATACTGTACAATGCCAGGAAAATGTACAATCATTTGCCTTCGAATATCAAGCCACTTTCATTCTTTCCCGCATTTCGCAAAGCTCTGAAATCATACTTACTGGAGAGAGCCCTATATGCGGTAAACGACTTTTTTGTTGTTGTTTTATCATGAACAATTTTCAATTTTAAAATTTTGATCATCTCACACACTGGTTAAAGGTCTAGTATTTAATATTTAATATTTTATAACTCTTCATTTAATGATATATATCATGATTTTATTCATTTACAGTTTTCCTTTTGTAAAATTTTCTAGATACGCCTATGTTCTGCAATGTCCATATATGTTTTATTTGCAATTTTATGACGTAAATTTTTTTGAATTGATTTGTAGTGTATGACATTTTTTTTATTATTTGTATATTTGTTTTTGTGCTTTTTTGTTTTGTGAATGCTTTGTCGATGAAGCTGTTTTGGCTTTGTACAATAAAGCGTTTTTTTTTGTACAGGGTGTACAGGGTGGGTCAAATTCGACGCTTTTAAATGGAAACACCCTTTTCTATAGGAGATAGACGAAAACTAATATCGGTGTCTGGAGCTCAATTTTCATCAAAAACATGATGGTGAAAACCGCACATCAATATCTGTTACCGTTTCGGGGTTACGGAGTGTTTTTCAAAAATGTGCAATTTTAACAAATCGCTGTAACTTTTTTGCTATCGAAAATTTCGTATTTCTATAAAAACATTTCCAAAGCACCTTTTTACCTAAAATTTAATGGTTTAAGTATAATTTTTTTTAAATTAATAATTTAAGAGTTATCAACCGAAAAATTGATTTTTTATTTGGGACCCCCTCTATATTTTTAATTAACTGAAAAGAATTTAAAATCACCTTTCCAAAAATATAGCACACTTGATATTTTGTTATAATCCCCTTCGAAATACAGAATTTTTAAAAGTTCGCCACTTTTAACTAGTAGGCTTTGGATCCTTTATTGATGATATGCCCTTAATGCAACTCGAAAACATATTTTTCCAGCAAGACGACACACCGCCTCTGATCGCTGAAGTTATCAGCAAATGTTTGCATCCAATTTCAAGAATAATTGAATAGCCAACCAAGATTCCAGCCCTTGGCCATCGAGGCCGCCTGGCTTAGTGCCCATGGATCTAATCATATCGATATATTTGCGGAAAAATAAAGGTTCCTTATTCTTCCGTATAATCTAGACAAGAATTAGAAATACTTAGCAGTTATGAAAGGGTATCTTTCACGTCCACTGAGTTAATGAATTCCGCGAGAAATGTTCAAAAACTGCCCCGTCTGTCAATAACAGAAGACGGTTGATATGTCGAACACCTGTAGCAAAATCTCATGTCTTGGTTTGCTATTTATTTTTATTGTTATTAGATATAGTTTAAATGTGTTAATGTTGGTTAAATATAGTTTAAATTGTTATAAAATTCTGCATCTCTCATAGCAAATATTATTTTCGTTTTAATTGATGCTCACAGCTAGAATTTTTTTGCATTAGAGCCGGTGCCGTTCAAAGCCTACTTATTTAAAGCGGGTGAATCTTTATATACTCTATATCTCGAAGAGGAATCGAGCAAGATATCAAGTGTATGATATTTCTGGAAAGGTAATTTTAAATTCTTTTCAATAAATTAAAAATATACAGGGTGTTCCATATAAAAAATAGAATTTTCTGTTGATAATTCTTAAATTATTAATTCAAAAAAAAAATATACTTAAACCATTAAATTCTACGTAAAAAGGTACTTTGGAAATGTTTTCATAAAAATACAAAATTTTTCATAGCAAAAAAGTTACAGCGATTTGTTAAAAATGCATATTTTTGAAAGACTCCGAAGTAACTCCGAAACGGTAACAGATATCGATATGCCGTTTTCACCATCATGTTTTTGATGAAAATTAAGCTCCAGACACCGATATTAGTTTTTGTCTATCTCCTATAGAAAAGGGTGTTTCCATATAAAAGCGTCGAATTTGACCCACCATCATAAAATCATAATTAGTAAAATATTAAAATAAAATTAATATTCTCTTCTTCATACATTTTTAGCTTTGGACTTAAAAAATATTTTGGATAAAATTATTACCAAGCCTAGAAAGCTAAGCGATAAAGTTATCTGTGATCCATATCAGGCAGAAATTGATTCCACTTATATAGTGAATTCTTTGAAATACACCGATGTACCTCAAAAAGTTAAAGATTTCATTACAAAGAAGTGCATTATTTTTGAAGTTGGAAATGGAGAAATATCTACATTATTAAATAGCAGCAAGAAGAGCCTATCTGTGATCAGTAGAGGAGGTTTAAATGATCTCTTAATTTCCATTGGCAGGTAATGTATACTAAATTCTATTATATATTCTTGACCGGGTATTATACAGGGTGAGTCTTAAATAAGTGCAAATATTTTTAGGGGTCGTATATTTCGACCCTAAAACATGTTTATGGGTTTTTTTCGCCAATAATTGAAAATTTAGAATTTTTGAAAAAAAAATTACATTTTTTTTTAATTTTTGGTTAAATTTGGTTGGCCGAACCAATCTGGCCAACCTGTTTAACATTTTTTAGAATAAACCAAAACGTATACAGGGTGGTCCGAACTGTATTCCGGAAACTTCGGCAGTATATTCTGCAGATAAAAATAAGTAAAATAGTTCGTATAAATGTATGTCCTAAAATGCTTAGTTTCGGAGATAAAGGGTGTAGAGGTTTCATTTTTATTTCGATATCTTCCAAATAATTTCTGAAATAACGTCAATATTTGGATGAAAATTTGTGTCTGGGAGTTTTTTGACATGAGAAATTTGATTTTGATGTCAATATGACTCCTGTTTTTAGAGGGCGCCACCTACTTGTGTTCTAATTGTTTTGAAGTGCAATAACTTTTTGTCCGTACTTGTGTAAAACTACAGAGCAAAAAAAATATACATCTCTGTGATTTTTTACGTAAAATATATCTCTTTGTAAAAATCACTACGAACAACCGTTCTTAAGATATTTAGAATGGAAATAGTAAATACATGTCATTATTGACGAAAAATAAACACGTTGAGTAGATAGTTATTTCACTGAAATAATAAATTTGGGAAATTTTTATTTTTTTAAATTAATCATAATTTTTTCTGCAAAAAATGATGATAAAACAGTTTCTGTTGAACATTTTACACAAAAACATTTCAAATATATGATTTGAATCTAATAACTATTTAGTCAACATGTTTAATTTAGGTCAATGATGACAAGTATTGATAATTTCTATTCCAAATATCTCAAAAACCATTACTCGTGGCGATTTTTACCAAGAGACCTTTTTCACGTCAAAAACGTCTTAAATGTAATATTTTTACTCAGTGTTTTTATACGGGTACAGACGAAAAGTTATTACTCTTCAAACCAGTTAAAAAATATGTAGGTGGCGCCCTCTACTAGTAGGAGTCATATTGACATCAAAATCAAATTTCTCATGTCAAAAAACTCCCAGACACCAATTTTTATTCAAATATTGACGTTATTTCAGAAATTATTTAGAAAAAATCGAAATAAAAATGAAACTTCTACACCCTGTATCTCCGAAACTAAGCTTTTTAGGACATACATTTATACGAACTTTTTTACTTATTTTTATTTGCAGAATATGTTGCCGAAGTTTCCGGAATACAGTTCGGACCACACTGTATATGTATATTTATGACTTTTTTTTATTTATTGATCGATATGAATTAATGTGAATTAACTGATTAGAGACCAAAAGAAAACATTAAACTTTATATATCAGTAATTTAGTGGTAATGACAATAGATTTTGTTATGCGTTTTTATCACAACATTTTAGTATTAAATATTTTCTCCTAATAAATGTTTATCATAATTTAATAAATTATGATAACAACAAATTTTAATTAATAAATACTAAAGTATGCTATTATTTCTATTTAATAGATTATATGAGCTGGGTGTGAACCCCCAGCTTCAGTACTTATACCCGAAAGTACAGTACCCAGTAAGTAAAGGAACACCTATGATTTCTCCGACGGTGGGATGGAAACACGATAAGAATTGGTACGTTAGTCGCTATTCAAACGATAATTCTTTGATGTTCGAGCAAAGAGCAATTGCTTTTTCAATCAAACGTTCTGAGCAGGCTTACTTAACTGGACATGTTGTTGACGGTATGTATGTTTCAATATTGTAATAGCAAAACATTTTCCGATGCACGTCATCAATCATATCGCCATTGACACTAAAGTCTATAAACTTAACTAAATGAAATTTTAGCAAAAATGTTTAAATTTGTTGTATAATTTAAGATACCGAGCAGCTTTACATTTGACTTTGTAGAGCAAATGATTGTAACAAATTATATGTTATGATAATTTTATTTAGATTAAACCTTCAAAAATTAGTTTAAACCGAATTTTATTATCACTATGTTGGTCACAATGCGCCGTTTTCAACAAGGTTGTCGTTTATTATTTGACAATTATCCTAATGTCACTCATTATTTTGTATAATATCGTGTCGGTTAAATCTTTGTGAGTAATTCTCGTTGTTTGCCGATGTTCATAGTCTTTTTTTAAAAATTGTACTTTAAAAGCACAAGCAGTTCTTTTAAGAGAATTTTCGAGTTTTTGTATTGCATTTCTTGAAATTTTGTGTTGAAAATATGCCGAAGTATTTAAACAGTCGAAACAAAGAGCTTGTAGCTTCCCTGATAAACTATTTTGAACGAAAACGTGAAAAATAGTCGTCCGAACGTGAAAAAAAAATACGTCCTTTATTATTACCCTGGAGTGCAGTCAGACAAGTAAGTTTGATAAGCACATTACACCACTTTCAAAGTAATTTCTACGTTAGTTTTTATTAAATTCTGTGATTATTAGTTTGTGCATTAATATCACCCTCTTACTTGTTATTACCACTTATGGCGTTGTAAGATTGTACATCCATAAATAAATAAATAACCCATTAATAACGCCTAGAATAATCTTCATAATGGACTAATTTTTGCCAATACGTATTAAGTAAAATAAGCTATAAAGCAAATAAATCAATTAATTACTAAAATATGGGTTATTAAATTAAAAATAAAACGTCAAAATCTTTAATAAATGATATAATAAATATATTGTTTGTCACTTTTAAATTAAGATTCATCTCATAAATCCATCACAATCTGGCAGCGCTGTCGCCATCGCTTGTCACTCAAAGTTGATTACGTGCATCGGAAATTGTTTTGCGATTACCATATATTTTTTTGCTCATTATTAGTATTATAATAAGACAAATAGTTTCATAATAGGCATCTATTTATGTTATGTTTTTTAAATATTTCTCGTAAAAATATTATAGAGATTTGAACAAAAAGTTTTAAATGATAAGATGATAATTTTTTCAGAAAATATAAAAAAAATAGTTAATATAATTTATTAGGTCTTAGTATAATTAATATTACTTATAATTAAAATACCTCTAAAGGGCTGTTTAGCCTCTCAGTTAATTTGCGCAAATTGGTTTGCACAAACCAAACTCGTTAATATTAAACTTATAAAATTCCCCTAACAAAATAGACAAAGAAGTAAAAATTCCGTCACTGCAAGAAAATCTACAAAATAAAATAGTTATTTATTGCAAACACTTTTGCGTTGATCCAGACGGAAACTACTTGTCAGAAGTTAGGTTTATAGATATACAAATTTGTCTAACGAACAAAAAATGCTTAACGTTTCGGAAAGTTTATCTCTTTCCGTCGTCGGAAGCAAAAAAAATACAAAGAATAAAGAAAAAAAACCATTTAAAATATTTAAATTGAACTATTCGAGAACATTTTAGTTTTTTAAAACAGATACGTCTACAAAAACCGTTGACGTTCTGTTAAAATGACATTAATATCAAGTTAAACTTCAAAATTAACAATTACTACCTGATAACAATTAGTTAATAAGTTAAAACCAAAAAAAACCCAAACTTTCTGTATGATTATTTTTAATTTTTACGTATGTTACGTTTATTTATGTTATGTTCTTTAAAATCAAAGAAGCGATTGACATACATTACTAACATCTACAGATGCATGAGCAATACATTAATTTTTATTAGATCGTATTGAAAAAGCCTCTTTTATTTTTCTTTTAGACGCTATCGCTTCTTTCATTATAATTTTGGCGTTATTAAAATTTATTATGTGCCCTATGTCCATAAACAAACATAAACATTAAAAAATAGTAATGAGTGCAATTTGTTTTTCGCTTTTTAATGAAAAACAAATTTTATTTTCTTTATATTTAAAACAATATACAGGGTGATTCCTGTAAGTCGGTCATGCTTTCGAGGAATGATAGGGGACGTCGAAATATTAATTTTGATATAGCACACTATGGACCGGAAATGCCTCTTACGCAAGATAGTTAAATGCAGGGTGTTAAAATTTTTGAAAAATTAAAGATCTTCTTTAATAGTTTCTTAACAGTTGAAGGTATCGTTATAAAATTTTACTATAGGAATCTATACTTGTATTCATTTAAAACTTCCCAATATGGCGGACTTCAGTATGGGAGGCTTAAAAAACGAAAATCTCTAAACTGGAATCGACTGTACTTCAAATCGTCCAAATTGATAATCTGTGGTAAATCCAATTGAACTCTGACACTTGGCTGACATTGACGTTTACGGTTCCTTTTTCTAAATATTTTCATTATTTTTTGAGTTTTTATTCACAAATTCTACTTGATTTTGTTCTTTTATTTAACCTACAACCTGCAGTACTAATTATATAGTTATAAATAATCTTTTCACCGATCAAGAATTGACGAATAGGCTGGAAGATATTCAAAATGTGTAAAACGCTTAAAAACGTATTAGAAAACATTGACTCGTTCACAAATTCGTGAAAATAAATAGTCCAGATGTTTGTAAAAGGTATTATTATAATTATTTTGAGAAGTTTCCTCGTGTCAGTAATTTTCAGGTTTGTAATATGTACTATATGATAATAAATAGATTAAAACTCATATTTCAGGAAACAGCGCGGGCATTACAGATTGTTGTAAATCAGTTTTAAAATATAAAGAAGGTTTAAAACAGGTTTAAAAGTTGAGTTAGTAGAGAAGACCTAAATAAGGTAATGTTGGTAATGGGACCAAACATCAAATAACACTTGAAATATATAATTATGTACAATAATTGTAAGTAGTTTTTATGAATCTGTTTGATATCTATTGCATTGTTTTTATATTTCTTGAAATATTTTTTTACTTTACAGGATACACAAGGAATAATAAAAAATACAATTACTCACTAAAAGCACTTAAGGTTTGTAATAGATGTAGTTAGAATATCAAACACCAAACTAAACCAAAAATTATGTTTTATTTTACTGGTATTCCTCACATTTGAAGGGAAAGTCATTTCATAAATAAGCAGGACATTGTATAGTACACTCTATATTAATAATTGTTTTTTATCCTATACTTGTTAGTTAACGCATCACTTACTCGGTATAAAATTTAGTACAGATTAACCTATAGTTGTGGTTGTGATATATTCTGATGTGTTTCTGGCAATTTAAAATAAGTTAATATTTAAACAAACATTTCTGGATTTCCTGGCAGGAGTGTGGACACAAATTTAATAAAGGTATAATGTGGATAATGTTCTGATTATTACAGTTTGCATGGATGTTTTGGTATGTTGTTATTTTTAATAAAGTATATTTAATGAGTTTTTGAGTATTTCTTTTTCCTTCAGAGGATTGTGTTCTAATCTTTATATATTATAAATTTTCATAAATTATATATACAAAATTTATTACCTTATAATTTTTTGCTAAATACTTTGTAGTTGATACAGTTTAATAGTATATAAAAGAACTATTTAAATAAGATGTTTGAAAATATATAGCTGTTTTTGCACACATCAATTTAATTTGTGATTAACTGTACTGAAAAAAAAAATTAAGAGAAATGGGGTGATTTATCAACTACAACATGAAAAGCATCATCCTATTTCCAAGTCTTCTATTAATTTCACTTATTAAACAACTATAATTATTCAATAATCTTGATAGTTCTAGGAACTCTCAGATATCGTCAAAACATGAAAACAAAAATTTACTTCCTATAGTTCTTACGTCCCTTTAACTGGAATATAAGAAACAGGGGAGTTAATATTCTCACTGAGAAAGTTTATAATATACCTTTAAGTAAAATCTCCTCGGATCTGCGGTAAAATACCTTTATTCTTATTAAATAATTTCAATAATCTATGTTTTTATTTATGACAACCACCTAATAACCTAACTTTAACGTCAACTTGACAATCCTGAGAAATATTATTGTTAACCAAAGAGTAAATCAATTTCTGAATTCGCTAACGCCAACTTATTTTTCATTAATAAAAATTACCAATTTTCGTAACTAGGTCAGCCATATTGAGGAACTTTTAAAAGAATTGTACTATACCTAACAGAGACACTTTAAATGTAAAAAGAACAGGTTTTAGTTTCAACCAGTGGCGTAGATGTGATACGCATCGGGAAATTTTTTCAAAAAAAATAGTACGCCACTGATAAAAATAAAAATTTCGTTTTTTTTATTTACTCGGTTTATTTCCAAGAAAAAATGTCTCTTGCAACTTTCTCCTATCTAACACCATTTTGTCACAATTTAAAAATAAATAATTTTTTTTAATGAGAATCTTAAATACAGCGAATTATTATAATTATAACTAGAAGGCAGAAACATGTGCATCGTTAGTTCCCTTCATCTTGGGTACCTTTAGAACTTTTTACTATTAGCTCCAAATAAATTTTTAAAAAATTATAAATTTAAACTAGAATTTTTTTTTATTGTTAATAATAAAATTCGTAGTTTTATGATAGTTACACAGGTAATTATAATAATTCGCATATATAAGGTTCTCATTAAAAAAATATGTATTTTTAAATTGTGACAAAATAGTGTTAGATTGAACAAAGTTGCAAGAAACATTTTTTCTTGGAAATAAACCGAGTAAATAAAAACACTCCGAAATTTTTATTTTTATCAGTGGCGTACTATTTTTTTTTGAAAAAGTTACCCGATGCGTATTACGTCTACGCCACTGGTTGAAACTAAAACCTCTTCTTTTTACATTTAAAGTGTCTCTGTTAGGTAGATTCCTATAATGAAATTTTATAACGATACCAAAATTAAAACATATCAAAATTAATATTTCGACGTCCTCCATCATTCCTCGAAAGCATGAACGACTTACAAGAATCACCCTGTATATAATAAAACATTTAGAAATAAGCTTTCTTAAATATGTACCTTAAATTAAGTTATTTTTTGCCCTAAAGTATACTTTGCTATGGTAATCGCGAAACAATATCCGATGCACGTGATCAACTTTGAGTGACATGCGATGGCGACAGCGCTGCCAGATTGTAATGGATTTATGAGATGAATCTTAATTTAAAAGTGACAAACAATATATTTCTTATATAATTTTTTAAAGATTTTTGCGTTTTATTTTTAAATTAGGAAATTAATTGATTTATTTGTTTTATAGCTTACTTTACTTATTACATATTGGCAAAAACTGGTCCATTATTAATATTATTCTAAGCGTTATTATGGATTATTTATTTATTTATTGATGTACATCTTACAACGCCATAAGTGGTGATAACAAGTAAGAGGGTGCTATTAATGCACAAACTATCAATCACAGAATTTAATAAAAACTAACGTAGAAATAACTTTGAAAGTGGTGTAATGTGGCTTATCAATCAAACTTACTTCTCTGACTGCAGTCAAGGGTAATAAAGGACTTTTACTGTCACGTTCTCGTTCAAAATAATTTATCAGGGAAGCTACAAGCTCTTTGCTTCGACTGTTTAAATTCTTCGGCATATTTTCAACACACTATTTCAAGAAATGCAATTCAAAAACTCGAATATTTAGTTTTTAAAAGAACTGTTTGTGCTTAAAAGTACAATTTTTTAAAAAAGTCTATGAAAATAGATAAAAACACGAAAATTGCTCACAAAGATTCAACAATAACACGATATTATACAAAATAATGACTGACAATAGAATAATTGTCAAATAATAAACGACAATCTTGCTGAAAACGGCGCAATGCGACCAACATAGCGATAATAAAATTCGGTTTAAATTAATTTTTGCAGCTTTAATCTAAATAAACTATCTGTTACAATCATCTGCTCTATAAAGCCAAAGGAAAAGCTGCTCGGTATCTTAAATTATACAACAAATTTAAATATTTTTGCCAAAATTTCATTTTGTCAGGTTTATAGACTTTAGTGTCAATGTCGATATGATTTATGACGTGCATCGGAAAATGTTTTGCGATTACAATAGTATATTTTTTCTATATATTATAAGCGCCCTAATTTAATACCTTCTCGAGTTTAAATATTGACATTAAGTCTTTGACGTAAAACAAAGAAGCTTAGTAAACTGTGATTTTTTTAATCGAATGACGCTGTGCTGCAATTTATCTTTTAATGCTTTGGTTTATCTTCAAAAAAGGAAAAAAACTACCTAAAGTGAAATTCATTTTTAACTAATTTATAACATTATACACAATAAATTTTAAAAACAGTAAAAAATTACATACACTCTTTTTAGGGAGAAATCTATTTCCTGCTATGGGATATTTATTAGTAATATGGGAGACACTAGCTGGTACTCAGCGCCTACTTTTAGGAAATATGAAAGTTGTCTTTGAGAACTGTCGATTTATAAGGGCCTGCTCGTTATCGACCAATTTAGAGTCTTCACTGACGCTTAACATTTGCCTTCATATGGTTTCTGGAAACTTTGAAATTAGTGAGAGTAAGTAATTAAATTAAATATATATTTTTTAATTAGAAAGTAACAATACTACCCAAGTAACAAAATTCCGACTTCCGACTAGTTTTGACTACGCGCAACGTTGAAATTAATTGGTACTTTTTGCTACCCTATGCATACCCAAACCTCAAATTACGTAGGCAAAACGTTGCTACGACGTTGCACTTAAACAGTTGTATATTTTGACCCTTAACAACGTTGGTAAACGTTGTAGGGCACAACGTTGTTAGAAGTTGGGTTTTATGCCATTGTCATTACGTCGCCAGAAGGCATGTTTATTTTACTACAGAATAACAATTTTACAATATCGTGCAACGTACTTTTAAATTGCGAGTGTAAGTACATACTAACTACGTTTCATTAAACGACCCAAAGCAACTTCAAAATTATAACCAATTACTACATTGGATTACGGCGATGGCGGCGAGCGCGACGATATCGATTTTTGTTGTGGAAGCGGAACTATCTACACCTAACCTCAAAAAATTATGTACTGTACTGTCACAGAGCAATTGGTTAGGTATTTTTTCTATGGTACATACTGTATAGGAAAAATGTATAGGAAAAAAAAACTGTATAGGAAAAACCTATATAAATACTCTACAACTTTTTATAGAACAAGGAAAAAAGTATTTAGAAGAAACTCAGCGACCAAGTCAGTGTCCGAAAAATGTGGAGATAACAAGTTTAGGTTCGTTATCCACATCCTCGTAATCATGTATCGAAGGAACGTTCACTTCAATTTTGAAAAGTAATAGTGCTACTAGTGGTAGCTTATCATCCATGAAATCTTTATACAGGGTGTCCCAGAAATGAGTGCAGATATTTTAAGGGGTGGTAGATCTGGTCAGAATAAACATATTTTCTCTTTACCATTTTTAAAATAAATTGAAAATAACCGAGTTATTTAACTTTGAAAATTTAAAAAAATAATCGCAACATTTTGAGAACCGCCGGCAGATATCGCCAACTACATCCAGTTACCCGGATCAAGCTCGGATTTCAGTTAATTCGACGCACTGTGTTGCCATAGGGACAAGAAAGTATATGTTAAAAGTAAGTCATAAAATCACAACACCTGAGGAGTTTGCAGAGATGCATTACATTTTTAAGATTGTGATATTATTACATAAAATAAATTAAAAGTTAAATGTTTAATAATGTGTAAAAAAATGTTTTAAAAACGTTAAATTAAAAAACTTATCCAACATTAAAAAAGACACCTTATGACAGATCGATGTAACTGTGACAGTTCTCTTTTCGATAGGAACTTAATTAAAAATACACTTCATGTCGCTGCTTTACTTGTACATGCTATCGTAATAACTACTAAAATAACAGTCCCCATTTTTTAACACATTATTTTCATATACCGCACCTCATCACTATATTGAACCACTGATTTACAAAACACCTTGAGCAACTCCATTACTTTGAATACGATTTCTGAATGAATAAATGTTGAGAATTAATGTAAAATACCAGAAACTTTCGAAATACTTTCAATCTAAGAAAATACATGTTTCATTCAACAATTTTAAATACGTATTTTGTTTTTTCGCTATTCTTTCTATGTATTTCAACAATTCCATCAACAGCCCAACCGTCGCGTCGGCCGTCGGCCAAGAGAACAGCGCATCACTGGTAACTGCTCCTTTGTCGCGCCGCCGCGCCGTGTCGAGCTTGCGTCATGCGATTTTGCCGTATTTGTCTCAAATTCAAATTCAAGACACTCCGAAGCAATCAAACTTATTAAATTTTAAAAAATAGAAACGAAACATAAAGAAACAAACAAAACACAAATGAATTCGATATTGATAAGGTCACTTTCAAAAGAAATTTCTAAAATGTTTATCGTTGATGGATTCAGAATTCAATACATCGAAAACAGCCCGACGAATAATCAAGTCATTTTGTTTTATTTATTTCCTTAACGGTTTCTCTGTTATATTTTTAAAATTCATACGAATTTGATTGCTTTGAATGTCTTGAATCGAAATATATGTTTTAACAGCAACGTTGTTTAACATCGTCGTCTGACGCAAGCCCGCCACGACTGCGCGGCGACCGGCGACTCAAAGGACCAGTTTACACGCGGCATTTCTTGGCTGAAGCGGTTAGGCTATCGATATGGAATTGTCTGAAATACATCGAAAAATAGCGAAAAAAAATACGTTGTCAATGTTGAGTGAAACATGTATTTTCTTAGATTGAAAGTAGTTCGTAAAGTGGCGATAAGAGACAATAATTCTAAACATTTATTCATTCAGAAAGGTATTCAAAGTAATATGCGCTTTTCAAAAGGTGTTTTGTAAAACAGTGGTTCAAATAAAACAGAGAAACATGAAAGAAAACAAAACAAACAAAAATGAATCGATTATTCGTTTGGCTGTTTTCTAAATTTCTTGAATTGAATTCTAAATTACGATAAACATTTTAGGAATTTCTGTTTTGTGACCTGATTGTGAATAATATGAATCATTTTATTAAATTTATTCCAAAATAAAGTTATTTTGCAGCATAACAAAGATTTTCGTAAACGTCATAAACGTAATGTTTTAGTTAATTTTCGGTGGTTTTTGTTAAGTTTTCATTGAAAGGGTAGCATTAGAGGAAATGTTTCGAAACATTTTTTGCAATCTGTGTCCAAGAAGTTCCCGTTTTCAGCGGCCACTGTTTCTAAATGTAAAGAAACAAAATACCAAACTAAAATCGTCTATGTCTGAATGTTAATTTCAAAATGAAAACAACCATAAACAATGTCGACCTCCGCCATAATATTTTTGTCTTAATATCTTTGTTTTTAATTTTTCTCGTACAAAAAATGTCTGGCAAAAGCAATGATCACACTTAACACATTTTTTATCATAGGTGATTCAACTGTTGTAACAGGAAGAATAAAAATTGCTACAGGAAACGAAGCTGATGTTACACCACTTCCAGCACCACCCGGTGTGCCAAATAAAATCGCACCCTATATGTCAAACAAAGACGTATACAAAGAACTAAGACTACGTGGCTACAATTATAAGTACTTATAGTATTATTGAGTAAAATTATGTCTTTATAAATTGTAATTATTTTTCACAGGGGAAAATTTAGGGGTATTCAATCCTGTGATGTTAGTGGTCAAGTAGCTTCAATCGTTTGGGATAGCAACTGGGTTACGTTTATGGACAATATGTTGCAAGTAAAAATTCTACAAGAAGATACACGATTACTTTATGTTCCAACCACCATCTCTAGATTATCTATCGATGGAAAGAAACATATGGAAACTATAAGGAATCTCGGAGAAAATCCCAACGTACCAGTTTATGCCTGCAAACATACGGGTATCATTCAGTAAGTGTCAAGAAAAGCAAATGTTCTGCATTATTCAAATTAAACTTGAACTAATAATAGGGTAATACTTTAAATGAGTGGTTAGTCTTTAGAGTAACACCTACATTTACAAAGTGATGTAGTTCTATTAAAGATAAGGAATAAATAATTAGGCCTTAGAAATTTGCCGGGAGTGTATTTTCATGGAAAATTTATTTAAAATATTAATACTCTTCCTTTATACTGAAAGAGAAATCTAAACAATAAAAACGTTATTTTCTTTGCAAATTTTACTCAAAAAAGAAAGTTACCATCTGTCAATAATACGAGGGAAAACAAAATATTGATATTTTAGTGAAAGTTTCAAAGCAAGGAATTTAAAATTTATCATTGCATGTATTTTATCATCTAGTTATCAATACTGTCGATAATTTGAGTTTTAGCAATACCTTGGCCAACTTAACAAATTGAAATTATTTTAAAATGTCATGTTGGATTAATATTTTTTTTTTCAAATTTAGGTGTGAAATTTTCTTACCGAATACCACGCAAGCTTAAATTATTCCTGGAAATTTTCTTTCGGGCACGAATATTTTAGGAAAATTATATATAATTTTCAAAATATTCGTGCCCTCAAAAAAATTTCCGAAAATAATTTAAGCTCTTGTGATATTATAAGTGAAAATTTATTTAAAATATTAATACTCTTCCTTTATACTGAAAGAGAAATCTAAACAATAAATACGTTATTTTTCTTTGAAAATTTTACTCAAAAAAGAAAGTTACCATCTGTCAATAATACGAGGGAAAACAAAATATTGATATTTTAGTGAAAGTTTCAAAGCAAGGAATTTAAAAATTTATCATTGCATGTATTTTATCATCTAGTTGTATCTTCTGTCGATAATTTGTTTTTTGATTCATCTCAATAGATTTATTTTTTTTGAAGATATTTGCTTTTGAAGAAGACACAATATTTTTTCGTATTTTTTACATTAAAACCATGCTTTTGCTTTTGATCCTAGTCAACAGACCTATAAAATAGTGGTTATGATTTATATAATGTCACTGTCTTTGAAACATCATATTATTGTTTTCTGTTGAGCAGTTACTCTAACAGATATGGTTTTAAGTAAAAAACTTGTAAACATCTCTACGATGATCAATTAAGGCAACAATAGCCGATACAACAATACTTCAAAAGCCATCTCTAACAGAGTAAACGTCAATAAACAATAATAATATGACATTTCAATTACAGTGACATTACAAAAACAATACACACTATTTCATAATTGTGATGTTGAGGACTCAAATCAATGCTAAAATTGCGTTAAAATCGTTACTGTCTTATTCAAAAGCAAATATCTCCAATAAAAATAAAGTTATTGAGATGAATCTAAAAACAAATAATCGAGAAAAGGCGTACCTCGATAATAAAATGACTTTAAATTCTTTACTTCATAGTGAGTTTCCTACGATGTTCTCTATGGGTATCTCGGAAACTACTGGAGATAGAGAGTTGGTTAAATGGGGAAAGAATTGTAGTTTTGAGGGGTCATAAATATATGCGCCTTTCAGATTTTTGATAAAGTTCATGGCTTACGAGATATTTCGAAAAAAAACAGATATTAGCTATTTTGAAAATTGTCCCTAATTTCATTATAATCTATTTTAGACAAAAAGTTTTCAGATAAAAGGTGTGGATCATATCCCTAATGAGTTTGTGTACTCCGATTTTTTCTAAAGCCTGTCATTTTTGACATGTGACACAAACATATGTTTTTTAAATGGAAACCATAGTTGGCCATGACTTCATAAAAAGCGCCATATTTTAAGCTTTTTAGCGATATAAGCTATAATATGTTTTTTTCGCAAAATTACTGAGTTATAGCCAATTCTTATCTTTCTTGACTAATTTCACTTAGTTAGCCATGAATAAAGTTCAATCGTCGTTGCTCTCAGTAATGTGAAACTGTCACATCCAAACTTTGTAAATTAAAATAAACAAAAATTGTAAATATAAATTATTCACATAAAGAAAAGCGTGTAGGATATTGGTTCAACTTTTCTTGGCCATACAGTTTCGAGGATACGTTGATCGGTGAACGTTACCTACGTTTTTAAAAGAACGGTTTTCAAGGCATGTTTTGAAACAAACTTTGATTTAACTCGCGTATTAATAGAGAGGTTTCAACATGACTTTCATTATAACACATCACCCCCCCCTCCCCCACAATGAAAGAAATGTTACTAATTATTTATATCATGACTAGCGTATACCAGCGACTTCGTTCGCGTTTAATTAATCATTTGTAGTGGTGATGATAAAGCAAAGCAAGAATTTCCATTAACATACAAACTGGATAAAATTTTCTCACATTTATGTTAGCATGAGAAAAAACAATATGGCGATATTATTATATAACTTAGTAATATTTGAGGGGTAGTTTCATCTCGTTGGAATTTGACTTTCGAAAAATCCGTTTGCCAAAAATAAGCTTTTTACGTCAAGCAGTTTAAGCAGAATCGTGGTTAATCAATTATCCAACTTTTTAGAACACCCTGTATGATTTTTTAAAAAATGTCAAAATATGTAAAAAAACAAATAAATTATGTTTGTTCAAGCGTTTTCCCGAAAGACTAACCGTTTTTTAAATAACAAATATTGTAATATTTGAGGGGCGTTTTCACCCTCTTGGAATTTGAGATTCGAGAAACCCCTCCTTATCGAACCTCTACACCCCACAGTCAATCCGTTTGCCAGAAATCAGCTTTAAACGTCAAGCAGCTTAAGCAGAATCGTGATTACTCAGTAGTCATATTTTATGAAACAACCTGTATAAATTTATAAAAAATCTTAAAATATGTAAAACAACAAAATAAAATATACGTGTTTCAGCGTTTTTTCGGAAACTTGGCCGTTCCTTAAATAAAAAATATTCTAATATTTGAGGGGTGGTTTCACCCTGTTGGAACTGGAATTTTGAAAAATCCCTTCTTATCGAACCTCTACACCCTAGAATCAAGCTGTATGCCAAAATTGAGCTTCTTACGTTGAGTGGTTTGAGCAGGATCGTGATTAATCAGTTTGTCAGTCACTTAAGGATTTTATATATTAGTATAGATAATGTAGACTCAGGGATATAGAAGGAGGTGGACCAATTGCATGGGTCTCCTCGATCACCTGACCTATCCATTTTAGATTTTTTATGCGGTATGGTTAACAACAAGGTTTACAAAAGAACTTATGAAATAAGAGAGGTACTCGAAGAGGCGGTACAGGATAAGTTTAATTAAGTCGACCTGTCATGTTCTGAGAATATCTAGAAATTCGGTTTTAAAAAAATGCATTTAAGTACACAAAACAATGGCGGACTTTTCGAACATTTTTCTAAAATAACTTAAAGTGTATGTAGTGATATTATTTTTTTAAGCTTTAGTTTGTGTAATGTAAATTGTAAAGAGCCGTTTAATAATATATTTTGTTTTGTTTTAAGTTATAAATCATAAAAAAATAAGAACACCGTGCCAACTAAGTGAAATTAGTCAAGAAAGATAAGAATTGACTATAACTCAGTAATTTTTTGAAAAAAAAAACATATTCAAAAGCTTAAATATGGCGCCTTTTTTGAAGTCATGGCCAACATGGTTAAAAAAAACATATGTTTTCATGCCAAAAATGACGGGCTTTAGAAAAAATCGGAGAACACAAACTCATAAGGGATGTGATTATCTACAACTTTTATCTCAATTTTTTTTTGTCTAAAATAGATTATAATGGAATTAGGGACAATTTTTAAAAAAGCCAGAATTTGTTTTTTTTTCGAAATATCTAGTAAGCCATGAACCTTTTCAAAAATCTAAAAGGCGCATATTTATGACCCTATAAAACTGCAATTCTTTCCCCGTTTAACCGACTCTCTATCTCCAGTAGTTTCCGAGATACCCATAGAGAACATCGTAGAAAACTCATCCTGTATAAACGGTGATATTAGCGATTAATGCTCAATACCACTAAAGAATATAAACAAATTATTACTTTGTTTACAAGTTATTCATAAGTTAATATTAAATAAAACCTTTTAGATTTATTTTATTACATATCTATTCACTATCTAAATACGTCTTAGGTCTGGAGGTATTGAAATTCGTGGTTTAATAGCAAGCTCAATACCCAGAAGAAAAAACATGGGTATCCCTGTACTCGAGAAATATATTCCCGTGCCAAACGCCACAAGTCTTAAACTGGAGCAAGCCGTAAGGGTTAATATGCAAATACTGCTAGAAAATGCCTTCACTGTTCAAGTTAAGGCTGTTGAATTAATAGATGAAGCTACTCCTGAAGAAAATAAAACGATTGGTGAGTTATAAAAAATGATTTTTGTCATGTTTACGTTTCTTATAATATCATTAGCTGCATTAAATATTATAAAATAGTTTTTTGGAAGTACACTGAAGAATTTAGTAATACTCTGATTATTACTTAAAAACATGTTTTAAAGACAAAAATTATGATGGGAACTATGCCCCAAATATTAATTTACTTATTTTTTCCAATTTTCATTAATTTTGTGTTATATTGTTTACACAGTCAATTATTTAATTGAATTGTAATTGAATTTGCTTGTATTTACAAGCGTGAATTTAAAAGAAACAAGAACTATTTAGCAATATTTATGACTTTTTTCAATCCTTTGTCTAGAGAAACCATTTTTTTTTAATATTAGCAATGTACCGGGCGCGTCTCAAAAGTGGTTCTCCCTTATAGTGGAATGTAGAATGAGTAAGAGGGGGGGGGGGGTATATTATATATCACTACGACCTTAAAGATCTATTGTGTGCCCCCCTTCCTTGAGTCATCACACAATCTATAACCCATTATGCCCCTGTGGTAGAGGGGACAGGGCATTTCCCATCCTCCTCTGACAACAGTTCTTCCTCCGAGGGTACAGAACCTTTCACGGTTGGAGTTTGGCTCTCCATACCACTCTTCACAGTCGAGGAGCTTGCATCCGGCTGAGGAACCCGTGAGGTGGAGACTGGATGATCTGTCTCCATTTTCTCCACCTTTTTAACTTGGTCTCTCCTTAGACCTGACACCGGTGTTGTCCCGTATCTATAATAGAGGATATGTCCCTCTTTCCTTTTTAGGGATGTTTTCTCGCTTCATTGCAACCAGTTCCAGTTCTTGTCAATTTTTAAGCTTAGGTGCGATTTCCACCAACCAATTCGCCGATTCTTGAGATACACAATCTATGAGGATCATGCCCACCCGAAAGTGTATCCCCGCAAAACGCAGCTAACCCACATTTTGTAGATCGTTGTGTTGCGATCCGATCGCCACTACTTCGTCCAGTACAGCCCCTTCTAGAGACGTTTGCTGGTCGGTGGTCAGAGCAACCTCTGGGAAATCCATTAGCAGCACCGCCATTTTCACTTGTCCAGCAATAGCGGCAAAGCTGGTGATACGTCCCTGCTTGCCTCCCCGTGTTGGACGGCTTTCTATCCTGGCTTTTTTCTCTCCCTGCCGGAGCAGAGGTGAGAGATTTTCACTCCCTTTCTTGCCCTTTGATAGAGACGAGTCAGGTTATTTCTTGGTTTCTTTACTCTTCCCTTTTCGAAGGAGTGTTTTCGCTTTTGCTTCCTCTGGAGCAAGTCCTTCGTGGAGCAGTCGGAGGTATCTCCGTGCTTCTGCTCCGCTAAGACCTACTCTCAGAGGATCGTCTACCCGTCCTGGGTCAACCAGGCGGGGTACCTCCAGACCCAATAAGCGTATTTGGTTTAGAGGTAGGATCCTGACGGTGAGAGAGGTGTTACCACTAGGGATAGTCGGTCCACTTTAGAGCCCCGCTTGCAGAAGTAAGGTGTAAATACAATGGGGTGCCCCCTGATGCCCCAAGTTTGAGGCCAGTTCTGTATTTAGCCACGCATCCCTTTGACGTGGTCCCGCCGTCGTAGGATTTAGGTTTTTGGTGAGGTTGTCTCCTCTTGGTGCAGGCGGTTAAGCCAAGACCCCCCCCCCACTCCCTCTATCCGCGAGACATGACCACAGTCAGTAGAGGGTGCCTGATATGACGGACAGGGGTAGCCCCATCCGGCATCGTTATATATCTTGGTGCAATTCCCTGGCCACGACACTACAGCCAGGGACAAGACAATGAGATGCTTCTTAGACCGAGCCAAGAGGTTGCTAGAGGAGATTCCTTCAGCACCTGACAAGGAGCTTTCCCACCAACGACAAGATCTTGCATCTCCTAAGGGAAGAAAACTTTGTGGTAAACCCTACCGCATAAAAAAATCTAAAATAGGTAGCTCAGGTGATCTAGGAGGCCCATGCAATTGGTCAACCTCTTCCTATCCCTTAGTTTGCATAATTATGATATAAATAATTTTTAATATTTTTTCATTATAGGGGCGGTGGGGCATAATGAAAGTGATGTTGAAACCACTCTATTGATGCGCGAATCTCTAAATTTAACTTTTCTAACATGTCTTGAAAACCGTTCTATAAAAAACGTTCTGTAAGTAACGTTCCGGTCAACGTATTCTCAAAAATGTATGGCCAAGGAAACTTGAAGCAATAATCCTACACGCTTTTCTTCATTTGAGAAATTTATATTTACAATTTTTGTTTATTTTACAAAGTTTGGATGTGACAGTTTCACATTTCTGAGAGCAACGACGATTGAATTTGTTTCGATGGCTAACTAAGTGAAATTGTTTAAAAATGATAAGAATTGGCTATAACTCAGTAATTTTTAGAAAGAATTGTATTATGGCCTATATCTCTGAAAAGCTTAAAAATGGCGCTTTTTATGAAGTCATAACCAACTATGGTTTCCATTTAAAAAAATATAGGTTTATGTCATATATCAGAAACGACAGGCTTTAGAAATAAAAACGGAGAACGCAATCTCATTAAGGATGTGATTATCTACAACTTTTTTCCGAAAACTTTTTGTCTAAAATAGATTGTAGTGGAATTAGGGATGATTTTTAAAATACGCAAAATTTATTTTTTCCGAAATATCTAGTAAGCCATGAACTTTTTGAAAAATCTGAAAGGCGCATATTTATGACAACACAAAACTACAATTCTTTCCCCATTTAACCGACTCTCTATCTCCAGTAGTTTCCGAGATACCCATAAAGGACATCGTAGAAAACTCACCCTGTATACATAATACAGACGCATTTTTTCAATTTCGTTAAAAATATTAGATATCGCTAAATATTTTTAAATATTTTTAGGTGACATCGTATTTGACGTCCTTGCAGATCAACCAGTAATTCAACCAAACATAACCGTTCTTAGCAAGACTGAGTTAGAAGTGAACAACGTGACAGTAGAAGACAAGAAACTTTTAACAGAAGTTGACTGTCATTTAGTTATAGCTTCGTGCCTTTTCGAAAGACCTAATGTAAGTTCCGAATACTGTAGTCTAAAAAAGTTTTCTTAATACTTGAATTGAATAATTATATGGGGATTGAACTCATAGACATCAGTATCTAAAAGTATTTCTTTTTAAATATTTAGAACATACCAACTATGGCCCGTTTCACAAAGGACCGATGATCAGTGCTGAGGATCGGTCGCCACCGATCATCGGTCGAAATTGTTGTTTTCGCATTAAGGTGCGTTTAGACTTGAGCACGCACGAACTGAGCGTGCGCGCATGGCATTCGTTCGCGCTATAAGGTCCGTTTTAATTAAAAACTTGTTTTTCGATGAATGAAGTGATCCACTTGTGCGCGCACAGCAGAGTTGTGTTGGTAAAAATAATGGACGACCAAGAAATAGTCGCGACTGCATTCATTATTATGCACAGCTTAACATTGAAAATGAGCTAATAAAAAGAAGAAAAATCGAAAACATCGTCGCTGATGGCAAACTCAAATTTTTAGAAGTCGATATAATTTATTAAACAACTTTGTGTCTGAGGAGGGCTATGTTCAATATTAATTTTATTTACGAGGTCTTGCCATGTCTAATTTTTTTTTTGGATTTTGAATAATAAGAAGAATGTTTAACATCCTATAATATCCGCAACTTTTCATATTCTTGAATTAATAATAATGAAGATTCATTAATCCACTCCATAGTTTTAATAATGAAAACGGAAAAAAAATCACAGAAGCACGCACGCATGCAGACCAAACAAATTGCCAGTGCAAACTGAGCGTTCGTGCACACATAAAATCCCTTTGAGCACGGACCAAAAACCGACACCAGACGGCTCACGTTCGCGGCTGCTCGCGCACAGACAGATTCAGAGTGAGCGTGCGCGCACAGTCGTTTACACTTGAGCATCCGCGAAGGATCAGTGCGTGCGTACCCTGAAGTCTAAACGCACCCTTACGCGTATCAGCAGTCGTCAACATGTATTTGAGAAGTACAGAGTATCGCGCTGTTGTCGCTTTGTGTGTGAAAAGGTTAATGGAAAGGCAAAAAAGAAACGAAACTCCAGGAGGATGGGGACCCATCCTTTATGTTTACAAAAACGAATAAAAGGGGCTTTCGTTACCCTTAATTCAAATTTACTATGGTTTTTGTTCTATTGCTGATATTAGTAGTTCAGTATCAAAACGATATTTTCTTTACTATTTGCCATCTTGCGTAGCATTTAAACGAAAAGAAGATGAGAAAAATAGTTTAAAACGTGCTCAGCAGATACTATCAACACTGTATCGAAACTGTAACTGATGATACGCTTGCATATGTAAATCTCTGTTTATCAAATGGCTCGAACACTAACCGATGATCAGCACAAGCCACGGACTAGACCGACGCCCGCGCGTTTTCTAACGGTTGACCGACGATACGCGTACATGTAAACGATATTCATAGAACAATGACTAGGACCGACCGTCCGTCCTGATCATCGGTCCTTTGTGAAACGGGCCTAATCACTACACTCTATTATTTTTAGATGTGTATATAATATACTTATTCGTACTTTCTTTATTGTTAAATTACGTATTTAGATACCCTCTTTGTTATTGGGCCCATGTCTATTGTTGGCTATGCCGGCCCAAGTTATCCTCGCTAATTTCGTAATATCATGGTCCCATCTCAAATTTGGTCTTACTCTAGGGCTCTTGTCTCCTCGTGGGTACCATGCTGTAATTTTTGTGGTCCATCTATTAGTGCCACTTGCCACTTGAGGGATTTGATTCTGTGATGACATCTATTACCTGGGTCTTTTGTCGTATCCACTCCACTCCTTTTACGGTCATATGCATCTAATTGCCTGTAATTTGAAACTTGTTTAATTAATTTTAAATTATTAAGATCTATACAATGTTCTTTATCAACAATATGTTTGGCAACGCAAGATTTATCCGGTCTACCATATCTTATCTGAACTAAATGTACTTTAAATCTAGTTAATATTGATCTTCTAGTTTGCCCAATATATTTCTGATTACAGTCTTTACAAGAAACTTCATAAATACCCGACCTTTCCAGTGGAGGTGTTTTATCCTTTGGATTACCTAATAATTGTTGTAATTTATTATTAGCACTATACACAAGTTTATAATTGACATTCTTAAAAATTCCTTTTAGACCACGGGATAACTCTCTATCAAACGGTATCGAAAAATATTTAGACGTATCTTTCTCCACTTGAAAAGTCGAATTTTCAGCAATCATTAACCTATACCTACGTTTTCTAATTAATTTATCAACTAGTGAAGGAGAATATCCATTACACTCAGCTACATTCCTAATGTAAGCTCTTTCTATTTCATATCTTTCGTTGGAAAGTGGGAAACTAAGTAATCTATGAACTAAGAAATTTAAACTAGCCATTTTATGTTCAACACTATGATGTGATTCATTAGGAATATATCTGCGTGTGGTCGTATTTTTCCTATAGATATCAAATTCCAGGCAATTATTAGTATTTCTAATAACTAATACATGTAGAAATGGTAATCTGTCGTTGTTCTCAATTTCATGTGTAAATTTAATGGAAGGAAAACGATTATTTAACTTAGAAATAAAATTATCTCTGGTGTCTGAATGTGTGTCAAAACAGCAAAATATCATCCACATACCTAAACCATACTCTTGGAAAATACTCAAACTGATTCCTAGCCTCCACTTCAAACCTGCTCATGAATAAATTAGCCAAAAATGGAGACAATGGATTACCCATTGCTGTACCTTCCCGCTGTTCAAAAAAGTTGTAATTAAATTGAAAACAATTTTGTTTCATACATAACGATGTAAGCTCAATATATTCAATCACAGTTTTGTTGTCGAGACTATTTGCGTTCAGTAATTTCTTCAAGTAGCCTAAAGTATATGTGGAATTGGAACACTTGGGAACAACGAAGATACATCAAAGGAGGCCAAAATTTCACCTTCATGCAATGTTATATCTTTAATTTTGTTAACAAATTCAATATTATTTTTAACTGAGAAAGAAGATTCACGATCAGGTAAATTTTCGAACTCCCTCGATAACCATTTTGCCAAATTATAAGTCGGAGAACCTACAGCCGAAACAATTGGGCGCATAGACTTGTCCGGTTTATGAATTTTTGGCAAAGTATACAATTTTGGTAATAAGGGATTGGATACTTGCAATTTCCTCTTTAAAGGAAGATCAATAAGGGTGTTACATTCTTTTAGAGTTTTTTTAACGTCTGCTACCATCTTAGACAAAGGATTCTTTTTCAAATTTATGTAGTGGCCATTATCGATTAAGTTGTTAACCTTATCGTAATAGTCTTTTTTTATCTAATATAACAACCTTATTTCCCTTATCAGCTTTTAGGTAGAAACAATCTTTGTTACGCAAACTCTTGACAATATTGTGCTCCTTGTTAGATTTTAATGATTTACTTGAAACGATATTTTTTGATAACTGATTTCTACAAGCCTCTCTTGCAAATACTTGAGAAGCCTCGGGCAAGTGCTGAATAGCAGTTTCAACACCGATGACGATTTCCTTCAAAGCGCTACCAGAGTTGGGCAATGCAAACTTTAAACCTTTGTTTAATAAACTGAGCTCTTGTTTATCAAAAGCCTGCGAAGAAAGATTCTCTACTATGTTTATGTCTCTTTGGAAAACATGTTTGTTTTTAGAGTTTTTTAATTTTTTAAACTTATTATTCAAAATGGTTGGCTAGATTTTGCCACGCCCACTCGGTGTCCACTGAGCGAGTATATAAACGCTCAACTTGTAGATTGTACTTTAGTTTATAATCATCTGCTGATGATGCTAACATGGTTAGCGAAACGCGCGTCCAGTGTAAAAGTAAAAGTGTTTTGGTGTATTGTGGTGATTTAGTGTTTTTATTTTGCTTTAGATAAAGTGGCATTAGAGATTTGAATATGATTGAGTTTCTTCCAAAAGTATTCCATGCTAACTTAATTCTTCTGTTAATTTCTAGTAGAGATCCCGAGTTGTGCATTAATTAGCTGTGTATTAGTTTATATTGCTAAATATCTCAGTATTATTAATAAAAATCATTATTATATCAACTAAAGAAATTTTCAACTTAGCTAGTCATTCAGCTTCATTCAGAATCTCGCAATTAGTGGACTAAATTAGTGGTTTCAATTACACTTTATACTTTTTGGTTTACGATCATCCATAATGTCTTTTAAAACACAATTAAAATTAATGGAATATTCTAGCAACAGCTTGTCGTAATCAGATGTATCCATAGAGAAAGCCTAATATTTAGCTTATAAAATAATAAATTTTTGATTTCTAACCACATTGTCTCGCTTGACGGATGATCATAAAAGACCAAAATGACATTCCTCGCAAATTTAAAGTATAATTAGCGGAATAGTTAAAAGTTTGGTAACTTTTTCCACTAATTGAAAATTCCTACCACTAATTTTAACGTTCTGAATGGCTAGATTCAAATTATAGGAACAAACTTCTACACTAATTGAAACCACTGATTTATTACACTAATTACGAAGATCCGAATGAAGCTTTCTTTTCAACAAAGCTTAATAACTTGCTGACAAAGTGAATATCAACATTCAATAAAGGTCAATAACAAATGCTGCATACTGTCTTATATATTTTATATTACCATACGAAATTGGCAAAAACTATTTTCTATATTTATCTATTTTTTAACTCTTCACAGATATTGACGTTAGCATTAGGATCTCTTCATACTTCTGGATTTATACTCTCCAGAGAATCATTAGATTTAGACCATTTTACTTATCAAAATGATAATGTTTCCATTATCACTGTTTACACCACCGATACAGAAAAGCTGATTTTTATGAAAAAAGTGTCTGAATATAAACCACCTACAGTACTAGAAATATCAGCATTAGATACTGAATTTAGTTGGATTCAAAAATTACGAGCTCTTTTGGAGAAAGAAGAAAATATTCTTCTGTATTCTGAGAAAGAACCTCTCAACGGACTTCTTGGACTGTATTCTTGTCTTCGAAGAGAACCAGGTAAATAAAATATACTACCGTACTTCAAATCAAAAATTATAATGCAATAGTTCTTTCTGCTATTGCATTTTTACTATGGTTTGTTGGTTTAATTTTGATGTTGATGCTGTTAAAATATTTGATGTTCTTTAAATATGATATACATCACAGATATTATAACTACGCTAATAGCATTATTTTCTAAACTTTTATTAGATGCATAGATCATTACTCTTCATAATTCATCACTTTTTCAGGAGGCCAAAAAATAAAACTACTTTTTGTACTCGATCCCTCTGCCCCAGATTTTGATGTAAACTCTTCGTTTTACGAATCTCAGTTAAAGAAACAGTTGTTTATAAATATCTACAAAGACGGCCAATGGGGAACTTATAGACATTTGCTGTTCGACAAAAGCAACTCAATTGAAGCCGAGCATTGTTATTTGAATTCGTTGGTAAGAGGTGATTTGAGTTCGTTGAAGTGGATCGAAGGGCAGTTTTCATCAAACGATATAAGATTAGAGGGACCCGACGAAGAAATTATTTCGGTAAATACTAACTTAGACACGTTAAGTACTTTTAGGAGCAAATTAAATTTTCCTTTAACGATATTTCGAAGTTCAGAAAATCAAAAATAAATAGAGTGAATTTCGAGATATATTACAAAATTATCATGATGAAAAGAACAAGTGCATTTGCAAATAAAATTAAAACTACTTTTTTTTTCGGGATTTGAGAAATCGCTTTAAGCTATATACATATATTTACTGATTTACCGTGCTATTAATGTAAAGATTACTATTATACTAATACTTCACATTATGTGGCTATATCCGAGAATAATGTTACCAAGGTCCGTCAGATTGATCAATATTTCAAAAATATTGGAAAATATAAGTATGTTACTGGATTCAGCGTCAAATTTCTATAAGAATCCATTTTTACCCTGTTAATAAGATGTTAGACAACTGAGGTACAAGGTATGCCTGAAATTGCAATATTTTGAAAGCCACCTTGTATCATAGAAACCAATAGATAATAATGATATGACAGTTTTTGTTTATGGCATCTCTGCTTTATATATATACAGCCGTTACTCGCTGACGAGTATTCGACACACATAAAGAGAAGATGGTCACGCAAGGAGTTTTCTTTCATGAGCTTTTCTGTGACTGAAAAGCCCGATACGTGATGTTATCTGACTACCGCACTCTGGACATTCAAAAATCTCATTGCTTTGTTGCCTCTTTACTTTTTGGTTGCCGCTGTTAACTGAGTTTCCAACCCTTCCCCATTGAGTTCTATTGTGAGCTGCTTTTTCCCACTTATTCTGCATGTTAATTCCCTTTAAATTTTCGTGGAAAATGTCCTTGTATCTTTTCAGTTGTCCACCCGGCCTCCTCTTACCGTCTACAAGCTCACCGTAAAGCAGAGATTTTGGTATGCGGATTTCTTGCATTCTGCATACGTGACCAGCCCATCTTAAGCGGGATTTTATGACCATGACTTCAATACTCTCGCAGTTAGCTTTTTCAAGGACCGATACGTTTGAGACATAATGGAACCACTGGACTCTTAAGAGTTGTCTAAAGTGTCTCTGTTGCAACTTGTTTAATGCGTTCATGTGTCGGCGGTGAGGCACCCAGGTTTCGCTCCCATATAACATGGTGGGGATTATAATTGCTCGGTATACTGCAAGTTTTGTTTTTGTACTCACGTCATGATTGTAGAAAACCCTGTCTTTTAATTTCCAGAATGCTTCTGAGGCGCTACTAATCCTGTGCTGAATTTCAGAGTCAATATTGGCCTTTTCCGAAATCAAACTGCCAAGGTAATTGAATTCCGCCACATATTCCAATTCTGCTTTAACAAAAATAGTAGCTAGCTTCATGAATGACAAAAGATTCTTCACCGTTTCCAATAAGCAAGATAATCTTCATTTGTAACCAAAATGTAACACGTTATGGTTTCCTCTATAAATTCTTCACTCTCTATTCTACACTGTTGCAATTTATGTTGTCAAACTGCAATGGTCTATGAATACTCCACATTTAACATCTGACTTTACGAAAAATCAAGAAAAAGTACGGGAAGTATAAACACTACCCCCACCCCTACATAAATTTTAGTATAAATATTCTCCACCGACGACAGATTTTTTTTGTAAAATGGTCTCTGTAGTATTTACTACATATTTTGTCTCATTAAAAAAAACGCCACATTGCATAAATTTTGAGAAAAAAAATTTTGGACAATTAATTTATTTTTCTATAGCAGACCTACAAAATATACAGGGAGTTCCAATATACCATGGACATAGAACAGCTACGTATTTTTTGAATCAAAATAAATTGCACACAATTTACCTTTATACAAAAGTGCTTCGCTGGTCGCCGTTAGAGGGCATCAAAATAAACCCCAAAATTTTGTTAATGTTTTAAGCTTTTTATGAAGCTTATTGTCAAATATGATTTTTGATTCTAACATAAAATTACACATTTCCAACGTTGGTTGAGTTGGAAAATATTTATACTAAAGTTTATGTCGGTGTGTACTCTTTTCCTTGATTTTTATAAATATCAAATGTTAAAGCATTTAGCAAAACAACGACACCCAAAAGATCATTCAAACCCGAATTCTTAAAATATCTTAAAAATGTGTCAATTTTTTTAAAGTGTGATGTCCTCTAACGGACAAGCGAAGCGCTTTGTATAGAGATAAATTGTACCCAATAAAGCGTCAAATCCCGATAAAATCCCGATAAACAATTTTGTTTTAATTTTAGTTTTTAATACACTTGTTCTTTTCACCATGATAGTTTTGTATTAAATCTCGAAATTCACTCTACGAGTATTTGTTTTTATTTTCTAAACTTCAAAATATGTCCACAGAATATTGGGACACTCTGTATAAAGAAAGGTACAAAATTGGTTAACCAAATGCTTTATTTTAAGGTTTACTACGCCTCATTAAACTTTAGAGATGTTATGACGGCTACGGGAAAAATCAATGTGGACACAATTACCAGAGAAAGAAGAGAACAAGAATGTGTTCAAGGGTTCGAGTTTAGTGGTCGTTTAGCAAAGTAAGTTTTCTCCAAAAAAATCCTCTATGGGTATTTCGCCACTGCACTGCAAGAAAATCTACAAAATAAAATAATTATTTTTTGTAAACACTTCTGCGTTAAACCCAAACGGAAACTACTTGTTAGAAGTTATGTTTACAGTTATACAAATTTGCCTAACAAAGTGTAACGTTTTTAGTTCGTTACATGTCTTTGTATATGATATATGATGTCTGGTGTATCATCACCGGATTCCCTATCGTTCAAGCCGTATAATTTATTTGACACGCTTGGCGTAATTTTTACGTTCTCTAGTCGACAACCCTGTTATCGTTTCACTGCTCTGTGGAGGCGCTGTCAACATCGCTCCAAGGTTTCGCGCTTAACTTCACTTTTTGTCTGGCCTCTGGCCGGACACTCACCTTCAAAGCCCTGCTTAGAGAAATTGCAATTATTTAAATATTGCTGTATAATTTGAATCTGCTATTTCGAAGCTACAGGTAAAAATGAGATATTATCTTTTTTGATTCGATATTATTACTGCGTATTTTTAGGGTAGAGTTTTGGATTGGCTCACCTCAACTCGTATTTGGTGTTTGCTCAAAAAATGTTTGATTAAAATTCAATTCGATTGATCAATTTGATTAATTCTAGTCTCCTACTTTTTCTCGACTGCGAAGTCAGTTAGACAGCTTAGCGGCTAGGCAGCTAACTTTTAATCCATAAGGATATTTCGAAATTTTTCATTCTTTCCTTTGGTTATAAGCTTAAAGCTACCCATAGATAAAAGACTTATACTATTAAATAGATAGGCAACTTATAATACATTTCAATTTTATTATACAAGGGCGCCTCTGGTAGATGGAGGAAGAAATACTAATGGAAGAGAGGGGTGCGGGGAAGGGGGGTTGTTTTAGTTAATTTAAAATAAATTTAGACATACATGTAAGAACACTTTGTGTGCTTTTAATTAGGTCGAACATATTATAAACGATAAATCAACTGAATTAAAAGCATACAAAGTGTTCTTATATGTCCGGATATTAATTAAAAAATATATTAAAAAAGACTAGAAATAGTATATATTAAGTTATTTACAGTTATAATTTAATCTTTGGCGGTTTTCAGCAAATAGCAGGCAGTTTTTGCATAATTTTGCTCCCCTTTGAAGTGAATTGGAAACGGCTATATAATTTTGGTGTAGGCAAGATTCCCAGTTTGTTTCCGTTTGAGACCTGAAATAATAAAAACAAATTAAATTAGATGTAATCATCTGCTGATCATGCTAATATAACACAACGCGCGTCCTTAATTCCTTACATGCACCGTAATAAAATTAAATAACTGCTCAGCAGGTGGCATTTATTAGCAGTACTAATTTAAAAAATCTATAACTGTAAGTAGATATGTTTAATTTACTTACCATTGTATCCTTCGGAAACCAAGTGTACAACAATTAAACTCCATTATAAAAAATAATTAAGAGTCTATACAAAACACAAATTGTCCCACCATTTTTAAAAAAAAACATTGTCTAAAACAGAATACTGGCAGAAACTCTGAAGGAATTTAATTTTACAATAATTCGACAAATCAAAACGAAATCAAAACGAAATCAAACCGTAAAATCACAACAAAAGCGTCTCTGAGTGACAGTTAAAAATCAAATTTTATTATTGTCAGATATTGACATTTGCATTGTTAATATTGACAGTTTTAATATTTAGCGCCTCTGCATCTTGGAGGAAAAACTATTTTTAATGAACCGTCATTTCCATTTAAGTTTCTCAGCCATGAAGCTACCTAAAATTCAAAATTTGATGTTTGTGACACATCTAGAAATACCTTAGAATTTTGATGATGTGTGAGTGAGTCAATGTCGAATTTAAAGAAATTTGACTAGTGATAATTCATTAACTATGAGGTACTAGATATTTTGGTAATCTAATCAGCTATAGTATGTCCTCATGTTTAGTGTTAAAGTTAATATTCTTGCTTTAGCCACAACGAAGTTACAGGGTGGTCAAAATTGTGTCGCTAATACCTTCGAGAAAACGATGGTGCGGTTGTGCTCGGACTTGGACAAACTAAATTGTATTGTTTTTCCTATATTCTTATATCCTTTGATTTACAATCTAAACGTTACTTTCTTTGGTTTTAACTTAATTTTTTTTATTATACAGGGGGAGTCTTAAATAAGTGCAAATATTTTAGGGGTAGTATAGTTCGACACCAGAAAGATCTGTGAGATTTTTTGGCAATTTTTTATTTGAAAATTTGGAAATTTTTGAAAACATATTTTCATAATACGGGAACATAAGTAGTAGATTAAATTTACAAGAAAGAAAACCCAGAACAAATCCCTTTTTAAAATTTAACCAAAAATCTTTTTTTTTTATTTTCAAAGTAAAATATCTCACTTATTTGAAAAACGGCAAACAGAAAATGTGTTTCTTTTATCGAGATCTAACAGTCCTAAAAATAGTCGTATATGCACCCATTTAAGACAAACCCTGTATAAAGGTATGCTTCAAAATTAAATAGAAAATATGGAAAATAATGGTACACCTTTACAGATTAAAATATAATAGGATTACAATTTATTTATTTTTGTTGCAGTGGAAAAAGAGTTATGGGCATGATAAGCAATGGCGCTTGCGGTTCATATTGCAAAGGTGATAAGTATCTTATCTGGGAAGTTCCGGAAGAGTGGTCTTTAAGAGAAGCTGCTACCGTCCCTGTCACCTACGCTACGGCCATATTTGCATTAGTTTTGGTAATATTTATCTACAGAAAATAATCATGCGCTAGTGATGATAATACAATTTAGAAACTAACTAAATTCCACACTAGAAACTTTAACATATTTTTTTTCATTGATATTGTTGAACAAATTAATAATAAGCTATTACGAGTTTCGCTCTAATAAATCCAATTTAAATGTATAAACAAATTAAATTAGCTGATATAATTTAAAATTTAATTGTATCATTATTTATTCCTTTTAAGAAAGCAAATATTAAACCCGGGGATTCTATACTGATTCATTCTGGCACTGGTGGCGTTGGTCAAGCTGCCATTCAAATAGCTCTGATAAGTGGCTGTACCGTCTATACTACAGTTGGTACCCAAGAAAAAAGAGACTTCATAAAAAGGAGATTTCCTCAAATAACAGGTAAATAATTTATTAAAAAAAAGAAGTACAAGTTCCTCTAGAAGGTACGAGACCTTGTCGTTAGTAAGCTCCTAGTAAGGTGCTAGAGCGAATTCCAAAAAGAGACTTCATAAAAAGGAGATTTCCTCAAATAACAGGTAAATCATTTATTAAAAAAGGTGCTAGGGCGAATTCCCTCCTATGATTGGGTCTAAGGAGCTAATCGTTATCTTGTCCCTGTCTTGTAAGGTTGTCTTCTCTTGGTCCGGGCGATTAAGCCAAGACCCATTAGTTAGACAAACTACAATAAGACAACAAATTTTAAGAAATTTCCGCCGCCTCCCATCCACTCATGATACCCATCAACCTACCCTTTATCGCCATTATTTTATTTCCCATCCCGCGCCACCGCAAGGCACCATCACGCAATCCATCACAAAGTTGTCAGGTCTACCGATTTCGTCTGTATTACCGATTTAAAGAAAAATATATCGATATGGTTAACTGCGGCTTTAGTCTTTACAATAGAAGCACTTTTAAAAACCTAACATATTTGGACTAAAAATTAAGCGACTACCGCGTTGGAATCTGTATAATCTGAATTTATTATTGTTTATTAATTATTTATTATTTTTGTTTAGTGATCATAGGTCATTGTTCTGTCTAGTTGCAGAGTTACACAGATATTCCTACAAATCCTTATTACTCCTTATTAGGCGCGGTCTTGGGGATATGCCCGAAGAAGATGATATCTTTAGAAAAGATTTTGTTTCATTCATCTACTAAAGTTGAACCCGCATTTTCCCCCAAAAAATGTAAACAAAAAACAAAATCTAAGTTAAGAAACAAACTAAATACGGACAAATATTTTAGTGCTTTTTCTGTTTAAAAACTATATTAATATAAAAAAGAGTTGAGAGTTGCTACAGCTTTTCCATTGAAATGAAATTAATTTTAGATGGTTAATGATAGAGTTAACTAATAAAGTTAATTATAGAATAATGTCTAAGGTATGCGAGAAAAGTATTTAAAAAATGTCTATACCTATGTAGCGGATTCATCTTTCCAAAAAAATCATATATGAGTTTTTCGCCACTGCAAGAAAATCTAGAAAATAAAATAGTTATTTTATGTAAACACTTCTGCGTTAATCCCAAACGGAAACTACTTGTCGAGTAACACAATAGTGTAATTTTTTTTTAATAAAATGGAGTAAGAAAATATTTTATGCACAATATTTTTTCATGTAATAATCCTAACTAGATGTCGTCCATTTTGTTATTCAGGTGTTAAGCTTGATTTTCATGCATCCGTTGTCCGACGATACGTTGATACGATATCGATTTTATTGGTTGAATTTAAAGACTTTGATTGGTTAGAAAATAACGCAGTTTTTAAATTTATTGCATTTTGATGCCTTCGTTTATCGGATATATGTTGGTATTATTTTATATTTTCGTTTCCATAACGATTTTGATATTTTACTTATATTTCTATTAAGGTAAGATTAAATTTGTCAAAAAAGCTTTGAATAAGAAGACTAAGGAAGGAGCATATCAAAAATATTAGGTCCACCGTTATGGGCCTCAAATATGGCCGACTTAAATTCCGGTTTATCAGTACCGTTCTAATTTTATTTGAAAAATGTAAAACTATGATGTAGGGTAGACGTGGGGTAGACAATAGAAGATTATTTTCTTTTATCTATGGGGTAGACTCAATAATATGTTGTTTTATTTGACGTTGTGAATAAATGTTGGTAGTTATTAAAATTGTTACAAAAATATATAATTCTAATAAAAATACATAAGTTATAATAATTATTTATTAACACAAACATCCGATACGCTACTGAAGCAGGTAAATCTGGTAAATCAAATTGATGTATCTAAATTCTTTGACATCTAATCTTTGACAAGTAGTAAATAAAAGCAAAAATACAAGAAAAAATATATAATTAGCTAATTTAAGTGAATCTCATAAATGATCGGTTTACTACGCGTATATATATTATATAGTCACTTACTAGCGAAAAGTTGTTCCATTATTTCACTCGATTTTTGCCGAGATCTAACGCACGCTACACAACCAACTATTTTAGAGTCTTTTTCGATAAATCGCGATAGTGTCACTGTTAATTTAAGTTCTGCCACAATTTCCATCTAGATTTACTACCTTTATACAACTATCAGTAGTAGAATAAATAATAAATAACATAAAATAAGCTCCGTAAAGACTGACAAATCTATAAAATTTCAAATCGAATTCAAATGTGTCAAATGAATCGTCAAACAGAACTGTCAAGGATCCCCACCCTAGAGTTCTTTTTCCGCCCACCATGCATGAATACATGGATAGCATTATGCTCCTTCCTTAGTCTTCTTATTCAAAGCAAAAAAGTGTCAAAACAATATATTTTGTATTTTTGTATCCAATAGCAATGGAGGTAGGTACTAAAGGTAAATGATTTTTATTAACTAAATAGAACTACTTTTTGGAACCATTTAAACTTATCGTGCAGCCATTGTTTCTTAAAGTCAGGAACATTTAAAGAAAGCATGACAAGTAATCGTGAATATTTTGTAAGCTATAAAAATATAAATATTTATTAGATTTGTTTATTTATTATTGATCTATTTTAATATTGGACCTGCAAATCTTCACTTGAGCTTACTAACGAGTTTAACAGTTCATTAATAAAGTACTTTTCAATATTAAACTCCATTGAAAAGAAGAAGCAAACGTAAAAGTAGAGAATAGGTACATTAAAAATGCATAAAAGATAAATTTTATAATAAAGGTATTGAAATTTAGAAAACGTCAATATTTGACATTTCCAGTTATTTTACCAAACCGTTCCGTATCAAACCGATGTTTTTCAGGAACCGCTCGTTACCGTTATTTACCGGTCTAGTTTGACTGATTTTGCAACGAAATACGGCCTAAATGATTGATTATAATCTGTTCATAAAGTTGTTAAGCAATAGGTATCTGGTACCTACCAAGACAAAACCCGATATGTCAAGTATTTATACATAATATTAGATTCGGGTTTTGTAACACAGAAATTAAAGTAATATTTTTAGTAACATCTTGATTGACATTGAATTTTCCTTCCTTGTCAAAAAAATGGATATTGCGTGTTCGTAGTTATCAGTAGAATAGATAAATATTGCAGTTTTCATAACAAATAACATATGTTTACAATTTTAAAAAATAAAATGATAGAATTAACAAATGAGAAAAGTATAGCTAAATTTTTGCAGATGACCACATATTTAATTCAAGAGACACAAGCTTTGAACAGAGTGTGATGCAGGCAACCAGAGGTAGAGGAGTGGACGCTGTTCTAAATTCTCTAGCTGAAGAAAAACTTATGGCTTCAGTTCGATGTGTGGCAAAAAGCGGACACTTTTTGGAAATTGGAAAATTTGACATGGGCAATAATAATTCATTGAAACTTTTGCTGCTCAACAAATCTGCCAGTTTTCACGGTATTTTTATTTTTTCTGATAATGTATTATTTTTGCTGTAACAGTTGTAAAACCTAAATAGGCTTCTTTAGAAATATTTTAAGTATAAATGTTATCAAAAGTATATAGCATAAAATTACAATAGTGAGAACTGTTAGAAACATTAAAGAAATTGAAATTTTAATAATTAGAATCATTTATTTTATTAAAAATCTGAAAAATATATTTCTGTCTAGGTATAATGTTGGATATGTTTATGAAGCAAGACCTCTATTTCCGACAGGAGCTAGTTGCGATGCTGAATAAATATTTGAACGGTGGTCTTATTAAACCTTTAAATTCAACGGTCTTTCACATGAACCAAGCTGAAGAAGCGTTCAGATACATGACCTCAGGAAAACATATAGGCAAAGTCACGATCGAAATACGAGAAGAAGAAAAAGGAACTATTGTTGGTCGCCCATCATCGGTACTGTATTCATGTATACCTAGGTATGTAATTTGTCATTGAGTTTTTGCTGAATTGTAAATTTGCCAATTATTGTTGTATATTATTACTAAGTATTAATTAAATAATGGTTAGTCAAACGTAATAAAACTGACAGTCAAATCATAGTCTGCAAAAGAACGGTTAGGGAAAATATAGAACATACCATTTTTTCAGATAACAAAAGATTTGGTATTTTAGTATATAACATACTTTTAGGATTGATTGGCGTGTTCAATTGTTTTTGGTCATTTCGTGTTTCACCGAAAATGACTACAACTTTTGATTTTTAAATGGCACCCTCGGTATTTTTTTTACTTTATTCGATAGAAAATGAAACTCTTAAGCGTCGTGGACACTGTTCTGATCGACAGAGGAGTGCAAACTACAATAATCGCAGCACGACTATGGTTTCGCTGGTGCATCTGACGGCCACGCCTTAAGTTTGATTTTCATGGATACGTGATCCGACGATACGATGATAAGATATATATATATATAATCGAAAAACACCCATTTTACCCCTGAGGGTGTCTGGGTTACGTGTTCATGTTTTCTTGTCATAGACAAATGCAGACCATTTCTTCCTATCTTGTGCCAATTGTTTTGCTCTTTCCCACGTACTCCCTTTTCTTTGTAAAATATGTTCAACTATTTTATTCCACGTTTCTTTTGGTCTGCCTCTATTTCTTTTGCCTTGACGATAATTACGATGATAAGATATTAATTTTATCGGCTGATTTTAAAGACTTAGATTGGTTAGAAAATTACGCAGTTTTTAAATTTGTTGTATGTTCATGCCTCCGTGCATCGGATACATAATGTGCTTGTGATTGGTGTCATTTTATATTTTTACTTCCATAACGATTTCACTGTTTTACTTATACTCTGAGAGCTAGCAACGTTTTCAAGAGAAAATTTTAAGAAAGCTGGTTCTTTAATATATCTTTTGCTATGCTCTCCTGAACAGAGTGCGGACCATCTGGCTGCTAGTATAAGTTGCGTTTACTACTACACATAATGTGTGTTTTCAATATCTGTTCACTACTGCGCATCACAAATTCGCCCAGTATTTCAGGAACTCGGGAGGTTAGGAGCCTATATGTAGCATATTATATTATTATTTCATAAAAAATGTAGCAAAGTAATGTGAAAATCGCATCATTGCATCTTTATTCATAAACTAGAAATTCCCAATGATATATATTATATATTATAAAAAAGAAGAATGAAATTATTGGGCAAACCTACAGTAAGATTAGCCATAAAACATGGCTAAAATGCTAAAATACCCGTAGACACTTAGTGTTTCTGCCTTCCGGCTTCATCAATATGGGAGGAATCAGCAATGATGAACTAGCGATCCTGAAAAAAGAAAAAGGGTAAGCAAACGAGGTACTTTTGCAACCTGGTTAAGCAGTAGCTCACAATTTGCAAGCGTTACTACCAAAAAACCACTGCGGAGGTACTTCAACATACCTCGCCGCTATCACCTTGGCCCAGAGAAAAGAATAAACAAAATATGTTATCATGGGGATTATAATAAAAAAGAAGAATGAAATTATTGGGCAAACCTACAGTAAGATTAGTCATGAAACATGGCTAAAATACGACTACCCGTAGACACTTGATGTTTCTGCCTTCCGGCTTCATCAATACGGGAGGAATCAGCAACTATGAACTAGCGATCCTGAAAATAGAAAAAGGGGAAGCAAACGATGCACTTTTGTAACCTGGTTAAGCAGTAGCTCACAATTCGCAAGCGCTACTACCAAAAAATCGCTGCGGAAGTACTTCAACATACCTCGCCGCTATCACCTTGGCCCTTGGCTACTGCTTAACTAGGTTGCAAATGTGCCTAGTGCCTCGTTTGCTTCCCCTTTTTCTTTTTTCAGGATCGCTAGTTCATCGTTGCTGATTCCTCCCGTATTGATGAAGCCGTAAGGCAGAAACACTAAGTGTCTACGGGTATTTTAGCATTTTAGCCATGTTTTATGGCTAATCTTACTGTAGGTTTTTCGGATTGGATGCATGAAAATCAAGCTTTACTGAGTCGAATAGGGTCCTTGCACGTGTCGGGTATAATTTAAATATTTATACATTTTTACCTAAAACATATATATGTAAAATCAGTTTGTACAAATTCCATCTGGAAAGTACTTAAATTAATTATTGAAATTCATTGAAATTCGCTTGGCGCGAAAACGAAGCGTGACGTCAGAGATCTTAAAATTTTCGGCTCATAGCGAACGCATTCCATTTAAATAAAGGGTTGCACTTTGTTTAGAATTATGACAGAACCAGTGTTGCCAGAATTGCAGGATTTCCTTCAATATGAACAATACAGTCAAATTTCGTCGATCAAAGGGCCATTTTTGAAGGATTTTTATCCAAAAAGAAGACAATATGAAGGTTTCTGGCAGCTTTGCACAATAAAAATTGTTAAAATATGTAGTAGAAGAATTTATTGTTATATCCATCTATTTTTTCACTTTAACGGTGTTTAATTAAGGATGCAGTTAAAAGCAATTCAAAAAGATTTTAACATTTAACAAAAAAAAATAATAGATACATTTTTATCTTTCAACACGTTTTATTGCACACATACCATAACTAAACCAAAGTTCTTGACATTGAAAGGAAATAAATAGGTAAACGGAAAACATAAATATCTAATAAGTCAGCTGATCATGGCGTTTTGATTAATTATTTTAGATTGAAGCAGCCATTGTAAGAAATGAATTTTTTGAGACATACACTTTATAATACTGCTGTCGAGTATCTATCACAGCATTTTGGATCATGTTATTTTTTAATAAAAAAATTATATAAATATATCAGTGTACCAAAATTACCAAAAATAAGTTTTTAAAAATGTTCTCCTTATTATAAAATAAGTAAAATACACGAAATTTAGTGATTTTTTACAAGATTTGGATTTTTTTGTGAAGTTGAAGGAATATGAAAGGTTTTTTAACGATCCGTTGAAGAAATTCGCTCGAAAATATCGGACAATACTGCTCTTCTCTATTTGACGCATACATCAAGTATATTCTGTGACATACATGCTCGTGCGTCAAACGAACGTCAATCTCATCAATCTGCAATTTGTAAATCGTCGAGATCTAAATAAAAGTCGATGACATTCGATAAAAATAATCCATAAAGAAGGCAAATAACAGTTAAAACAGGTAAAAAAAGTGTGACAAAACTTTCCAGATTTGTCCGTTAACATGGTAGTGTGACCTTTATATAATTATAATTAAAATAATTTATTGAGCGGTAGGCAGAACTTGAATTAATGAGAGCACCGACTTTTCAGAGCGTAAATATAGTTTATCGTTTACATATAAAAACAAAATATAACCAGCTAAAGATCGAAATTAAGGCATCGCACTTTTATGGTAAGGGCTCTTTCTAAATTCAGTTACTATAAACTCTATTGCCACTTACCTTATTACGTCAACATCCATCAGCAATACATCAACAACAAGAACCTGTCGAAGATTTCATTGATCCCCTTGTTGATCTACCTCTTCGGTCTTGGACTCATACTTTGGATTGAACCACTCGACCGGTTATCACAGTGTTCTTTTAAATAACTTAATATTTTAGTGATTAGGTGAAATAAAGAAATAAAATACCGATTTTTCACAACACCTAACTATATTTAATATAAAGAAATAAATAAATAAAAAAATAAAGAAAAAGATTTACCAACAAAACATTTATAATTAATGAAAAAGAAAGAAATTGAATCAAAAATAATTAATGACAATTAGAGAATTGAAATTAAAACTCAGAGATAATAAAGTTAAAAAAAATACCAAATATTCTTCTTATTAGTCCAATTTAAATCATCAATAATTAGCATACACTTTCAAATCTCTCTTAGAATTATCATTGGCAGAAAATTAATATATTAAAAAAATATTCACTGAACAATTAAATTTAAATTAGAATTTAATAAAAAGAACAATTGCAAAATAATCACTTATGCAATGAAATCTAAAATTTACTAAAGCCTTTAGAACAAACAGAAAGTCTTAAATCATTAATAAAGAAAAATATTAGAGAAAATCCAAAAACTACAATTAAAATACTGTAAGCATGAATAGCTTAGAATTTCCTAACTTGAGAATTTATTTGAGAAAATCTTTAGATAGAGAACTTACTAAAACAATTAAAAAGACCACTGGATAATATAAGATCTACACGGAGTAAATTCGACCGTCTAATTTAAAAGTCAGTACCGAACTAATTTTGAAGATGAAAATACTGATGCTGGTACTATCTCGGACAGGCGTTACTACATCTTCGGCACGCCCCTGTTTGAGGAACCTTCGAATACCCATCCAAATGCATATTTCGCACCTTTTTAATTGACCGAAGGGCTCCTTCCCCGAAAGATCCCTAGACTTCTTTCACCCTTGTTTCTGGTCCTTGTCCCGAGAGGGCATCAGCACGTCCTATTTATTAATTAAATGTAATTTTTAAATCCTTCCGTGTAAATCTTACTCTTTTACTAATTTGCTGAAAAACATTCATAATCTACCTTAACTAATACAAATGATATCGTGACATATCACTTTAAAAAAAAATTAAAAAATTACCTTAAAAAAACCGCCTAGAAATGAAATCTTTATTTCTTCATTCATTTGTCTATTTCTATTTAACTCTAGGAACGGAAAAAAGATAATCCTATTTCTATCATTTTCAGACATTCATCTCGTGAACATTTGGATTCTGATTTTAAAACATATATTTAAGACTTTTAATGTTCAATTTAAAACCTCTAGCGAGGGGATGATTTAATTTTACTTATTTCGTTAAGCATGCCTACGTGCTTTTTCTGCGTTGTTTATTTTGAGATATCCCTAGGGTACACACAACTGGTACCACTCTGTCAAATAAAATTTTGATAATAAGGGATGAATGTTTGTTCTACTTTACCCTCGTTTATGTGACTTTAAATTATTTAGAAGATTGTATTATTTGCTTAGTTAGTTTCTCAAGATATATGCGTACTTTTAGAGAGTTTATGTGTCTTGAATATCATTAGATTATTTGCTTAGGCCACTTAAAATTCGTTTGCCTATGTCAACTGATAACTTCGTAAACTGAAATGGTCCCATCTTAGAATAACAAACCAAAAAGATAAAATTTTACAAAGCTTGATATTATTCTATTACAAAAGTTTTAACGATGGTATTGATATAATATTAGTGGTATTTTGTTACAGGTTATGGAAGAGAAATACGTATAGGTACAGTACGTCTGTCTGTTCTGTAGCTACGGGGTATCCGCGAGAGGGGAAACGATATTCTCTTGATGTTTTTCGTAAAAAATTTGACGAGGCGTCCCATCAATAAAAATTCGACAAATTTGCAACTAGCCAATAAAATGAGTGGGCGGAGCGACTCATGTTTATTGGCTAGTGTTGTGGTGTTTATTTAAATGTTTTTTGTCGGCATTCCTTTCATAGACACAGATCCAGCAGACGAACTGTACATCTGCTGGATCTGTGTCTATGAAAGGAATGCGGACAAGAAACATTTAAATAAACAACAATATATATTTTATACGTCGATTTTACGAGTACGTCACCGCATATCGCTCCGCCCACTCATTTTATTGGCTACTTGCAAATTTGTCGAATTTTTATTGATGGGACGCGTTGTCCATTTTTTTTAAGAAAAACATGGAGAGAATATCGTTTCCCCTCTCACGGATACCCCGTAACTACAGAACGGACAGACGTACTGTACTGTAGATAGAATCAGATATAATAGTGAATGTGAAATTTCTAGATAAAATATTAACAAGTAGTATTGTATTTAAAGGTATGAATTTAGATAATTAAATGCTAATTATTTACTTAACCTATAGTTTTCTTTAAATATATACATATACTTACTGCTAACGTTAAAAATATTCATGGCATAAATGAATAAGGGCAAAAACATTCAGGAAATGATTATTTAATAAAAAATAAGAGTTATTTTTATGTAAATCTTTTTGATTTGACGTTTTCATACGTAATATCTGTTAGAGTTTAAAAGAATTTTACACGAATCTATTTTGTTAGTTTAAAAAAACAATGAACATGAAATGGATGAAAGAGTAGAAACCGTCGGCGCCGAACACCAGTCCAATTTTATGATTAAAAATGCTTGTTCAGTGACGAAGTATAACTTTATAAAATCAATCAAAACACATATAGTAGGACTATTTTTATTCACATAGACTTGTTGAAAAGTTGTAAACATAAATCGTGTACCCACCTATTTATTTTTGCTCCTCCAATTTTGGTAGAAGTAAACAAAATATTCTGCTAAAAATAATAGGCGATCATCGTCGAATCTACTTTCCGTAGATTGTCTGTGCTTTATTATAATCCGGTTCTGTCATAATTCTAACATACTGAAACACCCAGTAATATCAAAATAAATTTGAAAAACATCTAAATAAATTAGACATTATTTAGATGTCAAATGTCATTGGGAAGAGCTTATTAAAATTTAAATGGAATGCGTTCGCTGTGAGCCGCAAATTTTGAGATCTTGACGTCACGCCTCGTTTCCGCGCCCAGCGAATTTCAATGAATTTCAATCATTAATTTAAGTACTTTCCAGATGGAATTTGTACAAACTGATTTTACATATATATGTCTTAGGTAAAAATGTATTAAAAATCATAAATATTTAAATTATACCCGACACGTGCAAGGACCCTATTACGAACGTTGAAAACTCTGTGCTTTTCTCATTCAACAATTATAATAATTCTTTGTTGACAGCAGATTTAATAATTATACCAGGTGATGGCATCTTCGTTGGACACATAGGAAATCCCACACTGAATACAGAGGCCAAATTTTGAACAATTTTGGACTAGCCGATTTAATTTAAGAAACACTGCATTTATTTTTAAATTAAAACTGAACAGGCAACTATGCTACCCCAGTCAAATGTTAACATACCTTAAATCGTCAACCCAAAGAATATACCTAACTAGAAAAAGAATGGACTCTGCCATACTGAAAAATGGTCCTACAGAAGTGGCGCCATCTATTGAGTAGGGCTTGTTTTAAATGGATCAAAGCGCGGGCTTTTAAATGAGCGTATTTATTGAATTTTACTCTAAAATAATTAAATTTGATTATTAAATCTTATTTTTTACACAAATTCAACAATACTAATAACAAGTATCGTTGTGATGTGTAAAAAATAAGATTTAACAGTATAATTTATACAATTATTAAATAAAATTAAAGCCAAACATGTGTAAATATTATTTATTATTTTAAGGTGTAAGTCAAATATTTAAACATCGTTTATTATAATAAAACAAGACCTACGTAATACGCCCAACGTTTTGTAAATGGAGTAAATATAAATAGGTACTTAATTGATAGCAAAAATAAAAGACTTACATTATATTTTTAGGGACACATACAAAAGGAATTGTCTAATAAAAACACATATAACAAATTATAGTTTGAAAAACGTTTTGATAATCATTTTTGATGATTGGCGCTATGACAACGACAATATTTTTTGAGAATTTGACAATAGTATGATAATGGCCGTTGGAAACTATAGAAACTAAAAAAAAATCTGATTGAACGCCATCTGGCAATAACTAGTAGCAACTTCTTAACCTAAAAATTAATTGCACTACCACCTAGCGTTCGAGGCTGGAACTATTTTATTTGAAATTTCCGTGGAAACGGTGGAACCGTTTTTGCTATTTCACTTTCCGGCCCCTGCGTCAACCTATGCTTTTATCACTGTCAAATATAATTTGTTGTGCTGTCTATACTACTACGTTATAGTGCCTACGCTTAGTATCCGAAATGTATTTTTGTATTTTAAAACTGGTTCGAATGAGGCAAATGCTTAACGTTTAAAAATACAATTTCACTTTGCCAAAAAAGTCACTTTGACAACATAGGATGACAACTTAAGGTACTGGCACTTGCCTGTTTTTGTTACTTGCTATTTTTACCTGTTCAGCTTTAACTTAATACACCAGGTAGAGGAAAGATGCGACACCTACAGGCTGGGCAAGGAACATAGGTTGCAAGTAAGAGAAAACATCTTGATGAAATGGCAGGAGGATTGGCAGAGATATGATGGCTGGGCAAAGCAATTTATTGTAAATGTGGCGGAGTGGCACAAGAATGGATGGGTGGAGGTAGACCACTTTCTTACTCAAGCTATCACAGGTCATGGGTGTTTTGGCACATACCTGAAAAGGATGGGCAAAAGAGATAGCGATCGCTGTGTGTACTGCCAGGAGCAGGATACTCCTGCGCACACTCTATTCGAGTGTGGAAGATGGAGGGAATTTAGGGACGTGGCAGAGGCAAGGTGCGGCACCAAGGTCACGCTAGATAACGTCGGGGCACTTATGGGTGAAGACCAAGAGAAGAGCATAGCGGTTGCGGAAATGCTTAGGGTTATTATGAAAACCAAATTTCAGGAAGAGTTGGCGCAACGATTAATACATAGGATGCACACATAAGACAACACTCTGTCTTGAAGTAATGCCCCGGGCGGTTCCGAGACGGAGACTGAGGTTTGACAAAGATGGGTTTTTAGTGGGTAGGCCCTCTGGATAGAGTAGAGAGGGAGATCCCCACACTCCGGCCCTAAAGGCGTTTCCCATCTATAAAAAAAGCTTTAACTTAATAACAGATGCAATTTTTCTAAAATTACTTAAAATCGGCTTGTCCAAAATTGTTCAAATTTGGCATGTGTATGCAGACCTCTTTTAAAAACCTTTTTACAACTTTGCTGTAAAATTAATAAAGGAGCCAATGTCCGGACAGCTAAAAATTGGCAGGCGATTTTATATATTTTGAACGCCAATGCACCACCCTAAACGATGAGCCAAACTAATTGAATATAACTTCATACCTTGGGTTAATTTACACTTAATGTTTGCTCTTTTCTCTTTTAGATATTATTGTGATAGCAAAAAAACTTATATAATATGTGGAGGTTTGGGAGGTTTTGGACTAGAATTAGCAGACTGGTTAGTACTAAGAGGATGTAGAAACCTAGTTTTAACATCACGAACAGGAGTCAAAACCGGCTACCAAGCATACAGAATATCGTATGTTTTATTAAGGAATCTTCAATACTTATTATTAAAGGTAAATATTTTTAATTTTAGAATATGGAGATCATACGGTTGCACAGTTTCTGTTTTTACTGACGATATAACTACAGAAAGCGGTTGTGAGAGTTTAGTCAAGAAAGCCAGTGATCTGGGACCTGTACATGGTATATTTAACTTAGCCGTGGTACTCCAAGATGCAATTTTCACGAATCAAACTGAAGATATGTTTAAAATAAGCTTCGGACCAAAGGCCAAAGCAGCCGAACATCTGGACGTAGTAACGAGGAAGTACTGTCCAGAACTAAGGTGAATAAAATTATCATTGACTGTAATTTATAGTGGATTTATATCTGAAAATATCCATAATTAAACTGATATTTAAAGATGAAAAGATTTTTACGTTATCGCAATCTTTATTTATTTAATTTATTTATTATTGTATTATTTAATTCTTTCATTGATACAAAATTATTAATGAGCTATATTCGATACCAATTAAATTTTTCGTCACGTAATCGAGGGCGCGATTTTTAAATTCATTGTTGCCAACCATGGACATATTCGGCGCCGGGCTGATTAACTGAAATTTAAATCCGCTGGGGATTCAGATGGTAGCTTTGCTCTAAAAATGTCAAGTTGCCACATTTATTTATTTATTTCCTGACATTGTCATTCGTTTTGACACTTTAGTTTTGTATAACGATCGAGTTTTTGGTTTAAATAAATAGTGTTGTGATACTTTAAGCTTAAATGTTTTTACTAGCAGACCTTGCAGTCGAACATTGTTCTTTTTAAAACCTCCTTTAGGGCGAAGTGTACAAGATTGCTTAATAGCCGTAAAAAACTAATCACAACATTATTCGAATATTTTGAACGGGAAAGCGGTAGTAATGGCCCTTTATGTCCCTTAAGTGCTGCTGAGGAAGTGAGATTTGTTGATGTAATAATAACTGTTTAATAAATATATTTATAATTAATTTGTTTGTTTCCTAAAATATTTTGATTAAAAGAAAATATGTAAAAGTGGGCAATGCTGTGCTTAATCACGTGACTAAAAGTTTATTTTCATATAAACTATATTGATATCTATATACTCCAAAATAACTGGAAAATTACTTAAATATAATTTTTCTTAAAAAAATTCAAATTTTTAAGAAGATCTGTAAAATAGAGATACCGATATAGCTGATATGGCGATTCCATTAAAAATTAAATTTTTTAGGGATTTTGTGATGTTTTCTTCGGTTTCTTGTGGAAGAGGAAATGGTGGACAAACTAATTACGGAATGGCAAATTCCATTATGGAAAGGATCTGCGAGAAAAGAAAGACTGAAGGTTTACCGGGACTGGCTATTCAGTGGGGAGCTATTGGAGAAGTAAGTCCTATAAATTAATAAAGAACTATATTTCAATAAATAATGAATACAATTTTAATAAATACCGTTTATTTAAATCGACATATTCCAAAATAATAGTTAAAATAATACATTATTATTATAAAGCTGCATTCAGAACCTCGCAGTGGAATAAATTAGTAGTTTCAATTAGCTAGAAGTTTATTTCAATGTAAGCATTCGGAACGTCAAAATTAGTGGTAGACATTTTCAATTATGAGATAAGCTTTATTCAGAACCTCCCAATTAGTGGAATAAATTAGTGGTTTCAATTACACTTTATACTTTTTAGTTTACGATCATTCACAATGTCTAAAAAATAAATTAAAATTAATAAAATATCCTAGCAACAGCTTGCGGTAGTCTGTTGTATCCATAGAGAAAGCATAATATTTAGCTTATAAAACAATAAACTTTTGATTCATAACCAAATTTTTTCTTGGGGGGTGATAATCAAAGGCTAAAATGACATTCCTCACAAATTTTGAAGTATAATTAGTGGAAAAGTCAAAAGTTTGTTAACTTTTTCCAATAATTGAAAAGTACTACCACTAATTATGACGTTCTGAATGCTTACATGTTAATGTCGACTTTAAGCGGATATCAAACTTTAATCGTAACACATACATTATATGTCAAGTTTTTAGTTTTTTTTGTAACTCACATTTAGTGTAGTTAGTTCAAGATTGTATCGAGGTTATCCTGCACTTCTGAATGTACTTTCTTTCTAATCAATTTTTGGTTTGGTTTGGCTGTAACTTAAAAAAAAATATTGATGGTAACCAGGTGGGACTAGTAGCTGATATGCAAGAAGAATCCATCGAGATGGAAATAGGAGGCACCTTACAACAAAGAATCGTCAGTTGTTTGGAAGTCATGGACCTATTCCTGAGACAGAACGAATCTGCTGTCGTTGCCAGTACAGTAGTAGCCGAAAAAAGATCGGGTCCAGTAGCTGACAATATCGTTAGTGCAGTTGCGAATATTTTAGGTAACTTTATTCAAAACTCACGAAAGGTTCAAATTTCAATTCATATTTTCGCTTAACAGGAATTAAAGATCTAAAAACTATTTCGTTGCAAGCTACATTAGCTGAAGTTGGTATGGATTCGATGACAGCTGTAGAAATTAAACAGACATTAGAAAGGGAGTTTGAGGTATTCCTGACACCTCAGGATATCAAGTCGATGACGTTCGCGCGGCTCCAAGAAATTCAAGACGAGAGGGAATCTTCAAGTTCAGGTAAAAAAAACATCTTACTGTATTTAATTTACTATTAGTGGAGTGCGATACTTCTACCTCGGAATTCAATTATTACAGTGAATGAATTAATGTGAAACCTTCTGTATTGTGTTTTATAGATAAAATACTAAAATGTTTATCTATTTTTTTTTTCATTGCTTTTAATTTTTTATTTTAGTAAATTCTTAGTTATTTTATTTCATTTTTTTTTCTAAGTAAATTTATTGAAATATGAAACTAATGCATAAGCTATGCCTATTCTGTTTATTATATTCTAATCATTGAAATTTTGATTAAATCGAATTATACATGGTGGTGCGTCATATACGACGCAGTTTTTGCAAGGAGAACAAAAGTTTATATTGAAGTGAAAGAAATTTTGTGAGCTTATGTCCATTTAAACCATTTTCTAGAATTATATAGAGTTCTACAGGTTGACACCAAAAGAAATTACATATCAAAGTTGTGTTTTTTGTAACGGAACACCCTATATATTAATTGATTTTAGAGTAATCTAGTAAAAAAATAAAGGCTAGTTTCATTAGAAAAGTATATGACTAAAATATATAGTTTCTGAAATACATTCACCGGCACGAAAAATGGGTACCTTAAAATTTCGATGTATTTTAAAGTTTAATACATTTTGTTCAAGTGTGCCGAATATGATGATCTTTTAAGCAGTATGTAGCCAAATTATTTGACTTTTTAGTATATCTTTCTAAATTAAAAATTAAACTTCCATCTGTTAATTATACGAGGGAAAACAAAATGTTGATATTGATATTTAGGCGAAAGTTTGAAACACCCTGTGGAACATGTTATATCAGCAAGAAATTTAAAAATAATTTTATCATCTAGATACATCCTTTCTCGATAGTTTGTTTTTTGGTTTATCTCATTAGCTTTATTTTTGTTGGAGTCACTCACTTACACTCATTATGCTGCCAAGGGGAACATTTGGTTAATAGCACTTATAATGTATGTGTTTTTAGGTGGGAAGAAAGGGCGAGCACTGACAGGTTTTGAAATGATCATGGGTCATCTCTCTGATCAGAGCAAGTCTGAAATACCCTTAATTTCCCTTCAGGGCCAACAAACAAACAGATCAATTGCAGGAAACGTCATTCTATTCGCTGGGATAGAGGGAGTCATAGGAGTGTTAGAACCACTTTACCAACAATTAGAAGGAGATTTGTATGGTATACAATTTTGCAATAACAACCAAAAAGACAGTATTGAAGATATGGCCTTAACATACCTTGAGGTAAATAATTTTTTGATGTAACATAATTTATCAAGGTTACTTTGAATATGGTAGAGAATGATTCAGTATTAAAACTAAAAGAATTTCGTACTTCCATTGTCTTTATTTATTTTGCTTACACAACGTTTCGGTCAGAAATATCACTGTCCATTATCAAATGTGTACTCAGTAGAAGTTAGTGTATCAGTTCCACAAAACATCCCCCTTTAGAACTTCGTCTATGATGTTAAGAAATGAAAGTAAATAATAAAGCGCTTCTGGTGTTTGTTCGCACACTAAAAATTTCAATTATGCCTGTATATATTTTTAATATATTTTTTAAATTTAATTTTTTTTTAATTGTAAAGTAATATATTACATTTAAATGGAATATATTACATAACAATTATGTCAATTTGCCACGCGTTTCCTTTGAAGGAAATTGATTTAAAAAAAAATGTTAAATTGTTAAATTTTAAAATTATTAAATTGACAAGAAAAATTATGAAATTAAAAATTTATAGAGAACCAAAAAAAATAAATAAAAAAAAACGTCTTATTAAACTGTGGAGTGTGCGTGCAAATAGGCCCTAACTTTTAGTTTTGCAATCCAAACGCAATATTTCTATTTCACAAATAAAACTATCCGACAACACTAAAATCACTGAAACTCGCGCGGCTGACAACGAAAACTGAAAAATATAACGGCACTTTTTGTTCTGGACCTTCATATCAACATTACGCTATACCATTATGTTTTTATTTTTGAAATAATATGTAATATCTAATTATAACTTGTAAATTTTAATATTTTAACATGATTTTAACTATTTCTGACAATAACTAACTTTTGTTATCAAGATGACATTTTAGACGACAACTGACATATATGTCATAATATTTGAATTTTAAATATGTATGTAATATAATTTAAATTAATATAATGCAACTTTAAACTAAGAAAACATTTATACATTTACAAAATACAACAAAGTCTAATAGTATAGTTTGAAAACAATGAATATTGAATTAAAATTAAAAAAGTTCAGCGCGAATCGATGAAATTAGATGATTAAATTTTCGCAATTTTTACACCATTTGATGACCGGTGGCGCCTCTAGTGTTTGTTCGGACGCGGGCGGTTGGTCTTTTACTCCCACTTATGGTAATTAAAGAAAAAGTTCTAAAGAGGGATGTTTTGTGATCATTTCACACTTGATAACGAATATTCTAACTAATCAGAGTTTTTAAGTTGAACCAATAAGTTATAATCATATCGTCGGATATCAGGCTCATGAAAATCCGCCTTAGGGCATCAAATATTATGTTTCATGTAACTATCCAAAGAATGAAGTGTTTTTTAACGATTATTTTGCAAAAAAAAAATTCTAAATACAATTACACAGTTGGACGATATTTTTTGTATATTTGTTTTACTTTTGGTAGATTGTCGAAGAAAAACTGTTCAAATCAGTTCCCTTCAAAATCGTCTGTTATTCTTTTGGTGGGTTAGTTGCCTTGCAGCTAGTACATGAACTGGAAAAGAAGGGATATCATGGTACTGTCGTGTGTATAGATTCGTCCCCAGACTATCTTCAAGCATTGTCGAAAATATTGGAAGTCGAGTCAGACGATAAAATTCAAGTAAGCCTGTTGGCACACTTAATGGCACTACGTCTACCACTAGATGTCGTTAGCAAAAGCTGGGTAAGGACTTATTATATGATGAAGTGATTTAAGTAAGACGACTTTTAACTAAATACATATTTCTCCGGTTTGGATGGAAATACATGTGTCGAAACTGAATACTGATTTTGAAAACGGCTATATTAGTTTTAGTGCTTAAGGTTTGAATTTTTATTTTTTAGAGACACTTAAAAATTGATTGATAGTGATAAAATCTGAGAAATACAGGGTGAGTTTCCTACGATGTTCTCTATGGGTATCTTGGAAACTACTGCAGATAGAGAGTTGGTTAAATGGGGAAATAATTGCAGTTTTGTGAAGTCATAAATATGGGTCTTTCAGATTTTTGAAAAAGTTCATGGCTTACTAGGTATTTCCAAAAATACAAATTTTGGCTATTTTAAAAATTTCCCTAATTCCGTTATAATCTATTTTAGACAAAAAGTTTTCAAATAAAAATTGTAGATAATCACATCCATACACTTAAAATAAAATATAGACTAAGCATCTCATTCATAAATAGCTGGAACATGCGGTCAGACACTGTCTTGTTATTGTTGTGTTATTGTTTTAGGTTATAACGAGTACGACACGAGCGATAGATAGGTTGTCTCTGTCATAACGGTCGTTCCCTGACGACTCTGCCGAGAAACACAACACTGTCTTTCGTTTCTCAAGTACACCTGAACTCTCCGTATCATAGCCGGGTAATTTTTTTATTTTAATGAAGCTATAATTAAATTAAAAATATATCGTATTTAAACTTTTATATATTTTATTAAGATTTAGGACAGGTTTTTTAAATAAAATTTTATAAAAAACAATTTAGAGCCCAAAAAGGATAAAAATAATAAAATACACGTTATAGAAGAAATTTTATAATGGAAATTAGGAAATTTTTGAAATTAATAATAAATTATTAATTTTAGTCAAACATTTACAACCCCTAATATTAATCAAATCAGGATCTATTCCACAGATATAATAGAATCGGCGACAGGGAGAGAAAAAAAAATGATTGTTGTAATTTTTTTTCTGGTTAAGTGATGTCTTATTATGTAAATTAGAGAAAACATAAATCTGTTCCATTAAAGCAAGGAAGGTGATAGGAAGGGGATAAAATGAAAACTACATTTATTTAACTCGGTACTGTCTTTATTATACCGGGTGCGTCCCAAAAGTGGCTCAACCCCATAATTTTTTTATATTTTCAAATAAAAAAACAAGATTTAGTATGTTAGTATATGACATAAATTAGGATTGATTGACGCATTCAATTGTTTTTGGTCACTTTCTGTTTCACCGGAAATGACTATAACTTTTAATTTTTAAACGGCACCCTCGGTATATTTCTACTTTATTTGATAGAAAATGACACTCTGAATAGAATGACATATCATATGTCAACTTTTGACACTTTCGCATATGGTTTAATTGTAATTGTAACACGTGGTTCATAACGACAATTTGACTCGAAATACCAAGTGTGTGGTATCAATATATTCATAAAAAAATGCTTTTTCCAAATATGCTAACGAGTCACCCTTGTTCCATTTGAAAAAATTGACATATGTATGATTAAAAATATGATTTGTACATCTTTTAATCGGCCTAGACAAGACACGAAACCCATTAGACGATCAAAACTATTTTTCCAAGGCTCCTTGATTAAAACTTAGTGTTTTTAACAACACCATGGCACCCTGGATTGAAATTTATAATACGATTTGTTTTTAAGCGACAATGTCAAAAGTTGACATATGATATGTCATTCTATTCAGAATTCTATTATCATTTTCTATCGAATAAAGTAGAAATATACCGAGGGTGCCTTTAAAAATCAAAAGATGTAATCATTTCGGTGAAACAGAAAGAGACCAAAAACAATTGAATACGTCAATAAATCCTAATTTATGTCATATACCTACTAACATACAAATCTGTTTTTTTATCTGAAAAAATAAAAAAGTTATAGCGGTGAACCACTTTTGAGACGACCCGGTATATTAAAAAATATTGTCTCATAATGTAATATCATATTAAAATTCTTGTATGTTATTTTAGATTCTGAAGATAATTTTAGAATAAACCGGAATATATTTTTAATAAAAACATTATTAATTATTAACAGGGTTATAATTATGATTTTGTTACAATGTAAGTAAGTAAATAATGTAATATAAGAGAAAAAATTCAGATTTTACATTTTACTAAAATATTATCTAAATAAGCGCCTTTCTACAACAACGCCACTGACTGCCAATGGGTAAATTGAGAGTTGCCTACCGGTCAAAAGGCGTTTCAAGACTTAAATGGATTATTTAAGTCAAATTTCTTGCAAATTTGGCACTGGCGAACCATATTTTATAGTTTTTGAACAGAAAAAGTCAATAAAATAAACACTTAAGGACTACAAGCTAAGAAAATGCGTAAATACAACCGGGGAGATAGCGGCAACAAAGCTTTACCGCACACGTGCGACACGTACTACAAGCTAATAAATGAATGAATAGGCTCCCTCGCCTCTAATCGGTGTTGTTATATTGTAAAAAACTTATCCTTATTAAACAGTATCCGACTTATAATTTAGTAGTATAAGGACTATTTAATACATCTATGGAATATTAAAACCTACTTTATTAAACTGTAGTATTAATATCTCAATATATGTGTATAATAAGAAAAAAAATATTGATAATATTAAAGACGTGACAACATAGGCTGGATGAGGAAGGCTCGGTCGACTGTACCCAGAAGTAAACATGTGTACAAAAAAGGTTGTTTGTCCGCGTTGAGATGTAAATAGTGTAGTCTATATTTTATTTTAAGTCTATGATCACATCCCTAATGAGTTTGTATTCTCCGATTTTTTCTAAAGCCTGTCATTTTTGACATATGACAGAAACATATGTTTTTTAAATGGAAACCAAAGCGCCATTTTTTAAGCTTTTCAGCGATATAAGCTATAATATGTTTTTTTTTTCACAAAATTACTGAGTTGTAGCCAATTCTTATCTTTCTTGACTAATTTCACTTGGTTAGCTATGGAAACAAGTTCAATCGTCGTTGCTCTCAGAAATGTGAAGCTGTGGCATCCAAATTTTGTAAATTAAAATAAACAAAAATTGTAAATATGAATTTTTCAAATAAAGAAAAGCGTGTAGAGCGTGTGAGAACGGTTTTCAAGATATGTTAGAAAAGTTAAGTTTAGACACTCGCGCATTTATAGAGGGGTTCCAACATGACTTTCATTATGACACTCTACCCCCCCCCCCTCCCACAATGAAATAAATGTTTAAAATTATTTATATCATAATTATGTAGACCCAGGGATAGAAAAAGGTGGACAAATTCCATTAGCCTCCTCGATCACTTGACCTATCAATTTTAAATTTTTTTTATGCGGTATGGTTAATAACAAGGTTTACAAAAGAACTTATGAATTAAGAGAAGCACTCGAAGACCCGGTACAGGAAAAGTTTAATTAAGTCGACCGGTAGTTCTGTGAGAATAGCTAGAAATTAAGTTTTAAAAAGATGCATTTATGTACTCAAAAAAGTGGCGGATTTTTTGAATATTTTCTAAAATAACTTAAAGTGTAAATTGTAAAGAGTCATTTAATAATATATTTTGTCTTTTTATAAGTTATAAATAAATGCCTTTATTGTCAAAAAATTTTACAATTTGTAGACAAAGGTTTAGTTTGGAACAAACGAAAGAGATTACAAAAAATTATACAAATTACATTGTCAGTCTTATTGTTGATAAAATAAACATTTATAAATGTTTACAATGTCAAAGAATAAAAAAATAAAAATAAGATTCAAAAATATTTAGTAAGTTTATATTTAAATAACAATGAACTCTAAATAAATTTATATCGGTGTTATTGGTAAATATAGTAATAGCAAACATTAGACCAGTGTTTACAAGATCAAATTCGATTATAAAAATAAGTCATTTACGGCCTAGAAAGCCTTGTCTAGTAAATAAGATTTCAATGCTTTGCGAAATGAAGAAAATTGTGTTATGGATTTGATTTCAAATGGCAGGTGATTGTGCATTTTTTTCGAGTTGTATAATATTTAACTTTTAACTTACTCTGAGCGTGGGGTAAGTAGATAAAGATCTTGCTCCGTGTTCCTGAGTGGATAAGTGTGAGATGGCCTTTCTTGAGAAGCTGATACATGCTTACGTATTAGGCAAACGGATTCAAATATAAATAAGGAAGGAAGAGTTAATATTTTTAATTTTTTAAAAAAGTCCTGGCAATGAGTTCTGCTGTTTAATTCCAGTGAATATCGGACAGCTCTCTTCTGGAGTTATAAATCATAACAAAATGAGAACACCATGTCAACTAAGTGAAATTAGTCAAGAAAGATAAGAATTGGCTATAACTCAGTAATTTTTTGACGATTGAACTTGTTTCCATGGCTAACTAATAAAATTAATCAAGAAAGATAAGAATTGGCTACAATTCAGTAATTTTGTGAAAAAAAAAACATATTATAGCTTATATCGCTGAAAAGCTTAAAAAATTGTACTTTTTATGAAGTAATGGCCTACTATGGTTTCCATTTAAAAAAAAACATATGTTCCTGTCATATGTCAAAAATGCTTTAAAAAAAAATCGGAGAACACAAACTCTTTAGGGTTGTGGTTATCTACAACTTTTATCTAAAAACTTTTTGTCTAAAATAGATTATAATGGAATTAGGGACAATTTTTAAAATAGGCAAAATTTGTTTTTTTCGAAATATCTAGTAAGCCATGAACTTTTTCAAAAATCTGTAAAGCGCATGTTTATGACCCCACAAAAATGCAATTCTTTTCCCATTTAACCTACTCTCTATCTCCAATAGTTTCCGAGATACCCATAGAGAACATCGGACGAATCTCATCCTGTATGTACTATTATTTCCAGTTTTGTTTTAATTATTGGAATGGCTTTTCTGTCTACTGACATATTGATTGTATTAAATCAGGAAAAAAAGTGGTTAAATATATTGTTTTTTTAGATACCACTATCAAACTGTCGAAACTTTGAGGAACGCTTGACTCTAGCAGAAAAAATCGTAACGACCGAAAACATTCCTTTAAGCAACATGAAAGAAATTACCATCAGTTCTTACAAGAGGCTGAAGGCCACAGTATCCTGGAACCCCACTTTTAAGCTTAAATCGAAAATTATCTTGTGCAAAGCGAAACTATCCAGTGTTGAGCAGAAAGATGAAGACTATGGACTTGGTAAAATTTCCCAATATCCCGTGGTGGTAAAAGAATTCGATGGAAATCATGTAACGGTGTTGGAAAATCCAGATTTGGCCAATGAGATCAACGAAACGTTCTGGGCTGAGACCAGTCCGGTCCTGGAGAAAGAGGAACCTCTGATCGTTATAGATCAACAAAAACCATATATATGTTCGCAATAAGACAATGTCTCCACAATTTTTTATGTTTTTTTTAATAAATAATGTATCATATTCATAGTACTTTCTTATTGGTATATTTCCTTATTTCCTTTTATTTCTAAAATAAAAATACAAAATGTTTTGCATGGTGCCTTTTACGACGCCCTCATATAATTTTTTGATGTGTATAATATTTTTAAATCTACAGGTTATCAGAGAACTAACATCTTATTAAAATTGACTATAATAGCACAAATTACCTATAACAGATGCGAAAGAAAGCGACTGCATCGGAAACCGCTCGGCAAACCCGACACGCCTATTGAGTGGTGTAAATACACCAGTCGTTTAGTCCGGAAACCTATGCTGTATCGTATTCGCTTGCTGGAATGACATAGTGCGTGGTTATATGTTTCTTTTTAAAAACGCGTGTTGAAGCACCTATTCAACAATTTTGTTATAAATTATTAGTATCAATATTAGTCATCTTTATTTCTATAATAATTATAATGACTTGGCGATTGCATGCATGGCACTATTATAAAAAAGAATAATATACTATTTCGTGTACTAAGTAAATCTAAACTGTGCACTTATGAATAAAATAGAAAGAATAAAGTTTTATTTTTATATTACTATAGAATATCATATCGTAACTATTTACTATTTTAATTACTATAGCATATCATACTAACCTAAGCTTTTTTAGTACAAGAAAATTATTGTAAATTGCATATTTTGGCAGATATTTGCGAAAAACTGATTTTTCGGCCATTTGGGGCCATTTTTTCAGCCTAAGCTGGTCGAGAACGGTGTTACAGTTTTTTCCCAAAAGATCCGTTCCGTTTTTTTAGGCCGTGGTTTCAACCATAAAATAATAAATACAAAAGAATCAATCAAGTCAATGTTAAAATTTGGAAACAGCGTAATCTCTGGATAACTCGAAATTATTTACCCATTTTAAAAGCCTTTGATATGGCGGCTGGGACATTTGACATGACATAGACATGACAATTTCAATTTTATGAATATTAAATTTCCGGTTTTGCAATGAAGAAAACATTCAGAGGTTTAAATGAGGGTTAATATACTTTTTGACTCTTTCTAGTGAGTAAATAATACAACAAAATTACTCAAAATTATTTATTTGGAATATAAATATTTTATGCAAATATGCAAAGTCAACACAATTAAAAAGAGCTATATATCCAATAAAGCTACTGTATCAATATCAAATATTTAAATAATATCAGAGATGCTGTGTTAAACTGAATTAGTAAAATAACAGTGCATTGACTTACAAAATAAAGATAAATAAATGTTTTCCTAAGCTTCACGAGCATAAAACTAAATAACTGGAAGCTAGGAAAAAGGCAACCGGAACCAAATTTTGACAAGTTTTCAAAAATAACAGTTTTGTTTAGACTGACGTTTAATTTCACCTGACTTCTCGGTGAATGATTTCTTTTTTATGGGGGTACATAAAATCTAAAATTTACGGCCATGAAGAAATTCAAAACTTGGAGCAGTTAAGGCAGAAAATATTTAATGCCTTTGACACTGTCACCCCTGATATGTTATCCAATGTGAGGAGGGGATTTTATGATCGTTTGGGTTATTGTTTAATGCAAGAGGGAGGCGCTTTTGAACAATTTTGTAATTTTTAAATTTCATTATCCTGTTTTTTACCGTTTACCCATTACCTACCTTGACGAACATGTAAAAACAAAGGTCCTTTTCAGGACCACAAATATTTTGATTGAGAAAATCAAACAGGACTTGAATGAAAATAAAATTAATAAAAATATAATACATATACATCTAATACCTCATTTGTATTTTAAAAATAATCTACATACATAGATTTATAGCATTATTGCTATGAAAATACATAATAGGTACCTATGTGATATGTAATTACGCATTTCTGTTCATCTTGTAGAAAATTAATATAGGCTAATAATAGTTCAATAATCATAATTTACCTTGTATAACTTTGCTTTCAATTGCTTTCAAATCACCGATCAGTCTTTAAAGTAGAGATACGGAAAAATCCTTGGCAAAAGAATATCCCAAGATCCTTGGGTTTAAAGCTAAAAAATATAAAAACAGTTAACATATTATCTATTTTACATATAATAATGGCATTAAGGCCCAGTTGCAACAATGATTTAAATTTTTATTAAAGATAAGTAGAGCTTAGAATGAGCTGTATTTATATTTACTTTAATATTCACCTTAAATGAGGGAATTTGATCATTACAATTTTTGTATTTGAATTGTTTTTAATTTATTAACACTTTTAGTTCACTTTATATCATAAACATCTTTGTAATATAAATTTCAACCGAAATATCATGAAACAAACTTTAATCAAATCTAAACATTCAAAAATTAAAATGGCGCCCGACCTTGCCAGAGGCCTCGAGAGCTGACACTTTTTTACATATAAAAACGCCGACGTACATAAAAATGTTCCGTAGCAGAAATTGACAGAAATCATATAGAAATATTCAGATTTTGTCTAGGACAGTCTAGAAGGCCATGCTTTCTGCCTGGGTAATCTGTTATAGGTAATTTGTGATAATAGTAATAAATCTACGTAGTAATAATATCCCACCAAAAACATAGAATGTAAAAAATGCTAAGTCTCGCAACATAATTCCTATGCTATAAAAAGTTGTGGGATCTCGTGTAAAACCAAGTCAGTTTCGTTATTTAGGGTGTTTCAAAACCATATTCAACAATCGTGGCATGATTCCTTACGTATAAATAAAATTTATTTCTATAATAATTATAATGACTTGGCGATTGCATTCATGGCACTATTATAAATCTTAATAATATTCTATTTTATAAGTTTCTAAGTAAATCTAAACTTTTAGCGTTTCGAATAAAATAGAAAGAATAAAGTTTTTTAAAGTTATATTACTATAGACCATATCATATCGTAACGTGCATATGAGTTATTACCATAGATAAAAGAAAATAATCTACTATTTTTAGTATAAGGAAGAACTAAGGAAGATTAAGGAAGGAGACTAAGAGATATATTCAGAAAAACTGATTTTTCGGCCATTTGGGGCCATTTTTTCAGCCTAAGCTGGTCGAGAACGGTGTTACAGTTTTTTCCCAAAAGATCCGTTCCGTTTTTTTAGGCCGTGGTTTCAACCTTCATTTATTGGACTATTTTTATTAAAAAATATATTTGTTTATTAATAATTCAAAAGCTGCCGGCTGTGATTATATACACGCAGATCTTCGTACTCCATTGTTCCTCAACTGTCGATGCGCCATGCCATCTCAATAATTTAATCATAATCTGTAAATTTCTCTGATAGAAATCTGCCGTCACGGTTTCGTTATATAGGGTGTTTCAAAAAGCATGTGCCATCTCTCGTGGCATGATTCCTTACGTAAAAATAAAATTTACTTTTCATATCAACATAGGTCCGATTCTGCATATTTTCGTAGCTACAAGGTGTTAAAATCTTAATATTTTTTCGATTTATTATAAGTTTCTTCCAAGTACTTTTAGCGTTTCGAATAAAATTTTGAGGGTAAAAGGTATTTTAAAGTTAAAAAGGCGTCGACCATATTCACCAGTGACGTGCATATGAGTTATCACCATAGATAAAAGAAAATAATCTACTATTAAGATAGATATGAAACTTAATAGTAAAATTTTGGGTCAAAGCGCCCCCCCGTGTTTTTAGTGGAGACTACGTTTAACCCAGCGCCTTCGCCTTTTCTGCTGTAAATGTTTTTTTTATGTTTATATTTGAATTCAAAGGATTTATTTTTAAAGTTACACTGATATATTAGTATATCTAGAGTAACTTTAATAAAGGTATAAGAATATATATATTTTACAATTTAAATTTTTATTTATTTTACAGCGATTTCATGTAAATGATCATAAAATCGACTGGCTGTCTAATGGATAGACCAAGATCTCGGCAAAAATTAGAAAAAATAATGGAACTCTGCCATACTGAGTAAGTGACTCAGAATATACATACATTGAGTAAATCGATCATTTTGAAATTCACGAAAATTAACTAAATTATATAGCGTTTTTGCATTTTAGCTTTTATTTATTACTCACCGTGTTTTACAGAGACTACGTTTAACACAGCGCCTTCGCCTTTTCTGCTGTAAATGTTTTTTATGTTTAAATTTGAATTCAAAGGATTTATTTTCAAAGTTACACTGATATATTAGTATATCAGAGTAATTTTTCCTGCGAAACATAAGAATATATATACTTTACAATTTATTTTTTGATTTATTTTACAGAGTTTCATGTAAAATGATCATAAGTCGACTGGCTGTCTAATGGATAGACGCCCTTTCTAATATACCTAGCTAGAAAAAAAGAATGGACTCTGCCATACTGAAAAATGGTCAAGTGGCGCCATCTATTGAGTAGGGCTTGTTTTAAATGGATCGAAGCGCGGGCTTTTAAATGAGCGTATTTATTAAATTTTACTCTAAAATAACTAAATTTGATTATTAAATTTTATTTTTTACACAAATTCAACAATACTAATGACAAGTATCGTTGTTATGTGTAAAAAATAAGATTCTAACAGTATAATTTATACAATTATTAAATAAAATTAAAGCCAAATATGTGTAACTATTATTTATTATTCAAAGTTTTTATTTAAAAGTCAAATATTTAAACATAGTTTATTATAATAAAACAAGACCTACGTAATACGAACTAATGAGACTAGACTGTAAATAATACTACTAAAAATATTTTGTAAATGGAGTAAAATATAAATAGGTACTTAAATGATGGCAAAAATAAAAAAATTACATTATATATTTTAGGGCCACAAACAAATCGAAATTGTCTAATTAAAACACATATAACAAATTATAGTTTGAAAAACGTTTTGATAATCATTTGACGTCAATATTATGATTGGCGCTATGACAACGACAATATTTTTGAGAATTTAACAATAGTATGACAATGGTCGTTGGAAACTATGGAAACTACAAAAAATTCTGATTTAACGACATCTGGCAATAACTAGTAGCAACTTCTTAACCTAAAAATGAATTGCACTACCACCTAGCGCCTGAGGCTGGAACTATTTTATTTGAAATTTCCATGGAAACGGTGGAACCGCTTTTACTATTTTATTTGAAATTTCCATGGAAACGGTGGAACCGCTTTTACTATTTTACTTTCCCGCCCCTGGAATAGACCCAGATTTATCCAGAACGAAAAAAAAAAACAACGAATACATACCATATATTTTTTTTTTTATCTAAGATACATACCTTATCGTCTTTTGGAAACACGTACATTTTTGCAGTTTTGTTAGTTTCTTTGCAAGATGCAACACAACAAGAAAACACCATTTTACAGTTAATAAATAATAAAACTATTTCTGACTATGATATTTAAAATTTAGATAGATAGAAAATTAAAAAACAAACGAGTATTTGCAAAGGCAGGCCCAAATTCAATAAAAATATAAAAATTTCCTGCAAAATCAGGCTTTTTTCACTGAAAAGGTATTTTTGATTTATCAGCAGTCATTGTCAAGTTGACAATATACAGGGTGTTTTCGAATTAGTCAAAAAAATTATGATGTGATTCCTCATGTGTTCTTAAAACAATTTTTATATAACCATTGGGTCTAAAGTACTTCCTTTCTGATCTACAGGGTGCTAAAAATTTAAAAAAATCGATTTTTTGCTTAACATAAATGGAAAAGAAAATATATTTTTTTTTGACTGGCCATCCTTTTTCAAACAAAATTGATCTTTTTAGTTTTTCTTGTTCATCAAACGGTTGTCGAGAAAAAAATAAATATACTTATTAAGAGCCCGCCTTAATTCGCTTTCTAACGATTTTTTATTTTTTAGATTAATTAGGAAACACCCTGTATATGCATATCACAGGCAACCAAATAAACTAGTAACCTCTAAAAATTATTTTTCCTACCACTAGCGACATACCGTGTTTTTAGTGGGTACTAAATTATTTTATCAAAATTTCACCATATAAGTTTCCAGGCAATGGTTATCACTAGAATATTTTTATAAAAAAAAACATGTACGCCACTGACTCTTTTTCTCTTATTAGCGAAATAGTGTAAGTAGTTTAATGCCGATTAAAAGTTGTATCTTGATATTTTGTCGATTTTGGCCTCCTCGATGAGATAAACACAATTTGATTAATTTGCCTTGATCCAAGGCTAATAGCAAGCTAAAAAAAATTAATATCATTAACTTACGAAAGTTTTAAATTAGTATTCATTGATTCCTTATAAAAAATTTTGAAAAAAAGTTCCTATAAACATGGGTATAGAAATGCTTAATTTTAGATTTACAGGATGTTAAAACTTTCTAAAATTAGTTTCTTTGTATTTATAAGAATTTGTATTGTGAAATGGACCAATACCGATCTGGCTCAACTAAACCGTAGAATACGCGTTCTTATGACCCGATCAAGGAAACATCACTCTAAGGCCTGCATGGAAAGATTACATTACCACGCAACCAAGGAGGAAGAGGTATTCAAGATATTAAAGAGTTTTGCTAACGACAAATTAGTGACTTAAGAGCGTATTTCTTTAAAAGCGAAAACCGAAGCTGTCTGCATCGCATAATTGTCAAAACTGAAAAGAATTTCACCCCCTCAACCTTAAGCAACGGAACAACATACAAATTCCAGAAGATTCCACTACCAGAGAAAAGATACGATTGTGGTGAACAAAGGAGCTACACTAGCGTTTCTATCGCTTCTTATACGACGGTGAAACTGATATTCCTCAATCACTTCAATGGGCAATTCAGGGTTACCTGAATCCAGGAACCGAAGGTTTTCTCATCACAGTGAGACAGTGGACTCTGATTTATGCAGAAAATAATATAAATGCCCAGAAACAATAGACCACATTTTATCAGGTTGTGGGATATTAGCACGAACAAAGTATTTAGAAAGGCATAATCAAGTGGTAGGTATTATTCACCAGAACTTAATGACTCAGACAGGAATTAAGGAAGATACACGACCATATTATCAATATGTATGAGCTGGCCAATATGTATGAGTATACTGGGATAGAACTATACTTACCGACCGAACAGTGAGGTATAATAGGCTTGACATTACTCTGGTAGATAAAGAGGAAAAAATTACTTACCTGATTGATATATCAATTCCTGCTAATAATAATATACATCAGAAATATCATGGAAAAATAGAGAAATACAGTAGTATAACTTCGAGAAGAAGTCCAAAACATGGGATATGAAAAAGGTAATTTGGTCCCGATAATTATGTCGTCGACGGGCTTAGTACCATGTCATCTGAAGAATAGTTTCAAAATAATAAATATATCTGAAGATATTATCTCAACAATGCAGAAAGCCACTATACTTCAATCTACATCAATGGTCCGATCTTTATTGGCTAAGTAAAAGTGAGAGTTCTTGATACTTAGTTATCCGTTCCTCACACTACCCAATAAGGCAAAAAAAATAATAAATTAGGTAAAATATATAATTTATCAATTTTATTTTAAATTTGATTATATTAATTGTGATTAATGATGCACGGTCCCTGATAAATTTATCGACACTTTTTTAGCATTAAAATATGTAGTACTTATAGCAACTTTTACCCTCAAAATTTCATTTGAAACACTAAAAGAACTTAGAAGAAAATTATAATAAATCGAGAAATTATTAAGTTTTTAACACCCTGTAGCTACAAAACAAAGCAGTATCGGACCTATGTTTATATGAAAAATAAATATTATTTTTACGTGATGAATCTCCCCACGAGAGATGGCACAGGTTTTTGAAGCACCTTGTTTTAAAGTATATATAGCACCTTCTTTTAAAGTAAATATATATAAAAATATTTTTTTCGCTAGGGTTTTAAATACTCTTATATTGTTTTCGCTAGGGTTGGCGTTTTTTATTTTATTGAAAGCTGTCGATGAATATGACAATATAAATACTTCAAATCGTTCGTCACAATGACACTAATGTGAAATTTAGAATGTTTCTGAAAGGTATATTTATTTTTGTTCTAATGCTAGGATTAATTGTAGAAACTGCACATCTGACGACTCGAGAAAATGTTACTCATTTTAATGATACCCAGACAACCAGACCCGTATTTAAATGCTCTACTATGGATTTTCCATTTGTTGTAAGTCATCTTATTCATTTTTTATAGATACATATATATAAATATATTATGAAAAATATACAAAGGAAATTCACATACATCAAATATATTAAATTGTTATAATCCTAGATAATTATTATAATAAACGAAATAACGGGAGTAATTATTTAATCTTGGTAATTCATAAATACAGGGTCGCTTTTATGTATGGAAATGGTCGATTATTAGGTAAAATATAGGAGATACCGCAAAAAGTTAAATATAAAAGTTTTAGGGTTTATAAATATCTATTAGCCGGTGATACATTTAAGTATACAGGGTCGGTCATAAAGTCGTGGCACATCAAAGTTTTATTTTTTAAAATGGAACCCCCTGTATATTATTGCGTATTTCAGTTCTTCCTTTAATTCTAAGCAAAAATTGAAATACACACGATGTACTATATGTATACACTGTATACTTAATAATACTTGACATTAGTTCTCAAGTTAGCATTTATAGATGTATAAAATGAGAGTATAGCAATTCTGCAAATTACAAAATTTTTGTTTAACATTTCAAATTCTTCAATTTATGTACAGGGTGGGTCAAATTCGACGCTTTTAAATGGAAACACCCTTTTCTATAGGAGATAGATGAAAACTAATATCGGTGTCTGAAGCTCAATTTTCATCAAAAACATGATGGTGAAAACCGCACATCAATATCTGTTACCATTTCGGAGTTACGGGGTGTTTTTCAAAAATGTGCATTTTTAACAAATGTCTGTAACTTTTTTGCTATGGAAAATTTTCTATTTCTATGAAAACATTTCCAAAGCACCTTTTTACGTAGAATTTAATGGTTTAAGTATAATTTTTTTTTAAAATTAATAATTTAAGAGTTATCAACATAAAAATTGATATTTTATTTGATACACCCTCTATATTTTTAATTAACTGAAAAGAATTTAAAATTACCTTTCCAAAAATATAGCACACTTGATATTTTGTTATAATCCCCTTCGAAATACAGAATTTTTAAAAGTTCGCCACTTTTAACTAGTAGGCTATGGACCCCTTATTGATGATATGCCCTTAATGGAATTCGAAAACATATTTTTCCAGCAAGACGACGCACCGCCTCTGAACGCTGAAGTTATCAGCAAATTTTTGCAGCCAATTTCAAGAATAATTGGATAGCTAACCAAAATCCCAGCAGTTGGCCGTCGAGGCGGCCTGACTTAGTGCCCATGGATCTAATCCTATGGACATATTTGCGGAAGAATAAAGGTGCCTTATTCTTCCGTATAATCTAGATAAGAATTAAAAATACTTAGCAGTTATGAGAGGGTATCTTTCACCCTACTGAGTTAGTGAATTCCGCGAGAAATGTTCAAAAACTGCCCCGTCTGTCCATAACAGAAGACGGTCGATATGTAGAACACCTGTAGCAGAATCTCATGTCTTGGTTTGCTATTTATTTTTATTGTTATTAGATATAGTTTAAATATGTTGATGTTGGTTAAATATATTTTAAATTGTTATAAAATTCTGCATCTCTCATAGCAAATATTATTTTCGTTTTAATTGATGCTCACAGCTAGATTTTTTGCATTACAGCCGGTGCCGTTCAAAGCCTACTTATTTAAAGCGGGCGAATTTTTATATACTCTATATCCCTAAGAGGAATCGAGCAAAATATCAAGTGTGTTATATTTTTGTAAAGGTAATTTTAAATTCTTTTCAATAAATTAAAATATACAGGGGTGCCCCATATAAAAAAAAATCAAATTTTCTGTTCATAATTCTTAAAATATTAATTTTAAAAAATTATACTTAAACCATTAAATTCTACGTAAAAAGGTGCTTAGGAAATGTTTTCATAAAAATACAAAATTTTCCATAGCAAAAAGTTACAGCGATTTGTTAAAAATACATATTTTTCAAAAATACCTAAGCAACTTGAAATGGTAACAGATATCGATATGCGGTTTTCACCATCATGTTTTAAACTTGAAATTGAGCTCCAGACATTTATAGATGTATAAATTTTTGTCTATTCTCCTATAGAAAATTTTCCATTTAAAATTTCAAATTGACCCAATTTATGTACATTGTGTATTACGATTATTGCTTAGAATTGACAGAAGAATTGAAATATGCAATAATATACAGGGATTTTATTTAAAAAAAAAATAGTGTTTGATGTGACACAACTTTATGGCCGACCATGTATACTTAAATTTACTAGTAGCTAATAGGAATTTAAAAACCTATTACAACAGTATCACAGTTTCGGCAGAATGGCATCATTAAATAATCAAGCCAAACACATCGAAATTAATTAAATCGAATTGTTTAAGTGACACTTTCAAAAGTCAATAACTTGGATACGGATGCTTTGAGGCACATTGTGTGATTTCTATTTTTGCTTAGAATTGAAGGAAGAATTGAAACATGTAATAATATAGAGTTATACAGGGTATACATAAAAATATATACAGGGTTGTTCACCACATACGACACGAAGTATTGTAGCTAAACGACTAGATTTTTACAAATTGTAAGTTTTGGATTCGTTGAAGGACTATTAGAGCTACAATTTAAAAATATTTTTACAAAATACAGAGTGTCCCAAATAAATAAAAAATATCAAAGTTGTATTTTTTTAAATGGAACACCCTATATATTATTACATTTTTAGTTTCTACGCTTAAAATTAAAGGTAAATTTGATTAAGGTTTATTACACTTAAACCTTACCGTTTTTGAAATATTTTCAATTTTGTGAAATTGCAGTATAAATTTTAAGGCTTCATTTCTCCGAGGTTATCAAAGTTTTTATTACTAAATATTTACTGAAGTTTATTTATTGATCAGTTATTGTGTTGCAATAATAAAAACTTTACTACCTTATACAGAGTGTCTAAAAATTAATTTTAAATAATTACTAGCTTTAAAGGGCAATAATTTGTTTAATTTAAATGGAACACCCTGTATATTTTATGAGATTCAGATGCACAATTTAATTGTCTATCAAATTGTATTATGCCATTTTTTACCTATCTCTTCAAGTTTCCGTAGAAAATGCATTTTCTTGTAATTTAGAACTCATTTATCAATATACCCATGGAATACTGACATTTTAGATTATTTTTAAAGATGTACCAAATTTTTAAAGAGTATAGATACTAATATTGTCGATATAGTTCGTTTATTTCATTAAAAAAACTGTTTAAATATTTGTTAAAAAGGACCAATTAATATGATTCCAGTAGTCAAACTACATTAATTGACTGTTCGCGTTGATTAATAATAATAGCTCCAAATACTCAAAAGCTGAATTATGTATGTGTATTAGACAGTGTGGTAAAAAGTAACACCTTAAAAATTATATTTCATTTTTCGACAAATGCCTATTTATAACAACAGAGATGTTCATTTTTATAACTTATTATTATATTGATTTTTGATTCAAATCCACATTTATTTAGAATAATTTATTAACGAACACAATTAAGTATGTAGTTAATTAGTATTTGGGCGGAAATACTGGTGGTATATTTAATTAATGGTATACTCTTTTATAAAGATTTAAATAGTTTTCTTTTTGTATACAAATGGGCTAGTAATATTATCGTTTTACTAAAAACTATAATATTACTAGCCTGTACATTTTGTACATTTGTTATTTTAAAAACAATCTAAAATATAAATATTCCATGGGTATATTGATAAATGAGGTCTAAATTATAAGAAAATGCATTTTCTACGAAAACTTGGAGGAATAGGTAAGAAGTGGTATAATACAATTTGATAGACAATTAAATTGTGCATCTGATTCTCATAAAATATACAGGGTGTTCTATTTAAAGTAAATAAGTTATTGCCGTTTAAAGCTTGTAATTATTTAAAATAAATTTTTCGACACTCTGTATAAGGTAGTATAATTTTTATTATTGCAACACAATAACTGATCAATAAATAACCTTCAGTAAATATTTAGTATTAAAAACTTTGATATCCTCGGAGAAATGAAGCCTTAAAATTTATACTGCAATTTCGCAAAATTGAAAATATTTCAAAAACGGTAAGGTTTAAGTGTAATAAGCCTTAATCAAATTTACCTTTATTTTAATCGTAGAAACTAAAATGCAATAATATACAGGGTGTTCCAGTTAAAAAAATACAACTTTGATATTTTTTATTTATTTGGGACACTCTGTATCTTGTAAAAATATTTTTAAATTGTAGCTCTAATAGTCCTTCAATAAACCCAAAACTTACAATTTGTAAAAATCTAATCGTTTAGCTACAATACTCCGTGTCGTATGTGGTGAACAACCCTGTAGAGTTATACAGGGTGTCCCCAAAAAAAGTTACACATCAAAGTTGTGTTTTTTGTAATGGAACACCCTATATATTAAATGATTTTTGGATTCTAGGAAAAAAAATAAAGGTGAGTTTTATTAAAGAAGCATATGCCTGAAATGTAACGATTTTGTCATATTTCACATTTTGTGAAAATGAAGAATACATTTTAAATTTCAGTCACAGCTTCTAAAATTGTAATTTACCCTATATAGTCTTATATTTGCATCGGAAGAAGAGGTGAAGCGTAGGTGCAACATGGCAAAGGTAGCTGATGGGAGACTGACCAAGATCTAGAAAGACCGTCAGATTAAAAGAGCCACCAAAAACCGGCTAGTCAACTGTTTGGTACTCCCAATATTGACGTATGGCTGCGAATCGTGGACTCTCAGGCAGGCGGAACGTAAGAAGATCGATGCTACCGAGATGTATTGTTATAGACGTATGCTCCGTATCCCATGTACTGAACGCCGTACAAACGTTTCCATTATAAATGAACTTAATATTACTAACAGGCTTTCCTATAAAATCCGACTAAAACAACTAAAATATTTTGGACATATAATGAGGAAAAGTCCGGACAATATGGAAAGACTCATAATTCAAGGCAAGGTGGAGGGACGTAGACCACGTGGCCGCTCTCCAACTCGATGGATAGACCAGATCACGCCTAGCTGTAACAAGCCAATGCACGATGTCATCGAGATGACAAAAGACAGAGGCGCATGGAGAAAAATCATCCATGATGTTACGCTGACCACTACACTCCCTAATGGGGGTCAGGACTGAAGAGAAAGAGTCTTATATTTAATTACAATAAACCATTGTATGTTAAATTAAATTAAAATTTGACCCGAAAAGTTATACAGGGTGAGAGAAAACTAATACTGAATATTTATCACTTTTAAAAGCAAGTTACTCCTTTACTTTAAATGGAACACCTAGTATATAATTCCGGTATTCAATGGAGAATTCATATATTTTCAAAATATTATTAAGGAAGCGTGCCTCTTAGACTAAGATTTTCCTAGATATTAGATATTTTATTTGACAAAATCTAGGTGGCTATGATACACCTTTTGCTAATTTATCAAAAATTAAAGGATGTGGAGTAAAATACTATAATAAAAAGTTTAAACACACGTTTAAAACATATTTTAATTATCACTGACTTAAAACTAGATATAAACGTATAGTTATATATAATGCGACCAAAATTAGCTACATGAGATCAAATGTTCAAAATGCCTCCCTTCCTGATCACTGCATAAAATAATTTTCTTTTCAAAAGATCTTTTTATGACAAAAGGCATGCGTGGAGTTCTACTTCAAAAAACAGCCACAATTATTTCTCTCGTGTTTTCGGCAATTGTTGGTCGATTTTGTGAACACTATCTTTAAAACATATCCCCAGAAAAAGCCAGGCCAGATAAAATCAGGAGCATGCAAGTATTCTATTAATTGGTAAATGCACACTGCATTCACCAACTAATAGAATCATATCAATTCTCTCTGATTGATAATTATGATTCTCTCTCAATTCTCTCTGACATTTTCATTTTCGCCAATTTTCTGTATTTTTTTTGTTTTAACTGATACAAAATAATAACTAGTTGTTAAAGTTGAACTAATTACACAGCTATTTTGAACTAACGCCAGACATATCACAGCCACCTAGATTTTATGAAATAATAAGAATCTATTCACACTAAATCATAAAAATGAAAATATCTAGGAAAATCTTTCTTTGAGGGTTAGGTAACCAACATTATTTCGAAGAAACATAAATTCCCCATTGAATTGAAATATGGGAATAATATATTGGGAATAATATACTGGATGTTTTATTTAAAATAAGTGTAACTTGCATTTAAAGGTGACCAATGTTCAATATTAATTTTTGTAACAACCTGTATAATTTTTTGCTCAAGTTTTATACTCTCAACCTGTATAATTTTTTGCTTCAAGTTTTAATTCGATTTAAAGTATAATAGTTATTTTAACTACACGTTAGGCTATACCGGGTAAATTCCAAATTACGTAGCTTTTATTGAAATTTAAAAATTGTTCTTCATTTGCAGAAAATGTTAAATAAGTCCAAAATCTTACATTTTAGTCATATACTTCTATAATAAAACTCACCTTTATTTTTCTCCTAGAATTCGAAAATAAATTAATATATAGGGTATTCCAATAGAAAAAACACAACTTTGATGTGTAACTTTTTTTCGAAACACCCTGTAGAACTCTCTATATTTTCATCAAGTGCTCTGAATTTACCTACATATGCTCACTCCATTTTATTTCAATAAAAACCGTCGTTCTCCTTGAAACCTCCGCGCCGTATGAGAGGCGCCACCCTGTATAAGATTATTATTAAAATTGAGTTTTAAATCACACAAACATGTTCATATTCATCTTTAGGTATGTATTGCAGAAAGTTTTCGAAAAAAATTTGAAATCAAATGCGCCGGTACTCTTATTTCGTCATACTGGGTGATGACAACAGCCGCCTGCATACTCAATACCCGGCGTTTGACGGTGTTTGCTGGATTCAGTAGCCCACAAGGACCTCTTGTGCGTATTGCAGCGAGGAAATTTAATCATCCCAGGTTCATACCCAACACGTACGAAAACGACATAGGAGTAATAATGGTAAATACATTCCAAGTAACTCATTTACTGCTAAAATTAAAATAAGTAATTGGCGGTTTGCACCAATTCTTAACGTTGAGCAAAAACATTTATATTTATTTACCTATGAAAGCTATGCATACAAACAAATTTCATTGGTCTGCAAAAAATACTTTTCTCCCGAGTTCCGGGCCCAAATTCTGGAACTTCGACATTAAAACGTTATGCTTTCAAAGCGGTAAGCGAAAGTATTCGCTTAGCGGAACGCCAAGTAGTCAATTCTGGTATTCTCGTTGCCGTGCGAATCGTTCTCTGGATACGCGTTGAGCACATATTGGCAGCATCGCAATTTCTCAGGGATCTTTTAATCAAATGTGGATTAAATAAGGAAAAATGTGAATGATATGTAAATGTCATAACCTATTGTTGAGTAATGTCAACCTATTTTTCTATATTCTTATTACGCGAGGGAAATGTTGAAGACGCTTCTCAGCATTTTTGATATTTCGAACAATATTTATAGCTACCAAGTCGTAAATTGTCAATTACTTATTGAGAAATTTATAGAAGAAGAAGTCGTTTTCCTTAAGATTAAGAGAACGCAGAAAATCACAAATTTTACTGACAGTTCAACAAGCAAAACAATCCTTTAAGGTAGCCGTTTTCGAATAGCTTAGTGCAATCGTTAAAGACGCTAGAGAAACAATATAGAGTCAAGAAATCGATTTTGTAAACAATTAAATTTTCTAAAATAAGCAACTTTGTAGTATCTCTGATATTTATAAAGTTATTGGCTATTGAATTTTTTTATGGCGGACGAAGGGACTAACATATTCCTACAACAATTTTTTTTGGATTCCTGGGGTCTCAAAACATTAAGGAAAGCAGTTTTAGTCGTAGTAAAATGTTACCCTTTATGAAAAGTATAAACATGTAGAAATAACTAGCACCTGTATAACCTGTTTTACATTAGCGAGATTATTTTTGCAGCTTTAATTGTAGTATAAACTATCATCTGACAAATTTTGAGAACTGCGAAAATAAGGGCATTGGTCTCAATAATTGTTTCCTAATTTTTCACCTGCCAGGCATATCCATTCTCATAGATGAGCCAGACTATTTTTTTTCTTAACTGCACAACATCTCTTACTAATAGAACTATTTTTGTAGCTGAAAAAAAGTGCAGTATATTTGTACTTTCTAATACATTTTCCGCCTCAACCCATCGAAAAACCCCCCTCTATATATACCGGGTGCGTCTCAAAAGTGGCTCACCCCTATAACTTTTTTAGTTTTTCAGATTTCAGATAAAAAAAACGAGATTTGGTATGTTAGTATATGACATAAATTAGTATTGATTGACGTATTCAATTGTTTTTGATCACTTCCAGTTTCACCAGAAATGACTACAACTTTTGATTTTTAAATGGCACCCTCGGTCTTTTTTTTTATTTTAATCGATAGAAAATGACATTCCGAATAGAATGACATATCATATGTCAGCTTTTGACATTCTTGATTAATAAATAATCGTATTTTAAATTTAAATCTAGAAAGCCATGGCTGTGTTAAAAACACTAATTTTTAATCAAGAAGCCTTGGAAAATAGATTTGATCGTATAATGTTTTAGTGTCTTGTCCTGGTCGGTTAAAAAATGCCCAAATCGTATTTTAATCATATACCAATTTTTTTAAATGGTGGCTCATTAGCATATTTGGAAAAAGCATATTTTTACGAATAATTTGATACCACACACTTGGTATTTCGAGTCAAATTCTTGTTACGAACCACAACTTATAATTTCAAATAAACCATATGCGAAAATGTGAAAAGTTGACATATTTCAGTCATTCTATTCAGAGTGTTGTTTTCTATCGAATAAAGTAAAGATATACCGATGGTGCCATTTAAAAATCAAAAGTTGTGGTCATTTCCGGTGAAACAGGAAGCGACCAAAAACAATTGAATATGTCAATCAATCCCATTTTATGTCATATTCTAACATATCAAATCTCGTTTTTTTAACTAAAAAATAAAAAAGTTATAGGGGTGAGCCACTTTTGAGATGCATCCGGTATATGAAATTTGCTTAGAATAACATACCAAATAATTCTATCGGTGTTTGCTGATTGAAAAAATAAGTACGGAAAATCTTCACTGCCTCCTGGATTACTAGGATTTTCTACGTAGGAGTTCCTAGAGTGATGTCAGAGCAGCTCTGCTTTATTTTGGTTAATGTAAAAATATTTATTTATTAATTAAAATCCTCTACTGAGGGAAAAGAAGACTCACACTCACAGTCTTGTATAAAACTTTTTTATTTTAAATTTTTACTATTTAAATAACGGCGGGCAACATCTTTCTGGAATCAAATCCCATCCTCAGGCTCAAAAGACAAAAAAGTCACTCCGCCAGTTGTACCAAATCAGAAATCAGTAGGTCATCAAGGATAAAAAAGGTATTTAAAAAAAATGCATTTGCTACAATTTAATGTGCCAAATGTTAAACAAATCATCTGTCTTGAGTAATGATGCCCTTGTAATGATATTTATTTATAATTGTTTATAGTTGGCAAGTCCAATGCCCCTGTCAGAATACATCGATTTTGCCCGGTTACCATTAAGACAATTATCGGTTGAGTACGAAAGAGACATCTGCAATTCAACGTTATTGATGGGCTGGAGTTACACACGCAGCAGAAAATCTAAATCGGATTTGCCTAAGTTGATCAATTTGCAGTGTTCCACTTTTCGCGTCCTGCCTTACGAGCAGTGTATCGGACAAGTGAAAAATATAAATCCCACACAAATGTGCTCAATTATAACAAACGAAGAAGATGTCTGTCAGGTACAAAATGTCATCTTAAAAAGTTGTTTTTTTATTTTCGTTATAGATAAAGGAAATAAATTTAGATTGGAATGTAGGGTTTGCCGGAAAAGACATCTAACGGTTGTGACACAACACTCATAACACACAATTTAATTTCAATCGTACATAATTTAATACTTTTATATAAGTTGATATCCTGATGAAGGGATGGGTGCATAAATATGACAATACTGTTGGGTTTCGCTCGCATTTCTATATTTTCGGCCGTGTTGTTTTTTTATCAACACACAAAGATGAGTTTTTTACGGCTATTAAGCTATCTGTACACTTCGCACTAAAAGTGGCTCTAAAAAGTACAATATTCGACTGCAAGGTCTGCTAGTAAATATTTTTAAGCTTAAAGTAGTCAGCCTGGCGGCAGCGCCGAATATGTCCATGGTTGGCCAATAATGAACTTGAAAATCGCGCAACCAACGTTTCTAAAATCAGCCCTAAACGTTGTATTAGTATCATAAATATATATCAAAATTTTCTCATGTACGTAAAATTAATTTTTCTTGTTATAACTTTTGAAGACATGAGACACATTTTCTTATTGAGATAAACATTAATGTCTTATTGAGACATATTAAATTAGTACTTCCTTAGCTTATTTTTATTAGTTACAACACCACTAAGAGATATCTTAAAATATCTATTTTACTTAAAAGTTGATTCAAGTGAGCGTAAACAAGTTAAAACCTGTATATTACGTTGCAAATTAGTGGACGACTAAAAAGTAGCACGCAGTTTGTGTCTGGTCAAAAATTATTTAATCGAGTGATTACTTGGTTGCATGTGTGCGCATCACCATAAAAAATATTGATTTCAATTCTGCAACTAAATAATTGGCGGACTAAAAATTGCATATCATCGCCCAACTATACGCATTACACAATTCTAGATATAACGCAACATACGCAATACAGAAGTACATACGCAAGCACGTAATAGTTGTAGAGACACGATACAGCAAAATACATCCGTTTAGTATGATTTCGGAGGAATTATGTTCTAAAATCATCAAAAGCTTCTTAGAATAAGATCGCGTCACTTGCAAACAGTCTTTATGCGTACTTTCCAATTTAAATTTGTTTTATTACTACGGTTTCTGTTAAGAACGTTTTCAAAATTCTGCCATAATTTCTGTAATAACTTTACATTTACAGGTTTTATATGTATATTATGATTTATAAAAAAACTCAAAATTTAAGTGAGGATGCAGTCAATACTATGATTGCATCCTCACTAAAACTGAGTTTTTTTCTTAACTTAGTCAGTCACGACTAACCTGCTATTTTATGATTTATTTGTATATTGTGTTCCAGTGAACCGATTTCGATGATTTTTTAAGCAATTTGTAGCTAAATAATTTTACTTTTTAGTATCTCTTTCTAAATTAAAAATGAAAGTTGCCATCTTTCAATTATACGACCAAAAACAAAATGTTGATATTTTGGTGAATGTTTGAAATACCCTGTGAGTACGTTAACAAAGCAAGGAATTTGTACTCTGTTTTTTTTCTCAGGTAAGATTTCGATAGACGATGACAGAAGAAAAGCAGATGACGTCCCATACCAATCAATTTATTTTACTAAAAAAAGTTTCTAATAATTTTTAAGTTATATAAATCCGTCATGCGTCGTCTCTTGTTGTTTTTAACCAGTTTTATTGGTTTATTTCAAAAATGACAGATCGTATTTCAATTTTATTGGTTTGCCGGGACGATGAACGACAAACGGACGCCGTATGAACTCGCCTTTAGATTTTTGACGCTTGTCAAAGTCTTGCCAAATTAGAGGTTATAATTTTGAGTCAACTTTTGTCAGTTTTGTCAAATACCCTGCGTTTTGGAAGATGATGCATTTTGATTCATGTTATTACGTGTGTTTTGTGTCTTTTGAAGTCAAGTGGAGGAAAAATCGAGTGAAAATTAACTGTAGACCCAGAGCACAGTTTATGGTTAATACTCGCTGCCCAGGCAAAAAGTCTTATACACCAATAAAGTTATCATCTTTAAAGTTCGTATACCATCTCGTCGTAGATAAGTGCATCTCGAATATGGTACAAGGACCATACTAAACACATACTAAAAACTGGAGTAGCTGTAAAATATCGACATCACACGATAGGTAAATAATGGATTTTAGTACTGCACAAGAAAAATAATGCCAAAGGTACTGGTTTAGAAAAAATAAGATTAAGGTTAATTAATCAACCTTTAAGGTACCTATAAAATTTGGTAAGTGTTATTAATAATAAAATAGTTTGTTTTATTTATGTTGTTTTATTTATTCCTGCGGAATATTACAAATTTGTATTTGTACATAAGTTATATTGATAAATATAATTATAAATGCGGGAAGTTTCATAAAGCTTGAACGAAAATAGGTAAGAAATAGTTCTTTTTTATATTTTTTTCGTCTGTGGTGTCTTGTTCTTGTTTGTTTTGTATTAACACATACCGTTTTTTATTAAATTAAATAACTCGATTACATTTTTTTAGTTTTATACAGTTTTTTTCACAATATTTTGAAGTAATCACTTGTCAGTCAAATTTTAAATATAATAATTTCCTGCTGTGCGTTCCAGTTGTACCAACTTATTTCTTTGTAAAATAAAATAAACTACTTTGAAATTAAAATGACAGACACATCTATCACTGTCAAGGATCTTCTCGTTGGACAGACTATAAAAATCAATCTAGATATACCTTTTCTCAATAGTTTTATTTTTTTTAGATATTCGCTTTGGAAGAAGATACTAACATTTCTTCAATTTTTTTAGATTAAAGCCATGCCTTTGGTCCTAGTCAACAGACCTATAATAGTTATTAATGATACAAGTTCGATACGAACACCATTATAACATCGTTAGCCGAGTGGCTTAGTTACACAAGTTTCATTAAAAAGTTCGTATCGAACGTGTATCATTCAAAATTTAATCTACGACGCGACACGAGGGACGATCCAAAGAGATTTGATTTAATTTAAAATATCAGAGATATCCTCATAAAAATTAAAATTCAAAATTATCAGTGCTTGTTGATTTTTTCCATTTTGACTTTGACAACTCAATTATTGAAGTTCAATTTTGTGTTAAACGTTCAGTTTTAGCAAAAAGCAAAAAATAATATTAATATGGGTGATTCTGATTCTGAAAGTGTTCCTTCGGATATTGAAGGCATTGCGCAAAACGTTGTCGATTCCCTACTTCCCAAAAAATCAAGACAAAATTACGAGCAAGCCTATGTAAAACTTGAAGATTGGTGTAAAAAGAAAGGAATCAAGAATAGTAGTAACGAAAAGGTTCTCCTGGCATATTTTGAACATCTTTCAAAACACAGGAAGGCTTCATCACTTTGGGTATATTATTGCATGCTACGTTCAGTTATATAAGTGAAGAAAAATACAGATATTAGTAAGTACGTCCATTTAATTGCATTTCTAAAAAGAAAATCGGAAGGATTTCGGTCAAACAAATCGAGAATTTTAAGAAAAAATGACATAACTCGTTTTTTGTTGGAAGCCGATGATAAAACTTATTTCCTGACAAAAGTTTCATTGATAGTGCGACTTGCGGGAGCCTGCCGGCGTATCGAGTTGACAAATCTGCAGCTGCAAAATGTTAAAGATGAAGGACAATGTATTCATGTCATTATTCCATTTCAGATAGCTATGCGGCCAAGCAACACAGAGCATACTCGATTTTTTGGGGTGGGGTACAGAAATGGAAAATGTATTAAGCAACCCGTTGGCATTAATACTTTAGGGAAAATGCTGTATAAAATAGCATTGTTCCTAAGTCTTCCAAATCCACAACAATATACTGGACATTGTTTCCGTATATGGTCTGCGTCGTTGCTTGCAGATTCAGGAGTGGATTTATTAACTGTTAAAAGACATGGTGGTTGGCGCTCTAACACAGTGGCAGAGAGCTATATAGAAAATTCCAAAGAAAATAAGAAAAAAATGTCATGTAATATTTTGTGTAACATTTCTGGCAATGATGGGTCTTCAACAAGTTCAAGCTCTCAGGAAATAAATTTACTTTCTAAAAATTCAAGAAGCAGAGAGAAACTAATAACTAAAGTGAGAGAGACCGATCAACGTTAATTTTTGAAGACTGTGTTAGTGGCGCGGCCTTTGGCGTCTAACCCGAACTATGAGCGCATTATCGATATAGTAGGTTGCATTCATACCTATATACTGGCGCCAAAAATTTAAAATTAATATATTTGAACCGAATATCTTTTAAGTTTATAATAAGAAATCTTAGTAGTTTTTTTAGATTATTTTGTTGACAACGAAAATTTATTATTAGTCTTTAAAGCATTAAAACCTATAAATAAAATACTGTGTAGGAACATAATAATTTATTTAACTCCATACTCCTTGCCATACTCCAACTGAAGGCTGCAATCTTCAGTATCTTTTTTATGTAAATTGGTTGGAAGTGAACAGGGAAGCACGGTAGGGAGCTCGCACAGAGTATCAGTAGGTATCCCGTAGGTATTCAATGTTTTTGATAGTCTTTATTCTATAACAAGAACCTAGCAGTTGAAGAAAATAATTTGTATTACTGGAAATAATACCAGGTATAATACCTAGTCGTTTCATAGGTATCAGAAAAGAATGTGATGTTTTAAATTAAAAAAAAATAAATTAGCAATGTACGATTATTATGTGCACTCACTATTACTATTAGGTATGTTAAAATAATTACCGAGATAAAACTTACCTTTAAAGGAAACATTTTGTCTGGGTCTCAATCACAAAACAAAAATTACAAAAATGCCGAATAATCGTGGAATCTGAAATAATCAATAATGACAATAATCTTCTCTTCTGACAAGCTAAAAGAACAGGCACATTCAGTCAAAAACAATTTATTACTCCGACTTGCTCCGATTATCAACAGATTTTAGTTATTTCCTTCTAGAACTAAGAAATAGAAACAGCTACTGACAATCTAATTAATCCTGTCAAATGTTTAACTTGCAAAGTTGAAAACTTCCTTTTTTGACCGCCTAAACGCTATGCGCGTCTGGGATGCGCGGTGACAAAATAAACTTGTCTACGAAATGCCCTATTCCACAAGCCCTCTCACTTTAGTTATTAGTGTTCTCTCTAATCAGAACTTAAAACCATATCTACTAGAATAAACCTCAATAAACCTTTGAATAAGAAGACTAAGGAAGGAGCATATCAAAAATCTTAAGGTACACCGCGATGGGCCTCAAATATGGCCGACTTAAATTCCGGTTTATCAGTGTCGTTCTAATTTTATTTAAAAAATGTAAAACTATGATGTAGGGTAGACGTGGGGTAGACTCAATAATTTGTTGTTTTATTTTACGTTGTGAATAAATGTTGGTAGTTATTAAAATTGTTATAAAAATATATAATTCTAATAAAAATAGATAAGTTATAATAAGTATTTATTAACACAAACATCCGATACGCTACTGAAGCAGGTAAGTAAAATAGACGTATCCATCTAGATTTACTACCTTTATACAACTATCAGTAGTAGAATAAATAATAAATAACATAAAATAAGCTCCGTAAAGACTGACAAATCCACAAAATTTCAAATCAAATTCAAATGTGTCAAATGAATCGTCAAACAGAACTGTCAAGGATCCCCACCCTAGAGAGCTTTTATGGTGGCTTTTCCGCCCACCATGCATGAATACATGGATAGCATTATGTTCCTTCCTTAGTCTTCTTATTCAAAGCAATAAACAATAATAATATGACTTTTCAATGACAGTGACATTACAAAAACAATAAAGACTATTTTATAAGTATGTTCATGAGGACCCATAATCAATGCTAAAATTGCTGTAAATCGTTAGTGTCTTATTCAAAAGCGAATAACTCTAATCAAAAAAAAGCTATTGAGATAAATCAAAAAATAATCTGAAAGGTAGATCATAAAATAATTATTAAATTCCTTGCTTTGTTAACATATTTCACAGGATATTTCAAACTTTCACCAAAATATCAACATTTTGCTTTCCCTTTCCATATAATTGACAGATCGAAACTTTCATTTTTATTTTAGAAATATGTACTCACTAATATAGAAATTAATTTAGACTAGTAAGTTAAATAATTTAGCTACAAACGGCTTAAAAAATCATCAAAATCTCTGGAACAAAATATATTAAACTTTAAAATACGTCAAAATTTTAAAGTGTCCGCTTTTCGTGCCAGTGAGTATATAAAAAGTTATACATAGTGATTTTTAAAAGTCAGTAATTTGTAATTTTGTTTTCAATAGGCGGCTCTGGTTGCTTGAAAGAAAACGCGACATGTTAAAATTTTCTTCTTGAATATCTTCGGAACTCTGAATTTTAAATGTTTCTAAACGGCAAATTATTAGGCATATTAATGCAAAACTTTACCTTAATGTAACCATCCTCGTCTCTCCTATAGTTTTAGAGATCCCAAAGGGTTACCTTGTATATTAATTAATAAGATACTACATTAAAATATTTTTAGGGTGATTCAGGAGGTCCCTTACTCTGTGGCGCCATTGTGATGGGAGTGGTAAATTCAGGTATCAGCTGTGGCTATGGTAAATATTCAGCGGTGTACACTCGACTTGACACTCATATAAACTATATCACCAACATTATGTCAATCCATTCGTTTTCTTCGAGATTACTTCTAGCCAACAGTGCAGCCATTATATCGATAGTTTTAAATAGTGTAATTTTTATGTTCATGTAATAAAGACAAAACTTAAAAGCAGTGGTTTTTATTAATACCTACTTACGTTACTAATATACAGGGTGTTTCAAAAAACATGTGCCATCTCTCGTGAGGAGATTCCTCACGTAAAAATAAGATTTATTTTTCATATCAACATAGGTCCGACTCTGCTTTGTTTCGTAGATACGGGGTGTTAAAGTCTTAATATTTAAAGTTAAGTTTAATTTAAAGTATTATTAGTTTTTCTTGCATGTTTTTTGAAACACCCTGTATAGCCAAGGATGCAAGTGTTTAGTGTCTGAAAGTTCTAATATAAAGGTCCCGGAATTATTTTTTCATAGGGAAGTAAAGTATTCAGTTGTTCCTTTATATACACTCAGATGCAAAAAAAACGGAGAAATTTTTGGTCAAATTTAAAGTGTTATATTTTTGTTATTTTTAGCCCTATTTTCATGAAATTTTTACGAAGCTGTAAATAATTATATCAACTTTAATTCGCAAACTCAGCTTTTTATAAACTTAGGTATTTGGCATATTATACAGGATTAACGTGGGGTTGTTTTCTTACCATAACTTTAAAACACCCTGTGCACTAAATTTTACTAAAATATAATTTTACGGCTAGAACCATACCTCCTGAGCATTTTGTTTTTTTTTTGATCATGTTAATACATGCCTTGGTTAATTTTTAAGAGCGAAATGAACTTGCCACTAACAATTTGCAATTTTTTCAATTATCATTTCTTTTTGGAAGTTATTTTTCAATATTACAAGGCGGCTTTGGTGATTATTTTGAACTATATACTACTCTGAAGTGCCCATCATGTTCGACGTTTGCGAAATGCTCTGCAGAGGGGTTAGAGGTTGCGAAGCGGTCCAGCTTCATTAAATGAACTTTGCTTGGTCCTTAAAAGAGAATATAGAAAAACATAACGCAATATGATATTCAGGGTGGGTCAATGGAAACTTTCCACCCCAATTTTTCTCGTTTATAATTAAAATTTGGAAAAACGCTTGGACACGTCGATTTAGTTTTCTAGGGGAAAATGAAAATATCGCCACCCCTAAATTCTTAAATCGAAAGGAAATTTTTAAACGCTCGGACACGTCGATTTAGTTTTCGAGGGGAAAAGAAAATCTCATAAAATCACTTTCACACCTACAACCCCCAAGGCCACTCCCCAAGCTTAAATTTTTTTTTATGTTTTAAAATTTCTAAAAATTTTCCAGGCCAAAATTGAGCATTTTCACTTATTCCGAATTGAAAGATTTTTGGGCGTGGATCGATGCAGATTGATTAGTTAAAATTTTTAGTATACATAGTTTTCCAAAAAAAATATACAGAGAGAGAAAAAAAATAAAAACCGATTTTTTCATCACTTAGCTGATAAACTAAAATCTACTTTAAATCAATAAATCTCTAAAACTACTGAACGAAAGTACATGATATCTTATATCATTAAGAAGAGAATTGAAAGACCTTTCACATGAGGTATCACTCGGCCCCCCTTTCCGTTTAAGAATTTAGGGGTGGCGCCTCCCCCGCCTTGGGGGTTGTAGATGTGAAAGTGATTTTATGAGATTTTCTTTTCCCCTCGAAAACTAAATCGACGTGTCCGAGCGTTTTTCCAAATTTTAATTTTAAACGAGAAAAATTGGGGTGGAAAGTTTCCATTGACCCACCCTGTATGCAGACTCAATGACAATATGAAAGGACGCATTCTAGCAACCAAGGGAGGCAATATACAGTTTGTTTTTTTACAATTTTTTTTCTGTTTGTAAACTTTTCTTTAATATCGTTAGTTCTGTTATCGTTATTAATGTTTATTAAAACCAGGACTGTATCGTTAGTCTTTAACGTTTTTTTTAAATTTAGTATAGAGTATCCAAAGCAGTGTAAAATGATGTTACGACAATATAATATAACCGATAATAAAATCGCCTCGTCATATTAAAAATTACATCAAAAAGTAATGATAATTGAAAAAACTGCAAATTATTGCACGATACTATATAGATACTATATCGATAATATTATTATCGATACTAGTGGATGGACGGGTGACCGGTTCAAAACTCTGTATCGTGCTGTTGTCCAATAAAGGCAAAAGTGTAAAATCTACTGACACACACTGCTCGTTCACGCCGGTTCGAGGCCGGATGAGATCGGATATCTCGTGAGTAAGAGTTTATTTAGGCACATGCCAAGTCGGTAGGCCATTGACCATGATATGGCCGAGGACCGCGGTTCGGATTCCGCGTAAACAAAGTAGGCCCCGTCCAGATTAGCCCTGGCAGCAAAAAGGAGACGTTAACTGAAATCTTTACATTACTTTACTTTGTATTGATGTGAATCAAAAAAACAAAATGCTCCTAAGTTATGGTTCTGACTGTGAAATTTTATTATAGGAAAATTTACACACGCCACTATTACACAGGGCGTTTTAAAGTTAAGGTAAAAAAATACCCCTCGATTAAACCTGTATAATATGCCAAATACTAAAGTTTATAAAAAAAACTAATCTTACGAATTAAAGCTGATATAATTATATACAGCTTGCTAAAAAATTCATGAAAATGGGTCTAAATATAACAAAAATATAACACTTTAAATTTGACCAACAATTTCTCCGTTGCGTTTTTTTGCATCCGAGTGTATATTAAGCCACATGCATACTTTCTGGTTAGATTTCCTAAGAATATTGATATTCGTACGGAGTGGGTAAATGTATTTTTTATATAATTTAATATCTGTGACAGTAAATATTCAATTTTTTGTTCAAATATAAGCATTTTACAAATAAAATTTTTAAAATTAATGTTCAAATTTGGTGCGCGGACTATAGGTCCTTCACAACGATAGATAGAGTAAAAAAGCACCGCGTGTGCAACAAAAAAAGAAGATAAATTAAAGTCGTTGATATGTTTGGGACAATTTCCGTAGCGATTTACTTATCCACGTAAGTATATATGATCTAGGGTTTTTAGTTTGTATATGTATCATGGTGATACTATAGTATTTTTAATACCCATTTAGAATAACACCATCCTTATTTATTATTAATAAATCAGTTGAAACAAAAAATTACCAACAAAAATGAACGTCGATTATTAATAATTTGTTAGATGTCACGTTTTTGAAGTTACATTTCATGTTAATGTCATAACGCAAAATAAGATATAAAAATGTAGGCAGAACTTATTAATAATTTGTTAGATGTCGTTTCCGAAGTTACATTTCATGTTAATGTCATAACGCAAAATAAGATATAAAAATGCGATATTCTGATGAATCCAAAAAACTTTTATGGTAAGGGTAGTTTTTCTGGAACTATTTTACTAAAACGATTTAGAGATCTCGATTTAAGGCAATTCAAAAACGTCCGAAGCACTAAAAGTTCAAGAATGCACATTATATAATCTTTTGAAAACCAAACAGAGCTGCAGATTTCGAATTTGGAAGAAATATGTCTGCAAGCCACTCCCGACCAAAATCCGAATTACAAAGATACCCTACATTGTTTGAGGGAAGTAATTTACAAATGTATGCGCGAAAGGATAAAATCACAGTAGAAACTATTTTCCGGCAATTTATCGAAGAGTCTCCAGAAACTAAGATTTCCAAAAGTTCGTTATATTTTTTAAGAATTAAAAAAAAGATTTCAAAGAACATTTATGGAAGAAAACAGTTATTGGAAATGCCTTGAATCAAATTAAAAAAGAATATTATTTTTGAACAAATCAGAATGCTGCTAAAAATACAAAAGCTCTTTAAACCTGTTTTTCTGTAGAATTTGTACTTAAACGAAAAAATTAAATAAATATTATTACTGCTTGCTCGACTTCTTGTTATATTATTTATTATACTTTCTAGTGCATCAGATAACTTTTCGAATTGCCTTAAATCGAGATCTAAATCGTTTTGAATATAGTTTACTACATTAAGCAATGAAGTATAAGTTAAGATATTCTTTTTGTTATGAAGCCTTAAATCGAGATCTTAAATAATATAGGTATTTTTTAAAGAAACTCGGTAGTTAACTTAAAACAATAAGAACCCTTAAAATTAGTGCGCTTCTTTTATATTTTTTTAATACGTCAACATCTTTAGAATTTTATAAAATTAATTTTAAATTATTATAAACCGCCACTGATAATATGAATTCTGCCTACTGCTCGCAAGAAATTATTTTAATTATAAAATTATATAAAGGCCACTGATAATATGAAATTTCAAGTCACTCCGCCAATGCAATAAGAAATATGTCAAGCATTTGACATGACAAAGGTCATAACCTAATTTTTTTCATGCGGGTTTAGATGGTGCAAGAAGCCGCATACGTTAAGTTACTAAAACGGCTGGTACCTCTAAATAGGTATTAAAAATACTATACTGCCATCTTTGACTGCCATCAAATATATTCAAAGTCATATTTTGATTGACTTTTAATTTTACTCTAATATATCTTAACAATGACAATGTCGTTCATTATTGTTAAAAGTTGAATAGTACTAGAAAAGATAGCAAAAAATTTCCTTACTTAAAATGAAGATGAAATGTGTCCAAAAACGATAATTGTTGTGATTTTGATATTGGGATTTATAGAAAAAGTTTCGTGTTTGCCATTGAAGATTAGAAAAAAGTTATTGAAAAGTTTAGAATTCTATGAGTCGGATGCTCAGCTGAGAGTTCTAGGAGGGTTTACTTGCTCCACTTTAGAATTTCCATTTCTAGTAAGTAGTCAGTAAAACATTTATGAAATCTTTAGACCTCTTTCAGACGAGGACGCTGTATCCCAGACGCGCGTATCTGAGATACAGAAAAAACATGTAGTTAAATTGTACCTTACACATGGCATTCGGCGACGCATAAAGTATCGCGCGGCCGAATTTTTGAATGTGGAATGTTCAGCCGCCCGACGACGAAGGAGTATCCGGGATACAGAATTTTCATAGTAGCTTATGGACCTGTCCAGATTTGCATACTTTTGCGACACAAAAAGTTCGATTTCACAGGTAAACAGAATATTTATTGTAGGTTTATTATAGTAAAATAATAATTCAGTAGTGAGAGTGAGTTCGAACAATAAATAAGAGAACCATGGATCGTGCCGCTTTCGATAATGAAAAATTTATAAGCTTTTTATTATTATATATGTATATGCCACAGCAGAACGCACTCTTCAATATTCATTTTAATACAATAATACGACTGCACCGCACTGAAATTTGTTTTAAACTAGAATATTATTTTGTACCTAAAAAAAAGTATGCCAAAGGAGTATCTCGATAGTATTCGACTGTAATTCTGTATCCCGTATACAAAATCTCGCATACAGTATCCTCGTCTGAAAGAGCTCTTTTAAAGACGTAGAATAAAGCAAAAACGTATCAGTGATATTATTGTAAAAGTCTGAAACAGCATTTTTTTCATTTAAGCAATTCCTAGGCTCGGTTTTAGATTAAGAGTTTTAGTTTTTGTGTCAAATATTATTATAGTAATATTAAATTATCTGTTTCAAATGTTTACTTTTCTTTTTTTTTCTAAAATATCGGGCAATTCAGATTTATCGGGTCAACCAAACTCATTTACAAACTAAAGTTGTTGTTTTTGAAATAAAATGCGATACAGGATTGTTTACACTATTCGACACGGGGTATTGTAGTCAAATAATTAATTCTTTTGGAATTTTTGAGTAATGGGGTCTTTGGAGGACTACTAAAAATCAAGGTACATAGTGTAAAAAATAAATAAATAATGTGAAAATTGTATTTTTTTAAATATAACACCCTGTGTATTATTACATTTTTATTTTCTACGATTAAAAAAAGATAAATTTGATTAAAACAGTTACCGCACTTACCGTTTCTGAAATATTTACCATTTTTTGATCTAGTAAATTGTTTCTAGTAATTTATTTTTACTAGATATGAGATCTAGTAATTAGATCTTCAATTAATAATAAAACAATTTTAATAATCTACAATTTTAGCGTTTAATACTCGCTCAGTGGGCACCGAGTGGGCGTGACAAGATCTAGCCAACCGAGTCAGAGCCCACCGAGCGTAACAGTTAGATTTCCGCCACTAGAGTAGTAGGAACATGGTAGGAACAAAGAACTTGAAGGAAATGGACCGTTGTCTCTGTTCATACTATCTTTACATTTATTAATTCTGATGCTTTTATATGCATCTAATTGCCTGTAATTTGAGACTAGTTTAATTAATTTTAAATTATTAAGATCTATACAATGTTCTTTATCAACAATATGTTCGGCAACGCAAGATTTATCCAGTCTACCATATCTTATCTGAGCTAAATGTTCTTTAAATCAAGTTAATATTGATCTTCTAGTTAGCCCAATATATTTCTGACTACAATCTTTACAAAAAAATTCATAAATACCCGACCTTTCCAGTGGAGGTGTTTTATCCTTTGGATTACCTAATAATTGTTGTAATTTATTATTAGCACTATACACAAGTTTATAACTGACATTCTTAAAAATTCCTTTTCGATCACAGGATAAAGCTTGATTTTCATGCATCCGTTAAGCCGGAGTCTCATGCATCCGAAATCCGATGATACGACGATCCGACGGTGCTCCTATTGGTCGAAATATTTTGACACCAATTATTATCCGATAATTTTAACTAATCGTCCGACGTCGTATAAAGTTAAATTTTGTTTAACTTTTGTAAGATATTGTGTGTTTTTTAACCTCACTTTTTTTGAAAACATTTGTTTTTAAAAACAAGGTTAGTGGGAAGTGGGCAATTTCGGGATATTTGGCGAGGAAGTTATTTTTATAAGTGTTTCTCAAATAAAACATGACATGAATCTCTATTCAGTGCAGCAGAAAAATGTCAAAAGTGTCAAATTTCGGAACGAACTTTCGAATGTATGTGACAGGCCTTTTTTATTTCACAGGATAACTTCAAATTTCGGATGTAGTACCATCGGATTTCGGATGCATGAGACTCCAGCTTTATACGTTGATACGTAGGTCCGACGGTCGGTGCTGTGATTGGTGATAGCGTTTTCGCGCCACTTTTCATCCGTAAATATTTTACTTCAGCCCGTCAACGGACCCGTTCATACGATAACGGACGTTTTGACACTTTTTTGACAAATTTAATCTAACCTTAATAAAAATATAAGTAAAATAGCAAAATCGTTATGGAAACGAAAATATAAAATGATAACCAATCAAAGTCTTTAAATTCTACCAATAAAATTAATATCGTATCAACGTATCGTCGGAAAACGGATGCATGAAAATCAAGCTTAACTCTCTATCAAACGATATTGAAAAATATTTTGACGTATGTTTCTCCACTTGAAAAGTCGATTGGATACCTACGTTTTCTAATTATTTTATCATTATCCCTTCATTTAACATGGTTAGCGAAACGCGCGTCCAGTGTAAAAGTAAAAGTGCTTTGGTGTATTGTGGTGATTTAGTGTTTTATTTTGCTGTGTAACACCAACAGTTCCAACCCCCAACTGTAATTTTTATTGTTTATTGATTTTTTTCGTCCGAAGCATACTTTTTCCTTTTAAAATTAAAATCATTTTACTTCATTGTTAAATCGCTAAAAATTTGATGATGATATTGTTTTGCTCCTTTTAGGTTAGTATCAGTTACGATAAGGGTGACAGATATTACATAAAATGTGGCGGAACACTGTTATCCGAGTTTTGGGTTTTGACAGCGTCACATTGCCTGACCGGTGACTTTGATTTGGTTATTTTCGCAGGAGTAAACAGACCTTCAGGACCCTACGTTCGAGACGCACACAGGAAAATTCTGCATCCCGACTTCAATCCACATACATTCTTTAACGATATAGGACTCATAAAGGTAACTAATTACACTAACTGAAGCTTGATTTTCATGCACCCGTTGTCCGACGATACAATGATACGATATTAATTTTATTGGTTGAATTTAAAGACTTTGATAGACATCCCTAAAGGGGCGGCCATCACGGTCTTTCTGCCGAGGACCAAGGGGAAAATCACCACCTACCTGCTGAGCCTTATCCAGGGTCAGAACTTCAATGTAAGGACAGCGAGTTGGTGAGTCATTAACTCGAGGGAGGAGAGTCATGGTCAGGTCCTCACAATAAGAATTGACCTCAAATCCAAGGAGGCAATAGATAAAGAGGGACATATCCTCTATTATAGATACGGGACAACAACGGTATCAGGTCTGAGGAGAGACCAAGTTAAAGAGGTGGAGAAAATGGAGACAGATCCTCCAGCCTCCACCTCACGGGTGGAGTCGAAGGCAAGCTCCTCGAGTGTGAAGGGCGGCACGGAGGGCCAAACTCCAACCGTGGAAGGGTGTGTAGGTACCCTCGGAGGAAGAACTGTTGTCGGAGGAGGCTGGGAAATATCCTGTCCCTTCTACAACAGGAGTATGATGGGTTATAGATTGTGTGATGACTTAAGGAAGGGGGCACAAATAGATCTTTAAGGTCGCAGTGATTAACCCCCCCTCTTACTCATTCTACATTCTAAAGACTTCGATTAGTTAGAAAATTACATAATTTTTAAATTTATTGAATTTTCATGCCTTCTTTCATCGGATATACGATTTGCTTGTGATTGGTGTCATTTTAGGAAGAGAATTTTAAGAAAGCTGGTTCTTTAATATGTATATCTTTTGCTATGCTCTCCTGAACAGAGTGCGGCCCGTTTGGCTGCCGGTAGACCTTGCGTTCACTACTGCGCATTATATCTGTATTCAACATCTGTTCTCTACTGCGCATCACAAATTCGCTCTGTATTTCAGAAACTAAGGAGGTCAGGTGCCTCAGTGTAGCATATTTTTTTTTCATAAAAAAATAGCAAAGTAATGTGAAAATCGAATTATTGTATCTCTACATATAAACGAGAAATCTCATAAAACATACGAAAATGGGATACCCTGTACAGATGTGATGCGCAGTACTGAACCGCAATAGTCTAGCGGCAGCCAGACGGCCCGTACTTTGGTCAGGAGAGCATAATAACGAATATTAAAATAAATTTTCTTAAAAGTCTCGTGTTCCCGACGGTGCTAGCTCTTGTACTATAGTCTGTCCAACGACAAGATTCTTGACAGTGATAGATGTGTCTGTCATTTTATTTTCAAGGTAGTTTATTTTACTTTAAAAAGAAATAACTTGGTACAATTGCAAAGCATAGCAGAAAATTAATATATTTAAAATTTGAGTGACAAATGATTACTTCAAATTATTGTGAAAAAAAAATGTATAAAATTGAAAAAATCTAATCGAGTTATTTTACTAAAAACAATTACGGTATTGTTAATACAAAATAAGCAAGGGTGTATTTTAATAAACACCACATACCAAAAAAAGATAAAAATTTCTTCATATAATTATTCAATATGATTATTATTTACCTATCGTGTTTTGCTGTTTTACAGATAGGTACTCCAGTTTTTGGTATCATATACAAGATAGTGTACAAACTTTATTTGTGACCAATACAACTCTCTGGCCATAATCTCTGGCAACCTGCCTCTAGGCACCGAATATTCACTGTAAACTATGGTCTGGGTCAACACTTAATTTCCCCTTTGAGTTTTCCTCCACTTAATTTAAAAAAACACGAAACACACGTAATAACACAGTCCAAAATGCAAAATATTTATCGTTTCTATTTGACATAATTTGACACAAAATTATAACCTATAATTTGGCAAGAGTTTGACAACTCTCAAAAATCTTAAGTCGAGTTCATATGCATCGACGTCCGTTCATCGTTCCGTTAAACCAATAATATTGAAATATGATCTGTCATTTTTGAAATAAACCAATAAAACTGGTTAAAAACAACAAGAGATGTCAAGTTCATGACGGATTTATATATAAACCGATCCATAGTTAACTTAAAATATATTAGAAACTTTTTTTACTTAAATAAATGTATTGGTATGGACGTCATCTCTTTTTCTGTCATCGCTTGTCGAAATCTTACCTGAGAGAAAAAACAGAATATATTATAATTTTATTAAGATTAGATTAAATTTGTTAAAAAGTGTCAAACAGTCCGTTATCGTAGGATCTTCGAGAACCGTTCGATTCGAACCATCGATCGTATCAACGGATAACGGACGCATGAAAATCAAGCTTAAGTACGTACCTATTTTATGATAAAAAGGAAAAACTACAGAGAAATTAGTACTAAATAAATTGGATTACAACAAAATCGTTATACATTATAGTCATTTTATTGTTTTTTTTTTCGAATATAAATAAGCTAAGTAAAATACAGAGTGTTTCAAAGAACATATGCCTTCTCTCGTGGGGAGATTCGTCATGTATAAATAAGTATTTTTCATATAACCATGGGTCCAATTCTGTTTTGTTTCGTAGCTACAGGAGGTTAAAATCTTTCTTCCAAAATCTTTTAGCAATTCGAATGAAATTTGGAAGGTTTGTGAGAGTGCTACATATTTTAATGCTAAAAAAGTGCCGACACATTCACCAGGGACGTGTATATAAGTTATCACTGGAGTATTTTTCTAAAAAAATATGTGCGCCACTGACTTTTTCCTCTTATTAACAAATCTGTGTAGGCCATTTAATGCCGATTAAAAGATGTATATTGATATTTTATCCATATCGATCTCCTCGATGAGGTAAACGCAATTTTATTAATGACAATAAAATAACATTAAAAATACAAATAAAAAAAAATATTTATTTCATGTAATTTATTACCAAATTTAATTAAAATTTATAACACGATGTAGAGTGTAACCTAGAGAAAATTCCTAGGGCCCATTTGTAAAAGTTTTAACATCCTGTAACCTTAAAATTATGCATTTCCGCACCCATGTTTATTGAAACTTTTTTTCATATTTTTTATGGGGAATCAATGAGTACTTATTTAACTTTTTGGCAAGCTAATGCCATTACATTTTTTTAAGGGTTGCTATTATACACTACTGGCAAAAGAATATTAGCAATAGGAGGTTTTCAATGCGATAAAAAAAGATGGTAAGGCTGCAAAATACACTGCAGTGCAACAGAGACGGATAAAGTGTCTTTTCCCTACCATCGTATAGGGAAAGTGATCATAGAAGTGATACGACGAGAGAGCCCCTGCGAGAGAGCCCCTGCCGGGCGGGTCTTTAAGACGCTTGTGTGGGGGCTACCGCCTACTAATAGAACAGAATCGAAAAAATAGAAACAGGACGGACAGTGTTGCCATTCAATTAAATCGAAATTATGTTGGCTTGTCAAAATCCTAAATCTTCTAATCCCATTATCTTGCCTACTTAATGAAATATTAAATAAAGTACGAAACAATTTTACGAATGTTTTCTCTAGGCACATAACTTCTTTCTAAAACGAAAAGTAACATGCAAAACTTTGATATCATTTCTAAAATAGCAAGTGCAATTCTATGAAATGGCAATACTGTACGATCTTCCTAGCAGTCGCCCCGACACAGTCGGTCGGCGGCGGCGCTTCACAAAGCCGCGGCTGTGACAAAGGAATTAGGCCGAAAAAAACTTTATAAGGAGTAGACGAACAGGGTTGCCGGGTTTGTTAGATTATAATTCCATACGAGAACAAAATTCTCGGTAGATCTTCAACAAAAATTAAAAGTACAGAAACGAAATAAAATATAATATTTAAGTCCAAAATTAGCATTCCTATGTGTCGTAATAATAGATCACTCAAATAAAATACAAATATAATAAATATAACAAGAATTAGAAATAGCTAGGTATATTATTTAATATTAAAAAAAATATTGAATTAAATAATATTAATATATTAATAAAAACATATAAAACTATAACAAGTAGGGATAGCAGTCACAAATTAGTGTAGCAGTCACTTTTTACCTTTGTACAAATTTTGATCAGTGATATCTAAAATTAATTTCATTTCAATGGGAAAGCTGTAGCAACTCTCAACTCTTTTTCATATTAATATATTTTTTGACGGGAAAATCACTAAAATATTTGTACGAATTTAGGTTGTTTCTTAACTTAAATTTTGTTTTTGTTTACATTTTTTGGGGAAAATATGGGTTCAACTTTAGTAGATGAATGAAATAAAATCTTTTCAAAAGATATCAACTTCTTCGGGCATGTCGCCAATACCGCGCCTAATAAGGAGTAATAAGGATTTTTAGGAATATCTCTGTAAACTCTGCAACTAGACAGAACGATGACCTGTATGTGTGTTATTACTAAATAAAATTTAATGAAACAATAATAAAGTCAGATTATACAGATTCCAACGCGGCAGTCGCTTAATTTTTAGTCAAATAAGTCAGCTTTTTAAAAGTGCTTCTATTGTAAAAACTAAAGACGCAGTTGAATATATCGTTAGATTTTTCTTTAAATCGGTAGATCGGTAGCTTACAGACGAAACCGGTAGACCTGGCAACTCTGTGATGAAATGACGGGAGTCGGAATAGCGACGTCCGGAGGCGCGGGAAGGGAAATAAAATAATGGCGATAAATAAAGGGCAGGGAGATGGGTATCATGAGTGGATGGGAGGTGGCGGAATTTCCAAAGTTTGTTATCTTATTGGAGTTTGTCTAAGAAGACAGTCGTAGTGGAAGTGGAAACGGGGAAGTTGTTGTCCATCTCTGTTTAAGCATAGACTTTTTATAGGCGTTTCATTCCAATGCATGTAATTCCTATGCCTAGAGATCCATTGCCGGGCCTGTATAGAATTGGATTAAGGCAAATTAATTAAATTGCGTTTATCTCATCAAGGAGACAGAAATCGATAAAATATCGAGAGACAACTTTTAATCAGCATTTAACGGTCTAACTTTCTGATTTATATCTACTTACCTACAGATATCGCTTGACAGATGACACTACCCAGTCATAAAACACTGATAAACTGTTATGGCAGCTTCAATGACAGTCCAAAAGTTATCAACAAAAGGTCTGTTATCAGAAGAATCCCTGACTAGTCAGCGCGTCTCTTATTGGTTGAAATGTGTAGAAACCAGACTAACAATCAGGTTTCTACGCATTTTAACCAATGAGAAACGTGCTGACTAGTCAGGGATTCTTCTGAGAACACACCTAAAGTTATCGAAGAACATTTAACCATATTAAGTATCAATATTAAATATTCTACACCTGTGATTATTATTTTTTTGCAACATAATTATTATGTTGCTTATGTTTCTTATCAACAGTTTAACTTGAATTGCAAATTAAGACTTTTAAGACAATTTAACTAATTTGAACATATATTAACGTTACCGCGTCAAGTTACGATATTTGAGAATAACTTTGTCTTATAAAATCAAACAGTTTTTATTGATTTCATATAATTTTTTATTTATTATAAATAACACTAAATATATGAGACAATATCAGAGTACCCGCTAATAATTATAATAATGGTTATAAATATGAACAGTGTTAGCCTTAATAATAATTACTTTTTGTTTCTGATTTTTTGAACCATTCTCAGCATCTTCTTTATAATGTGAATTATTAAAGTGTTGCTCTTCAGGCTCTTCTTCCTGGCCACGTTCATCTGTATTTGAACAAATTATAGTTGTTTTCGTTCTGTTAGGTAAGTCATTTGCTGAGTTATTATTGCCTTCCACATTCAATTCAGTAATTTCTAAAATCGTTGGACTAGGGATCGCCTCTAATGAAATGACTTCGGATTGAATAGATTTTTCCAACTCTTCAACCATCGTGTTTTCATTACTTTCTTCCAAAATAGCATCTATTTCATGCGGCATTGAAATATCGGCCTCAGTTTCATTATTTATCGCATCTCTAGCCACGGGAATAAGTAATGCATCATTGTCGGATTCACAGCATGCTTTTTCTTTGGAGGATAACGGTCCTGGTTTTAGGAATCTTACTTTCTTTTTAGGTGTTGTTTCTATACTTTTCCTTTTATGCACGCGTGTTGAGTGAGCATCATTTGCAATTTTTATAGCAAATGCTGAATAACTTCTTGGCATTCTTGAAATTGAATTTGTTTCTTCTATTAAAGTTGATTCGTGTAGAACGCAGCATTCATCGGGGACTCTTGTTGGTATCGACATTCGATCTAAAAGAACAACCGGAATTTTAAAAATTTCTTTGGTTTGCGTGGAAGAATCACACAATTTTTTATTTCTTCCCATTTCAGATTGTGACTTTGATTGATTTCATTATTTGTTTGACGTAACCGGTATTATTAATTATGTCAGGTGTGATCATAGCATAAATCCACAGTTAATTTATTGATATTATATTACTAATATTGGATTAACCTGTTTTTAAGTATTATGGCTTTTTCTAATTCGAATATATAAGGGTTTGACCAACATAAAACTTATCACATTCACATGGTATTTTCTATATTACATTTTTAATTTTTTGTTCAGTGTTCATTGGTTTAGTGTGGATTAAAATGGATAAAAGTGTATTTTGTGTTTTGAAAAACGTTCGTATGTTATATTGATTTCTTATCCTTTCTTTTAATTTTTGCGTAAGATATCCTTTAATTTTTCCGAAACGCCTCGTATGTATGGAATTGTAAGTTGTGTATATATTGTGTATTTTTTTTGTTGCCATTGTGTGCATTCTACCTATGATTTGAGGTTTGTATTTCGTTCTTAAGGTGCCCGGTGGCGTAAAGGTACAGGCTGTCGTCTACCAATCTCAAGGTGTGGGTTCGATTCCCACACCCGGCATTTCATCAGCTGAATATTTTTATTAAAATAAAAATAGTTTGGGTACCTAGATCGACTCAGCCTTAACTAAGTACTTGGGATTCACGATCCTGAGGTAATAATAGGCGGTTGAAGCGTAGTGCTAGCCACATTACCTTCCTTGTATACCGAACGGCTCTAGTATAGCAAGCTGTACCTTGCTACTCCCAAGGCGTTATATACGGGAGCTATTATTATTATTATTTCGTTCTTATGTTCTCTCAATAAAAGATGGTGGATAGTCGTTTTCAATTAATGTATTTTTGATGTGGTTTATATCTTTGTTTAGTGAATTATTGTCTGGAACAAAATTAAGTATTCTAGTTACTCCCAAACAAACAGAAAATCCTAATTTGTTGTATCTAGTTAATTGTATCTGCCATCACAGCCGTACCATCCTTTTCTCGAAGCAGCTTACGGCACTTTCTACACCCCAGTAACTTCGTTGTGAATCAAGAATCTTAATTTTTAGTGACCAAGAAGACATGATATATTGCCAATATATATATATAATTATTATATCTTACATTTTATGCATTATCGCATTATTGCTAGTCTAAGATAATATTTTTTATTTGTTTTTGTAGCTGGCTAATCCATTGCCTAAGTCTAAATATATCGACTACGTAAAAATACCCAAGATGTTGTTGGTTCCCACATACCTAGAGGAAATATGTAGTAGAGCCCTAGTAATGGGCTGGGGAATAATGAACAGAGACAGACACAATCCACAACTTCCCGCAAGGGTCAATTTACAATGTGCGTTTATTCCTTATCTGTCATTAGACGAATGCAAATACAGCTTATGGAATATCGATGAGACGAAGATGTGTACATTTTCAGCAGAAGGCATAGACACTTGTCAGGTAAAATACTGATTAAACTTCTAGATCAGTGATGGCAAATCTTTTTGAGACGTGAGTCAAATTTTACTAGCTCGTATAGGCTTGGTGCATTTCAGTTGATTTCAACAAATTCCGACCGCAGCGCACTCTACGGCAGAAATCAGAAATTATCAATATAGTTCGCCGCCGTCATGTCGATCGCATTAAAATAATATTGAAATCAGGTATTTTAGTTTTTTGCTAGTGCATTTATTGAGACTATAAAACACTCAGGTACGAGGTTTGTGTGATGTAACGCAATTTCGGGTAGTAAAAAATAAAAAAGACTTCAAACTAAGAGTCTTGTTGTGTTGTGACAATTTCAAATGTTAATAAAATTGCCCAAAAAACTGTTAACGCGTAAATGAGAGCGTAATTAGGGCGTTCTTGGTGCAATATCTTTCAATAACTCAACTTTCCCGGATATTCAACTCTCCCGAAACAACAGTTTATAGCTTCATAATTTCTTACACCGATTTGATCAATAGCACAAAAGGAATCAAGCAGTTCGACTAAACAAGCGGGTAAACAAAGTGCCCGTTACATGTACTATGAGAGGATGAAATATAATTTGTGTGCAATATTAATGGTATGCTTTTTTAATCAACTAGTGATTAAATATTTTATAAACATCTTCTAAAATTATAATTATGTACCTTTAAAAAGATTCCTTATATAGAGATATCAAAATATTTACCTTTTTATTTTTTTGTTTAGAATTTCCACAAATTATTCGTTCTAACACTTTTAGAATAATTATATACTAATTTTTTCGTTTATTCGCCATTTAAACCCGTGTGTATTCGTTATTTAGGATATTCTCGGGCGGTGGCAGCACCGGCGAAGAATGCACCAAGCCTATAGTACTTGCTCGTGAGACACTAATGGCCATTTACATTTTGTATGACAATGTAAACAATTTTAGGGAAACTGAAATTTTTTCAAGTATTTAGTGCAAATGGTAATAAGTGTTTGAATGAACAAGGAGTAATAAAAATTACATACAATATAGAGGAAACTTCGGCAACACATTCTGCAGATAAAACTAAGTAGAAACCCAAGTAGTATTTGGACGTTATCTAACGTCGGGTATACGTCGCGTTCAATAAACCCGACGTCGGGTACCAACGTCGGTTCGACCGCCTGACGACCCTTAATTGCACCTAAATGGGGAATACAGATTCGGGTCGCCTCGACGTCGGTATCTGACCTAATAGGGAATGTAATTCTACCAATTACCAACGTCATATTACGTTGGATTTCAGTCACTTAAAATTCGTCGCTAAGCACTTACGTTACGGTTGGTTTTAAATTCGCTACCAAGAATACATAATGGATTCATAATCACTCCTCGAATAAGTGTCTACCTAATTTCATATTATAATCATTCTAAATCATTAATCCAGACATCAGTTTTGTCAACGGAAGTCACTTTTTGATATATCTGATTAAAATACTCCGGAAAACAAAAAGCGCCTTCAAAATTAGGTAGATTTATGAAATAAAAATATCTATAAAAAAGTAACTCGTAAAATATATTTTTTTATTTTCTAGCTGGTTTAATCATAAAACTGTACTGTGGTTCCCCCCAAACTGAACCTTATCAATATTATTCTACTAGGAATCGGAATGTGGATATAAATTTTAAAAACAAAAAACGATTTTAAAATGGCTGACAATCGGATACTTGTTAAGAATGGCGGATTTCTGTGTCCGACTTAATATGAACTACCAATATACCAATTCCGACCGGGTCTCCAACATTAGTCGTCTCACACGACCGAAGTCATCAAACCGGACGACCGGCAATCGTATTATGACGTATATAATTCCAACGTACGCCACGTAAAATTTGCGATCGGCCGGTATACGCAGGAGCATCCGTCCTCGGCCACAGAGCATATAATTTTTGTATTCCTGGTAAACGATTCCCGACGTTGTCTGTTATTGGTCTATGATAGGTCAATTGTTTGTTGTCAAAAAATGTTTGACGGTTGACGGTTCAATGGTTTCGTAGGCGTAACCTTACTTTGCGTATCAGTTATTTGTGAATTTGTGCAATTATATTTTAGTTTTTGTTTTCTCCTTAAAAAATGGGCAGCCACTTGAACGAGGAGAATACTTTCTTAATACTACAAACATAAGTATTGTATACCTACCTGTTCTGGCTGATGTGCAGTCTCCTCTGCATTCGTGGGTGGAGGCAAGACATCACTACTACTATTATTATTTTGCAAAAGCCTCGACCTCTTTGTGTAAAATGTAGATGAATGTCTAAATGCATTTTTAGTGTTTTTTAGGCATAATAAAAAAAATAATTTTGTTTACAAAAACAAAATTTTTTATTAGGTTATGTTCATGATGTTTATTAGGCCACAAATGCTACTTAATTGGTTGTCTTTACGGATGTAAATAGAGATACGTAAATTAGGTTATAAACGGCAAGATGGCAGACATCTTCCAGGTCTCGCTGTCACTTCCCTCTTTAATTGACATCTGTTTGTTTTGTTTTTTTTTTCGTTCGTGTTGTTATCTAGTTAAAATTTATTATTATCTCAATCAGAGTCTCAATTATTCTAAACACTAATTCAAAAAGGCTTATTGTATATTGTCATAGTCATTCTAAGAAAGCTAATACGCCGGGAAAATGATTAGTTTTCATGTGTAAGTTTATACAACATAATCGGGTTTACAGATGATCCAAAAACTGTTTATTTTTAGTTTTCCTAAAGGCGATTTGTAAAATCGTGATTGTAATTGGGAATGGTCAAAAAAATAAGTGTATGATGTGGCCATTTAAAGAGGATGTTTTTATTTATTACGTGTGGAGGAAGAAGATACTTGGAATCAATGTTCATGCTTCTGTAAAACAGTGCACTCTTATAGTGTCCATGAAAGCACAAGTTCAAGTGTACCAGAAATATGTCAAATAAGATTGGTCCTTACTTGACAAGAAGATTATTTGGAGGAAAAGAAAACATAAGATAGGGTATTTTAATCGAACAGCAAAAATTTTACATTTTTATTGTAAAGTTTGTTGTAGGTAGTTGTAGTTTTGTGCTAAATATTTCTAACATTAGCAGCAGCAGTGTTCAGAGTGTCAAGAGGAGGAGAATTCAGTTAATTAGATTTATGCACAGTTACAGGTATGAAGGCTTTTTCAAACATAGTATCAAGTTCTATAGTCAACATTTTTAGTATTCCTACAACTGTAAAAACAAGGAACATTGGACTGAAAAAAATGGCAAGATTTATATACTTGGAAGAAAGGGTATTATGCCAATAAGAAAATTAAATCTGTAGGCAGAAGTTTCTTATTTAAAAACTGTTATGGGGCATATATTAATTTGTATCTGTGCCACAAATCACTGAGAAAAATCATATAATATTCATAATTGTTAACGAGATGATATTTAAAGAGTGTTAAAAATGAGACTATTAGTCATGAAGCTTACAGTGTTACTTTGTTTCAATATTACACTTTTATTCTTGTAAAATCTATGATGAAGTTCAAAAGCATTTTGCAATGGCCTTAAATTGTGAGTTGTGAGCCAGGATTTATAGTAAAGGTATTTGATGCAATGAAACTTAATCGGTACCTTCCAGTATGTATTTTAGTAAGGGGATTGTCAATCCCATGTTTTTAAATAGATAAAATACAGGCCAAAGTTGACAATATTACAGTTGAGAAGAAACTATTTTATCTTAAAAAAAAATTTCTTAAAATTCTGAGATCATATAATCTAATTTTCTTAATAATAAATTAGGTATATGTACATACAGAATTTTGTTATGGACAAATAAGGATCGACAAGCTTCTTTTGTGCAAAAAATAAATGATTTTTTCTAGTATTACGACAAACCATAATGTGTTTTACAAACTTACCGGTAACAGTTTTTGTTTATAATAAAATATTTAGGAATAATTTGGGTTGTTTATCAATATATTAATGACTTGAATTTTGACAAATCGAATTTGTATCAAAATAATTTTACGAAATATAAAATTGATGTTCTATTACAAGATTGAGTTTTTATTGTCGACAAAAACCAGGATAAATACTAATAATAATACCCTTAATAAAATCAATGATGTTTATGTATTATGAAAATATTTGTTAGAGGACATGTTATGTAACAGTTTTTGAAACATAATTTGAAGGGACGAATAAAAAAAATAAAACAAAAACATATTTTTTCTAGGTTTATATTAAAAATACAAGGTAGATAATCATCAAAAATAATTATGAACCAAATGTTTTTTATGAATATACAACTTGAACAAAAAGTTGTTTAGAACAATTTTTACCAAATTTGCAAAAATTTTAAATTGAAACGCGTAATTCAGTACAAGTAAACATGAAATATTGTAAATACTTATTTAATATCATTTCGAGTGTTTAACGACGAAAAGGTCATCTGTCCGTAGCGTCTTTTGTCAGAATATTCGTATATTTAGTGTATTATATACCAATATTGTACGCAGTTTTGAAACTGATAATTAAATAAATCATAATGTTAACTAACCATAATAAATAATGATAGAATTTCACTAAATTTAAATTGCCCCCCGTATGGTTGAAAACAGCAAATTGATATTTGATTACTTATAGATTACCACCTATATACAAAATGACAGGAAGACCTGGAATATGGCGCCCAACTTGATTAGACCTTCTGCGCATGTTGACGCTCATTCTCTATCCCTTCTATTTCTCTGTGTTTATTAGGCCACAAATGCTACTTAATTGGTTGTCTTTACGGATGTAAATAGAGATACGTAAATTAGGTTATAAATATGAACATAAAATACAACAAAATATAATTACTTAGACGTTACTTTAGGGATTATCAGTGAGACCTATCCTATTCGGACAACAGGTAGACGTCGGGCTAGTTCAAGTATATGTACGTCGTGCAAGCCAACGTGGAAACGACTTTGGGAAATTAATAAAAACGGTACTTTTTTATTTTGTACGTCGACAGATCGTTGGATTTACCGACTCGGATCCAACGACGTCGCTTTTAATATGAAAGCGACGTCACCGGTCGTATCACCAGCACCCGACCTAAATTTGCACAAAATCTGACGTCGCTTCATGTCAGATTTAGTTCGAAGTCAGATAGATGCTACTTGGGAAAGTTCATATGTCCTAAAATGCTTCGTTCTGGAAATATAGGGTGGAGAAATTTCATTTTTATTTCGTTGTTTTTTTCTCTCTAAATAATTTCTGAACATTTCTAGTTTATATTTGGATGAAAATTGATGTCTGGATGTTTCTTAAAATGATAAATTCGATTTAGATATTAGTATGACTCCTACTTGTAGGGGACGCCATCTATAGGGAAATTGGAACAACTTTCGTTGCACGTCATCAATGACGCCATGCGTCGTCTTATGGAGTTTTCTGGTGGTCGTATTATGATGTGCAACGAAAGTTATTTTAATTTCCCTTTACATATATTGTTTCACTGTTGTGAAGATATCGCGTCGCCCACTTTGGGTTCATTTTCACTTACTTTTTACTACCTGAAACTGCGTTACATCGCACACAATCTCGTTGAAGACACTATAGTAACAATCGTTTCTAAACATGTTTTACTAGTAAAAATTTTGTTAACTTTATTGCTTTCAGGGAGATTCGGGAGGACCACTGCTCTGTGGAGTATCTCAAATAGGAGTAGTGTCGTGGGGCGTTGACTGTGGTGATGGTATGCACCCAGGAGTATACTCTCGCGTGGACATGTATTTGGATTTTATTAATAAAATAATGACTGAACGTGATTCTCCCAATATTGTCGCTCTAGCATGCCCAGTAGGTGGTGTTTTTTTGACGGTACTCCACTGTATTCTTATGTTTTCTTTATATTTGTTTTAGTTGTACATATAGCAACATTATTAATAAGAAAATATACAACCAAGAACACTATATCCTAAAATGTTTTTTTTTCTGAATTCACAAACCCTGTAGTTTTATTTTTATTTACTTAATATCAGACTCACGTCAATATTACCGCTTCAGAGCACTGGAGTAATGAGACCCTAAATCATATCAATAGTCTATAAAATAAATAACTTTGAATTTTGACCGTTATTTTTTACCAACATGGCAAATATAAAATCCCTCTATCAAAAAAGTTACTGATATTCTTTAAATTGAGTGCCTGAACGAATCAGATAGGTAACTCTTTTTACTTTCGTGAAATAGAAAAGGAAAATAATAAAACAAGTGACAGTTCTTCCTCTTCTTGCAAAAAATCAACACGAAATGTCAAATTGACAAAAGTAAAATGTTATCAGCTTTGACATTTCTAAATATAGACCAATGCCGTCTCTAATAGAACAGCCACGGAGCGATATTTATGACGTCACGCTAGTTAGATACTACGGATTAATAAATATGTTGTAGAATACATGGAAAATATAATTATTCCTCGTATTTTTGGTTTGTATTTTAAAAATGATATAGTTTACATGAAATATACATAATATAAAGTTAATAAATAAAATATAATATATACCTATTTATAGTAATAAATTCTTTGCCAAATAAACTATGAACCATACAAATACAGCACAAATGTTTTACAATATACAATTAATGAATACATGATGGTACATAAGATAATGGGTAAAATGTAAAATATATTTTAAATTTTGTGGTTTGAAAATCGATCTAATTTAATAAAAAAACATTCAATATCTACTAGGAGTGATGTATTATTATTTGCAATCACAAAATTTATTTATATATTATAATGTTTACTGCAATTAATAAACTAATATAAACTTCAAAAGATGACCACATATTTTTTTAAATTATTATTCTTAACACAACAACTATCTACATTGACTATGGAGTACGATTTCAGCCATATTGTAGAACATTTGCTGCATTTGTATGGTTTATAGTTTATCTGCCAAAGTATTTATTACTATAAATAGGTATATATATATATATATATATATATATATATATATATATATATATATATATATGTATATATATATATATATATATATATATATATATATATATATATATATATATATATATATATATATATATAGCAGTATATATATATATATATATATATATATATATATATATACAGCATATATAGAGCATATACAGGGTTACATATATTATATATATATATATATATATATATATATATATATAGCATTATATATATATATATATATATATATATATATATATATATGTATAGCATATGTGTATATATATATATATATATATATATATATATATATATATATATATATATATATATATATATATATATATATATATATTGTATTTTATTAACTGTATATTATGTATTTCATGTAAACTATATCATTTTTAAAATACAAACCAAAAATACGAGGAATAATTATGTGTTCCATGTATTCTACCACATATTTATTAATCCGAAGTATCTAACTAGCGTGACGTCATAAATATCGCTGAGGCTGTTCTATTAGAGACCGCATTACATCAGCATGGCCGCAAGTTGCTAACCCTTTGAATAAGAAGACTAATGAAGGGCATATCAAAAATCTTAAGTACACCGCGATGGGCCTCAAATATGGCCGACTTAGATTCCGGTTTATCAGTGTCGTTCTAATTTTATTTAAAAAATGTAAAACTATGATGTAGGGTAGACGTGGGATAGACTCAATAATTTGTTGTTTTATTTTACGTTGTGAATAAATGTTGGTAGTTATTAAAATTGTTATAAAAATACATAATTCTAATAAAAATAGATGTTATAATAAGTATTTATTAACACAAACATCCGATACGCTACTGAAGCAAGTCAAATTAACGTATCTAAATTCTTTGACATCTAATCTTTGACAAGCTAAATAAAAGCTAAAATGCAAGAAAAATATATAATTTAGTTAATTTAAGTGAATTTCATAAATGATCGGTTTACTACACGTATGTATATTATATAGTCACTTACTAGCGAAAAGTTGTTCCATTATTTCACTCAATTTTTGCCGAGATCTACCGCACGCTACACAACCAACCATGGCTGGGAAACTTAAATGGAAATGACAGTTCATTAAAAATAGTTTTTCCTCCAAGTTGCAGAGGCGCAAAATATTAAAACTGTCAATATCAACAATGCAAATGTCAATATCTGACAATAATAACATTTGATTTTTAACTGACACGAGACACTCAGAGACGCTTTTGTTGTGATTTTACGTTTTGATTTGTCGAATTATTGTAATTTCTTCAGATTTTTTGGCAGTATTCTGTTTTAGACAATGTTTTTTAGAAATGGTGAGACAATTTGTGTTTTGTATAGACTGTTAGTTATTTTTTATCATGGAGCATGGAGTTTAATTGTTGTACACCGGGTTTCCGAAGGATCCAATGGTAAGTAAATTAAATATATCTACCTACTTACAGTTATAGATTTTTTAAATTAGTACTGCTAATAAATTCTACTTGCTGAGCAGTTATTTAATTATTTTTTTACGCATGTAAGGAATTAAGGACACGCGTTGCGTTATATTAGCATGATCAGCAGATGGTTAAATCTAATTTAATTTGTTTTTATTATTTCAGATCTCAAACGGAAACAAACTGGGAATCTTTTGCCTACGCCAAAATTATATAGCCGTTTCCAATTCACTTCAAAGGGAGGAAAATTATGTAAAACTGCCTGCTATTTGCTGAAAACCGCCAAAGATTAAATTATAACTGTAACAACTTAATATATACTATTACTAGTCTTTTTAATATTTTTTTTAATTAATATCCGACATATAAGAACACTTTGTATGCTTTTAATTAAGTTGATTTATCGTTTATAATATGTTCGACCTAATTAAAAGCACACAAAGTGTTTTTACATGTATGACTAAATTTATTTTAAATTAACTAAAACAACCCCACTTCCCCGCATCCCTCTCTTCCCTTAGTATTTCTTCCTCCGACTACCAGAGGCGCCCTTGTATAATAAAATTGAAATGTATTATAAGTTGCCTATCTATTTAATATTATAAGTTTTTTATCTATGCAACCAACTATTTTAGAGTCTTTTTCGATAAATCGCTATAGTGTCACTGTTAATTTAAGTGTTGCCACAATTTCCATCTAGATTTACTACCTTTATACAACTATCAGTAGTAGAATAAATAATAAATAACATAAAATAAGCTCCGTAAAGACTGACAAATCCACAAAATTTCAAATCAAATTCAAATGTGTCAAATGAATCGTCAAACAGAACTGTCAAGGATCCCCACCCTAGAGAGCTTTTATGGTGCTTTTTCCGCCCACCATAGAATAACTAACTGAAAGAAATGAAAACTCCTATGTTAAAGCCTGGAAACACGCGCTCGACGCGATCCAAGCGGGCTACTGCCAGAACTAAAAGTTCGCGCCATATTTTCAAATGGACCTTTACTGCCAGTTCATAAGTTTTTTACTTATATTTGGTAATTTCAATCTAGATTATGAACTTATTTGTAACAAAACATTTTACAAAATAAAAATAATGTATTTTGATACAAATAAATTAATAATCTAGGTTGAAATTATCCCTGAAATTAGAATAAAACACGAAAAATCTGTAACTTTATTATTTTATTATAACATTGTTAAAATTACATAATAACACATTCAACACTATACAAGTATATATAAAAGTTATCAGAATTTATACAATCAGTTATAAGTAATTATAAAAAAGGTTATAAATTATAAATAAATAATTCATTATATAAAAGACATATAGTTACCGTGAATATAATTTGGTATAACTTTAATCTCAACTTTAATGACCTATTCAAATAGAAACATCTTACAATTCACATTATATAATACACAAAGCCAAGGGACAAAATTGTTATTAAATCTATTCTCGATGACTCGAAGCATTTTTTTTTCAAATAAAACAGGACATATAGGGCTTATAAATAATACAAGGGTATAGAAAATATATAAATAAGTAAATACAAATATATTTTCAACCTAATGATTAATGATTATACTCGTTTAAATAAATAAATGATCTTTTTAAAATTACTTGTTTGTCTTTGCAAATTTGTATATTTAATATTTATCTAAAAGCGTACACTTACATAAATTACTGCACAACCTTTAAAATTAAGCTTTTAATATGTTATACAAATTCTTGATTCGAATAAATACACTTAAATAAAACTTTAAAATTAATGATCTTCCAAATTTCTGAGACAGCCATTTTGTTGAAAGAATTTGTTTTGATTATGAGAAATTTCATAAAAATTATCACAGGGATTAATTAATCTTATATATGAAACTACTTGGCTTTTAAATTTCACAATCCTATCGTCCAAAATACTCTAAATTCGCAAAAATCCGTAAATATTCCCATAAAAACAAATCACAATTCACTTCCACTTCACAGAAACTGACAGACATTGCCAGATATGGAATGACGTTTATTTTTCAATTTATTTTACTGATCTAACTGATCCGGGTCACTTAGAAATTAAATTTTTATTAAATTATTTAATTATAATTGTTTCTGGCGAAAGCAACTTCATATCAATGTTTATTCATAGGGTAACAAAGCACATCGCTGTAAAATTATCAACATTTTATATAAATATTTATATTTTTCAACTACTCCAACTACTCCAATTACTCCACAGAGAATCAAACGAATTGTTAATTAAACTATACTCTGTGGATGACTTGATAAAATCATGATGAAATTAAAGTCCCTAGATGAATATCTAGGGACTTTAGATGAAATTTCTACGCAGCGCCATCTATCCCTCTACTGGCAGAAACTCCGCCGTGTTTCCAAAATTCAAATGGCAGTTTCATCCGCCTGCCGCCCACCATGCATGAATACATGGATAGCATTATGCTCCTTCCTTAGTCTTCTTATTCAAAGTGCTAACCTAATAAAACTAACATTAGAAAAGCCCGCGGGAACTGTCAAATTCAAAGTTATTCGTTTTACAGACTATACTTACGTGGACAAGTAAATTTCTATAGAAACTGTGGCAAACATATCAACGACTTCCATTTATCTTATCTTTATCCTTTTTTGTTGCACACGCGGTGCTTCTACTCCGCGGTCGAGGACTTATCGTCCGCCCGCCAAATTTGAACATCAATTTTAAAAATTTAATTTGTAAAATGCTTATACAGGGTGAGTTTCCTACGATGTTCTCTATGAGTATCTCGGAAACTACTGGAGATAAAGAGTCTGTTAAATGGGGAAAGAATTGCAGTTTTGTGGGGTCATAAATATGCGCCTTTTGGATTTTTGAAAAAGTTTATTATAAAGATTACTAGATATTTCGAAAAAAAAATTTTGGCAATTTTAAAACTTAAAACGTAGGTATGGGTTAATGATTTCTGAAAATTCGACTTTTCAAGAAATTTAGATGATAATTTAGAGAAAGATACGTCAAAGTATTTTTCAATGCCGTTTAATAGAGAGTTATCCCGTGGTCTAAAAGGAATTTTTTTATGAATGTCAACTATAAACTTGTGTATAGTGCTAATAATAAATTACAACAATTATTAGGTAATCCAAAGGATAAAACACCTCCACTGGAAAGGTCGGGTATTTATGAAAGGTCTTGTAAAGATTGTAATCAGAAATATGTTAGGCAAACTAGAAGATCAATATTAACTAGATTTAAAGACCGGATAAATCTTGCGTTGCCGAACATATTGTTGATAAAGAACATTGTATAGATCTTAATAATTTAAAATTAATTAAACAAGTCTCAAATTACAGGCAATTAAATGCATATGAAAGCATCAGAATTAATAAATGTAAAGATAGTATGAACAGAGACAACGGTCCAATTCCTTCAAGTTTTTTGTTCCTAGTATTCTAGTGGCGGAAATCTAACTGTTATGCTCGGTGGGCTCTGACTCTGTTCGCTAGATCTTGCCACGCCCACTCGGTGCCCACTGAGCGAGTATATAAACGCTAAAATTGTAGATTGTAGTTTAGTTTTTAATCATCTGCTGATGATGCTAACATGGTTAGCGAAACGCGCGTCCAATGTAAAAGTAAAAGTGTTTTGGTTTCCCAAAACACTTTTTGTGGTGATTTAGTGTTTTATTTTGCTAGTTATCTAAAATTTGCTAAAATATGACTAAAAAATATGTAACATATTAAGTTATCTTTGATATGTAGCAGTGCTATATAGCAAGTGTGGACCCTGCGTAACATTTAACTAAAATAACTATATATGGGTTTATAAAAAAAAAGAGCTGTTTACAGAAATTACTTTATTGATAACATATCAAAGGTAAATATAAATATCTATTTGTCTTTAGTAGACGTGTCATTCCAACATGCTTCGTTAATCTCATTGGCCAAATCTTGATTTTCCAGCATGGAGACATGATTTCCATCGAATTCCTTCACAATAACCGGATATTGGGAAATTTTCTCAAGTCCATAGTCGTTATTTTTCATCTTTACACTGGATAATTTGGCTTTGCACAAGATAATTTTTGAATCAAGCTTAAAAGCCGGTGTCCAGGAAACTATCGCTTTCAGTCTCTTATAGAGACTTACGATAAATTCTTTACCTAAAGGAATGATTACGGGTGCTGCAATATTTTCGGCCAGAGCCCAACGTTCCTCAATACTTTTGCAATTTAATAATTGATTCTAAAAGAGATTAAATCTATTTAAAATGCGCATGTTTTTGTGACCACTATTGCAGACTAAGTTTCATGAAATGTAGTTTTCATGGATGTATAATTTTCAAGAAATAAATTATAATATAATATAGTATCACACACACAGCCTATTCAAAACTATCATGTCATGCACTTATATCTTGATCCAAATTTTTAAATTCGTACATTATAATTTCTGGAAAAGAATCCCCATCATTTAATATTATACATATAGGGGTATATTTAATTGTCTTACAATATTATATCATCAGATTGCTGCAAAAACTCATAAAAAATGTAAACATAGAAATAACATGAAATATTGGATTTGAGTACTCGGTTGATTATACGAAAACGGAAAGATGGAGAAACAAAATATTTTATGGGTATATGTGGGAAGGCAATGTCCATAATTTAAAATTATTTTGAAATGTACAGGGTATGTCAGAACTAAGATCCACACCAAAGTTATATTTTTTCTTATGGAACACCCGGTATTTTATTTCATATTTGGATCCGTTGACACAAAATTGTTTACAAACTTTGGTTTTTGAGATATTTAGAGATATTTAAATTTGCATGCCATAATAAAAAAATATTGTCAACACCCTGTGCATTGCTTTTCAAAAGTAATTCTTGTGCTGAATTTTAAGCCAAAAAAATAAACTTTACTGAAAAATTTGATAGCTTCGTTTAATGCATACAGGGGTATCAAAAATTGGTGGTCTATTTTACATAAAAACTCTGATATTTCAAATACAACACTCTGTATTTTTTTAAAATAAATCGAAACAAATTCAAAAACTCTTTCAAACTATATTAGGGTTTCCTATGCCTATCTAGCTCAGATTTTGAATAAAGAGCAATTTTTCAATAAAATGGCAATCAAGAGGGCTAATATCGTAATGGCAAGTTTCTAACGACAGTTAGTAGCTATTTTCAAAATTGAAATTAGTTTATTTAAATTTATACCAGTTTACTTTTATTTAATTTACCTATATAATAGTTCAATAAATAATATTTATTAAATATGTATTTATTGTTCTATCAAGTAAAACGAAGAAGTAATTCTCTGATTTAATTTACGATGACTTGTAGATATTTCGATTTTCTATAAAAGAGCCAATTTCGGCAAATTCATTTTCTTAACTTCCAACGAGAGGTTTCTGTCTAATAGGTTTTTTAAAAACCACACTACCAGCTCTGCGAAATAGGACAAGTAGTTTTTCAAAGGAACGCTTATCAGAAAGATTCCTATCTGGATATCTTTGAGCATAAGCCCTTGAGGCCAAGAAGCAATTTTTTTCACAAAATAAAATCACTAGGAGATAAAATTCGTTCCGCTAGCAGATATTGCTTTATTTTTCTTGATAAAATAAAGAATACTTGCTTATTACACTATTGTAGGTAAATTTAAGTTATTATTTAATATTATTAATTTTAATATATTATTAATCTAAATAATAATGCCCACAAACTAATGTCGATTTAGAAAATAGTTTATAACTGTTACTAGAAAATTTCCATGGCGACACAAACCATCTTGATTGGAATTTTATTGAAAAATCGCTTTTTCTTCAACATCTGAGCTAGATAGGTATAGGAAACCCTAATATAGTTTGAAAGAGCATTTGAATCTGCTTCGATTTATTTAAAAAAAACACAGGCTTTTCCATTTAAAATAACGAACTTTGTGTATAAAATAATTCCTTAAAATAGATCAGCAATTTTTGGTACCCCTGTATAAATTTAAGGAAGCAACAACATTTTTCAGTAAAGTTTATTTCCCCATCTTTAAACTCAGCAAGAACTAATTCTAAAAAGTAATGTACAGGGTGTTAATAATCTATTCTATTGTAGCATGCATATTTAAATATCTAGAAATATATCAAAAACCAAAGATTTTAAACATATTTTTAATAGATGCCTTTTTTGGGCCTAAGAATCCAAAAACGGAATAAAATACCGGAATAGAAATATAACTTTGGTATGGATTTTAATTCTGAAACACCCTGTATATTTCAAAATAATTTTAAATTGTGCACATTGCCTCCCCATATATACCCATAAAATATTTTGTTTCTACATCTTTCCTTTTTCGTATAATCAACCGAGGCGAATGAGGTGCGCCACCCTGTATTAGCTAAAAGTAATACAATAAAAATCGATACTTGAGATAACTGTTTTGATCTGTCAATTAGATAAACGGAAATACGACTCGATTCTTTTTTTCTGCAATCGAAAAATATTTTACTTCAGCTTTTTATTATTTTGCATGTGCAGAAAAATAATTCAGAATATTAGCTGTGATTCTACCACTAAAAAGATAGTAAGTAATATCTTCTAAGTACTCACAAAATTCTTTGTAACGACATCTACTGGAAGACATATTGCCATTATGTAAGATATTAAGTTGACTTGAATCTTATCATCACACTCGGCTCCCAACGAATTTGCCAATGCATGGAAATAATCTTGCGATGAATCTATACATACGACAGTACCTTGATGTCCTCTTTTCTCCAGCTCATGTGCTATCTGCAAAGCAACTAACCCACCAAAGGAATAAGAGACAATTTTGAAGGGTACTGACTTACTAAGTTTTTCTTCGACTATCTACCAAAGAAAATAATTTTGTATAAGTATCTGGATCATCACTTGTTACTAGTAGTGGAAGAGGCGCTAACGGTGAAATCTTACATCTTATGCATAAAAAAAATCGTGGGTGTTTGGGAAGGCGATAACAGCAGTACCGGAAGATAAAATCGAAACATTCCGTAGCCTTTTGAACCTTTTTACCTCCGAAGTTGAGACGGACAACAAAATATCCTTCCTGGACGTTGAAATTTTCAGAAATGAGGACGGGACACTTATGACTAATTGGTTCATAAAACCAACCAGTTCAGGTAGAATTCTAAAGGTTCATTCAAATAATCCAATTTTGCAGAAAAGAGCAAAAATTATAGGCCTATTAAATAGATCTGAAAAACTTAATCACCCATCTTTTTTGGTAAAAATATTGAGACTATCAAGATCATTTTACATCAAGACAATTATCCTTCAAGCTTTATAAACCGATGTATTAACAAGAACAAATCTAAAAAAGCTGGGTATCTCGTTAGTTGAACCTGGAACTAAATATATCAGGTTTCCTTTTATTGATAACTTTGCACATAAAATCCATCGATGCTTTATGAACACTAACACTAAAGTAGCATTTTATAATTCAAAAACGACATTGTTCTTGTATACTAAGATCGAAGATCCAACTCCGTTGCTAAAACAATCCAAACACCCATGATTTTTTTTTCTGCGTACTAACTACTGGAAACTAACAATAATCATAATGGCTTACATCTTATGTTTAATTACAACTTTTGTACTTTTACACAATAAATCATTGTTATTTATTTACTTATGTCTCACCTCAAGGTATGTTAAAGCTATATCTTCAATAGTGTCCTTTTCGTTTTTATTGCAAAACTGCACGCCATACAATTCGCCTTCTAATTGTTTATAAAGTGGTTCTAGTTCTCCTATGATTCCTGCTATTCCAGGAATTAGAATGACGCTGTCTGAAATTGATTTGTTCGATGCTTTACCCTCAAGAGACATTATTGGTATATCAATTTTATTCTGATCGGTGAGACGACTAAGAATCATTTCATAATCTGTCAGAGCTCGCTCTTTCTTTACACCTAAAATAATGATGGTGTTATAGAAATAATGATAAAAGAATAATGTTTTATGTCGCTTTATACCATACGACTATACGACTGAAAAAAAGCAGCGTCAAAGTTGAGGACTGGGAAATGAATTTCTCCGATTGAAAAAATAAGATGATGCGCAATGTTAAGGCCGGTTTCGTGGCACAAAACCTGTCTGAGATGTAGCTGGCGATACCGTCGTCGCCAGTAATCAACCTGTCCGAGATTTAGTTTCGCCCTGCGCCGCTGCGCGCAGATTACATCGTAGCAGGTAAATAATATTGTATCGTAGATCTGCTTTTAGTCGACAGAGTGGTTAGTTGTCGGAAACAGTGTTACCAGAACTACGGATCAATCCGCAGATTTACGCATCATTAAACAATTTAATATTCGAATGAGACGAATAATAATATGATGATATAATATATTTGAAGTTATGATATTATGATAATTCTTATTTGAAGAATAATGTGTGTCTTAAGTATAGAAAAATATTCTTAATGTCCGTACCGTACGTCCCGGATTGTCTTTACAAAAAGAAAAACTTTTTTATTATTGACCCTTTGAGACAAATGCATTCTTCATAAAAAATTTTGCATGTGCTAAAATTTTTTATACTTTTTCAAATTTCCATACCGTTTTAGAGGAAAGAAAGAAAAAAATGAAAATCTGGTTGATTTTTCCTAAGTTGAAGTCCTAAAAATCAAAACGCGTTTCTATGGTAATATAATTTTGTTTTCATTCTTTGATATATTGTTATTCATAGAATTTTAATTAACGTCATGTTTTTTGTTGTTTTAAAATATTAAAACACAAAATTCATTTAGTTCAGTACTACGGAAAGGGTTACAATATGACATTAACGAAAATTAATAATAACCAACTATAAAAGACTATAAAAGAATGAAATCGAAATGATATTATCATAGAAACGGGACTTTTGATTTTAGAAAAAAATCAACAATATTTTCATGTTTTTCTTAATTATCTCTAAAATGGTATGGAAATTTTGAAAAGTATAAACGGAATTAACCATTTTGGAACTAGCAAAATTTTTAAAGAAAAATCCATTTTTCCCAAAATGTCAATAATAAAAGTTTTTTATCTCTTTTTTCTCAAGTGAGACACCCCTCGGCCGAGACGACAACCATTCGTGCCATAAACTTTGGTACGACTGAGATCGGAGATCGAAAACTCACCTCTGTAAAACCGTCTCAGATACTGGCTTTTGTCAAAGCCCTGAGACTGTATCATGAGTTATAGCTCTAGAAAGTAATATACAAAAATAACTGACTAAGTTAAGAAAAAACTCCAAAATTTATGTAAGGATGCAATCAATAATCACCACAGAGGCTAATAAAACTACATTTTCAAATTTGTCAACCTTTCGAGAATTTTATTCCCATCATCAGAACAGTTTCTAAAATGTATAAATAAAAAAAGGCATTAACGTGGCAAAAAGACTTTTTCGAAACGGTTCGAAGTGCCCAACAAATTTCTTACTGTATGTAAAAGCCTCCATGATAACAAGTCGAGAGTGTCACATCATGGATCACTGAGCGATCCCTTCCTGACAAATACAGGAGTTAGCAAGGATGTGTCCTAGCTCCTCTCTTATTTAATATATTCATGGCAGCGCTCTCTATTATAGTGGACAGCAAACTGCAGGAAAGAGGATTGGGCATTAGATACATATACGACGCGACAGCGCGGCGGCGGTCTGTTCAACATAAAAAGTCTCAGTGCAAAAATACGTATAAAATTCATCACAGAACTCCAATACGCTGATGACTGCGCTCTAGTTGCAAATACGTTACAGCAATTACAGGAAATGTTGAACAAATATACCTGGGCATACGAGACTTTGGGCCTTAAACTGAACATCGATAAAACTAAAATCATGTCCACCGGACTCCCCCGGAGAATCATAACAGCGCTATAAAAATCGGGGAAGAACTATTGGAATATGTATCCGAATTTAATTACCTCGGCAGTTTGATTTCGGAAAAGGCAAATATCGACTCTGAAATTCAGCACAGAACCAGCAGCGCCTCAAGAGCATTCTAAAATTAAAAGACAAGGTTTTCTACAATCATGACTTGAGCAAAAGAACGAAACTTGCAGTGTATCGAGCAGTAATAATCCCCACCATGTTATATGGAAGTGAAACCTGGGAGTCGTACCGCCGCGCCGGCACACGAGCGCATTAAACAAGTTGCAACAGAGACACCTTAGACAACTGTTAAGAACCAAATGGTACCACCATGTCTCAAACGTATTAGTCCTTGAAAAAGCAAGCTGCCAGAGCGCTAAAGTCATGATTACTACATCTAGCTTAAGATGGGCTGGCCACTTATGCAGGATGCAAGAAAACCGCCTACCAAAATATCTTCTTTACGGTGAACTTGTAGAGGGTAAGAGGAAACCGGGTGGACAACTCAAAAGATACAAGGATGTTTTGCATCAAACCTTTAAGGGGATAAGTATGTAATATCAGTGGGAGGAGGCAGCGCACAATAGAACGCAATGGAGGAGAGTTGTAAATTCAGTTAATAACGACAACCAAAAAGTAAAGAGGCAACAAAGTAATGAGATTTTCCAATGTCCGGAGTGCGGAAGAGAGATAACATCACGTATCGGGCTTTTCAGTCACAGAAAAGCTCATGACAAGAAACGCCTTGCGTAACCATCTTCTGATGCGTGTCAAATACTCGTCAGCGAGTAATGGCAGTAAGTAAATAATTAACATTTTAAAATTGTATAACAGAAAAAACAACTTACGACTGAGTCTATTAGCAAAAACAAAATCCTCTGCACAAAAAGGCCTTAAAACTAGCAACATATGACATTGGAATACAAGAAAATTTCCTATGTAAAATATTAAAATACATATCCAACGACATTACTTTTTTTAAAACAAGTTATACATTGTTGTTCCGAGCTCGATCAAACAGTGACTGTTTAATAAAGTTCCGCAATGAACATTCTAGAACTCTCATTATCAAAAGATTTTTTTTTATATATAATGACATTTACTTCTTGTAACGTTTTTTTGCAAAACAACAACCATCCATGATCACGAAATATCAAAATATACCCATTGAATTTATTTTACACTATTAAAGTGTGTAATAAATTCTTGTATCAATTAATAAATTGTTATTAATTGACTCAGTCGTAATAGCCGGAGAGCTGGCGACATATTTAGAGAACATATTTTAGGCAAGTTAGAATAACAAAAAAAATAAAGTTTAATAACTTGTGAACCCAGAATCCTAAGTCTGGCTGGGGGGTTGGGGGTATTTCGCTACTGCGCAACCCATAACATTTGCAAAAAAATAAATCCAAAAAACATTCTTTAGGCAACTTGAAATTTGTTTATTCTTAAATTTTAGCATCTATTTAACCTAGAAATAAGTGTGCCAGACTTTTTTTTCGGGTTTAAAGTGTAACCAGACTATTCCAAATATGTTTAATTATTATACCTGGAAAACATACTTTAGGCATTCTAAAATTTTTACAGCGTGTTTATTAGATGATATTAAAAAATATGTGTTAATTGCCAGACGAATTCAATGGGATTTAATACTTGCCAGACGCGAATAATGATTTTAAATGAGCGCAACAAAAAAGTCTTATGAGTATCTATAAGCGCGAGAAAGATAGTTTATTGAGGTGTATTTTGGTGTACTTCAAATTTTCATAAAAACAATTTTTTTTCGGTTTCAATTATTTGCAGGCTTTTAATTCAGAGATTATTTTGTTGGAATTAAGTTACCATGTACAAATATGTATTTATAAATTAAATATTGACGTGCATAGTGTAAATAGTTTAGAATAATTACTGCAAATAAATATTTTAGTAACTACTAATTTCGCTACTAACTACTAAATCACAATGGATAAAAAACATTTAAGTTGTGTAGTTTGTAAAAAAGTTACTAGTGACAAAGTTATTGTTTTTGATGAAGGCAGACTTCAAAAATGCAAAGAATTTTTAAAAGTGCGCCAACAACATGGTTTAAAATTTAAAGGAGTGATTTTACCAGAAAACGTAGTCCCGAAAAAGGGTACCATGTACAGTGCTAAAAAAATAAGTATTCTGGAATTTTATTAAAGTACTATTGTTAATCTTTCTAGATTGTGAATCACCATTGTGAATCTATTTAGATTCAAAAGTAAGTAAAAGTGCTTTACTTTTATGCTTAGGCGTTAAAATAACTTTTTTATTGTCAATCAGGTAGCAAAAATTGATAATAATATAATATGTTACAAAAGTATAATAATAATTATACTTTTGTGACGTTTGAAAAAATATATTTTATATTATGCTAATTTTTAAATAATTATTCGTCTTTTTATTCTTTCAGATAAAAAATAATTATATTAAAAAGTCTTCTTATTGAAAGGATTTCAATCATACATTTTTATTAAAAAATGTTTCTTTTTATTTATTCAATATTAGTTAGTCTTTTTAAAGTTTTTACGACTCCAAAATGCTGTTACGTCAGCCGCATCGGCTGCCGACCGGATGCATCTTTCTCGGGCTTATAGATACTCATAAGACTTTCTTATCGCGCTCATTTAAAATCTTTATTCGCGTCTGGCAAGTATTAAATCCCATTGAATTCGTCTGGCAATTAACACATATTTTTTAATATCATCTAATAAACACGCTGTAAAAATTTTAGAATGCCTAAAGTATGTTTTCCAGGTATAATAATTAAACATATTTGGAATGGTCGGTTACACTTTAAACCCGAAAAGAAAGTCTGGCATACTTATTTCTAGGTTAAATAGACGCGAAAATTTAAGAATAAACAAATTTTAAGTTGCCTAAAGAATGTTTTTTGGATTTATTTTTTTGCAAATGTTATGGGTTGCGCAGTAGCAAAATACCCCCAACCCCCCAGCCAGACTTAGGATTCTGGGGTCACCAGTTAATAAACTATACATTTTTAGTTATTCTAGCTTGCCTAAAATATGTTCTCTAAATATGTCGTCAGCTCTTAGGCTATAAGTTGTTTTTTTCTGTTATACAATTTTAAAATGTTAATGCCTTTTTTATTTATACATTTTAGAAACTGTCCTGATGATGGGAATAAAATTCTCGAAAGCTTGACAATTTGAAAAAGTAGTTTTATTAGCCTGTGTGGTGATTATTGACTGCATGCTCACTTCAATTTTGAGTTTTTTTTAATAATAAAAATATATAAAGTTATACTTAAACTCGAAGACGATTCTCTCTCGTCTTGTATCTCATGGAGCCGCGTGAAAGTCATGGATTTAATATCCTGTAGCGTCAGAAACACCTCAAATTTCCTTTCTAACGTTTGTCCAATTTCCACAGTCATCATCGAATCCATACCAAGTTCCGCTAATGTAGCTTGCATCGAAATGGTTTTTATATCTTTGATGCCTGCGAAGCAAAAGTATACATTTTTATATTATTTAAAATAATTGTTTGACTTTCTAATTTGAAATAATTTTCAATTCAATCGTTTTTAGGCATAGTGCGCTTGACGCAACATTTTAAGAAATAGTTTCAAAGATGTATTTCTGGTTTTTAAAATAAATGCCTTACTTAATGGACACAGGGTAGGGTTTCTAGGCATTTTTTATCTCTCGAGAGTCGAGACTTCCCGACTAAAATGAAAGAGTAGGTATCTCGAGAAATTTCGAAATTTTTAATAAAACACGATGTTACTTCTAAAGTTTGTTTTATTGCAAATTAGACGCGATAGATCAGATCAAATGAAATGGTAAATTTTGAGATAAACAAACTACCCTACTGGTCTATATAAAAAATAAAGGGTAAGGTAGTACTTCACTTTTTTGTTAATTTTTGGGTTATATGGTATTGTTAATATTTCGGGTTATTTTTGGTTTTTGGTAAGTAAGTAAGTAAGTAATTTTTGGGTCCCTACCAATTTCTATATGTACAGTAGACTTTAATTCAACTAAAAATGTTTAGTAAAATTAATTCAATATGCATATTCAAGCGGCCAATTAAAGCACTTTTTTATAGAGATAAATTGTGTCCAATGAACTTATTTTGACTTCAAAAATACGTAGTATTTCATATTCGGACACCCTGTATATACTAAAAGTCTATTATATTTTTAGAAGAAATCTTATAACAAAGCAAATAAAGTAAGAAAACAATATACAGGATATCGTATTTAAAAAAAAACATAAGTTTGGATAAGGTTCAAGAATAACCAGCTCCCAGTGAAAGTCTACTTACGCCACTTAGTTGTACCTGAAAAACTCTGTAAGACTCATTCTAAGAGGGCTCAGGAACTAAGAGGGCTAGGACAAATATGTGTGTAGAATCTTTAGTTTCATAAAAAAATAGCACAGCGATGTAAAAACCGCATCTTTGTATCTCATAAATAAGAAACCTTACAAAAAAACCACGAAAATGGGACACCCCATACATCCACACATAATATTGCAGTGAAAATCTCAGATAGAAAAATGGAAAGAACAATTTTCGGAACTCTGGGTAACGCTTCTCGATATATAAATTATGTTTACTGTCAAAAAGTATATTTACAATTCCTAAATTTTAAAACAACTTACCCAAAACACTAGCTACAGCACCAACCATATCATCAGACACCAGCTCCAATCTTTTTTCTGCTACAACTGTACTGCAAACTACAGCAGATTCGTGTTGTCTTAGGAAAATGTCCATTACTTCTAAGCAACTAGCAATTTTCTGTTGTACTGTGCCTCCTATTTCTATATCGATAGATTCGTCATGCATATCAGCTACTAATCCCACCTGGTTAATATAAATATTTTTTAATTTTAAATAATGTCTATAGCTTCATTCAGAATCTCGCAATTAGTGAAATAAATTAATGGTTTCAATTAGGGTAGAAGTTTGTTCCTTTAATTTCAATCTAAGCATTTAGAACGTCAAAATTAATGGTAGACATTTACAATTAGCAGAAAAAGACAGAAAAAGTTATCAAACTTTTCCAGTAATTATACTTCAAAATTTGCGAGAATTGTCATTTTGGTTTTTGATTATCTTCCGTCAAGAGAAATTTTGGTTAGAACCCAAACATTAATTGTTTATAAAGTAAATGTTAGGCTTTCTCTATGGATACAACTTACCAAATATGTTAAATGTTATGTTAAGTGTTATCCGGTTAAGTAATGTTTAATGTTGTCCGGTTATATTAAGTATTTCTTGTCCGTTAGAAAAATTCCATTGATTCAACTTGTCTAACAAAGAAAGATATTGAAAAGTTATATTTTAGATGGCCACACCCATGGTATCCATTTTTAGATGGCCACACGATACATTGAATTTTTTTAATTTACTTTTATTTTTTTTAAATATATCTGTAATCAAGTTGCTACTAGTTTACGTACTTCTCCAATGGCTCCCCACTGTATGGCTAATCCTGGTAAACCTTCAGTCTTTCTTTTTTCGCAGATCCTTTCCATAATGGAATTTGCCATGCCGTAATTTGTTTGTCCAGCGTTTCCTCTTCCACAGAAAACTGAAGAGACATAATATGAAGAGAACATAACGAAATCTCTAAAAAATATATTTTTTATAAAAAAAATATGTCATAAATCCTTTTATCCATATTTCCAAATCTTTTTTTTGTTGAAAAATTAAAATTGTTGTATTATATATAGGTAGTATGTCCATGAAATTGGGGAATAAAATTTATTAAAATTTGTGTGTATTGTTTAGTTTTTTTTCTTATTCCACATTCGGATTGTGTTTTGATTAGTACATTTTTCGTCTGCTGTACTGAGTTTGTCAGTTTTGTGTTAATAAATAAGGATTTAAGTTTATTTTGTGTTTTAAAAATGCATTTATTTTAAATCGTACCTGTTCGTATACAGTATGTTCCCGGATTTTCTGTACAAGAGGAAAAACTTTTTTATTGTTGACATTTTGAGAAAAATGCATTCTTCATAAAAAAATTTGCTTATTCTAAAATGGTTAATTCCGTTTATAATTTTTCAAGTTTTCATGCCGTTTTAGAGAAAATTATGAAAAGCATAAAAATATGGTGGAATTTCTTCCTAAAGATCAAAACGCGTTTCTAGAGTAATATAACTTCGTTTTCATTCTTTGAGAGACTTTTATTCATAGAATTTTAATTAACATACTATTTTTTGTTGTTTTAAAATATTAAAGAAGCAAAAAATTTATACTTTATCTGAACACAAGCAAAATCTGATACTTTAACATCGGCAAAGAAATGAAAAGGAAGAAAAGACTCAAAGTCTTCCTTCTTTTTGATTTATAAAACATATCTCTTTGGGAAGAATGAATGCCTTTTTTAAATCAGCATCAATTTTAATCATAAATAGCATTTTAATCATCAAAGCATCATAAAATTTTAAATCAATTTTTTTGGACTTTCTTTTAGGAAAAAAAATCCACCATATTTTCATGTTTTCCTTAATCTTCTTTAAAATGGTATAGAAATTTGAAAAAGTATAAACGGGATTAACCATTTTAGAACAAGCAAATTTTTTTTATGAAGAAAACATTTTTCTCAATATGTCAATATTGTCAATAAAAAAATCCTCTTGTAAAGACAATCCGGGGACATACATAATATAGAATATTCTATACAAATATAATTATATTTTCTTGTGTGTTTGAATTTAATTTAATGATCTTCTTTTTTTATGTTATATAAATTTTGTAGTACACCTTTCCATATGTAGTCTGTGATTTGATGGGTGTAATTTAAATATCTGCGAGTATTTATTGGTTTTCTTTGAACCTCTAAAGCAAGCGTATCATCAAATATTTACACCAAAATATAAATAAATAGCTAACACAATTGTATCTCCCTACTTTCAAAGTAAATGTTATACGTGCCTCTTGGAAAGTCTATTACAGAAAAGTTTTGACAAATTTCATTTTGCCAAGATATCAAAAACGAATAATGATATCTACTTTTTTTAGTTTTTGCACTCTTTGGTAGGACGTTCAGATGTTTTAAAGTTTTTATCATTATCTTAACATATTTTAACCTAACCTAACCTCAGGTTTGGACAAAGCATTCTCGTTACTAGGTCCAAATGTTCAGCAGCTCTGGCTTTAGGACCAAAACTTATTTTAAACATATCCTCGGTTTGGTTTGCAAAAATGGCATCTTGGACCACAACAGCTAAATTAAATATACCATGCACAGGTCCAAGATAAATGGCTTTCTTGATTAAACTCTCACAGCCGCTTTCTGTGGTTATATCATCAGTAAAAATGGAAACGGTACAACCGTACGATCTTCATATTCTAATAGTAAAAAGAAAATAAAGTTTGTGATAAAGAAATAAAGATTTTTTTTACAAAACATACGATATTCTGTATGCTTGGTAACCAGTTTTGATTCCGGTTCTTGACGTTAAAACTAGGTTTCTACATCCTCTTAGTACTAGCCAGTCAGCTAGTTCTAATCCAAATCCTCCCAGTCCTCCACAGATTATGTAAGTCTTCGTGCCATCACAGTAATATCTAAGACAGAAAATATTGTACAGGTTGTCACCAAATAACTAACTTTATACTTAATTAACAAAAAAATGAAAATGTGTAACCTAGTTTATATTTGGCCAGTAAACGAACAAATGGTCTTGAGTTAAAGAGTATCAAAACTAAAAGTACACACCTCGGTATACATGGATACAGAACAGGCGTAGCATTGTGAGCAATATTTATCTTTTCTTCCTTCCGGATTTCTATCATTACTTTGCCTGTATGCTTTCCAGAGGTCATGAATCTAAATGCTTCTTCAGCCTGGTCCATTTGAAAGATAGTTGAATTGAGTGGTATAATTAGATCATCACTCAAATATTTTTTCATTACAGCTACTAATTCTCGACGGAAGTAGCAGTCGAGATTCATAAACATATCTAGCATTACACCTGAAAGGAAATATACGTTAGAATATTTTTTAAATCACCCTTGGGCAATTTACGAGTAGTATAGCAATCTAGTAAAATTACACTAATAAGCTATTTGTCTTTGACTTAATTTGCTACGATTAAAATACTAAACACTAATCCTATGATAATAATTTTGGTTCTGTGAGTTCTGTTCAGCACTATGTTAGAATGCCCTGGGCTGTAGTAACACTTTTCATTAGTTCAAATGGTTTTGTTCTTTTCATTCTTCTAACTAATCCAACACCATCCAGGAGCTGGTGGGCCTCGATGTTAATGTGCCTCTCCTCATGTCTTAAGGTATATTTCCTGATGACGTTGTCGACATCATCCACTTATAGTCCCTATGTAGATTGTCATTGCGAATGTACCACGTTGCGTCTACAATACCTTGTAGTACCGTATTTTGGAATCTTTGGATAATATGTTGGTTGCTTTGTTTGGTACAACCCCAGAGTTGAATACCATAAGTCCATATTGACTTCAGGACTTGTTGATAAAGCAAAAGCTTATTATATACTGACAGGGTTAAACATCGCTCTAGTAACCAGTACATTTTCCTGTACTTTAATTTCAGTTCTTTGCATTTTTTCTTTACATGCGTTTCTTTTCTTTGCATTTTTTCTACCTGAGTTTAGAATCACGTGTCATACCAAGCTATTTAGTTGTATTATCGTAAGGAACTACTTGTTGATTTACATATATTGGCTTTTACTCGATTCGTTTATTGGTGAAGTCGATATCCTCTTTTTTTTTTCATTCAATTTAAGGCGCCATTTTGGTGTCCAGCGTTGTATTTCGGCGACGGCCATTTGTAACTTTTCGGTTGACTTGGTATTGTTGTCTGCGGTGGATAAAATTGCAGTATCATTTGCAAATGTAGCAGTAACAGCATTTTTATTGAATGTAGGCAGATTGCTGATGAATAATTGGTAAAGGACTGATCCCAATACACTTCCTTGCGGTACACCTGCTTGAAGTTTTCTTATGTAAGAGTAAACATCATCTTGTTTAATTCTGAAGTACTGGGCGGGAAGCAGTATTTTGAGTTTGTGGTTCAAGACTTCGTGCCAAACTTTGTGGAACGCTTGTGCGACATCTAGAAATATTGCCGAACATACCTTCTTAAAAAACAAAAAGGCAGAAAGATTTGCGGACAACCTTGAAGAAGTATTCCAACTTAATATAGCAGAGGAAGATATTACATTTCCTCATGTTAGCGGGCAGGAAAATAAATCAATTCCGCTTGTCACACCAGCTGAAATTAAACAAGAAATAAAAACCAATATCAATCTAAAAAAAGCACCAGATTATGACCTTATTAATGGACAAAATTTAAAAGAGCTACCAAGAAAAACATTGGTCAAAATTTCTAACTTAATCAATCCTTTTTTTATATTGAAATATGTATGTACTAGAACTTTGGAAAGTGGCTGAATTAATAATAATCCTTAAGCCAGAAAAGCCACCCCATTAAACAACATCGTCTCAACCAATATCACTATTGCCGACACTATCTAAATTATTTGAAAAACTATTACTGAAAAGACTAAAACCAATCATTAAAGAAAAAAATATAATTCTCAATCATCAATTTGGCTTTAAAAATCAACACTCCACGATTAACCAGGTTTACGTTAGCATATGAATATTATTATATTTCATGGGCCGTCATATTATTGAATATGAGGCCCGACGACTGGACACACTCCACCATTGTCACTCTCCACAAGAAAGGGAGCATACATAAGTGCAGCAACTGTCATACAATTTCCCTCATCTCACATGCCAGTAAAGTAATGTTGCAAATTATAAATGAAAGACTGAAAGCTTTTCTAGAAAGAGAAATTCCAGCAGAACAAGCAGGTTTCACCAAGGGCAGAGGCACTCAGGAACATCTTCTGAATATGCGCCAAATCATAGAGAAAGCAAGGGAATTGAACATCTCTCTTTATATTTGTTTCGTAGACTATAAAAAAGCTTTCGATAAAGTCAGATGGCATCACATGTAGAAAATCTTAAAGGAAGTGGGGGTACCGCAACACCTTATTTCACTTATCATCCAGTTGTATCAGCACACTTCAGGATCAGTTAGAATACTGGATTCAGCTTCAAAGGAATTTTCCCTCGAACAAAGAGTCAGACAGGGGTGTATATTGTCTCCTCAACTATTTAACATATACGGAGAATACATAATGAGAAGGTCGCTAGAAACATGGGAAGGAGGCATTTCAATAAATGGCCAAAAAATAAATAATCTACGCTTTGCAGATGATACAGCACTACTCGCTAGCAGTCAAGAAGAGTTAATCAATTTAGTAAATAGGGTAGAAAACGAAAGCAATCGGCTCGGTCTGAAACTAAATACGCAAAAAAACAAAATCATGATAGTTGATAGGCAACATAACAACAATCCAAATATAAGTCATATCGACCGCTTTGAAGTCGTTCAGTCATACGTATATCTGGGATCACTATTGACAAATACAGGCACATCGGAAGAAGAGGTAAAGCGTAGGTGCAACATGGCAAAGGTAGCTGTTGGGAGACTGACCAAGATCTGGAAAGACCGCCAGATCTCAAGAGCCACCAAAAACCGGCTAGTCAACTGTTTGGTACTCCCAATATTGACGTATGGCTGCGAATCGTTGACTCTCAGGCAGGCGGAACGTAAGAAGATCGATGCTACCGAGATGTATTGTTATAGACGTATGCTCCGTATCCCATGGACTGAACGCCGTACAAACGTTTCCATTATAAATGAACTTAATATTACTAACAGGCTTTCCTGTAAAATCCGACTAAAACAACTAAAATATTTTTGACATATAATGAGGAAAAGTCCGGACAATATGCAAAGACTCATAATTCAAGGCAAGGTGGAGGGACGTAGACCACGTGGCCGCTCTCCAACTCGCTGGATAGACCAGATCACGACTAGCTGTAGCAAGCCAATGCACGATGTCATCGAGATGACAAAAGATAGAGGCGCATGGAGAAAAATCATCCATGATGTTACGCTGACCACTACACTCCCTAATGGGGGTCAGGACTGAAGAGAGAGATATTTCATAGGCAAAAATTATGTAAAAATTAAATACCCTTTGTTGGCTTAGCTGACACTTTGACGAGTACTGGAACGATTTGACTATTTTTTTATGTTTATACTAGTCATTAATATTAAATAATTAGTAATTTATTGTTAGGATAATTGATTATTCTTGACTGATGATTCAAATGATTGTATTGCAAAACTTTAAAATAAATACTACATTGAATATAATGTTATAGTAATGATAATTTTAAAAATACCGTGAAAACTAGCTGATTTCTCGAGAAGTATCAGTCTCAAAGGATTATTATTGTCCATATCAAATTTTCCTATTTCCAAAAAGTGTCCGCCTTTTGCCAAACATCGAACTGAGGCTAGAAGTTTTTCTTCAGCTAACGAGTTCAAAACAACATCCACTCCTCTACCTTCTGTAGCTTTCATTACTTTCTTTTCAAAACTTGTGTCTCTTGAATTGAATATATGATTGTCTGGAAAGGAACAAATTATATTATGTCTTTTTTAGAATTTTCACATCTACAGTAAAACTAATAAATTTTTAAAATCAGTTTTTTCCTTATACCTGTAACCTTTAAGGTTTGCATAAAAAACATGAATCAACCACAAGACACGAAATCAATTATTTAAATCTCTGGATGCTCATTTCAGTAGCTATATAAGTCGTCTCATTTATAGTCATCTGTTGATGAAAATATAGTTAGCAAAGCATAACTGGATGCCGTTTTTTTTCGATCATGCGGTATTTTAATATACTTGGGTTAGTTTAGTATATAGGGTGCTTCAAATTCGAGGTACGAGCATTGGTATCTCGGAAACCGTAATAGATAAAAAGATGGTTAAATTTGCACAAAGTTGCGCCTTGGGATGTTTACCCAGATGCCATCATAAAAGTTTTAAAAATTTCAACGATTGCTGAGTTTTTTGGAGACAACGGATTTTTTGAAAATAAATTTTATTTTTTCCTGTCGTTACTTTTTTCGAGTTCGAATTATCAACTAATTTGAAAATCTAAAGATACCATCAGATAGCCCTAATAAGGTGGCTTACTTTTGGAGAAAGTACAATTAGTTTTTTGATTTTTTAAAAGCAAAAATTAAAAACCGAACCAAACCGAACCAATAATAAACCGATTCGAGGAGATCCGCGAACGCAGAACTGTTATTAAAAATTCAAAATTAATTCATCCGCGAACGCCACTTTTTAAAGTGCGCATGCGAATAGTCCCTGAACCGGTTCGGAATCGGACCCGCGAACAAAGCTATTATTACCATTTATTTGTGGAAATCTTTTCTTTATAAAGTCTCGCTTTTCTTCATTGCCAACTGTAGTATAGACTGTACAACTATTAACAAGGGCTACTTGTATAGCAGCTTGGCCAACACCACCAGTACCAGAGTGAATTAGAATAGAATCTCCTGGCTTAATCTTCGCTTTCTTAAAAATCAACATGAATATAGATTAAATTATTATTAAAATTATAACTAAAATTATAATTCATTTTAGTTATTAAAAAAGTACTATGATTTATAATCAAAATTTAGGGATAAATAGAGATTTTTTTTATTTAACAGCATATGATAAAAATTATGATAATTTATGACAAATTATAATTTGAAATTATAATGAAACGGATTAATTGCAATTAATTAAATAAGAGTATATCTTTCTTGCTCTTTTTCTCTCCCATACGAGAAATGAAAGAGGTTGAGACTCAATTGAATAAAAAAGGCATTACCAATACTAATGCATATATAACTGTGGCATAGGTTACAGGAACGGTAGCAGCATCTCTTAAAGACCACTTTTCTGGAACCTCCCACATAAGATTCTTGTCGCCTTTGCAATACGAGCCACAAGCTCCGTTGGATACCATGCCCATGACTCGCTTTCCACTGTAACAAATGGGTGTAAAATATATTTTATTCTAAAATATATAATTAGCTCATAATATTGATTATCATAATACTATACAGGGTGTCCCAAAAATAAGTGCAAGTATTTTAGCTTGTGGTATATCTCGACCCCGGAAACACGGCCATGAGTTTTTTTGTTGAAATTTTTATATTTTTCATGATATTTTCAGGAAAATATTGAAAAACTTTTGAGTGCCGCTTGTTCAGTTTCCGGAAATTTGTTTATAGTGCTTCCAGAGAATCCAATGTTGCCACCTGCTACTTTATCCACATTCTGTATATTTATAAGTTATAAGGACACATTTTCATTTTCATTTTCAGTCAGTGGCGTTTATGATTGTTTCAGAAATATATTAGAGTGATATCATATATACACATCCCTGGTGAATATGTCAATACATTTTTTGCATTAAAATATGTTGCACTTATAGTAACTTTTACGCTCAAAATTTCATCCAAATCGCTAAAGGCATTTAGAGGAAAATTATAACAAATAAAAAAAAATACTTTAACCCGCTGCAGCCAAGAAGCGAAGCAGAATCGGTCTATGTTGATATGAAAAATAAATCTTATTTTTACATAAGGAATCACCCCACGAGAGATTTTTTGAAACGCCCTGTATAATAATCTCCGTTATTGAATATTTACTGTAAAATACATTACAGCATTCTACTGTAATTAACCCATATGTGATTAAATTAAATTTTTTATAATTTATATTACTTTAAAAAAACTTTTACCTTGCTAAACGGCCACTAAACTCAAAGCCTAAAGCACATTTTTGTTTCCTTCGATCTCCAGTAATTGTATCCACATTTATTTTTCCTGTAGCATTCATAATATCTCTGAAGTTTAACGAAGCATAGTATACCTTAAAATTAGATATTATATTATGGATTATCCTTGGTAATTTCAAGTTCGCCTTGCTTCAAGTTCTTGAATCTTCTATCGATATATTCTTAAATTAAGTTTCTTGGTTAGGTTGTGATGATATGACGGCGTGGCAGTATGTAGGTTGTGAAAGGTTGTGATAATATGAGCTGGTTGTGTCTATTTTTTTTTTGTGAGGGGTAAAAAATCGTCAAAAGACCTTACCAACCTGGTGTTCTAAAGGCCGGCGTGTGTCGGATTCGAACACATCAGTGCCCGCCTACCGACTAAAAACTTCCCCTCCGAAAATAGACAAAAACGCATCGGAAACCGCTCTCGCAGTACTTCAACACGCTCTGCCTGATCTCTTCATTGCATAACATAGATTCTATGGTGGAGTTTGCAGTTAAGGTAAATATGGTATTACAGATAAGTATATATATTACATTACAGATAATGTACATTACAGATAAGTATATATCACAGGTAAGTACATATAACAGGTAAGGATTTATCACTGGTAATTATATATCACAGTATAATATCACAGATAAGTTTTATGGGGGGATAGATATGGTCCGGATGGCTTTATTCAGTCTATGTTCTCGTTCTTTGGTTTCAATAATTTGTCTTATAGTTTTATAACCCAGGTCCCACATTTCTTTGGTCATTAAAGACTCTATCAAATTTGTCGGGTTAAAAACTTTTCCAGTTTCCGTGCAGAATAGTCTTCTTTGCCCTTCCCATATGCTAAAAATAAAAAGTGTATGTTTGGCATCATCTTCTTCACTACAGTACAAGCACACAGCGGTCTCTGATCTTCGAAATTTGTGCAGGTATTTATTGAAACAGCCATGCCCAGATAGAGCATGGGCAACGTAGTAGTCTACTTCTCCATGACACTGGTTAATCCATACCTCTATATCCGGAATCAGAAAATGGGTCCATCGAGCTTTGCTACTTGAGTCCCATTTCTCTTGCCACTTGACCATTAAGTTATTCCTCGCTATGGTTGAACCAACTCCTGTGTACTTTTCGCGCCTTTCTATAATTTGGAGTTCCATAGGCGGTACCCGTGCTAGAACTCCAATCCCGTCTGTAGATATGGTTCTATATGCGCTTATTACCCTGATAGCAACTGCCCTTTAAAAACTGCTTGGCCATAAGCTTGGCTAAAAAGTTTGGCCATAAGCCTTTTATTGGAAGTTACCATAAACCATGCTGGAGATCCATAGAGGACTTGGGAATGAACCACGCTCGAGTATAATTTTCGTTTTGAGGATCTTGGACCTCCTATATTTGGCATCAAACCAGATAATGCTCTTAGAATTCTTTCTGCTTTAAGAATGACAGCCGATATATGTTCAGCAAATGTTAATTTCGTGTCCATCCATACTCCAAGATATTTCACAGCATTGCTTATGTTAACGGATACGCCTTCTAAGCTGAAGGCAATGGATCCTATCTTTCGTTTTCTGGTCAAAAGTACAGCTTTGGTTTTTTTCTGGAGCTATAGTCAGATGATGTATTGCCATCCAATTTGATACGCGCTGTAGTGCAGTATTTATTACGTCCATTTTTTGCCGTGCCAGTAACTACGATGTCGTCTGCAAAACCTACCAATTCTATTTCTGGCGGCATATATTGATTTCTAATAAGTCATTATAAAGAACGTTCCATAAGGTCGGTCCTAGAACAGAGCCCTGTAGTACACCGCTGGTAATTTGCAGCTTTTTGCTACCATCTTGAGTGTAAAGTAGTATTTCTCTGTCCGACAAATATGATCCAATAAGACTTATTAAACTTTGGTCTAATTTCCTTTTTCTCAGTTTGTCGAGAAGAATCTGCCATGAAGCATTATTAAAAGCATTTTTAACGTCAACTGTAACAATAGCACACAGTCTGCGATTTGCATGAGAATATTGTTCTGCACTCTCGGCAATCAGACGTACCCGATTAATTGCATCAACAGTGTGTCTTCCTTTTCTGAACCCATACTGCGTCTCAGACAAACCACCAGTGCGGTTCAACTCACTCTGTAGTCTGCCCAATAATATATGCTCGTACAGCTTTCCCTCGACGTCTATAGACATATCGGTCTATACGATGACATGTTTTCAGGTGGTTTGTTAGGTTTTCTTAGCAGAACTAGTTTTGCTATCTTCCATGCAGTCGGGAACTCGGCTTTCCTTGCTAATTTGTTATAGATTGACAACACGTAATCAGGCTTTTTTTCGACAAACGCCTTTATTATTTCAGGTGGTATTTGTCCTGGTCCTGGGGCTTTTTTGTTTTTTAATTTATTGCTTGCTATTTTTAGTTCTTCTAGGCTAAAATCAACAAAGTTTGAGTTTTTATCACAGTTGAATATCACAGGTCTATGTTTCGGGAACAAAAAATTTACTATATTTACTACAACATGTAGGGTAAGATTCAGCTTAGGTGGATAACCCGCTAATCCCTTCATAACAATTTTGTACCCCTGGCCCCATATGTCAGAATCAACAGCATCACAAACTGTTTTCCAATGTTTCTTCTTGGACTTTTTAATGGCTTCCCTAAATTTTTTCTACTTGTTTCGTAGACCTTCTAGAAATCTTCACTATTCTGTCCTAAGTTTCTTCTTGAGTCTCTGGTATACTGTCTTCGTTTTTGAATACTGTCCTTACGCAGCGCTGCCAGGTCATTATTCCACCAATACATTGGCTTGCGGTTTGTACAAATTATCTTCTTTGGCATACATTTATCACAGATCTTTGCAAGACGCCTTGAGAAATTTGATGAAAGCGGTCCAGTTTGATCATCGGACACATTGCCTATCGCTTCTTCGAGTTTTTGTTCACTAATTTTATTACTATTCCATCCATTAAATTGGAGCTTTCTTTTGCCACAGGGTGCCTTCCTTTGATCAGCGATATCAAAAAATATGTAGTTATGATCACTTAAGGATTCCAAGTCACTAACTTCCCATCTTAGTATGTTAGGTCTCATTTTATAAGTAGTTATGGTGAGGTCTAGTATTGAACCATAATTTTTACTTTGGAAAGTAGGCTTATCCCCTTGGTTGACAACACAGAGATCATGCCATCCATTCTACCATTAACCTGCCTCGATTGTCCGTGACGTTCATTCCCCATTGCGGTGACTTGGCATTAAAATCACCGGCAACAATGGCGTTTTCTCTTGTGCTCTTTCATCGCATATCCAGTCTGCTCTGTTTTTAATGGCGGTTCGATTTGGCTCGCTTACAATTAAAATTGCCGCACCTATATCTTTTGCTGTCACCAAAGCAATATCATGCGCTGGTCGGCTTCTATTAGTGTTTATTTGTATTTTGTTTGTATATTGTTGGTTATGTCTATATGACGGCGTGTCTATAGACTGAATCAAGGTTTTTTAACAAAATGAAAACATAACTCTGCGTTTTCGGCACCTAATGTCCGAAGAAACTTAATTTAAGATTAGAGATCATATGGTTCCTGCCAGTTATATTTTACATATTTGAAAAATATTTAATATAGTGAGAGATATCTTTTGAGATTTTAATGTTAAATAGTTTGTAACTATTTCTAATAGTTTTTAAATATGGTAACTAATGGTAGCAATATAGCAAGACAAAACATTCTCAATTCTCAAAATATTAAATTTAACATTAAGGTTTAAGGCAAAAACTCTGTTACTGTTAATAAATAATAACAATGGAAATCTATAATCAATATTTGCTATAAACAGTCATCTAAATTAGTCCATTATTTCTGAAATTTCTTGAAATAAAATAGAGTAACTTTGACTTACTGCCACAATTTCTTCAGCAGGGGTTTCTAATCTCACATTATTTGATAAAATTGGACCTTCTATCCATTTCAACGAACCCAAATCGCCTCTTACTAACGAATTTAAATAACAATGCTCAGCCTCGATTGCATTGCTTTTATCACAAAGCATATGTCTGTAAGTTCCCCATTGGTCGTTCTTGTAGATATTTATATACAATTGTTTTCTTAATTGAGATTCGTAAAAGGGTAAGTTTACAGCAAAATCTGGTGCAGACGGATCAAATACAAAAAGGAGTTTTATATTTTGACCACCTGTAAAATGAAAAATTTCATTAGATTGTACTTTAAATTGTTAGTTAGTACCGTTTGATCGAATAAAAACGGCGTCAGCTATGGCTATGAAATGACGATCGATGACATTTCCCATATAATTTTACATAGAAAATGACAGCGATCTTCATATCATAGCCATCGCTGACACCGTTTTTATTCGATCATATGGTATATTATTTTGACCGTAGATGACCCATGATACAATAACGGAAGATAAGATCCTTGGCGGTCGCAAATCTGTTCTCCGCGCGCATGACGTCACTCGGGTAGTAATTTTCTGTTAAGCTCCGTCCACTACATGCGTAATATCTTATCTAACCGTTCTTGTATCATGTAGATGACCTAGACAATGTATCGGCGTAAATAATTATTATACTCTAGATTATTATCGTAGTATAATATTAATATTAAGTATATTATTTTCATGTGTGCGCAAAACTACTATATTTAATGCTAAATAAACCCAAAATAAACTAAATACAAAAAAAAATAAATAAAAACTGTATTTAACGTTAATAATTAGTTATTGTCTTCCTATCATTATCACTATTTGGAACTTGTATATGAAGGAATAACGAAAACATCGACTTTTTTTGAAAGTTTTCAAGCATTTCGTGGCTCTTGAGGGGTTTTTCTAAAATATAGATATAATCAAACTGATGGTATACAGCTAGATCTTCAAATCAGCCTGGACTTACGGTAGCTGTATCAACCACAGATATTTTGGCTAGAAGGAAATTTCATCACGATTACGGGAATATAAAAAACTGTAGTTAACTGCTTTTAAAAAATATGATTATTCCTCAGCCCTAAGGATAGAGGATACGCGATTAAATATAACGCAGAAATAACTCGAGTGCCATGAAACCGCATTCTACAATGCATAGTTGATGCCTAGTATTCTCAGCGGTATGTTTGCAAATGTTATACATAGATCTCAATATTCTCCTCTCAAAGAAAAAATAATAAAAAAGGCCGCGCCGCGCCGGTTAGTGATCGAAAAAGATCTTACCTAAAATCTAAAAATAGTTTACCTGGTTCTCTGCGAAGACAAGAATACAATCCAAGTATTCCGTTGAGTGGTTCTTTATCGGTAAAAATAAGAATATCCTCTTCTTTTTCCAAAAGACTGCGTAATTTTGGGAGCCAGGAAAATCCAGTGTCTAATGCTGATATTTCTAGTATCCTGGGTGGTTTATATTCAAATATTATTTTCATTAAGATCAATTTTTCACTAGCCGTTGTATAAACACTTATAACAGAGACATTCTCGTTTTCAAAAGTAGAATGATCTATGTCTATTGATTCTCTGGATAGTATAAACCCCGAAGTATGTAGAGATCCCAATGCAACTGTCAATATCTAAAACAATTTATATTAGTTACTTATGCACCAAGGGCGAGAAGAATATATTTTCGATAGAAACACATTTCTTAAAAAAAATCATATTTCACCACTAAATCAGATATACAGGATCGCTGATATGGAAACGGTCGATTATTATTGGGCAAAGTATACGAGGTCCCGCAAAAAGTTAAATTAAAAAGTTATAGGGTTTTTAAACATGCAATAAATTTAAGTATACAGGGTCGATCATAAAGTCGTGGCACCTTAAATATTTTTTTTTCAATGGAATCCCCCATATATTATTGGGTATTTCAATTCTTCCTTCAATTTTGCAAAATTTGTAATACACATAATGTAATTAAATCCAACCGTTTCTGAAATATCGAGTTTTGGTTTTGAATAGTTGAACGAAAATTTTGTAATTTCCAGATTTAATATAATCATTTTTTATACATTTATATATGCTAACTTGGAAACGAATGTCAAATATTATTAAGTATCACAGTTTCCGCAGAATGGCGTCGTCAAATGAAACCGAACAAACACATCGAAATTAATTAAATCGATTTTTTTTAAATCATATTTTCAAATAACATCAATAGCAGTCAATAACTCGGAAACGGTTGGTTTGAGATATATTATGTGTATCTTTATTTTCACTTAGAATTGAAGGAAGAATTGAAATACGGCAATAATATACAGGGGGTTCCATTTAAAAAATGAAACTTTGATGTGCCACGACTTTATGACCGACCTTGTATACTTACATTTATTACTCGCCAATAGACATTTAAAAACCCTATAACTTTTGTATTTAACCTTTTGCGGTATCTCGTATATTTTACCCTAAAATCGACCGTTTCCATACATATCAGAGATCCTGCACATATATAAAAAAGACCGGGAGATATACCATAATTAGCACTATTTATTTGAACAAGTTATCTCCATTAAAAATGAAAAATAGCTTAGAATAAGTACATTTATAAATAAGAACAACATTTAAAAAAAGTCAGCACGTACATTTAAAATATATTGTGTCCAAGAAAATCTAAAAACGAAGTCACAAAATTAAATTTTATTGGAGTCTCAGAACTTACATTAGGTCTTTCCAAGAGCCGTGAAGCTATAACCAAATGACAATCAACCTCAGTGAGCAGCCTCTTGTCTTCCACTGTCACGTTGCTCACTACTAATTCAGTTTTACTAAGAACGGTTATGTTTGGTTGAATTAGCGGTTTATCTGCGAGGACGTCGAATACTGTGTCACCTACGAATATTTTATATTCAAATTTTCGGTAATACTTTTAATGATATAGTAGAATAGCAGAGGAAGTAACTGTTATAACTACAATAATATTAATAGCTCCCGTACATAGCGTTTAACGCCTTGGCAGTAGGCAATGTACAGTTGGTTTGGTTTGGTTACCCTAATAACTACAATACTAAGTTTTATTACATCGTTAAATGTCTATAAATATAGACCTGGTGTATTCTCCGCCGGTGCTGCCACCATCGGAGAATATTGTAAACAACTGGTATATACAAATACACGGGTCTGAGTATACGAAAATTATATCATATAATTATTCTAAAAACGTTAGGAAGTATAATTTGTGAAATTTAAAAAATAAAAATGTAAATATTATTTATCATTCCAGCTAAAAAAACTTTTTAGATGAGTTCAACTACGTTAGCGAGCATAGTTAACGGTTACGCACCGGTTTTTTGTAGTGGGGTCATAATTGGGGCTATTTCGGCTATAACGAAATTTGTTAAAGGTACATAATGATAATTTTAGAAAATCTTCATGAAACATTTAATCACTAGTTGATTAAAAAAAGTATACCATTAATATTGCAAATTATATTGTCTCTCATAGTATATGTATGAGGAAGATCGAAGCCTTTGAAATGTGGTTATTTCGTCGCATACTGAAGATATCTTGGACGAATCACATGTCAAATGACGTATTATATTGAACCAAGAGGGAGAGAGCTTCTAAATATAATAAAGAAAAGAAAACCAACGTACTTTGGTCATATTCTAAGAAACGACAAATACAATCTATTACACCTTATTATTAAAGGCAAAATTGAAGGGAAGCGAGGTCCAGGCAGAAGACAGATGTCGTGGATGAGAAACATATGAGATTCGACAGGAATGTATGTCTAAATACTCGTTAGAACAGCAGAAAGACGAGAAAAATTCGCTGTGGTTATCGCCAATCTTAGCTGAGAAGAGGCGCCTCAAGAAAAAAGATAGAATATGCCTATTTAATTTTTTGATTATGTAATGAGCACTTTGTTTACTCACTTGTTTCGTCGAATGAATGTTGTTTACTCACTTGTTTCGTGCTTGAATCCATTTTTGATTAAATCGGTGTGAGAAACTGTGAAGCAAGAAAATGTTGATCCGGGAAAGTTGAGTTATTGAATGTTATTACACCCAATAACACCTTAATTACGCTCTCCTTTATGCGTTAACATTTTTTCGTCAACTTTATTAACATTTAAAATTGTTACAACACAACACGATGCCTAGTTCAGTTTTTTTTTCGTGTATTTTTTGCTACCCGAAACAGCTTTACATCACACAAACCTCGTGCCTGAGTATTTTATAGTTTCAATAACTGTACTAGTAAAAATCAAATATAGAAATTTTAAAACATTTTCCGATGCACGTCATCAATCACATCGAAATTGATACTAAAGCATAGCACTAAAGCCTATAAACCTGGGTAAACTTCATTATACTTTATAGAGCAAATGATAGTAACAGATATTTTATTTAGATTAAAGCTGCAAAAATTAGTTTAAACCGATTTTTATTATCGCATAGTTGGTCACATTGCGCCATGTTCAGCAATGTTGTCGTGTATTATTTGACAATTATCCTAGTGTCAGTCATTATTTTGTATAATATCGTGTTGTTGAATTTTTGGGGGTAATTCTCATTTTTTGCCGTTTTTCATAGTTTTTTTTCTTAAAGTGTACTTCTAAGCACAAAAAGTTCTTTTAAGAAATAAATTTTCAAGATTTTTTACTGCATTTTTTGAAATTGTGGATTGAAAATATGCCGAAGCCTTTAAACAATCGAAGCAAAGCGCTTGTATCTTCCTTGATAAAATATTTTGAGCGCGAACGTGACAAATAATAAGTTCTTTATTACCCTTGAATGCAGTCAGAGAAGTAAGATTGATTGGTAAGCACATTATACCACTTTCAAGTTATTTCTACTTATTTCAATTTGTTTCAAGCTGCCTTAAAAAAATTATATAAAAATTATATACTAAATATATATTGTTTGTCACTTTTAAATTAAGATTCATCTCATAAATCCATCACAATTTGGCAGCGCTGTTGCCATCGCTTGCCACTCAAAGTTGATGACGTGCATCGGAAAATGTTTTAAAATTTCTATACTTAATTATTATGACAAAGCCACGATTTTAATATTATTCCAATGCGTGTAATAATTTATACCCGGCACTTATAATTTTTGCCGTTCGAGCGCTGCCGTCGGAATTATTAAAATGAATTGAAATGCACCAAGCCTATAGATTTTATTGGTATGATTAATAATTAATAGTGTTTGCAACAGTCTAAATTATTAAGATTTTTAGGAAAATAAACTTTGAAGCTTTTTACATAGTTCCGAAAAGTACTTGTTTGTTTGATAGAAGATTGATATGAATTATATGAACTAATTGTTATATAATTTTATTATTTCTATGAATTGAAGACCGCAATTCTCACTTCTATGGATAAAAATGCTATTTTTGTGTTCGTTGTGGCTCTGATTTAAAAAAAACTATATTGTTTTTGCTACATATTACTTATATATTTAGGAAATGTACAAATTAAAACTAATAAATAAACTTACCAAAGGTTTTGTTTTCTTCAGGCGTTGCTTCGTCAATTAGTTCCACAACTTTTACTTGAAGAGTAGAAATATTTTCTAACAATATTTGCACATTGACTCTTACAGCTTCTTCCAACTTCAGATTAGTCACATTTGGCAGAAAAATATATTTCTCTAGTACAGGAATTCCCGTATTTTTCCTTTTAGGTATTGAACTCGCAATTACACCACGAATTTCTATACCTCCAGATCTAAAAATTAAACTATTTTAAGTCAACATATTTTTTTGCGGCTAGGGCTAATTTGAACTTTTTTTCTTCTTTCTCTTTTCTTCTTGTGATTATAAAATTATGTAGTCATATTTTTAAATTTCGTATATAATTACAGTCATATCACCCTTTACCATAATACTTACTGAATAACACCCGCATGTTTAGAGGCATAAACTGGCACATTGGGATTTTCTCCTAGACTTTCTACCGTCTCAGTGTGCTTTTTCCCATCAATACTTAGTCTAGATATAAACGTAGGAACGGAAAGCAACCGTGTATCTTCTTGTAGAAGTTTTACTTGTAGCATATTATCCATAAACGTGACCCAATTGTCATCCCATTCAATTGATGCTACCTGACCACTAATATCAGAAGATTGTATAGCTTTGAATTTTCCGCTGGTAAAAGAAATATGAGTTCAAAAATGCTGGCATACCGCAATAATAAAATACCTGTAATTATACCCACGAAGTCTTAATTCTTTGTATACGTCTTTTTTTGACATATAAGGTACAGTTGTACTTGACACGCCAGCTGGCAACGGAAGTGGCGTAAGATTAGCTTCATCTCCTTTAGCTAGTTTTATTTTTCCTGTTACAATGGTTGAGTTACCTAGAGATATACATACAGAATGATCAAAAAGTATTAGTTAAACTACACTCACCGGCACGAAAAACGGGCACCTTAAAATTTTAATGTATTTTACAGTTTTTTTACACTACTCAAAACAATTATCGCATATTTGAATAAAAGTAATTATTACATATTTCTAAATAAAACATGCGTTTTTCTGAATTTCTCTTGTGAGTTTTTTTAGGCTAATTAGGGTACGCACTCGAGTTACTCGCACTTTAGTTGCAAAAGTGAAAACAATACATTCTTATGAAGCCGATGTGTCCAATGGTTGATTGCATGGCGTAGCCTTAGGCTATATGCTGTCAGACAGTTTTTAATCGGCCGACTATTTAGTTGCATATTTGTAACCAATATATCCTTATGGAGCCGCGCTCACATGCAATCAAATAGTCGACCGATCGGCTCCATAAGTATGTATTGGTTTCACTTTTGCAACTAAATAGTCGGCCGCCTAAAAATTACAGTTCAACGAGTAGGCTTATTGCTTCGAATTTCCCTTGACAGTATTCAAACTATTTAAAATCGTAACGTCAGAGAATTCAAAGTGTCTTGTTTTTCAAATTAATATTTTTTTAGAAAATATGCGATCATTATTTTGAGTACTTTACTACTTTTTTTGTACTAATGGGCCGATATTGTAAATTTTTTAAGTAATTTGTGGCTAGATTATTTGACTTTTTATTGTCTTTTTCTAAATCAAAGATGAAAGTTCCCATCTGTCAATTATAAGAGGGAAAACAAAATGTTGATATTTTGGTGAAAATTTGAAACGCCCTATGGAATACGCTAACAAAACAAGGAATTTAAAAATAATTCATCCTCTAGGTACGTCTTTTTTCGATAGTTTGTTTTTTGACTCATCGCAATAGCTTTATTTTGATTGGAGATATTTGCTTTTGAATAAGACAGTAACGATTTTAACGCAATGGAAAATAAATTTCTTGCAGTTTTTAGGTATATAATAAAATTATATAAGAGTTTTTTGCCTTGAACTGCTAATATAGAAATTAATTCCACGCGTCATAATGTGGATCAACCTCCTCTCACTACCGGTTTCGGGGCCCTACCCCATCATCAGGTGACCTGTTTTAACGCAATTTTAGCATTGGTTTTAGGTCCTCATCGGATACACTTATAAAATCATGTTTATTGCTTTTGTAATGTCACTGTGATTGAAATGTTATATTTTTATTGTTTATTGACGTTTACTCTGATAGAGATGGTTTTAAGTTCTGAAGTATTGTTGCCTAAATTGATCATGGTAGTGATCAACTTTTGTACTGAAAACCATATCTGCTAGAGTAACTGCCTAACAGATAATAATAATTTGATTTTTCAAAACCAGTGGCTTTACATAAATCATAACCACTATTTTATAAGTTTGTTAACTAGGACCGAAAGCCAAGGCATGGTTTTAATGTAAAAAATACGAAAATACGTTGGTGTCTTCTTCAAAAGCGAATATATCCAAAAAATAATAAAGCTATTGAGATGAATCAAAAACAAATTATGGAGAAAAGATGCACCTAGATGACAAAAAGATTTTTAAATTTCTTGCTTTGTTAATGTACTCCACAGAGTGTTTCAAACATTCACCAAAATATCAATATTTTTTCCTCTCGCATAATTGACAGATGGCAACTTTTATTTTTAATTTAGAAAGAGACAAAAAAAAACATCAAGTTTGGTTAACTAGAACACAATATACTAAGGGCTGGCAAAGGTTAGTCTTGGGTCGAGATTTCCGTATGTAAGAAGAGTACAATGCGTTTATAATGTACTGAACAAAGAGAGGACAGTAAACACGTTGCCAAACGTATGAAATAAACCGAGAAACTGTGCACATCGCTAAGAGACGTGGAAGGGGATATAGCAGATTTGTCGCAGTTGACCGGTCGACCCAATCAATACCCCTGTCAGTACTTAAAAGTTCTAGGGAAAGGTGTACGTCATGCGTTCAGCTTCACGATTTAATTATGTCTCGTGATACTCAATTTGTTTATTTATTAACGAGTCGTTGTAATTTTCCCTATAGCTTGAATTTTTTTTAAGTCCAAGCTAGAAACACTTGCATTTTTGGTAAAAATAAGTGGAATTGAGTGGGTGTTCGATAGTGGTCGCGCTATTAGAACTCTGAATTCAAAAATCGATATCTCGAAATCTATTAGAAATAATAGGTTGTAATTTTTTGAAGAACTTTGTTAATATTTCTGCTGTATTTTCTATGTAGAGAGTATGTGAAAATCTTTATCAAGAAAAAAATTACACGATTGCTGAAAATTGCTATGCTTTAAAAGTAAATGGATGGATTGTTTACAATTTTTGAATGGAAAAAACAAACTTATCGAATTTTTCTTATGTAAACATATTGTAAAATATCCGATCCTGAAAATAAAAAAAAGTTTCAATATCTAAAGTGGTTCTTGAGTTATGGCCTGTTATGTGTTAAAAAGTTGAGTTTTTAAAATTATCGCGATTACTGACGTTTGCTCGTTATAAAAAAATGACACCCTAACGATTTCCTTATAATTCCATTTCGGATGCTCAGAAACATGTCTAATGATTTTATCTAGTTATCTCTTGAAAAAAAAGTCTTTTAAAAATAAGCGGTTTGCGATCGTGATTTTACTTTACTTGATAGGGAAAGGCGTATTGGCAACGCCGCAACAGCACACCGTCGCGCGTCGCGTCGGTCGGTCGCATTTCTCTCACTCCGACTTAATAAGATCCCTATGCGACTTATTTCCACACATGTAAATGCCGACCCAAAAGTAACAGTTGCCAGCCGGTATAAGACTTTAAAATACATAAAAATTTTAAGGTGCCCGTTTTTCGTGCCGGTAAAAACTGCCTCTGAGGTAAGTTTTTTTAGATTGCACGCGAAAACTATAATTCTATAGTGAGCGTATTATTAATAAAAGTTGACTTACCCTCACTAATCTCAAAGTTGCCGGACACGGCATGATACAACACATTCAGATATAATCTCAAAGATGGATCATGTATGGACGAAACGGAACAGGCCCTTATAAACCGACAGTTTTCAAACACAACTTTTGTATCTTTCAACATAAGTCTGTAGGAATCAGCCAATGCTTCCCAAACCAATAATAAATATCCCATAGCTGGATAAATATTTCTTCCTAAAAATAAAATTTTAAGAGTCTATTACGCTGTACTTTCGGGTCGCTCTCAGCGGTCGGGTAAAGCGGGTGTGTAGCCGAAGGAAATATACAGGGTGGTCTGAACTGTATTCCGGAACCTTTGGTTGCATACTTTACTGATAAAAATAAGTAAAAAAGTTCATATAAATGTATGTCCTAAAATGCTTAGTTTCGGAGATACAGGGTGTAGAAGTTTCATTTTTATTTCAACTTTTTCCAAATAATTTCTAAAGTAACGTCAATATTTGGATGAAAATTGGTGGCTGGGAGTTTTTTGACATGAGAAATTTGATTTTAATATCAAAATAACTCCTATTTGTAGGGGGCGCCACCTACATGTGTTTTAACTGTTTTGAAGAGTAATAACTTTTTGTCCGTACCTGTATAAAACTACTGAGTGAAAAAATATACATTTGCTTGATTTTCTACGTTAAAAATGTCTCTTGGTAAAAATCGCTACGAGCAACCGTTCTCAAGATATTTACAATGGAAATAGTCAATACATGTCATTATTGGCTAAAAATAAACATGCAATGTTGATAGTTATTTGACTGAAATGAGAAATTTGGGAACTTTTTTTTTTCAACTAATCATAAATTTTTCTTCGAAAAAATGATGATAAAACAGTTTCTGTTGAACTTTTGGCACAAAAACATTGCAAATTTATGATTTTAGTCTAATAACTAATTAGTCAACATGTTTAATTTATGTCAATAATGACAGGTATTGGTAATTTCGAATCCAAATATCTCGAGAAGCATTACTCGTAGCGATTTTTACCAAGAGATCTTTTTTACGTAAAAAATATCGTAAATGTATATTTTTTAACTAGCTAGTTTAATACAGGTACGGACGAAAAGTTATTACTCTTCAAACCCGTTAAAAAATACCTAGGTGGCGCCCTCTATAAGTAGGAGCAATAATAACATCAAAATCAAATTTATCATGTCAAAAAACTCCCAGACACCAATTTTCATCCAAATATTGACGTTACTTCGGAAATTATTTGGAAAAAATCGAAATAAAAATGAATCTTCTACACCCTCTATCTCCGAAACTAAGCATTTTAAGACATACATTTATAAGAACTTTTTTATTTATCTTTATCTGCAGAATATGCTGCCGAAGTTTCCGGAATACAGTTTGGACCACCCTGTATATTACATTTCAGAAATCTGCCTAAGGCTTGGCCAGATTCTGTCATGTTAAGCCACACCCAATTTTGATTAAGGTTTGCAGAGCTTCAGCATTTGCCATAAAATCGCTAGTAATTTGTTACAAAACCATATAAATTATACAGGGTGGCGCACCTCATTCGCCTCGGTTGATTATACGAAAACGGAAAGATGTAGAAACAAAATATTTTATGGGTATATGTGGAGAGGCAATGTGCACAATTTAAAATTATTTTAAAATGTACAGGGTGTTTCAGAACTAAGATCTATACCAAAGTTATATTTTTTCTTATGGAACACCCGGTATTTTATTTCATTTTTGAATTCTTGAGCCCAAAAAAAGGTATTTATTATAAGGGTTAAATGTGTTTAAAATAATTGGTTTTTGAGATATTTAAATATATTTAAAAATGCATGCTACAATAAAATAAATTATTAACACCCTGTACATTGCTTTTCAGAATTAATTCTTGTGCTGCCTTTTAAGCTAGAGAAATAAACTTTACTGAAAAATTCGATTGCTTTGTTTAATGTATACAGGGGTATCAAAAATTGCTGATCTATTTTAAATATTTATTTTATACAAAAACTTCGTTATTTCGAATACAACACCCTTTATTTTTTTAAATAAATCGAAGCAGATTGAAATACTCTTTCAAACTATATTAGGGTTTCCTATCGAAATTAGTTTATGAACTTTATTTACATTTATAGCAGTTTACTTTTATTTAATTTACCTACAATAGTTTAATAAATAATATTTTATTATTCTATCGAGAAAAACGAAGAAGTAATTCTCTGATATATTTTACGATGACTTTACGATGATTACGAGCCAATTACGGCAAATTAATTTTCTCCACTTCCAACTACAGGCTTCTGCCTAATAGGTTTTTTATAAACCACACTACCATAGCTTTGCCAAATTAAACAAGTAGTTATTCAAAATAACGCTTATCATGAAGATTCCTATTTGAATATCTTTGAGCATAAGCCCTTGAGGCCAAGAAGCAATTTTCCTCACAAGATCAAATCACTAGTAACATACCCATTCGTTCCGCCAGCAGATACTGCTTTAATTTTCTTGACAAAATAATGAATACTTACTTATAAAATTATTGTAACTAAATTTAAGTAAACTGTTATAAATCTAAATAATAATGTCCATAAACTAATGTCGCTTTTGAAAATAGTTCACTAGAAAATTGCCATGGCAACACCAGTCCTCTCGCCATTTTATTGAAAAATCGCTTTTTATTCAAAATCTGAGCTAGATAGGTATAGGCAACACTACTATAGTTTGAAAGAGCATTTAAAGCTGCTTTGATTTATTTTAAAAAATACAGGGTGTAGTATTTGAAATAACGAAGTTTTAATGTAAAATAAATATTTAAAATAGACCAGCAATTTTTGATACCCCTGTATACATTAAACGAAACAATTAAATTTTTCAGTAAAGTTTATTTCTCTGGCTTAACAGTCAGCACAAGAATTAATTCTGAAAAGCAATGTACAGGGTGTTAATAATCTATTCTATTGTAGCATGCATTTTTAAATATCTTTAAATATCTCAAAAACCAAATATTTTAAATACATTTAACCCTCATAATAAATATCATTTTTTGGGCCCAAGAATCCAAAAATGAAATAAAATACGGGGTGTTCCAGAAGAAAAAATATAACTTAGGTATAGATCTTAGTTCTGAAACACCCTGTACATTTCAAAATAATTTTAAATTGTGCACATTGCCTTCCTACATATACCCATAAAATATTTTGTTTCTACATCTTTCCGTTTTCGTATAATCAACCGAGGCGGATGAAGTGCGCCACCCTGTATATCACTGTAATCACGAAACTTCAATCTATTTCCGTATTGTAAAAAAACTAAATTTTAAATTACATTACAATGCGGATATAGTACAATCCTTTATCTTTAATTTCCTTCTTTATTTGTGTAAAAATACCTAGCCACTTTTACATAAAACGTTAAATGACGAACGCTTATTTTGCTACTTTTTCGGACTAGTAAAATGGACTCTTAAGATTTACTTCTACACCTAACTAATTAGTTGTCAACTAAATAATTAGTTATTTCTCCGACGAGAAATTATTATGCAATTTATATATCTTTACCATCAGCTACATGTCCTTCCAAGAAAGAATGCTCAGGCAATTTGACATCAATTAGAATTGTTTTTTCTTCAAAAAATTGAGAATTTTCATCTAAAGTTTGAACGGACCAATTTTTTTCGTGATTCCAGCCTACGGACGGAGAAATCATAGGTGTGCCTCTGCTGACTGGATACGGCACCTTAGGATATAAGTGTTGGAGTTGAGGGTTAACACCGAGCTCGTATAATCTAATAAGTAAAAATAACTGATTACCTTTTATCGTTTTTTTATTAAAATTTAATTTTGGTATTTTCACAATTTATGAAATTGCGATAAGCACTTCTTACACAAAACATATTCTGAAAGATAACTCTCATAACGCTATAGTCCTTATTTTTTATTTACACAACTAATATGTTTCGGTCGGATTGTACAGTGAGTATTTTGTAATAGTGTTGATATTATATAAAAATTGGCGCCGGGAGGCACGAGTTATATTGTGTGTGTGTGTATAAGTGCTGAATAGACAACAATAGACTAGCATTTTTCCAAGTACAGATTCTATTTTTTACACTCTGTCGCACGAGCTCTTCAAGCTAGTTAGTTTTTAAAACAGATGTCAATTTTTTAGTTTTTTTATATAATTAAATAAAACTTAAATGTAATTCATTCAAAAATACACACTGCGCCGGATGGTTATTCTAGCGGGACAAAATCTCAAGAGCAATGTTTGGGACTTAAAATCTAAGAACGTAGCAAATGGTCTAATATATAGCAACTATATGGTTAAATTCATTTATTTATTAACAACTTAATTTATTAATAAATAAATACAAGATAATAAAACTATGATATTATTCGTACATGACACACAAAAGCCGTATTGTAAACTATTGCCAAATACATAAAATTATGATATCAAAAAACTCTTTAGCAGTTTTTTTTTAATTAATTTGTAATCTTGTGACACCCTCTATAATTTATTTTAAAAAAATATATTTTATTTTAAAAATAATAAATAAGATAGATATTTTAATTTTAATTTTAACACTCGGTAATTGTAAATTCATATATAGTAAGTATCTAAGACAATTTTTTAAACTCAGTGCCTTTTGATGGAGTTGTTTTGTTTTTATCTACCCGATTTTATTGTGTATAATCCAGAGGTCACCAAGTTTCATATAAATTTTACTAACTTTACCCATTTGGTTGATGAATTTCAAAATCTCTTCTAATTCTCCTTGTAGGATTTCATTCTTCTAGATCACATAGTAAGGAATTTTCATACAACAAATTGTTCCGACATAATTTTACTCTCCAAGAGGATGAATTTCCTAAAATCGCTTTGTGTAGCTAATTCACTAATGTCGTTTAAACGAACCTTTGTTCTGATATTTATGTATCTAAATCTGGCTGTATGAACTGATCCTTAAAATATCTAAAAACTTGATATATAATCTAACTGACAAACCACTGACAATGACAAATAATTTATTTCTGGAGGTATTGTGTGTAGGTGTTTTTCAGGTATGTTTTAATATTTAGTCAATTTACACAAAGAAATAGCCATTCAACAATTTAAAAAATACTTCATAGCAAATCTAGACATATATACCTTTCATTTAAAAAAAGAATCAACAAGATTGATAAAGCAGTTTCGGCAGGGATAGATGTAACAAAAAAAAACATATATAAAAACTCAAAAGCCTTTTGAGTTTTTATAGATGTATGGATTTTGTTGCAAATATTATTCCTAATCTTAATTTGGAAACTGCATTTCGCTAGCTACTGTAATTTTGGAGTTACGATTTTTTAAAATTTTTAACCCCCTCCTATACCCCCTTACCAACCCCCACCACCACCAAAAACTAATGGCAAGATTCTCGGTGCCACAGTATTTTTTGTGCCAAATTTGGTTAAAATCGGTTCAGCGGTTTTGAGCTATCGTGTTACAGACGGCAGACAGACAGACAGACAGACACCACGAAAATATTTTGTATTTAGGTCATTTATGACCCAAATAACTCATTTTGAGTGAAATTAAAAAACTTTTTTTGCCGATCCTAATAGCCTACCATACCTATTGGTATGGTCGGCCCTTACCAACCCCCCACCCCCACCAAAAACTAATGGCCAGATTCTCGGGTGCCACACTATTTTTGTGCCAAATTTGGTTAAAATTGGTTCAGCGGTTTTTGAGCTATAGTGTTACAGACGGCAGACAGACAGACAGACACCATGAAAATATTTTGTATTTAGGTCATTTATGACCCAAATAACTCATTTTGAGTGAAATTAAAAAAACTTTTTTTTTGCCGATCCTAATAGCCTACCATACCTATTGGTATGGTCGGCTAAAAAGGAGATAAAATGTTTAAAAATTACATAAATATAATCGCGCTCGGGAATAACAACATCTAGCAAAAGATCTATTTTTTTAGAATATTTATAATTCAATAATGATCCCGATATATTACAGGTTGTGCTAGAAGTTTTCGTTCTTGTTTTTGTTGATCTTGTGGTAATTTTACCCATAACATTCCTAAGGAAACTCGTAAAGCAACGTATGAATTAAATTAGACTAAGTAAACGATTTAATATTATATAGGGGCACAGCTGTACCATCCTTTTCTCGAAGGTATTAACAGCATTTTTGATCACTCTGTAACTTCGTTTTAGTTAAAGAAAGAATATTAATTTTAACTAAACATGAGGGCAGAGGGCATACTATAGCTGGCTAGATTACTTAAATATCTGGTAATTATACCTCATAGTTTAAGAATTATTGCTATTCAAATTTCTTTAATTTCGACATTAACTCACTGACACATCATCAAAATTCTACGGTACTATGTCTTAAAAAAAATGCTTATATTTATTATATTAAATGTTTATAAGAACTAAGATTATAACCAAAGGAAAAAAATAAAAATCTCAAAATATCCTGGATTAAAAGTTAGTTGTCTAGCCGCCAACGGTAATTGACTTTCCAATCGAGAAAAAGGGAGAAAATTAGAATTAATCGGAGCGATCTCTTTTGATTTTATTTGTATATGAATGTAACAACAATAATTTAAGGATTATTAATTAATGCTACTCAAACTTCTTTGACTTCGACAGTAACTCACTCTCCGTCATCAAAATTCTAAGATACTTCTAGAAGAGTTACAAACTTCAAATTCTGATTTTTAGGTTATTTTTTATGTTTGGTTTGAATTATTATAATAATTCAAAGTTTACTACATACATACTGCCATTACTCGCTGACGAGTATTTGACACGCATCAGAAGATGGTCACGCAAGGCGTTTTCTTTCATGAGCTTTTCTGTGACTGAAAGGCCCGATACGTGATGTTATCTGCCTACTGCACTCCGGACATTTAAAAATATCATTGCTTTGTTACCTCTTTTATGAATTATTGCTAGATAAACTCCTTTAATATTATTTTTAATTATATATTTCCCAAGAAAAAAGTAGGAGAATAACCTACAAAAATATATTAATGATAACATCAAAAACATATAAAAAAATATAAAACAAAACATATAAAATATGCCAAATCTCGCAATACTATTCTTCCACTATCGAAAGTTCTAAGATCTCATGTAAATCTAAGTCAGTTTATTTTATTTAGTTTCTCTTTAAGCACCCTTTCTATAATTTTGTTACAAATTGTTAGTATCAATATTAGACATCTTTATTCCCGTATTAATTATAATGACTTGGCGATTGGCAAAACCAACGAACCCACGACTGTTGTATCGATGAAGAGCTGTCGTTCGCAAGGTGTATGAAATTAAAACAACTTACAATATCTAAATTTTGTAGTTAGAGATATTTAACTTTAGTTTCTGGAAAATAATATAAAATATAAAACATGCTAGTTGTGTAAATAAGGTTATAAACACAATAGATGTTTGACATAAGACTTTTATATTAAATGAAGCTTTGTCTACTACCTTTAAAAAATCTATACATTACCTTCCAATGGACATTAGGAACTCATTTAATCCTCCTCGACTTACTACAGATAAGTTCTTTTTAGAAGGCTTTAATAGAAGATCTATATCACCATTTCCAATTTCAAATAAAATACCTGAACTTTTGACAAAACCCTGAATTTCTTGTGGAACATCGTCATATTTTAAAGAATTTATGATATAGTTGTAATCAATTTTTGCAGAATATGAATCAACAATTACATTATCGCTTAAAATTATAGGCTTGGTAATGATATTATCCAAAATATCTTCGAAATCTCTTGCTAAAAGATAAATTTCAAATGTTATATAATTTGCCAGCTAATATATTGGATGGCTAAAAATTTCATATAATTAATTAATGGTAGAAAAATTAGTTGATTGTTTTTCAAATGTTATTCATATTTCGATTTCACGATACCGTCCTTATAGCAGACAACGTGGAATAGCAGGGTCTGCAAACACTTCTACAAAGACTAAACAACACGTGTAGAGTCTATGGCCTGAAAATGAACCCCCTAAGAAAACTAAATTTATGATAATCACTAAGAGAGAAGATGTCCAAGCCAATGTTCTAATAGATGATACACGTATGGAGAGAGTACAAAAATATAAATATCTAGGCAGTTGGTTGATCGAAAACTTGGATCAGCAGAAATAAAAACTCGAATAGAAATAGCCAGAGCATCCTTTGTAAAACTCAAAAAATGTCTGTGCATTGTGCATCAACTTAAAGCTTAGATTAAGAATGCTAAGGGGTTGCATATTTGCAACTCTACTCTATGGTTCAGGGGCTTGGACACTTAAAACGGCCGAAATGGAGAAGCTTGAGGCATTCGAAAGATGGTGTTATCGGCGTATGCTGAGGATTGCATGGACTGACAAGGTTACAAATGTAGAACTGCGACGCAGAATTCAGAAGGACAAAGAAGTGATTAACACTCTTAAAAAGAGAAAACTTGAGTACTTTGGACATATAATGAGAGGACCTAAATATGCCCTGCTGCCGAACATAATAGAAGGAAAGATAAAGGGCAGAAGAAGCCAAGAAAGAAGAAGAACATCATGGCTCAAGAATTTGAAAGAATGGTTTGGAATGAGTTCAAACCCGTTATTCAGAGGAGCCGTTAACAAGGTTAGAATTGCCATAATGATTTCCAACCTCCATTAGGAGATGGAACCCGAAGAAGAAAAATTCATATTTCTTCTAAATAAATAGCGAAGAATATAGGTGCGCCAATAAACTGGAATAAAAAAAGCTTTCCCTTTTGGCTTAAAGATAATTGTAATTATCACAGTCCGACAATTATTAATTAATTTCATACCGAAAAAATATTCAATATGAATATATTTTCAATATATTTTCACTCACGTTAAAACCTTGGAACAGACACATATACAGGGTGCTACAAATTCGGGGTACGAGCACTGGTATCTCGGTAACCGTAATAGATACGAACATGGTTAAATTGCGACAAAGTTGCGCTTTAGGATTTTCACCAAGATGCCATCAAAATTTTTTTAAAAATATCAAGGATTGCTGAGTTTTTTGGAAAAATAGTTTTTTTTTAAATCTATTTAATTTTTTCCTGTTGTTAGTTTTTAGAAAATCAAAAAACTAATTGCACACTCCCATAGCCACTTTATTAGGGCTATCTAATGGTATTTTTCGATTTTTAATTAGCTGATAATTTGTGAGATACAGAGGCCAACTTAATTTTTTTAAATACGGACCTGCATTTTTTATTTTAGGTTTTGAAAGAAGTCGGTCTCCTGAGTACAATGATATGCCACACTTATTTTTTTTTTGTTTCGGACATTTGAACATAATTTGTTTAAAAAATTTCAAGTCCGGCTCTGTTTTTTTTTAATATTTAATCTATTCATCGTTACAATACTGTTAAGCTTTCAAATTTAACAATGACGTGGGGTAAACATTGAATACAGAAAATCAAATGCAATAAAATAATATAAAATAATAATAAATGCAATAAAATAATATAAATAAAAAGAAATAAATAAGTAACATAAATAATATAATATAACATAAACAATCGAAGCATTTCCCCGGAAGATGGATTGGAAAGGGTAGATTATCAGTATAATGGCCAGCGGGGTTCGTAAACATGTCGCCAAGGGGCTGGGGGGGGGGGGCATTACTTGACATTATTCATAAAAGTGAAATCAATATATTTCGATTAGAAACTAGTTTGTAGAAGTTGATTTATTTATAATAACTACGATTGATATTATCCATATTATTAAGTCGTATACTGAGCTTTCAAATTCACAATAAAAAAGTTAAAAATAATATCTTTAAATTGCTGACCTGGATAGTATTTATTGGAATCTTTTACTTGGCTTGCTTTTCTGTATTCAATATTAATTAGCGCTGATCAATATTGTTGCGATGAATATAATCAGATTAAATAAATTAAAAAACAAGAGTCGAACTGGAAATTATTTTAAATAATAATTAAACAGTTTTGTTATTGTTAGGGTACCCAAAACAAAAACAAGTATCAAATTTAGCATATCATTGTACTCAGGAGAACCAGTTCTTTCAAAACCTTAAATAAAAAATTCAGGTTCGTATTTAAAAAAATTAAGTTGGCCTCTGTATCTCACGAATTGTCAGCTAATTTGAAAATCTAAAAATACTATCAAATTGTCCTAATAAGTGGCTATGAGAATCTGCAATCAGTTTTTTGATTTTCTGAAAAGTAACGACAGGAAAAAATAAAATTGACTTTCAAAAAGATCCGTTTTTTTTTCAAAAAAACTTAGCAACACTTGAAATTTTTAAATCTTCTTTGATGGCCATCTTGGTGAACATCTCAAGGAGCAGCTTTGCCCCAATTTAACCATCTTTGTATCTATCACTGTTTCCGAGATACCAATGCTCGTACCTCGATTTTGTAGCACCCTGTATATCGTTTTTAATTTTTTATATTTAATTAAAAATATCTCTTACCATAATGTTCGTCTTGCTGAATTACGTCATACAATTCTGCGATACTACTTTTCTTTGCGGCCTTCATCAAAGAACCAATGACGTAGGCCAACTGGACAACTTCTTCCAGACTTAGAGCACGATCAAAATAGGCACATGCCAAACCACCCAGAGATAAATCTTTATTAACGCCAAAGATTTTTGTAGGAGCGATTTGAAGAGCTCTTAGAGTATCGCACATAGACAATTGTAACACAACATTAGTAAGAATGGTGTTGAAAGGTGATTTGGTGTTATCCCTCAGGATTATATTTTTAATATTAAGGTTCTTCGGTTTAAGCATCAGGTGTATTCTGTAAACAAACGTTTTGTTAAGTGTGTTCTATTAGTTAGTTAGTTAAATTATGTACAGGGTGGCCCATCGAAAACGTTGCGCAAGGCATAACGGCCAGGGTATTTCTTTTTTCAAAAAATCCAAAAACACGTCAATTTTGTTTGTGAGTGGTACAACTTTTGCCCCAAAAATGATTGCAAAATCTTTAACCCTCTGAGCGGGGGTGTCATCCCCCAACTTTTTTCAAATGGGAAGGGGGGTCAAGTGGTGCCGCAATGAAAAGATCTTTCTATTCTCTATATTTCCCCGCCTCGTTTTTGAAAATCGATCGAGTCGTTGAGAAAATATGAAGGATTGAAATTTGAAAAGTTTATTTAAACATTTATCAGAATAAATGATAAGGATAAATTCCTTCGACCAATTTGCTGTTTTTTTCTTATTATTTCTAGATGTTTACGCATTTTTTCACTTGCCACAAGGTTGAACGACCAGGTGCGGTCTCAATATCGTTAAACTGACCTACAATAGAATTTCCAAAAATATCAGCCCGCGACGATCAAAATCGTCTTCGTTGAGTTCTTGTACCAACTGAATTCTGTACGGGTGGAACTCATGGTACAAAGAATACAAGGTATGATATTGCGCAGGTTGGTCGCTATGTCACAGGTGATAACAGGCGCTATTGGTCAGCACGCTTCGCGCGCCAGTTTAAATCGTCAAGATATTGTTATAAACCTGTTTTTTTTTTTGTTTATATACCGTCATTGAATTATCGCTAAGCAAGTTACTGTGGAGCAGTGCATAAGGAGTCGGGCTAGGAAGGGAGAGACCGGAGTTCAAATCTCGGCCGGAACATCACTTTTTATTTATTTCTTTAAATACTGTGGTATTCTATAGTTTATTTTTGTAGTATAAAAAAAAAGAACTATTTATTCTGTTATTTTTTAATCTCCGTTATTAATATAAATTGATTGTTAGTACAATACCTCATTTAATATAAAATAATATTCTACTTTTTGAAATGTATCGGGCCCTAATTTTACCTAAAAGTAATATAGTTTTAGTGATATACCATATTGTAAACTATTTAATATTTCAGTCACTTAAAAAGTTAATTTGCATTGAATAATTGCCTACCATTAAAGCAAATTTGAGCTATATAACCCTTGATTGGCATATTCTGGGTATGCAAATATTTCCTTTAAATTTTGGGTGTCGTTCAACCGATTTATTCTCAAAACCAGAAACATCTACATATAAAAAGAAGCACAGGTCACTAATTATAATAAACTTCACCCTTGGTATTACTTCCACTAATTATAATAAACTTCACCCTTGGAATTACTTCTATCACAATTACAATACGTTCATCTGCATTAGCATTTTCTACTTTTCGATGGGAAACAATAAACTATCCAACATTTTTTAAATGATCTAACAATTCCTCTTGTGGTTACTTTTCCATAGATATCCTCATCTCTGTCCTCATGTGAATTCAGAGGCAATAAAAATGAAAATTATTTACCATAAACATCGCAAACTAAAAACCTAATAAACAATTTTATACCGAATATAGAAATAAATTTACTATTTTTACCTATTATCGTCCAAATCCATGTTAATAGATAATTATTATTTTTAAATATATTTTTGGAACTGCTGGTTTTAGTAATTATTAAATTAAACGAACTAAAAAGTCTTAAAAATAAACAATTCTTAACCATAACCTCAAAAATGCAGATCTCCTGTCAACTTTCTTTATTTTTTATTTATTCATTATTTTCCTAGTGACGTCACAGGTGTTATGCGCGAACTGAACGAAATTGGAGCCGCTATCGATCATACCTTGTATTCTTTGTACCATGGGTGGAACTTGTGTGTTTTTTAATATCCTTTGGACACTTGTACGTTTCACGCCGGTCTCATTGGCTAATTTTCTTGTACTCAGCGTACTATCCATGGCAACTTGGCCCAATACGAATACCTCCATAGCTTCATTTACTACAGGATTTTCCCTCTGCCTCTTTTTATTCATAACGGAACCAGTTTCACGAAATTTTGCTACTAACTCGCCAACAATTTTGCCATAAAGGTGTTTGTCAGGATGGCGTTCATTGAATATCTGCGCAACCCGATTGCCACATTCATTATTTTTAAAATAAAGTACGATTATTTCCACTTTTTCTGCAAGTGAGTACATCATAATTGTTAAAAAGTTTAACGATATTGAGAAGAACTTCAACGCACAAGTCACAGAACAACTATCTAGAAACTACCGCACCTGATCGTTCAACCTTGTGGCAAGTGAAAACATGCCTGAACATCTAGATATAATAAGAAAAAAACAGCAAATTGGTCAAAGGAATTTATCCTTATCATTTACTCTGATAAATGTTTAAATAAACTTTTCAAATTTCAATCCTTCATATTTTCTCAATGACTCTACCGATTTTCAAAAACGAAGCGGGAAAATATAGAGAATAAAAAGCTCTCTTCATTGCGGCCTACTTGACCCCCCTTCCCGTTTGAAAAAAGTCGGGGGATGACACCCCCGCTTAGAGGGTTGAAGATTTTGCAATCATTTTTAGGGCAACAGTTGTCCCTTTCACAAACAAAATTGATGTGTTTTTGGATTTTCTGAAAAAACCCTGGCCGTTATGCCTTGCGGAACGTTTTCGATGAGCCACCCTGTATGATGGTTATGTGGTTGTGAAGAAACTAACAAACTATTTTGTTTTTTGTATTTTGTTTAGGAGTTTTGTATTTTGTTTTTCGATCAAAACGGTCACAAAATGCATAGACGAAAGAAAAATATAAAGCGGTAACTGGCATCAACCGCCACTGGGTTTAGTTATATTTATATGAAAGACAAAAAAAATTAACATGAATCAATATTATTATTTAAGAATACTTGAAAATATCCATTAAAGAACATGCATCTATGTGAAATAAACAGAAATAAGACATATAGTTTCATTTCAAAGTAATATTGTCGTAATTTTTCTTCTTTATGTGCAGTAATGACAACTATATAATTAGTTAGTTTTAACTTACTTATCCAGAACTTCAGCAAATATGGGTACTTCCAAAAATTCTTTTATATTTTTTGTAGATGTTTCGTCAATAACACCAAAGCATATCAGTAAAGGAGCTGACGTGGAATCAAAATAGGTCTGTGATCTTGCTTTTTGTCCAAATTTAGAGGCTAATAAATAACCTCCATAGTGGTGAGCACTTATATCCTTGCTATAGGAAAATAAAATATTGAGATAAATTTGAAAATATTAATTATACGACAGAATTATTTCTATTTAACCAATAGTGTTTTGTGGCTCAGTAGTGAATTACTACAAATTATTAATATTGTAAATAATTTCAAAACTGTAGAAAAGTTAATGTTACCGGAATCGTCTTAAAAGTGGCTCACCCCGATTGATTGCCGTATTCAATTGTTTTTGGTCACTTCCTGTTTCACCGAAAATGACTACAACTTTTGATTTTTAAATGACATCATTAATATTTCTTTTACTTTATTATATATATAGAAAATGACACTGTGAATAGAATGACATATCATATGTCAGCTTTGGACATTTTCGCATATGGTTTAGTTGAAATTGTAACATGAGGTTCATAACGACAATTTGACTCGAAATACCAAGTGTGTTTTACCAAATTATTTGTACGAAAATTATTTTTCCAAATACGCTATTTTTTTCTAAACCTTTGTTCCATTTGAAAAAATTGATATATGATTAAAAATACGATTTGGGCATCCTTTAACCGGCCAGAACAAGAGACGAAAAATATTAAACGCTGAACTCTATTTTTCCAAGGCTCCTTGTGTACAAATGAGCGTTTTTAACACAGCCTTGACACTCTAGATTGAAATTTAAAATACGATTTTTTTAATCGAAAATATCAAAAGTTGACATATGACCATATGATATGTCATTCTATTCAGAGTATTACTTTCTATCAAATAAAGTAAAAATATACCGAGGGTGCTATTTAAAAATCAAAAGTTGTTGTCATTTCCGGTGAAACAGGAAATAACCAAAAACAATTGAATATATGTCAATGAATCCCAATTTATGTCATATACCAACATACCAAATCTTTATCTTTGTTTTTTTTATCTGATAAAATAAAAAAGTTATAAGGGTGACCCACTTTTGAGACGCTCCCGGTATACAGGGTTGTTCACCACATACGACACGGAGTATTGTAGCTAAACGATTAGATTTTTACAAATTGTAAGTTTTGGGTTCGTTGAAGATCTATTAGAACTACAATTTAAAAATATTTTTGATACAGAGTGTCCCAAATAAGTAAAAAATATTATAGTTGTATTTTTTTAAATGGAACACCCTGTATATTATTCTATTTTTAGATTCTACGATTGAAATAAAGGTAAATTTGATTAAGGTTTATCACACTTAAACCTTACCGTTTTTGAAATATTTTCAATTTTATAAAATTGTAGTAAAAATTTTAAGGCTTTATTTCTCCCAAAAAACGACCTCCTCTGTATCAAAGTTTTTCATACTAAATATTTACTGAAGATTATTTATTGATCAGATATTGTGTTGCAATAATAAAAATTTTACTACCTTATACAGAGTGTCCAAAAATTTATATTAAATAATTACTAGCTTTAAACGGCAATAACTTGTTTAATTTAAATGGAACACCCTATATATTTTACATGAATCAGATATACAATGTAATTGTCTATGAAATTGTATTATACCATTTTTCACCCATCTCTTGAGGTTTTCGTAGAAAATGCATTTTCTTATAATTTTGACCTCATTTATCACTATACCCATGGAATATTGACATTTCAGATTTTTTTATAGCACCATAATATGTACAAAATATACAGGTGGTAAATATTGCAAGCCCATTTGCATACAAAAAAACTATTTAAATCTTTGTAAAAGAGTATACGAATTAAATATATCACCATTATTTCCTATAAAAAAACACCAAAAGTTAGTTACATACTTGTAAATTGTTTTAATTAATAAATTATTCTAAATAAATGTGGATTTGGCTCAGAAATCAATATAATAATAAGTTATGAAAATGAATGTCTCTGTTTTTATAAATAAGCATTCGTCAATAAATGAAATAAAATTTATAAGGTGTTACTTTTTACCACACTGTCTAATACACACATAAAATTCAGTTTTTTAGTATTTGGAACAGTTATTACTTTAAACAGTCAATTTAATGTAGTTTGAATACTGGGATCATATTAATTGGTACTCTTTAACAAAAAATATTTAAACAGTTTTATTTTTATTTTTTAATTAACTAAGCGAACTATCTCGACAATATTAGTACCTGTACCCTTTGAAAATTTGTCACATCGTTAAAAATAAGCTAAAATGTCAATATTCCATGGGTATAGTGATAAATGAGGCCTAAATTATAAGAAAATGCATTTTCTACGAAAACTTGAAGAGATGGGTAAAAAAATGGAACAATACAATTTGATAGACAACTACATTGTGCATCTGATTCACGTAAAATATATAGGGTGTTCCATTTAAATTAAACAAGTTATTGCCGTTTAAAGCTAGTAATTATTTAATATAAATTTTTGGACACTCTGTATAAGGTAGTAAAATTTTTATTATTGCAACACAATATCTGATCAATAAATAATCTTCAGTAAATATTTAGTATTAAAAACTTTGATACCCTTGGAGAAATAAAGCCTTAATTTTTTTACTGCAATTTCATAAAATTGAAAATATTTCAAAAACGGTAAGGTTTAAGTGTGATAAACCTTAATCAAATTTACCTTGATTTCAACCGTAGAATCTAAAAATAGAATAATATACAAGGTGTTCCATTTAAAAAAATACAACTATAATATTTTTTACTTATTTGGGACACTCTGTATCTTGTAAAAATATTTTTAAATTGTAGCTCTAATACACCTTCAACGAACCCAAAATTTACAATTTGTAAAAATCTAATCGTTTAGCTACAATATTCCGTGTCGTATGTGGTGAACAACCCTGTATATTTAATTATGTTATGTACCTAAAAACGTCTTGAAGCAACCTGATATGCTCCGCATCAAATTGATTTTGTATAACACTATCCAAAAGAATGTTCACTGCATTGGGCGTCCTACCACTAGCACAAATCAATCTAGGTATATTGTCAGATGGTCTACCCTGGTTTACTTTTTTCTTAGTATTTGGTTGGAGTAGTATGTGACAATTAGCACCTCCTAATCCAAAGCTGTTGATTCCTAAGCAATACATTTAAAATAGTTTCTAATGATTAGCTTATACGTTAGTGTTTTAGGAAGTGATACTACTCTTAATAAGAAAATACATTTCCGTCATACCTACGAGATACTTCTACCTACCTACTAAGCATCTGTCATCCTTAAATTCCGTTTTATCTGTAACTACTTTCAACCTACCATCCATTAGCGACTTTATACCTTCCCTAGGAGTTCTAAAGTGTAGATTAGGTGCTATGTACCCAGTTTCGTATCCTATAATTACCTATAATAGGACAAATATCGGAGATTAACAATAAATTGTGTCTTTTAGGATATCTATTTGTAGTATCTACTTGATAACAAAGAGTGATGTAGCTTTCTGAAACGTCATTGCTGTGTAAATCAGAAAAAAACTGTTACGTGTTTTATGCACTGTGGCAAACTGATATTTCGTACCTTTTTCCAAACAGCAGTTCTAAAATTACAGGAACCTTTTGTTTAACAATCGGTTTTTAATAAAAGCGTAAACGCAATAAGCTATAGTAAACGGAAATACAAATCTTAGTTACAATTGAGGTAGAGTCCAAGAGCAGGGTGCAAAAATATGCAAGAGTTTTCTGAAGGCCCACATTTTCAAAATCAGTTGCATTTTAGTGTTAAAAACCAAAGGTACAGTGTGGTTGAAACTGGTCTGTTTTAACAGAGAAAACCTATTTCCTGACTAGATAGAGCAAAACCGACATAGATGTCATGGTCTCGATTTCTGAGACACATTTAATGGCGTAAACCGTCTGTTGATATTTTCACTGCCAACTGAGATACGGTTTTTTTTTTAATTTTTTACCATTTGGAAAATTGCCCATAACTTTTTTTAAATGGAAATCATAGTTGGCTATGAACTTAAAAAAATACTGGCGTTTAACGCTTTCGAACAATATAAAGTTATGTGTATTTATTTCTAAGAATGAGAAAAATGTTAGGTTTTTTATCTTCGTATCGAAACGGGCCTTGATTTGGAGTTGACCTAATAGTACGAGAGCTAGCAACGTCGGGAAAACAAGTATTTTAAGACGTCTGGCTCTTTGATATATCTTTTATTATGGTCTCTGGAACAGTATGCGGCTCATCTGGCTGCCGATACCCGTTGCGTTCACTACTGCGCATCCAAAGAAGAAAGAAGATCCTCTATTTTTTACTTAGCTCTTTAAATTCTAGTATTGAATAAAAATCGAGCAAGTCCCCATTAGCTCGGCGCGTAGAGCTTTCGCCTATGAATCGAAGGTCAGTGGTTTGATACCGGCTGGGAGTGCAACTTTTTTATTTTTTTTTTCGTTTATATTCTGATAGTAAAGTATTAAATATTTTTTATCACCAGAGCGGATGGCACTTATGGGTTTATGATCCGTAGTGTATATAAGTAGAACTTGATACTTTCATTTGTTTTGAAGGATTATTGTGGTAATTAATTATTAGGCAGGTTTAGGATGGTCTGGCTGCCGCGCCGGTAGGTTGCGTTCACTACTGCGTATCACATGTATACAGGGTGTCCCATTTTTGCGCGTTTTTTGGGATTTCTCGTTTATAATTTCATTTTAAAGATTTAAACATAATATAAAAAAATTAACATTTTAATGCTTTATTAAGGTAATTTCTGCCTGTCTTTTTTCAAAATATTTTTTCAGCTGTTTATTATTTTAATAATCATTTTAATAATACTTTTTTTAACAAATTGTTATCTAAAAGCTACACAAGTTTATTTTCAGTTCAGTTTGTTAAGATAACGATGGAAAAAGAAAATTATCTGGTTAAATTAAATTAAATAAAATAATAATACTTTTTAAACAAGATTAATTAATGTTAATGTGTAGAAAATGCGCAAATCTAGGGGTAGAATAATTAGTTACATAAAAAACTAGCAAAGTAATGTGAAAAAAAAACGCATCATTGTATCTCCACTCATAAACGAGAAATCCCAGATATCCGAAATCCCAAAAAACGCACGAAAATGAGACACCCTGTACCCATATGATGCGCAGTAGTGAACGCAACCTACCGGCGCGGCATCCAGACCATCCTAAACCTATCTAATAATTAATTACCCCAATAATCCTTTAAAACAAATGAAAGTATCAAATTCTACTTATATACACTACGGATCATAAACCCATAAAAAAAATATTTTACTATCAGAATAAAAACGAAAAAAAAAATTAAAATGTTGCACCCCCAGCCGGTATCGAACCACTGACCTTCGCTTCATAGGCGAAAGCTCTACGCGCCGAGCTAATGGAGACTTGCTCGATTTTTATTCAATACTAGGATTTAAAGCGCTAAGTAAAATGTAGAGAATCTTCTTTGGATGCGCAGTAGTGAACGCAACGTGTATCGGCAGCCAGACGGCCTGCACGTTGTTCCAGAGAGCATAATAAAAGATATATCAAAGAGCCAGACGTCTTAGAATACTTTCTCGAAAACGTTGCTAGCTCTTAGACTATATTTACCTAATTATTGTTTATCACAATTTAATATTCTATATTATTATTTTTCTGCATAATTAATGACTTTTGAAAAGGTAAATCAACATTTCTATGATAGTATTACCAATTACAATTAAAACGCCTGGGTTACAACTGAACTATTAAATGGAGAATTTAGAAAGAATTGGATTGGAACAAGGGCCTCCTAGATCCTGTGATTTAACTCCTTTCGACTTTTTTAGGGGGGAAATTAAAAGACCTTATATATATAAGGAAAGAACCATTGGGACGAGAGAAGAATTGCAGAAGGCTACTAGGCAAGTTTTTGGACTTATTACACCAGTTCGCATAATAAATCGTTGGAACTCTGTGCGCAAAAGATGTTTATTGTGTGCCCAAAAAGGAGGTGCTCAGTTTGAACATCTTTGATGATTTTTTTAGAAAACTAAATTCGTCACTCAAAAAATACGTTTTTTAATTTTGTTCTTTGTTTATTGTATCGATTTCAATTGTAATTACTAATACTAATATAGAATGCTAATTTACCAAAAGTTTTTAATTATGCAGATAACTAATAATATAGAATATTAAATTGTGATAAAAAATATCTAGGCAAATAGGTCAACACAAAATCAAGGCCCGCTTCGATATAAATATAAAAAAATCTAATATTTATCTCATTCTTAGAACTAGATACCCATAACTTTATATCGTTCGAAAGGGTTAAACGGCAGCATTTTTTTTAAGTTCGTAGCCAGCTATGATTTCCATTTAAAAAATTATATTTTTTATTATTTCTGACAAAAAGAGCAAGCATGGAAAAAAACTGACTACGCCACTGGATTGTGCTTAAAAAAGTTCCTTAAGAACGTTTTTACAGAATTTTATTATTCCGCGAAATAAAAAAGTTATGGGCAATTTTCAAAATGGTAAAAAGTTAAAAAAGACCCCGTATCTCTGTTGGCAGTGAAAATATCAACAGGCGGTTTACGCCATTAACCGTATCTCGGAAATGTCTAGTCAGGAAATAGGTTTTCTCTGTTAAAACAGACCAATTTCGACCACCCTGTACAGTCAGCAGTTACAGTTTCGGGACACCTGGCGCTGAGAAGCGCGCAATGACTGACTGTTATATTTTTGCATTGCATTCGAATGTTATCCACAAATTTTCTGCCTTCAGAAAACAGTTTGGAGGTGGTAATTAAAATTACGCCTTTGCGCGCTTCTCAGCGCCAGGTGACCCGAAACTAGAACTTGTGACTGTATCTTTGCTTTTTAACCCTAAAATGCAATCGATTTTGAAAATATGAACCTTCAGAAAACTTTCGCATATTTTTGCACGCGGCTCTCCGACTATTATGTTTTATAGTGTTATGCTACTGTATGGGGGTGCAAGGGGGCATTAATAGTGTTACCTTTGCAATGGAGGACAATCCTGTCGACGGTTCTGAATGCCCAATGTTGGACTTAACCGATCCAATAAGAAGAGGACTCTTTCTTTCAGGTAAAAACACTTCCTCGATGGCTTGTAATTCTTCTGGATCGCCCACTTTAGTCCCCGTTCCATGTGCTTCGAGGTAACTTAGGTCGTACGGTTTAACCGATTGACATTCTTCGTATAATTCTTTTAATAGTTTCATTTGCATACTCCTAGATGGAAACGTGATTCCTGAATCCTTAAACCCATCACAATTTGTTTTCGCATGTAGCACTGTAGCGTAAATTCGTTTGGCTTCTTTCGACTTTTGCAGAAAGATGGCGCTAATTGCTTCAGATCTGGCATATCCGTTACCAGAATTGTCAAAAACTTTGCATTTTCCGTCCATAGCAATGGCACCTAATCTAAAATAAAAATTAATATTGTTGTTGGTCTATAAATTTTAAAATCACGTTTAGAATGAAATCACCCATTAATAGTTATTTTTGTATCTAGTGCGTGAAGTGCTACTTTGGTGATCGATACTTGAATTTTTTAACGAGACGTAGCCGAGTTGAAAAATTAGTCGAGATCACCAAAGTCGTTCGCGCCCGAGTTGCAAACAACATTTTTTTCTATAAACATTAAAATCGGGATTTCACTAAAAATTATTATTATCACATTATTGCTTCGAAAAAAAAGCGTGAGCTTGGAATGTTATGTTATTTTTTATTACTGAACATCGCCATCGATTTCCTTTTAGGTCGTTTTAATACTCGGTATTTCTGGTGCTTGCCGCCGTGAGGAACTTACTAAAATGACGGTCGATAACATAGAAGATAAAGATTCAGTTTTGATTGTTAAAGTGCCCGATACAAAAACAAACATAGACCGAGTCTTTACAGTGCAAAATTTGAATTATATTGAGATTTTCCGAAAATGCGCAGCTCTTCGTCCAAGAAATGATACCAGTCGCAGATTGTTTTTAAAATATCAAAATAAAATATGTGTTAACCAAGTGGTCGCCATAAATTCTATTGGTAAGATGCCTAGCATGATAGCAAAACACTTGAAGCTGCCAGATTATGAGCCCTACATGGGCATTGTTTCCGGAGAACTTCAGCCACACTCCTAGCTAATGCAGGGGGTGATATATTTAGTTTGAAGCGTCACAGAGGATGGAAATCTTCGACATTGGCCATACGTCGAGGATTCACAAAAATTCAAATATCAAATAAAATTTTAGAGTGTCAAATACCGAGATCAAGTACTTTTTTAGATTCTGTATCTCATCTATCCGAAATTATACCAATAAATGTATACATATGTTAATTTTATGTACCATTAAAAATAACTAAAACACTATTTACAACTTTCGCCAATTTAAATGAATAAAATATACAAATTTGTCTAATTATACCTGTAAAACTGTAAAGAAACTGTTGGCCACAAACAAAGCGATGCTGCTACTACAATAGCATTTTCACACTCTCCATTTCTTATAGCTCTGTAAGCATGCTCTAGAGCATGCAATGAGCTACTGCATGCGGTATCGCAGACCATAGATGGACCCTTCAATTTCAGATAATAACTGATACGGTTTGAAATCATCACTCGGCCAGCTCTAAAAATAATCAGGTTTGTTATCTCTATAGATTTTTTTACACCTTAGTGATGGGCATTACGATTCTTTTTAGTGAATTGAATCACACGATTCAATTTCTCACATTGAAGCGACTCCTACAATTCGTTCATTTGAACGAACACAATTGCACAGGCACAATTTACGTTTCAAAAAACAAAAATCGTAACTGGCACTACCGGCGATAATTTTATCGGAATATTACTTAAGGGAGCAGAAAAAGAAATATACAGTTCTTTCATTTGTTTTTCAAAATATTGGGTGTTGACACACCACCCTTATTTTTCAAAAAATAAGGGTGGTGTGTCATAATAAAAGTCATGATGTTTTTGTTCTTGATGTTTTAGTGTCAAAATTTCAAAATAAATTAATTTTAGATGTCTACAGAAAACCCACAAACACAGATAGATACTTAAATTTCACATCTAATCACAGTATAAGTGTAAAAAAGGTGTTATAAAAAGTTTATATGATAGAGCAAAAATAATATGTACAGACGACATTTCACTAAACAGAGATATAAACCACATAAAAAATACATTAATAAAAAACGACTACCCACCATATTTTATTGACAAGACATTAAACGAAATACAAACCCCAAATCATAGATACAATGATAACAATACACAATATATACAACTTACAATTCCATACATACGAGGCGTTTCGGAAAAAATAAGAAGGATAGGAAAACAATATACGAACATCTTTCAAAAGTCAATCCGTTTTCCAAAAATCAGCTTTTTACGTCAAGGGCTTTAAGCAGAATCGTGATTAATCAATGACCACATTTTTCAAAACACTCTGTATACATTTTTAAAAAATCTTAAAATATTATTCGGAAAATTTTTCAGAAAAATTAATTAAATAATTATATATAATAATTATATAACTTAATAACGTACTGAAACATACAGCGCCATAATATCTCGACCTTCGCCCGTTATGCTCGTAACAGGTTGAAAAGCAATGTATCTAAAACAACTGATGCGTTATTCTCCAACCTGTTTCGAACCTCCATCGACAATCGACCGATGCAGCAGCGTTCCTTTCCCACTCCGATTATCTCGACCGCCACCCTGTTATGCTCGTAACAGGTTGAAAAACAACGTATCTAAAATGACTGCTTCTCCAACCCGTTGCGAGCCTCCATCGACAATCGACCGATGCAGCAGCCTTCCTTTCCCACTCCTGTTATCTCGACCGCCAGGCGTTATGCCCGCAACTGTTTCAAAAAACCTGCTTCTTTTATATCCTATTATTTTTAAGCTGTTGTAAGCCCAACACGACCGTCGACGGGATCGACCGAAGGAGCTACGTTCGCCATAGCGCATTCCCCACTCCGTTGTCCGTTGCCTCGTCGCCTGTATCGATGGTTGACGAAATAACATGTTTTCCATCCATACTAGTTGTTTTTTGGAATTGCTTCGAGCAGCAAGAATTTCGGGGCGGTGCAGAGCGCCGACTTCGTTTTTCGTTTCACGAGCGGCCGATTTGTACGTGTCGTTATTTTATATCTGTTATTTTTTAGAAGTAGTAACGGTTGCGTTATGTTATTTCTAAATAATTGTTATAAAATAACAGATAGTTAAATAACAACCCATCACTAATAGGTATAGACATTTTTTAATAAAATTCATGTTGAAACCACTCTATTAATGTGCGAGTATCTCAATTTAACTTTTCTACATGTCTTGAAAACCGTTCTCTAAAAAACGTAAGTAACGTTCACCGGTCAACGTATCCTCGAAACTGTATGGCCAAGAAAAGTTGAACCAATAATCCTACACGCTTTTCTAAATTTGAAAAATTCATATTTACAATTTTTGTTTATTTTAATTTACAAAATTTGAATGTGACAGTTTCACATTTCTGAGAGCAACGACGATTGAAGTTGTTTCCATGGCTAACTAAGTGAAATTAGTCAAGAAAGATAAGAATTGGCTAAACCAAACCAAAAAATGGTGCTTCTTATGAAGTCATGGCCAACTGTCACTTCCATTTAAAAAAAAAACATGTTTTTATCATATGTCAAAAACGGCTTTAGAAAAAATCGGAGAACATAAACTCATTAGGGATATGATTATCTACAATTTTTATCTGAAAACTTTTTGTCTAAAATAGATTATAATGGAATTAGGGACAATTTTTAAAATAGCCAAAATTTGTTTTTTTAGAAATATCTAGTAAGCCATTAACTTTTTCAAAAATCTGTAAGGCGCCCACAATATAACCTCACAAAACTGCAATCCTTTTCCCCATTTAACCGACTCTCTATCTTCAGTAGTTTCCGAGATACCCATAGAGAACATCATAGGAAACCCTGTATAAATGATCTATTGCAAGTGTCAACTACTTATTATCAACTACTCAATTATTACTGGTATTACACAAATAATGTGAAGAATCTAATTGTAAATTCATGACCAGTGCGAGGAAAGAATACAAGCAAATACAATTATAATGATGTCACACATGTATTCATACTAACCCAGTTATAACAAAGGTATTAGGTTTGTTTTTGTTCACGTTGGAATACAAAGACACTTCACTTTCGCTAAAGTGAGCTCCAATAAAAACTCCAGTTTTTGTTCCTTGTAAATCAACGGGATTAAGTCCAGCATCTAATATAGCCTCTATAACAACTTCCAAAGATATTCTACATAACGGGTCCATTTCGTTTGGTTGGCGATAATGTATACCTAGAAATTATGTAAATCTTCAATTTAATCAGGATGTTTCGTTAAGTAACCGCTAGCCTAGAAGTTATGTACAATTACACACATGGCCAAAATTATTGCATGTGTCGTTTAAAAATATACGGAAAGGAATTTAAAGATTTTTTTTGTGCATAGCTTTAATAATCTGTAATAAACATTTTTTTGTTAAAATGGATACGGTAAACAATGTTTGTCGTTCAGCCCCAATATTATTACAAACTCTTGCACATTTCGATTTGTGGTCTCTTGAGTTTCAGAAGAAATTTGACCATTGTTTTGGCCTTAAAATGCCTAGAAACATTATTTCACAGTTTAATAGAGTCAGAATAGTAACATTGTCTCAACATGGCTACCGGCAAGTTGCAATAGCTGAAATTGTAGGAGTTAACCAAAGTGATGTTTTGCGAATATTAAAAAAAAATCAGGGAGACAAACGAGGTTACAGACTGGCCTGGTAGAAAGAGAGTTACTACTGCTGTGCAAGACCGTCAAATATTCATAATTGCACGACGCAATCCTCTGCTTTCTAGTACTGCTATTAAAAATGAGTTAGCTCGCCTTGAAGGAGTAAATGTTGTAGGAGTTAACCAAAGCGATGCTTCGCGAATATTAAAAAAATCAGGGAGACAAACGAGGTTACAGACCGACCTGGAAGAGGTAGAAAGAGAGTTACTACTGCAGTGCAAAACCGTCAAATATCCCTAATTCCACGACGCTTCCTAGTACTGCTATGAAAACAAAGTTAGCTCGCCGTGAAGGAGTAAATGTTTCAAGAAAGACCATAGCAAGAAGACTTCATGGCAGAGGATTACATTTAAGTAGGCCTCTACGTGTTCCGAAGCTTAATTTACAGCACAAAATTACGCGACTACAATGGGATAGTGTCAGACTCGCGACGAACTTTGATCTGGAGACCATCTGGAAGACGAGCACGCTTGAATGCAGCTCAACCCCGTGTCCCGTTTCAAGGGGGAAGCATTATGGTATGGGCAGGTATAATGCACGGAGCTCGAACTCCTCTTGTTTTTATTGATGGCACAATAACAGGTGCCTCATCTTAAACACGTTTTAGAGCCTATTGTGCGTCCATTTCGAGGGGCAGTGGGGAATGACAAATTCATTTACATGGACGACAATGCTCCTCCCCATCGCACTTTAGCGATTCACGAATTTAGTGAGGAAGAGGGTATAAGAAAACTTTTGTGGCCACCGATGTCTCCAGATATGAATGTGATCGAGCATGCTTGGGACATGCTAAAACGCCATATTGCCAAAAGGTATGATCCCCCCGTATCTTAAATGAATTTAAAATTGCTGCGCGCGAAACATGGGAAGTCTCAACATCTTCTGGACAACTTAATTGAGAGCATGCCACGTCGTCTCACAGCTTGCATTGAGGCTCGAGGAGGCAATACAGACTATTAGTTGTGAGGAATAATTAAAATTGTTTTCAATATTATCTGTTTAAAATGAAATTTGTTTTTGTTGATTTTCACTCATTATGAAATAAAATTATAATCTATAGATATCTTTATTTTTCTTAAACCTTTATTCAATATTTTAATTGTGATTTTCTTGGGTATAGGTTTTTTAAATTAAACCTCAGAAAAAATGATTTAAAACACCCAGAAATAATTTAATTTTTAATAAAAAAAAACTATACCCAAAAAAATCACAATTAAAATATTTAAATTATAATAACAGCCTAGTTGCACTAAGATTTTTAATTTTATATTAGTTAGTAGCCAATATGTCCAAAAATATAAAAAGAATCACGTTAGGTCCAAAATAAAATAAAAATATCGTCACAATAATTTTGGCCATGTGATGCCATAATTCGAAGGTTCAATTATTGTTCCAGGAATGGTGTCAGTCAGCGGAAACTGCTAATTTTATAATATTTAATATTTATGTAGATACTAGCATATACAAGATGTTTCAAAAAACATGTGCCTTTTCTCTTGAGGTGATTCCTCGCGTAAAAATAAGATTTATTTTTTATATCAACATAGGTCCGATTCTGCTTTGTTTCATAGTTACGGATGGTTAAGATCTTTTTTTTTATAATTTTCTTCCAAGTGGTTTTAGCTATTTGAACGAAATTTTGAGGGTAAATGTTACTATAGGTGCGACATATTTTATGCTTAAAAAAGTGTCGACATATTTACCAGGGACGTGCATATGGGTTATCAATGGAAAAAAAAACTTGTACGCCACAGACTTGTTTTCTTTTGTTGCCAGTATTGTGTAAACTGTTTAATACCGATTAAAAGTTGCCTCTTGATATTTTGACGATTTCACTGTGGTGGATGAGATAAACACAATTTTATTATAAAAATTTACGTTTAAGTGTAGATTAGGAAATGTATTTTGAATTTCTACTTGATAACGAAGAGTGATATAACTATCTGACACGTTGTAAAAATAACGACAATAGATGGTCGATACAACAGTTTTTTTTTCCTAAAAATTCAACCTTCGAAAGTATGTTTTTATTAATTTCTCTACCCGGAAAAAATAAAGGCTGTAACAAACCAAAAAAACTTGAGTCAAATTTTTCGATATCGTATAATTTTCCAGTGCGTTGAGGAATTTCTGGATGGTTCGGTTTCCACCTGCGATTATCGTCAGTCACCATATCAGTCTTATTAAATAAATTATCTCGGAATTCATGTACATTTCTTGATTCAGGATATCTACCAGACAAGCCTGAAAAAATAAAATATTTTAATAATTACAATTTTTAAACAATACAATTTGAACAAATCTGCAAGTCGCAATAAGATTTCGAAATTATTTCTTTCTTTATCGGGACTACAATATATTTATGTTAAAATAATGTTATTAAAAATTATCACTAACTGCTACGTTGTGTTTTATTTAACAAAAAATAATCTCTATTTAGCTTCATTCAGAACCTTGCAATTAGTGGTTTCAATTACACTTTATACTTTCTGGTTTACGATCATTTATAATGTTTAAAAAACATAATTAAAATTAATAGAATATTCTAGCAACAGCTTGCGTTAGTCTGTTGTATCCATAGAGAAAGCCTAATATTTAGCTTATAAAACAATCATCTTTTGATTTCTAACCACAATTTCTCTTGCCGGAAGATAATCAAAGGCCAAAATGTGTGGAAAAATTAGTGGAAAAGTTTGATAACTTTTTCTACTAATTGAAAATGTCTATGCTTATATCAAAACATGAAAACGTTGAGACCGGGACTTTTTAAATAGTAGGTATTAGTTTATAGTATAGTAGTATAGTAATAACATAAAAAAATGTTTTAATAATTTGGACATATATCTCTCTTTATTTCCTAGATAATATAATTGCAATACTATAACCCTAGCTGGTCCCTTTATTATTTTTTGTCTACTAAATCTCAATGGATTATCCATTGGATTCTCGCCAAGAACCGCGAAACATTGAGGAACTTAAAGTAGGCCAATGCCTAACAGTGAACGGTGATAGCTATTTAATGGTGATGAATGATGTTGATATTAAAGTGTATCCTTTGTGGTTGCGCTAATTTTGTACATATGACCCATCCTTAGTCATTATTCAATGTTTAAAATGCATTCTTCTAAACAGCCGCGATTACATTTTTAGATAGGGCATTATATTAAAATTATTTTGCATATATTCAACAATACATTTTATCTATTTATTGCAAAAAAATTACATACGGTAATCGCAATCATCACGCACGTCATCAATCATATCGAAATTGACACTAAAGCCTATAAATCTGACTAAATTAAATTTTGGCTATTTTTTTTTAAATTTATTGTATAATTTAAGATACCGAGCAGCACTTCATTTTACTTTATCGAGCAAATGATTGTAACAGATATTTTATTTAGATTAAAGCTGCAAAAATTAATTTAAGCAGGAATTTATTGTTGCTATGTTGCGCCGCACGGTGGGGTATTAGCATGAAAAAGGTGATCGAAATTCGAAAAAGCAAATGTGTTTAAGATTTCCCAAAAAAAAATGATAAGTTAAATCATGTCTGCCATGAATGGCGTTGCTATGGGTGTGTTTAGTTGCATTCATTCGTTTCAACGAAACGTCAAAGTTGTTACTTCTCACAGATAAGAGGTAAATGGCTAAATTTTATGTTTAAAATTATAAATTGTTGTTGTTCGTGTGCTCTTTTTACGTTTATATTATTGTTTTGATTGAAAATGGCTCGGCAAGCTGCAGGTATGTATTCTACAAAAACGTATTATTTATTTTGATATTCTCTATAGTAACGATTTTTTGCAACTAAAAGTTAAGCGTTAAGAAAATTTGATTAAATTTGTGACATTTTTATTTTACTTAGAGATTTAGTTACGCATTTCGAAGAATTCAGCATATTGTCTATATACGTTTTACTTAGTAAACATTTGGCTTTCATACAGTAGAATAAAATACTGCGACTTTTTGCGACTTTGCTGATAAAATGAGAAAAACATTCTTGGTTTCCTCTAATTTGTCAATCAGTGATATACTAATGCGAGGTGTAAACCGCGATGACATTGTTGTGTACAAAGCGATCGCTTTAGTGCTATTAGCAGTATAGCACAATTTGGCATTAGTAGCGACTTTAGTGGTATGGGCATTGCTCGCTGATCAGTCGTAGCATTAGTAGTATTAGTTGCGATATTACTACTGGCATTAGTGGCATTGACCGTGGAAACACTGGAACAGTGATTTTTCTTTCTTTCTTTAGAATCGACGAATTATCCTTTATTTTGTTCATATTATTTCCTCTTTAATTGAAAATAGCAATAATTTATATAAGGTCTACATAAAAAAATTTCGATCAACTATCTGTGTCAAATACCCCACTGTGCGCCGTGTTCAGCAACATTGTCGTTTATTATTTGACAATTATTATAATGACAGTCATTATCTATAAAATCCTAAAAAAAAATCCTAAAGTGACTCACTCACTAATTAATCACGATCCTGCTCAAATCACTCAACGTAAGAAGCTCAATTTTGACATACAGGTTGATTCTAGGGTGTAGAGGTTCGATAAGAAGGGATTTTTCGAAATTCCAGTTCCAAGAGGGTGAAACCACCCCTCGAATATTACAATATTTTTTATTTAAGAAACGGTCAAGTTTCCGAAAAAAACGCTTAAACACGTATATTTTATTTTGTTTTTTTACATATTTTAAGATTTTTTAAAAATGTATACAGGGTGTTTCGAAAAATCTGGTCATTGATTAATCACGATCCTGCTTAAAGAGCTTGACGTAAAAAGCTGATTTTTGGAAAACGGATTGACTTTAGGGTGTAGAGGTTCGATAAGAATGGATTTTTCGAAATTCGAATTCTAAGGGGGTGAAACTATCCCTCAAATATTACAATATTTGTTATTTAAAGAACGGTTAGTCTTTCGGGAAAACGCTTGGACAAGCATAATTTATTTGGTTTTTTACATATTTTGAAATTTTTTAAAAAATCACACAGGGTTTTCTAAAAGGTTGGGTAATTTCTTAACCACGATTCTGCTTAAACTGCTTGCCGTAAAAAGCTTATTTTTGGCAAACGGATATTTCGAAAGTAAAATTCCAACGAGATGAAACTACCCCTCAAATATTACTAAGTTATATAATAATATCGCCATATTGTTTCTCTCATGCTGACATAAATGTGAGAAAATTTTATCCAGTTTGTATGTTAATGGAAATTCTTGCTTTGCTTTATCATCACCATTACAAATGATTAATTCGACGCGAACGAAGTCGTGGGTACACGCTAGTTATCTATAAAATCCTAAAGTGACTGACTCAATGATTAATCACGATCCTGCTCAAACCACTCAACGTAAGAAGCTCAATTTTGGCATACAGGTGGATTCTAGGGTGTAGAGGTTCGATAAGAAGGGATTTTTCGAAATTCCAGTTTCAAGAGGGTGAAGCCACCCCTCAAATATTACAATATTTTTTATTTAAAAAACGGCCAAGTTTCCGAAAAAACGCTTAAACACGTATATTTTATTTTGATTTTTCACATATTTTAAGATTTTTTAAAAATGTATACAGGGTGTTTCGAAGAATCTGGTCATTGATTAATTACGATCCTGCTTAAAGCGGGTGACGTAAAAAGCTGATTTTTGGAAAACGGATTGACTTTAGGGTGTAGAAGTTCGATAAGAAGGGATTTTTCAAAACTCGAATTCTAAGAGGGTGAAACCACCCTTCACATATTAGAATATTTTTTATTTAAAAACCGGTGAGTATTTCGGAAAAACTCTTAAGCACGTATATTTTATTTTGTTGTTTTACATATTTTAAGATTTTTTAAAAATTTATACAGAGTATTTCATAAAATATGACCATTGAGTAATCACGATTCTGCTTAAACTGCTTGACGTTTAAACGATGATATGACGATTTTTGGCAAACGGATTGACTGTGGGGTGTAGTAGAAAACGGTTAGTCTTTCGGGAAAACGCTTGGACACGTATAATTTATTTTGTTATTTTACATATTTTAAATTTTTTTGAAAAATCATACAGAGTGTTTGGTTTTTACAAACCAAACCAAACCAAACCAAAAAGTTAGGTAATTGATTAACCACGATTCTGCTTAAACTGCTTGACGTAGAAAGCTTATTTTTGACAAACGGATTTTTCGAAAGTCAAATTCTAACGAGATGAAACTACCCCTCAAATATTACCAAGTTATATAATAATATCGCCATATTGTTTTTTCTCATGCTGACATAAATGTGAGAAAATTTTATCCAGTTTGTATGTTAATGAAAATTCTTGCTTTCCTTTATCATCACCATTACAAATGATTAATTCGACTCGAACGAAGTCACGGGTACACGCTAGTTTTGTATAATATCGTGTTGTTGATCCTTTGTGATTAATTCTGTTTTTTTGGCTATTTTCATAGTTTTTTAAAAAATTTACTTTTTCTACTTTTAAGAACTAAATTTTCGAGCTTTTTTATTGCATTTCTTGAAATTGTATGTTGAAAATATGCCGCAGCATTTAAACAGTCGAAACAAAGAGCTAGTAGCTTCCCTGATAAACTATTTTCAACAAAAACTTGACAACAAGAGTACTTTATTATCCTTGACTGCAGTCAGGGAAGTAAGTTTGATTGGTAAGCACATTATATCACTTTCAACGTTATTTCAACGTTAGTTTTTAGTAAATTCTGTGATTATTAGTTTGTGCTTTAATGGCATCCTCTTACTTATTATTGCCACTTGTGGTGTTGTAAGATTGTACACCAATAAATAAATAAATAACCCATAATAACGCTTCGAATAAACTTCATAATGGACTATTTTTTGCCGATATGTAATAAGTAAAATAAGCTATAAAACAAATAAATCAATTGATTACTAAAATATTAATTTTTAAATTAAAAATAAAACGTAAAATTCTTTAAAAAAATGGTATAATAAATATATTGTTTCCCAATTTTACATTAAGATTCATCTCATAAATCCATCACAATCTGACAGCGCTGGTGACATCGCTTATCACTCAAAGTTGATCACGTGCATCGTAATGGTTTTGCGATGACCGTACAAGAGATTTTTTTTATTAATGTTAACTTTTTTTCTTGGCGAGGCATCAACTCGAGGGAGAAGGGTCGTGATCAGATTCTCACAATAGGAATTGACCTCAAATTCAAAGAGAAAGAGGGATATATCCTCTGTTACAGATACGGGACTATACCAGAATCAGGTCTAAGGAGAGACCAAGTTAAAGAGGTGGAGAAAATGGACACAGATTCTACAGCCTCCACTTCACGGGTACCTCAGCCGGTGGCAAGCTCCTCAACTGTGAAGGGCACGGAGTGCCAAACTCCAGCCGTGGAAAGGTCTATACCCGCGGAGGAAGAACATGTGTTGTCAGAGGAGGATGGGAAGTACCCTGTCCCTCTTACATCTGGTAAATGCATGATGAGTTATAAAATGTGTCTTGAGTTATAACTCAAGGAAGGGGGGCACAATAGATCTTTAACGTCCCAGTGATTAAACCCCCCTCTCACTCATTCTACATTCTAACTTTTTATCGCTAAAATCAACAGACATTCAGCAAAAAAAATAAAACTTACCAGAAATCACTACCTCTTCGCCTTGCTCAGGTTCAGCCAGATATTTGCCTGATTTTATTCGAATATTCTCACTTTGAGAAGCCATGTTTAATTATTAGGTTCTATTAGATAGATTCTATTAATAACAGTTTCACACTTTTGGATAATATGAAAACTTATGGACTTTCTGGTGTACTATAAATCACTGCTTCAAGATTACAATTACCAAGAAGAGTTATATGGAAAAATCAACTCTACTTATATGTATATATCAAGACGGCAATTAAAATATTACATAGTATAAAATGAATTAACAACGGGAAATTAATAAGAATACTAATTAATTAATGAATTGATTAATGCATTAATTAATTAGTATTCATTATTAATGCAATTTATGGGCTTAAAAATTACACTGTGAAAAAACTAACCTAACCAGCTTTGGAAAAGTTTGGGATACAAACTTTTTCATTCTATAATTTAAGCGTTATAAGCACTTAGTATTTTTACAGTTTCTTCATTACATACAGGGTGAGTTTTCCACGATGTTCTCTATGGGTATCTCGGAAACTATAGGAACTAGAGAGTCGGTTAGATGGGGAAAAAGTTGCAGTTTTGCGAGGTCATAAATACGCGTCTTTCAAATTTTTGAAAACTTTATGGATTACTAGATATTTCGAAAAAAAAACAAATTTCGACTGTTTTAAAAATGCTCCCTAATTCCATTATAATCTAGACAAGAAGTTTTGAGATAAAAGTTGTAGATAATCATATTCTTAATGAGATTGTGTTCTCCGTTTTTTTTTAAAGACTGTAATTTTTGAGATGTTACACAAACATTATGTTCTTTTAACTGGAAACCATAGTTGGCCATGACTTCATAAAAAACGTAATTTGTGAAGCTTTCCAGTGATATAGGCTATGATATGTTTTTTTTTTTCGAAAAATTACTGAGTTATAGCAAATTCTTATCTTTTTTGACTAATTTCACTTAGCTGGCCTGATATTATTCTATGATTTAAAACTTATAAAAGACAGAATATTTTATTAAACGGTTCTTTACAATTTATATGCCTGTCATTTTTGACATATGATACAAATATACAGAGAGAACACTAAAAACTAAAGTGAGAGAGACCGATCAACGTTAATTTTTGAAGACTATGTTAGTGGCGCGGCCTTTGGCGTCTAACCCGAACTATGAGCGCATTATCGATATAGTAGGTTGCATTTATACCTATATACTGGCGCCAAAAATTTAAAATTTGTATATTTGAACCGAAACTTAATCTTTCAAGTTTATAATAAGAAATCTTCGTAGTTTCTTTAGATTATTTTGTTGACAACGAAAATTTATTATTAGACTTTAAAACCTATAAATAAAATACTGTGTAGGAACACAATAATTTATTTAACTTAGTTTGATTTTCAGTTTTTGCAGAATGCATTTACCAGGTCTTTGGTGGGTTGTGGATTGTCATGCCTTTTCTTGAACTAAAAATAAATAAGTTCAATTTTTCATTAAGGATTAATTTTACATGCTTACCAGTTTAGGTAATCCGTTTCTGTACATGTCGTAGTAGAGCCCATACTCCAACTCAAGGCTGCAATCTTCAATATCTTTTTTATCTAACTTGGTTGGGAGTAAACATGGAAGCACGGTTGGGAGCTCGCACAGAGTATCAGTAGGTATCCCGTAGGTATTCAATGTTTTTGATAGTCTTTATTCTATACCAAGAACCTATCAGTTGAAAAAAATTATTTGTATTACTGGTAATTGTTAATAATACCAGGTATAATACCTAGTCGTTCCACAGGTATCAGAAAAGAATAAGAATGTGATGTTTTACTTTTACAATCGGATTTATCCCGTAGGTTATGCTTACCTATGTAAATTAGCAATGTACGACTATTAGTACGAGAGCTAGCAACGTCGGAAAAACAAGTATTTTAAGACGTCTGGCTCTTTGATATATCGTTTACTATGCTCTCTAGAACAGCATGCGGCTCGTCTGGCTGCCGGTAAACGTTGCGTTCCCTACTGCGCATTGAAAGAAGATCCTATATTTTATTAGTCATTTAAATTCTAGTATTGAATATAAACCGACCGAGTCTCCATAACTCAATGCGTAGAGTTTCAGACCACGAACCGAGGAGTTAGGACAAAAACTTTTTTATTTTATTTTCGTTTATATTCTGATAGTAAAGTATTAAATATTTTTTTTTTGAATCACCAGAATTATTTAATACTTTACTATCAGAATATATACAAAAATAAAATAAAAAAGTCTTTGCCCTGACCCAGATTCGAACTCTGAATCGTCGGTTCGTAGTCGGAAACTCTACGCACTGCGCTACGAAGACATGTTCGATTTATATTCAATACTAGAATTTATAGGACTAAATTAAAAAAAAATATAGGATCTTCTTCCGATGCGCAGTAGTGAACGCAATGGATATCGGCAGCCAGACGGGCCGCAGACTGTCCCAGAGAGCATAGTAAAAGATATATCAAAGGGCCAGACGTCTTAAAATACTTTCTCGAAAACATTGCTAACTCTTAGACTATATTATGTGCACTCACTATTACTATTAGGTATTTTTAAATAATTACCGAGATAAAACTTACCTTTAAAGGAAACGTTTTGTCTAGATCTCAACCACAAAACAAAAATTACAAAAATGGCGAATAATCGTGGAATCTCAAATAATCAATAATGACAATCATATGACAATAATCTCTTCTCACAAGCTAAAAGAACAGGTACATTGAGTCAAAAACAATTTATTACTCCGATTATCAACAGATTTTCGTTATCTCCTTCTAGAGCTAAGAAATAGAAAAAGCTACTGACAATCTAATTAATCCTGTCAAATGTTTAACTTGCAAAGATGAAAACTTCCTTTTTTGACCGCCTAAACGCTATGCGCGTCTGGGATGCGCGGTGACAAAATAAATTTGTCTACAAAATGCCCTATTCCACAAGCCCTCTCACTTTAGTTATTAGTGTTCTCTCTGCAAATATATTATGTTCTTTTAACCTTGAGGAGGTCGAACTTCATTTGTTACATGAAAGGTCGCGCGCGGACTCTGAGTCCGCATGCTAAATTCAAGAGATCTTAAGCGTTGCGAGTGGTGTAAAGACATAAAATAATATGATAATCAAAATAACAATTATTTATTTACTTGCTTCATTACAAATAGCAAACATAAACATTAAGATATATTAATAAATATTCAAAAATAACAGTAATTACAGAGATTACACTGATTTTTAATTACGTATAACAGTGATTACAGAATATTTATGTGTGCTCAAAACATACGAAATTGTAACACTGTATAAAGAGTAACGAGTTGGTCTGTTTTTCCGCCTATCACAATTCTTTAGTGCTGATCCTCTGGTAATACTGTATTCAATGCTTCGGAATCTGAAATTTATTTTTCAGTATCGGAATTTATTTTGGTTCCTTGCCTTTCTATAATATCCACTTCTCGTTCTTCCTTTTCATCGTCATGTTCAGTAGTTAATTTGTCATCTTCGTTCAAACAGTCATAAGCTGTTGCAATCTTTCTGACAGAGTACATCTAAAAAATAATACTTATTTAATAAAGAAAAGTCGATTATTCACTTTTTTATCACAGTTTGCTCATTTTCACTTAAAACAAATCGGTAAAATAAAGGTAAGTTATTTAACACTATAAAATGACTGATGTAAAAATGGTATCACGAACGACCGCGCGCGGACTGACACTCCGCAAATGAGTATAAAAAGTTACTAACTACCCTAAACGCTGTGCAAACATACACTTCTCATAAAATATGCAGAGACAGGAAGATACTAAGCGGCGCAGCATCTGATGTTTCCAGATTTTCGAATTATCGGAAAAATAAATACCTGCAGAGGATGGAAATAAAAAAAAATGAAAATGGAAAAAAAAATGGAAACTTAAATGGAAACCATAGTTTCCAAGCCATGACTTCACAAAAAGCGCCTTTTACAGCTTTCCAGCGATATAAGCTATAATATGTTTTTTTTAATTACTGAGTTATAAGCAATTCTTATCATTTTTAAACAAGTTCACTTAGTTAGCCATGGAAACAAGTTCAATCGCTGTTGCTCTCAGAGATGTCAAACCATGGTACAAAGAATACAAGGTATGATCGATAGCGGCTCCAATTTCGTTCAGTTCGCGCATATCACCTGTGACGTCACCAGGAAAATAATGAATAAATAAAAAATAAAGAAAGTTGACAGATCTGCATTTTTGAGGTTATGGTTAAGAATTGTTTATTTTTAAGACTTTTTAGTTCGTTTAATTTAATAATTACTAAAACCAGAAGTTCCAAAAAAATATATTTAAAAATAATAATTATCTATTAACATGGATTTGGAGTTTGGACCATAATAGGTAAGAATACTAAATTTATTTCTATATTCGGTACCTATAAAATTGTTTATTAGATTTTTAGTTTGCGATGTTTATGGTAAATAATTTTCATGTTCATTGCCTCTGATTTCACATGAGGATATATATGGAAAAGTAACCACAAGAGGAATTGTTACATCATTTAAAAAATGTTGGGAATTTTATTGTTTCCCATCGAAAAGCAGAAAATGCCAATGCAGATGAATGTATTGTAATTGTGATAGAAGTAATTCCAAGGGTGAAGTTTATTATAATTAGTGGAAGTAATTCCAAGGGTGAAGTTTATTATAATTAGTTACCTGTGCTTCTTTTTATATGTAGATGTTTCAGGTTTTGAGAATAAATCGGTTGAACGAAACCCAAAATTTAGAGGAAGTATTTGCATACCCAGAATATGCCCATCAAGGATTATATAGCTCAAATTTCCTTTAATGGTAGGCAATTATTCAATGCAAATTAACTTTTTAAGTGACTGAAATATTAAATGGTTTACAATATGGTATATCATTAAAAATATATTACTTTTAGGTACAATTAGGGCTTGATACATTTCAAAAAGTAGAATATTATTTTATATTAAATGAGGTATTGTACCAACAATCAATTTATATTAATACGGGAGATTAAAAAATAACAGAATAAATAGTTCTTTTTTTATACTACAAAAATAAACT